AAGAAATTTTTTCAGGAGAGGAGTTTTAAAAATATGGCCTACTCTTATTTCAAAATAATAAGCAAAATTCTTCCTTTGGGGAGTGACAGTAGAGTAGAATTTTTGCTTTGGTGTTTAGTTTTAATTTTCATTGTAGTAACCTGTGGTTCTTTTCAGCTATGCAACATTCACCTGATTCATTTCTCTCCATTTGTGATGTGTTTCTCTGTGATGTCAATTCATTCCTGTCCATTCTGTCATATCTCCATCTTTCTCTTGCTGCTTCTTCAGATTGCACTGCGTGTTAAGAGGTAAGATCTATCAAAGGAGGTGAAAGTGACTTATGTTTAAGTCCAGGAAGAATCCTCTCTCCAGGAATTTCCTTTTTTTTTTTGCCTGAAAATCAGCACTTGGACACAATTTTTTGTGAGGATCTTTTGAAGACTTCAGTTCCATCTCACCCTTGAGTGCCTCATTTTCTCCTCTGCACACCCTGAGTTTTGAATCCATCTTACAAACCATCTGCTGTTCTACCAGACCATACATCACAGTCCTTATTTTTGCACCTTGATTGACTCTCTCCATCTTCTGTGAAGTAACATGCACGCTGCAAAGCAAGGGAAAAGGAAATCTGTACCAAACATAGTTTCATTGGCTACAAAGCTCCAGCATGTTGAGCGTCTCACCAGACCCCTATAAAAGTGGAATAATAGTACAACCTTTGAATTGTGTGATTATTTCTTAATCACAGTATCATAGGATCATAGAGTTAAGGCTGAAAGGGACTTTAGAGGTCACTTAATTCAAGCCTCTCATTTTACAGATAAGGAACTGAGGTTCAAAGAGAGTATCTTGTCTAAGGTCACACAGGTAGTAAATGAAAGAAATGGATTTGAATTTGGGTTCCCTGGCTCCAAATCCAGAACTTTTCCCACCATACATACTGCCTCACCCTTGAGATAATGTATATAAAATCTTTGCAAATCTTAAAGCACTGTATAAATGTTTTCAAATCTTACTCAGTTTGTCGTCTACACAGACAAGTAAATTAGTCAGCTAAATGTCAAATCTACCCCACTGAAAAATACATTAGGATCAAGTATTGTATCGTTAAGGGCATATGGTGGAGCTAAAATGGAAAGTGGTCTCCATTCTACCAGTAAGCTTGGGCTAGAACTTCACCAGGATTAATTAGTAACAAAACCTGAGTTTTACTTTGTGAAATTCCTAAGGACTAAGAGCTGGTACTGTTAAAAACTTGAATATAACATCCTAACTTTTTGGAAAGTAATTGTTTTCAAGGGTGTTTTTTTTCTTAATGGGCTGAAGTAATCAGCCTCTAATAATTACCTGAGACCCAAGCTAAGATCCATTTATTCAGCCCTTAAATTTCTCATCTTTTTATCTTTATTTTGCCACATGAGAATTAAAAGAAAGTGAAGGCAGAATCACTATTACATGAATTTGGATTAGGGGAGGGAGAGCCCTCTCATTAATTTTAGAAGTCAAAATATTCACCTTATAATATTCTCTTCCTACGTTCATATGAAACATCTCAGGCTCCCAGTCGTCATGCATCAAACCAGGATCCCCAGATGTTGGAAGTATGCCATATTAGAAATAAATGTCACTTTCATTGCCCTTCAAGCTAGTGTCTTCTTAGCCAGCTTTTCAAGGAAGCTCATTGGTTACATCCAGTTCAAAAATCTCTCAGCCTCCTGGTCAAATAAGTATAAGACCTTATGGTCATATATCTCAGCTGAAAGGGACCCCAAAAGCTACAAAAATCCAATATTCCTCCTTTTCTTGTTGAGAAAACTGAGGCTTAGGGAGGTTAAGAGACTTGCCCAAGGTCACGGAGGTGGTTAAGTATCATATATGGAATTTAAACCATTTCGATTATATTATTCTGCCTCTCATTTGCTACATATGTGTCCGTGTCTAATATCTCTTTTATAGGTATACTGCCCCATGAGATCATTGTTGTGTGGAATCATCATCACACTCTTAAAGTCGGTCCCTGAGAATTGTCTTAAACCTCATACACGCAATGCAGTTGGTGACAGATTTTTAGAATTGATGTTTCCTTGCTTTATTTGTGCATTCTTAGTTAATACTTTTAAAATTATGAAAGTAAATAATGTATAGAAGTATACTTTGGTCTCATAAAGAATATTTCTGGGCATTATAAGAAGTAATAATTAGGATACTTCCTCAAGTGATCCAGTATAACCATTACACTACCACAAAAATCCTTGTACATTATTTTCCCTACACCTGTCTCCACCTGAAAATGCCCTAGAGTCCTATCCATTACTCTGTATATAGCTGGGAGTTTATATTGTGCTTTTCCATGTAGTGGGTGCTCAGCACATGTGCTGATTGATGGAATTGATGGCGGACTCTAAAGATATGAAATAATTGATATGGGCCTTATAGTAACTTGTCTCAATTAGGAAAGTAATATCTATAAAGTTGTGCTCCAGTTACTTACTCTTCTTGTGTTAAAGAATGAGAGAAGTCACTAGTCCAATTAGCCTTGAAAATACTAAGGAATTCTTTTAAGTAGGTGAAGCATGGAGGAGATAGAAAGATGAAAAGCTACTAATAGGAGGTTGAAAGAGAGGAGAATTGTACAACAGCAATGAAAGCTAATATTAAGGAAGCCATGGGATACATGCACAAATAGAGCACCCCAAAATATAATACAGTAAACAGAAAGGGAAAAAAAGAAATGTGAGGAAATAGCTATAGCATGATACTAAAATGTTGATAAATGACAGAAGGGATGTTAGGAGAAATAAGAAAGCAAAAGAAGATAAACAGTGGGATGATTGAAGAAGAAAATAGTCTTATATGAGAAGGGAAAGGTCAGAACAGTGGTCAAAAATGAATGGTATATTCAATTATTGAGAGGGAAGGAAGGAAGGAAAGGGGGAGGGAAAGAATGCTCTAAACTATCCATCATAAAACTGTATATATAGTCTTGAAATTAAAGAGCTATGCTTAGTTGTTTATTTGGTTATTTTAAATGTATTCTAATTCTGTCTCTGGCCTAGGAAATATTTCATATTAAAATGGTTTTAGAAGGGAATACAAATCAATCATAATTGAATTCAGTGGCTAAGGAGAAAGATAAAGAACAGCATATTGGACCTGGAATTTTGCTTCAAAGCATTACCAAAAAATAGATTAAACCTCTTCCACTTTATAATCCAAAAATATCACCCTCATTTACCCAATCTTAGATCTTTTACCTAATTCCTCATGGATCCATTCATTTTGACAATATATTGCTAACAACTAAATTGAGATTGTAACTTAGAAATCACTGACATCTCGTTTATTGATAAAAGTAGCTGACAATATAGAATGTTTTAAAAGAGATAGTAGTTTGTTAGTTCTTACTGTGTTCAATTAATACCTCATTAAAAAGTTACTATGATGTGATAGCCTTGTAAGAAGAACTTCAGATCTGATCTTATCATCCCTTGAATATTATAATGTCTTTGGTTCTAAGATCATAGCAGAGTTGTCTGAACCTGGGCATTCTTAGAATCCTATCTACAGCCTTCTTCCCCTCCCCCCTTATAAAACATATCTTTTAAAAACATATCTCTAAAATATCTCCAACAATAAATTGTTGTTGGAGAGATTGGAGGAAATAGTTCATTTGTTTCTCCCCCAAATGCTTTGTTTCTTATGAATCAATTGGATAGTTTCCTATTTTAACACATTTAAAAGTCATTGCCTGCATCTTTTATGTTCTTCATATAGAATAATGAAAACAGAACAATTCATCCCAAGGCTGTGTTCTATTTTTTAATTAGCCAGAAGGTGTCTTGTGGTACAAACAGACAGTAATGTTATGATAAGGATAATGATGATGAGGTTGATGATAGTATTTATAGCATATATTTCATAATATGTATTTATAGGCTAATAAAATTTTGAAGAATAATAACAACCATATTTATATTTATTTTAAACTTTGCAAAGTGCTTTACATACATTATTTCATTCGCAACTCACAACAGCTCTGTATGTACCAGAATTATTACTCCCATTTTACAGATGAGGCAACTGAGGCTAATTAGGCCTGGATTACAGAGCTATCATGTATCAAATACCAGATTTGGAATCCAGAATTTTAAAAATCTGAACATAGTATCATCTCCCTTTCCCCACGTTGCTCTTCATGCTATTATTGCCCAAATCCTTCTGCTAAAATAACAAAAGCAATAGCAGTACCTTACATATGTGTAGTGTTCAACAATTTATAAAGCACTTTAGCATGCAGCATCTCATTTGACTCTCAAAACTCTGTGGGGTAGACTGAGCAGGTATAATTATCCCCATTTCACAGATGACTAAACTAAGTCTCAGAAGCCAAGCAAACAAACTGAACAATAAGCTTCAGTGGAGTACAGCCAAGATATTCTGTTGAGTGGGACAGTATGAACTTTACTTTTATTCACCTCACACAAATTGAATTCACTGGAAAGAAACTAAATGCTCAAGAATTTTACTAAAATAGGGCTTAAAGGACTAGAACTAGAGTGTTTGCCTGCTTCCTGAGAAGGATCTTTCTTCCTCCACATATTCAGTGAAACCCAGCACTCTCCCACATACCTTGGTTTGCATGCCAAAGCATGACACAGCTGCCCCCTGAATGTACAAAGGTGTGTGGTAGGTGTGGATAGAGTTAGCATTGGTGAGCTATTTCTGAAAACAATGAGCTCGAAAGCAAAAACTTGCTTGAACTTTTATTCTTCTTGATTCAAATTTCTTAAGCCTGTGAACCTCATGCCATTGCATTAGACCAACACATTTTGGAAGTCCAGGATGAGAGAAATGAAAAATAATGGAGGTATTAGTAGGTTAAAAACAATTATGTGTTCACTCTGAGGCCCTCCCAAAATTGCTGGTTCCCAAATGGCACATTTATTTCCTACTTGGGCAACTTCATGTTCTTTGCTTTAATCATATCTGATTTCCTTTTTCCTTCCAATTTGAATCAGGAAGCTCCAGTGGTGGCCAGGGCAGCGCTGTTCCTGGAGTGTGCTCGCTTTGTTCACCGGTGCAACCGTGGCAACTGGCCCGAGTGGATGAAAGGACACCATGTCAACATCACAAAGAAAGGCCTTTCCCGAGGCCGATCACCAATCGTGGGTAACAAGAGAAATCAAAAGTTACAGTGGAATGCAGCCAAGCTCTTCTACCAATGGGGAGATGTGAGCCACAGTTGTTTCTTCTCTTGTAAAAATTCAGTGAAAGTGAGTTAGTAAAGACTCCTCATAGAATGGGACATTGACAATTTTTAAGTTATTTTCCATAATCATTGAAATATAAACTCAAAGGAAAAATCAAGTGGAGTCATCTTTGAATTTATTCGGTGGGAACTGGTATGGTGTTTGTTGCGAAAAGAAGTTGGAAGATTGAGATTAAAATTCCAGGTTACCACTTACTCTGTGGTGGTATCTCTCTGAGACTTAGTTTCCTCTTCTTTGAAATAGAAATATTAATACCTGCCCTGCCTCTTTCTGACAGGGCTGATGCAAAGACTGCACTGGTAATTTAGAGTTAGAGTCTATCCGGTCAATTTCCTTATTTTATAGATAAGGACCAAAGAAAAGAAGTGATTTGTCCAAGGTCACACAGGTAGTAAATATCAGAGGTAGGATTAAAACCCAAGTTCTCTCCCTCCAGAACCACTGCTCTCCATTATACCCCACTTTCTCCCATCAAAGCGAATGACCTGCCTCTATGCTATCCTGACAGATCCTTCAAAATGTATCCTTTTTTAAAATGATTAACTGGAATAAAATATCTAACTTCCCTTAGTAATCCATTCTACTATGTCTATTAATGTGTCTGACAATAGAGAAGGGTCTTCTTTTTGTCTAAGTTTCTCCTAAATCACGCCAAGAAAAGTCACCTATCCATAGGATTTTGAAGTTTATGCTAGCTATGTATATTTCTGTATGTGTCTGAATTCATATTTTACATTAAATGAATTATTTTGTATTCTTAAAAGCAAGTCATCTAGTATATAAAAGACAATATGGTGTCTTTCATAAAATTTTTATTAAAAAATTTTCTAGTTCTGATATCACTGGATAAAGATCATTGGCTTTTAGAAATGGATGGCTCCATGTGCTTTTTCTTTATCTAATTTTTTAATGAAAAGTATGTGTTAATGTTTCTTTTTGTGAATAATTCTATACTCAAATAGAACAAAGATCAAAATAATGTAAATTCCTAGGTAAAAACAGGGTACCTGTCATGATTGTTGTTCACTCATTTTTCAGTTATGTCTGACTCTTCATGACCCTTATCCAGCTCATTTTACAGATGAGAAAACTGAGGCAAATAGGGTTAAGTGACTTGCCCAAGGTCACACAACTAGTAAGTATAAAAGGCCAAATTTGAACTTAGGAAGATGAGTCTTCCTGACTCCAGGCCTGGAACTCTATCCATTGTTCCACCTAGCTGCCCAATACTTGTTATAAATTGTGCTTATCTAAATATTTGCTTTTCTTTATATCTGGAGAAAAGCCATCACCTTTCATTCAACTCCAGGCTGCCCAAAGCCCTTTTCCTGGTCCTTGACCCTATTAATTCCAATCTGTTCCTGGCTGCTATTTAGCAAAATAGATTTGGTTATCTCTGTAAACACACTGTATTGTGAGCACTCACTGATCTTACCTGCTCTCTACCGAGGTAGTCATTGGCTTACAATCCAGAGCTCTAAGTTCTCTCCTAGGACTTTTATGATGAAAAAAGGAAATAGTTGTGTATAGTGTTTTGGTAAATGAAAATCACTGTAAATATGTGATTAGTCTTGAGGATAGGGGCTAAACCTGTGAAATTATTGGTATAAAGAACTCCTTAGATAAGAAAACCCTTCTACTAATGCAAGTAGGGCATCTTTTCTGCAATTTATGGCCTTAAAGAGTTGCTAAGAGTACTGAAAAGGCAAGTGATTTGCCCAGATTCATACAACCTATGTGAGTTAGAAGGAGTATTTGAACCTAGACCACTCCGGAGCTAAGGCTAGTTCTCTTCTCTATCCACTCACCATGTTGCCTCTTGGTGGCTACTGTTACGTGCTTAAAATGAACAAGTTTTTTCAGAAACTATATTTCGAAGTCCTCAGGAGATTGTCTTCCTTTGTTGCCTTCTCACTAAAGTAACGGTAATGGCCACAAAACGTTTCAGAGACCTCCCTCCCATCTGAAAGTCTGTTCAGTCATTGTCTTCATTTGGAAGTTTTAACAGATGGGATTCGAGCCCTGCAGCCTATGTAGCCCCTCCCAGTATGATTATGTTGTTTGTTATTAAGCACAAAGAATTTGAAAGCCTTTCACCTTGGTGAAGAGAAGCTGAGCTCTTGAGACCAAGAAGTTAGGAGACTCCAGATGTTATTATGAAAAGTTCATCCCCAGTTGCCTGTTTTTATGGGTTTCATTTTGTATTTTCCCCTTATTAGTCATGCTTGGCTAGAGCTTATCAGAGTTAGAGCTAAAATCAAATTATTTTGCAGGAACTTTTTTTTAAATAGCCCAGTTAGTTCTTTTGTCCTGATAATGGTTGAGTTTGCCACTTAATCTAAAAGGTAAAGACCAGCTCATGCTCTCCCTGGGTACAAAGAATTCAACACTAATTGCATTTTTCATTTAGGGCACTTTAGCCAAATTCATGCCTGCCTTGATTTGGTATTCATCAAAGAAAACATTGTTACCTAGGAATTTGCTTAAAATCTTGATGTGGGCAGAATTCAATGCAACAGACATTTATTAAAATACCTACTCTTGTGCTAGGCACTGGGGATGCAAGATAAGACAGATTCTGCTTCTCAAGGAACTGACAGTCTTCTACACAAATATGACAAAGGAAAGAGCCAGAAGGTCAGAGGAGGCAAAATGCTAAGAAAAATTTGAGGAAAGATTTCACTTTCCTGGGAGGAGAGGGGTTGTAGAGAGAGGGAAGGAGAGATAAATGGAATTAAGGAAGACTTTGTGGAGAGGCTGGTATTTTAGCTGGATCTTGAAGGAAAGAAAGGGACTTTAGTAGATAGAAATGGTATGGTAGAAAGAAAGTTGGGCTTGGCATCAGGAGAAGCCTGGATTCAGAGCCTAGCTCCATTCTTCACTAGTTGTAAAAACTAGGATGTCACCTAACCTTTTTGGGCATAGTGCTTTTTCTTATTTTTTATAAAAATAGATTTTATGGATATATTTTGCTTTTGTTCTACCTGGATTTCTTCCCATATCACTCTTCTCCCACTGCCAAACAGCCATCTCTTATGACAAAAACAAAATTGTTTTGAAAGCTATAAGCAAAAAAAAAAAAGGAAGAGGAAAAAGTACTAGCATCAATATGTAGGAAGAAATTGACATTTTATCCAATGATTCACATTCACACCCTTTCGCCCCCACCCAGAGATCACACAAAGGTGATCTTCTCATATCTCTTCTTCGGGGCCAAGCTTCTTCCTTGTGATTTCACAATGCTCGTCTTTGATTATTTTGTAGTTGTTTTTTTCCATTTACATTGTTGTAGTCATTCTGTGTTGTTTTCCTGGCTTTTTAACTTCACTTTGCAACAATTTATGGAAGTTTTCTATGCTTCCCCCTATTCATCAACTCTTACCAAATACATTCATCCACCATAATTTACGTAGTCGTTCCCCTCATTGATGGCCATCTGTTTTGCTTTCCATTCTTTGATACCACCAAAAGTGTTGTTCTCAATATATTGGAATAAATGGAGCCTTTCTTTTTTTTTTCCAACAACCTTCTTGGGATATATACCTAGCATGTTTTTGAATACTGAAAGGTGGTAATATTGGAATAGAGTAGACAAGAATAACTGGATTTTAGCTCTTAATTTCATTGGTGGACCACTTCCAAGGACATCTGAGTCTGTCCAATACTTTGCTCGTTATCACAATATCCCTGATTTTCTGGTGCATTGCTTCGTAAAGGGCAGGAACATAAACACACAACTTGGGCAGCCATGGTGAATTTGTTGGTGTTGTTTAGACATTTTTCAGTCATGTACAGCCTTCCAGGACCCCATTTGGGGTTTTCTTAGCAAAGATTATAGAGTGGTTTGCCATTTCCTTCTCCATTGTATCCAGTCAATCCATTTTGTTAGGCAATCAGAAGCTAAATGACTTGCCCAGGACCACAGAGCTAGGAAGTATCTGAGGCTGGATTTGAACTCAGATCTTCCTGTCTCCAGGCCCAGTTCTCCATCCAATGAACCACCAACTGCTTCATGGTGAATTTGTTTCTACTTGCACATTTGGGAGTGGAGATGGGTGGGTAAATTATGATGACAATTTTGAGTTTCTGGAGATAATGGCATCTTTTGTTTTAAACCTTCATAAAACAAAATTCTGCCCATGTAGCATTACTGAATTATTTTAAATAGTTTCTATTCATGATGTAATTGTTGGGTATTATAGCTATGTGTGGGCAACTAGGTGGCATAGTAGATAAAGCATGGACCTGGAGTCAAGAAGACTCATCTTCCTGGGTTCAAATTTGGCCTCAGACACTCACTAGCTGTGCGACCTGAGGCAACTCTGCCTCAGTTTCTCATCTGTAAAAATGATCTGGAGAAGGAAATGGCAACCACTCATATTTTGCCAAGAAAACCCCAAATAGGGTCACAAAGAGTCAGACAAGACTGAAAAAACTGGAAAAAAAGACTGAACAATAGCTATGTGCAAAATTTATCTTTTTTTTTTTAGTTCATTTTGTTTTTCTGGCTTGTTTGTAACATCACATAAGAAAATCCCCTAGCTTGTACAAAAGCAGCCTAGGGAAAGTGCTCCTCTACGTGGTGTACACAAAGATAACTTCCTGGCAGAATACATACAAATCTAGTCCATCACTATCCAGGTAACAGTGCCATAAAAGAGACTTACCAGAAATCCTCTGAGAGATGATTTGGTATTTTCTTTTTTTGTAGCAATAGCCTATTCTCTTAGATCTGTGCTATAAAACACCCGTCTGTTGACAAAAGAGAATATTCATTAAGAAATATGTTCTCATGGCTGGAGAGTCAGCCCTTTGACCAGGAAGATGTAGATTCAAGTCTTGTCTCTGAGACAAGGCTGTGGGACCCTGGGCAAGTCATTTAACCCCTTAGTGCTCTGGGCAGTGCTCTAGGCTCTAAGTTGCAGAGAATCTAAGCTATCTGCATTGGCAAAGAATTTCCTTACTTGGTACTGGTTAACCTACGTAATCACAGGTCCAGTGCCTATCCCTATCCCTATAGAATTAACAAAGTATAGATTGTTTGCATGGAGTTCCAATCCTATAAACCTTTGGTCTTACACATCTTAGAGATGCTATTAATGCTTTCTGTTTCTCAGCTTCCATATTTGTAAAATCAGAAAAATGGTACTACCAAGACACAGCATGCTGGGAATAATTCACTGATAGTATATTCTCAATAACACCAAGGACTCATTCTCAGAAACTTAAATCATGTGGGCTTTTTTTCTATTGTTTTTCCCTCCCTACGGCAGGCAATTGGAATCCGACTGAATGAACTGTGCCATGGAGAAAGCGAGAGCCCAGCTAATCTGTTGGGTCTCATTTATGACGAGGAGACCAAGAGGAAGCTGAGGAAAGAGGATGAGGAGGAAGACTTTTTAGATGACAGTAAGGAGACTCCCTTTACTACAAGAACCCCTGCTTGTAAGAACCTCTGCTTTAGAAAGAGCACTTAATTCACTTTTCTCTTTCATATTCTTGCCACTTCTCTGTGTTCCCCACACGCCTCACCCTTTCTTGCTGTGCATGTTTGTTAAGCATGTGGACAGGGGCGCTGAAAAGATTATGAGGGGCTATAGACAGGAAGTAATAAGTCCTACTCAAGATGTGTCCCTCATTCGCCTTTTTGCCCTTTTGCATTTTGCTATTGCATGAATATTAAAATTGTTTCTTTCATCTTCAGAGGGAATATCACTGCTTAAAGTTATGGAAAATTACTGGTACTTCAGAAATCTCCCCCCTTTTAACTCCCTTGTGATTTTGAGACTGACATGCAGTCAGACAGTGTAGAGAGAGATGAAAAAATGAAATACCTTCCAAATCACCAAGGCCACTGAAGTATTGAAATATTTAATTGAATTATGTCGCAGTGTTCAATATCCAATTCAAACTTAAAAGAAAGAAAGAAAGAAAGAAAGAAAGAAAGAAAGAAAAGAAAAAGAAACTCACAGTTAAAATGTGAATGCCTGTCATTCTGTACTTAAAACTGGAAATCAAATTCAGTTCTCTTCTCATAGAACTTCAAAGAGATTCATGCATGTACCTTTCCAAGACCATTTGTGTATGTATATGTGTATGCTCTATCACACTAGCATGTGTGTGTGAATGTACCACTGCCTTATCTGGAGTGTAAGATGATAATATTAGCTTCATATATTTCATTTCTTCCCTTGATGAGAGGCAGTGTGACTTAGATGGGAGAGAGCTGGCCTTGGATCCAGGAAGACATTCGGGTTCATTTTTGGGCTCTGGCCCATCTTGGCTCTGTGAACCCAGGCAAATCACTTATCCTCTCATTGCTATAGGCAACCTTCTAAGATTCTAAGCTGGGGAGTAGTTCTCCCCATTTTTTGCTTATGTAGGTGGAGTTTTCACCCTAGGAGTTTGCTCTGCCAATGAAATCACAAGTCTGGACCAAAAAGAAAACAAAACCAAACACAGATGATCTAGAATGTCTTTGTATGTGTTGATAGAGTCATGAATTGTAAGAATGTAATTATAGTTTAGCTCAATGCACATCTGTTAATAGCTACTACTTATATAGTACTTAAGCACTTTATTTATATAGCACTTACAAAGTACTTTGTAAATGTTAACTCTTTTAATCCTCACAACAACACTGGGAGATAGATGCTATTATTATCCCCATTTTACAGATGAGGAAACTGAGTCATGGAAAAATGAAGTTACTTGCCCAAGTCTAGTGAAGGGTATGAGAGAGAATTCAAACTCACATCATTCACACTCCCAACCATCTGCTGTGCCACCTAATTGCCATCTCTGCCAGTAATGGAAGAAGACTGTGTAGTATTAGTTCACATATCAACTGAGGTTCCTATCTCCACCTTCATATTAGGGTGCTATATAGGACACCAGGCCATGTAGACTCCTCCTGGTACAGACCTAGATCTCCAATCATTTAATAGAAGCATTATAATGTAATAGAGGGAGTCCTGGACCTGAAATGAGGTAGACCCAGGTTCAAAGCTTTCATCTGCCACTTATTAACTAAGTCAACAAGAATTTATTTAATATCTGCTAGGTGCCAGGCACCGCTCAACACTGAGAATACAAAGAAGTGCAAAGGTGGTAGGTAGTATCTGCTCTCAAGGAGTTCACATTCTAATGGAGAAGGAAACATGCAAACTAATGCACACACACAAACACACATCCTGCACACACAGGATAACTTGGAGATAATCTCAGGAAAGAATTAACATTTAAGGAAGACAAGGAAAGGCTTCTTGCAGAAGGGAGTAGAAGTCTTTGTGACAGGAGGTCTCTGAAGCTCTCTGAGCTTCAGTTTCCTCATCTATAATGTGGGGATAATAATAGTTGCTCAGAGTCAAGGCATCATAGTGGATAGGGCATTGTACTTCGGTGCAACTCCTGCTTCAGACACTAGCTGTTCAACCTTCTCTGTGCCTCAGTTTCCTCCTCATCTGCAGGATTAGGGGGTTGGTTTCAATGGCCTCTGAGATCCCTTCAAGATCCAAAGCTATGATTCTGTGATTCCTAGAACGGCCCTTGATTTCCAGTGATCGATCTTTTTTTTTTTTTTTTTGGCTAGGCAATTGTGGTTAAGTGACTTGCCCAAAGTCATACAGCTAGTAAGTGTTATGTCTGAGGCTGGATTTGAACTCAGGTCCTCCTGAATCCAGGGCCAGGGCTCTACCCGCTGCTCCACCTAGCTGCACCAAGAGGTCATTCTTCCAGGGGTGATTTCTAAAGACCTTTCCATATGGGAGTACACTAAGGCAGATATCAAGACAGAAGCTTCTGTGTCATTCCCTTTATTCCAGGCAGAGCTCTGGTGGGTTAATCCCTGATGTAAGTACCTTTGTATTCATTAGTGTTGGCTCTGAGAACTCTCAATGGTATGACTCCCAGAAACAGTACCAGGAAATTCAAAGGAGGCCTTGACCTAAAATAAGTCTTTAATGCACCTCAACTGGATGCCCTTTGTTCTGAAACATTTTCGTGTTTGTAGTGCTGACAGGATGAATCAGGATGGCAGCCTCCAGAACCAGAAGCAGAGAGAGAAAATAATGCAAACAGCCTAGTAAATGTCACTTAGCAACATCTGAAAAGCCTAGCATCTGAAATAATTGCTAGTGTGACTCAACCATAGGACATGAAAAGCATTTTCTAAAATGGTAGATTTGTATTCTTTGCCATCATCATGTTGCTAGGGAGCTTTTACATGCTGTCTCCATGATTCTTGATGGAAAGAAAAGAGCTGCTGACCACATGACATCACCATTGGTCAATCTAAAGTAACAATAAAGAAGTGTCTTAAAGAAGCAATTGCTCAGGTAAGATAGGGCATTCTCTAAATGCCCACAGCCAACCACCACTCGCTATATAAACTAAAGGAATTATGTTCCCTTTCTATAAAAGAGATTAGCACTCAGGGAAATTTTCCTCATATTTTTAGGAAAGGGACTGAACCAGTCCCTTTCACTGGTATTGGAAACTGCCAGGTAAGAAAGCTCTCTCTGCCAGTACAGGTTGGCATGGGCTTCACAAATTATGGTCTTAGAGAGTTCTACTGCACCAAGAGGTTGACCAACTTTTGCAGGGTCAGTCCATTTGTGTCAGAGGTGAGACTTCTGCCTAGGTCTTTCTGACTCTTAGGAGAGCTATATATCTACTTTGCCATTCAATCTTTTTTAAGAAAGCCCTGTTTAATTTAATCCAGTTAATGTTAATAAACATTGTGTCTACCATGTCCAGAGGAAGAAGTAACATGACATGGTGGATACAGAGCTATCCGTGAAGTTAGGTAGGCCTTGCATTCAAGGCCCACAATTAACACATACTAGCTTCATGACTAGGCAAATCATTTAACCTCTCAGCGTGATCAGGCAACTTTTTAGGACTGTGAGTGACAAAATAGATTTTTATCTGTATTGGTAGACAGAGTTTCCTCACTGGGTTCTCCCTATAAAAATGAAATTGGAGGTCTGGTCCAAAAATAAACTGCGAGTTTGGGTATGTACTTAATGTATAGTAATAGATATGCTTAATATATTATGGGGCAGCTAGGTGGCACAGTGAATAGAGTTCCAGGCCTGGAGTCAGGAAGACTCATCTGCCTGAGTTCAAATCTGGCCTCAGACACTTAACTAGCTTTGTGACCTTGGGTAAGTCACTTAACCTGTTTGACTCAGTTTCCTCATCTGTAAAATGAGCTGGAGAAGGAAAAGGCAAACCACTCCAGTATCTTTACCAAGAAAGCCCCAAATGGGACACAAAGAATTGGACATGACTAAAACAATTGAACAACAAGATTAGATAAAACCCAGTCCATCTTCCCCCTCATAGAGCTCACACAGTCTATAGCCCAGACCAAATAACTATATTACATAATATATATAATAAGGAGCACATAGGTTTTAGGAAAGGTTTGAAAAGGGAAGGGTCATTCCCAGTTGGAAAACCAAGAGAAATTGACCTTTAGTAATTTTTCCAACAATGCCTTGATTCATAAAAAACATTGCTCCAATACGGGTTTTTATTTGCAAAATTAAAGTCTTAAAAACAATTTTTAAACTTTTCTGCAAAGGGCATGACTTTTTTCTTCTTTTCTACAGAATGACTAGTAATCACTATATTGCCAAATGTGTTGTAACTGCCTATAACCAATCCTTTCCAATATTCTAATGCCACTGGGGCAGTTACCTGCCTATGAATTTAAATTCCATTATATAATAATAATAATAATAATAATAATAATAATAACTGACATTTATAGAGTGCTTAACGCTAATTATCTCATTTGAGCTTCACAAAAGCCATGTGAATATAAAAAAAAAATCAGATAATATTATCTTCATGGTATAGAAGACAAAACTGAGCCTGGACTCAGGAAGAATTGAATTCAAATCTGTCCTTAGATACTTACCAGCTAAATGACTATAGGCAAGTCACTTAATCTCTGCCTCAGTTTCCTCATCTCTAAAGTGGAGATAATGATAGTACCTGCCTTCTAGAGTCGTGAAGATCAAATGAGATATTTGTAATGCATTTAGCATCTAGCACATAGTAGACACTTAATAAATACTTGTTTCATTTTTTGTTTAGAGAGGTTAATTGACTCATCTGTGGCAAACAGCTAGTAAATCTCAGAGATGTGATTTGCATTTGGAGCTTCCTGACACCCTGAACATCATTCTGTCCCCTATACCTAGCCCTTTAGAGCTGCTGAACCAATTTATGTTGAGCACCCTCAAGCATAAAAGTAAAGAGCATTTAGTTATACTGTTGCCATGGCAACCCATCAAGCAAATGGGATAAAACCTGGGATAACACAGAATAGGTTCAGGTCAGCAGAGCTTCTCTTTATGGCAGGCCTACACTATTAGAGGCCATTGGAATATCCATTGCCTGATAGCAGATTTCATTTTCTAGATAAACCTGAAGTTTTCTTGCTTTATGTTACACAAATATGCAAAGGGTCTGTTACTTCTTTAGCACAGGAACTCCTAGAATGAGAATCCTTCTACTGCCAAGGACCATGACTTTCTATGGATGGAAGCTAAATTTAGGAGCTGGATTCTAGAGAGTTGGCTGAGGCAGGAAGGGAACAAGCATTTATTAAGCACCTACTGTGTGTCAGGTATTAATATTATCTCATTTGGTCCTCACAACTCTGTAAGGTAGATGCTATCACGATCCCTATTTTACAGTTGAGGGAACTGAGGCAGACAGGGTAAGTGACTTGCCCATCACAAAGCCCATCACAAAATCTGAGGGGGAATTTGAACTTGGATCTTCCAGACTCCGGGCCTGGTGTTCTCTCCACTGCACCACCTAGTGGCTTTTCTGTGGTAATACAGTTAGTAAGTATAAAAAGTGGGATTTAAACCCTTGCACTTCCTTTCTGACAAGACCAGCATTGCTATTTACTCTGCCAGCTATCATATGTAATTAGGATAACCTGAATCTGATTAAATTTTAAAGTAAAGAATTATCGGGGCAGCTAGGTGGTGTAGTGGATAGACCACTGGCCCTGAAGTCAGGAGGACCTGAGTTCAAATCTGCCCTCAGACCAAACACTTAACACTTACTAGCTGTGTGAGCCTGGGCAAATCACTTAACCCCAATTGCCTAAAAAAAAGAAAAAAAAAGAATTATCAGCATTCAATTTTTATTTTCTTTAACTCAATCACTTGGTTCCTGAACCTGGGATCTTTAACTCTCTGATATGGTAGGTAAAATACTCAAATAATTATCTTAATTTAGCTGATGCCATGGGACTGTTTTTTAGAAAGTTGCAGAATAGAATATCAGTTCATATAGGTGTGAATAGACAACCTTCCAAGGAATTAAAGTCTTCAACTTGACATCGATTGATAATGTTTCCATGTATATATATGATTTTATTTTACACATGTGTAACGGTGCCCATTAAACTGTACCTCTGCATTGTCTACTGGGCTGTCCTCTTAGCAAAAAAAAAATGTCTTACTTCACAGGCACTGTGAACCCCACCAAATGTGGCTGCCCCTTTGCCCTCAAGATGGCAGCCTGCCAACTTCTACTAGAGATCACTACCTTCTTAAGGGAGACCTTTTCCTGCTTGCCTCGCCCACGTACTGAACCTCTGGTGGTAAGTAAAGAGCAGAAATTGAAAATAAGGAAATAGCTTAGAGAGGCTGACCCATAGGTTCATGTGGTTGTCTTCTACATTTCTCTATGGGCAAACATATGAATACAATTTTATAAGTTAATTCAACGCAATGATTCTCATTTGAAAAAAAAGAAACATTTTTTTCCCCAAAATCCTATCAAAAGTTAATTTTCTGCTGAGATATCACAGAAGGTAGCATTGCTGGAGAAAATAATTGACCCATTGCTATTGTTGCTACTCTGTGAAGATCCATGAACTAACTGGTCGCCTTTTTAATGAGGAAATGCTGTTGTTATTAATGTGCTCCCAATTTTTCCAAAATGGCAGATTGTGTGTCATAACTGAAACCCAGTTATGTTTTGTTTTGTTTTATAATAAAATCTGTGCTCATGCCTGTTTTTTTAAACTCTTTTGGGGGCATGTTTCTCCCAATATACTCATTATCATTTAAGTCATGAGTGATAAAGATAACAATAACAATGAGAATACAGTTTTTTACAATAAAAGCTGTACTTTTGCTTATGTTTTTAACCTCTTTTGGGAAATGTTTCTCCCAGTAAGCACATTATCATGAGGGGTAATGATAATGCTAACAATAACAACAACAATAGTATTTACATAGCACTTAAAAGTTTGCAAAGCTTTACAAATTCTTATCTCATTTCATCTTCACAACAACCTGAGAAGGTAGGTGCTATTATCTCATTTTACAGATTAGTAAACTGAGGCAAATTAAAGTTAAGTGACTTGTCCAAGTTACACAGCTGGTTAGTATCTCCAGCAGGATTTGAACTTATCTTCCTGACTCCAGGTCCAGTGCTCTAGTCCCCTGAGCCACCTACCTGCCTATAATTTCTCTTCTCCAGACTAAACATCTCCAAGTTCCTTCAATTGATCTTAACATGGCATGATCTCATTACCACTCTATTTGCCCTCAAGCTTATTCATGTCCTTCCTCAAATGTGGCATCTCAAACTGAACTCTGCTCAGATGTCATCTGACCAGGGCAGAGGAAAGTGGTAATATTACATCCCCAGTCTTGGTCACTATGCTTCTATAGTCCCTGAGATCTTATGCAGATAAATGGCAGGCTAACCACAATTCCCCCATCTTGTGAAACTGGTTTATTTAGCCCAATTGTGAGACTTTGCATTTATCACTACTACATTTCATAATGTCCTTTTAGAGAAAGAAATAATTCTGGAGTCAGGAAGAACTGAGTTTTAAGACCCACCTGCTTGAGCATTTATTGTTGTCCATATAGTACTCTTCTGGACAGAGAAAACAGGTACCAAATAGGACAGCAGTAATTACTCTATCATGGTCTACTCATCTATCTCAAGTAGAGATCTTATCTCTTTCTCCTCCTTCCCAAAGCTTTTTTTTTTTACTTACATTCCTCATCAGTCTCATTCTGAGCTTTCATACCCCAACAGCCTTCTTGAAGGACTGTTGCACATTTTTAACTCATTTTTTTCTTATCTCCATCTCCTTGCTTTGGGTCTGCACAAGTGATGAAAATACCAACTATACTTATCAGTTCTTCAGTTTCTTGCCCCAAACTTTAGAATATATAGCAATGTTTTATAGATTCCTGTTGACAGTATAATTTATCTTCATATTAATCAACATCTGTGAGTTGTAGGACATAGGACCTTCAAGGTGAGCTACTATAGTTAGGTTGGATGGAGTTTGGATGCAGTCCAGAGACAATAAAACCAAAAGGAGTCAAAGAAGTCAGGGTGGAGTTGCCAGGCTGGAATCAAAAACATGGGACCATGAGAGAAGCAAACAGAATAAACAAGAAATGAAGTCAGTCACATAGGAAATTGAATCAGGTAGATTTTGTGAGATAAATCAAGAGACAGACAGATTAAGAGGGTATTTATTAATGGTTATTATGTGCCAGGCACTATGCTAAGTGCCAGAGTTACAAATACAACTTATTCACATAGTGGAAGAACAAACATAAAATGGTGCTGGAAGTGGCTAAGTGGGGGTGGGGGTAGTAAAGAGACATCAGGGTATCTTACATGAGAGCAAGGCAGCTAGTGGGGAAGTGGGGCAGTCCAGAGAGTGAATTGAACTGGGAGTGAAATGAGCAGCATCGCTGGGGGTCCTCAAGAAACAGTGATCCAGTATTCACCAATTAAGAGAGCAGGTCTTAAGAAAGAGTCATCCCACAGGGCCAAGGCAGGTGGTAGCAGGGTGGAGCAGTCAGGAGAGTGAGTTGAGCTGGGAATGAAATGAGCATCACTTCATTTTACAACAGAGTCACATTGGGAAGCCATGGCCAGAAATCAACGAAATTCTACAAAGATTTATTAAACTTCTTCTATATGAAAGCTAATTTGAGGCTCTGTGTATGCAAAGACAAAACAACACCTTTCCTCAAGGAGCTTATATTCTATTGGTAAAAAAGACATGTGTATAAAAATTCATAAAAAATAAATACAAGTTAATTTGGTAGGGAGGAAAGAGAAGGTGCTAATGGTTGGGGGAGAGATCAGGAAAGTTTCATATAGATGATGGTACTTGACCTGAGCTTTAAAGGAAAATAGGGATTCCAAGAGGCAGCGATGAGGAGAGTACATTCTATGCAGAAGTTGGAGGAAGGCAAAAGCACATAGATTTATATGTGAAAAATAGCATAAAAGCCATATTGACTCAACTATGGAATGCATGAAGAAGACAAATGTATGAGACTGGAAATGGAGTTTGAAACCAGATTATAAAGGGTTTTTAGAAGCCAAACCAAGGAGTTTGTTTGATCCTTGGGATAACAGGGATCCACTAGAGTCTATTGAGCAGAGGAGTGACTAAGTCAGACCCAGGCTATCGGGGCAATCAGTCTGTAAGCATTTAAATCTTTACTATATGCCAGGCACTGGTAATCACTTTGACAGCTTTGTGGAGGATGGATTGGAGAGGGAAGAAACCTGAGACAGGGAGACCAATTGGGAGTCTCTTGGAATAGTTGGATAGGTGAGAGCTGACAATAGCTTGAACAAAGATGGTGGCTGTGTGAGTCAAGGAAAAGGGACAAATGGGAGAAATGTCATTTAGGTAGAAATTGACAAGACTTGGCAACTCTTTGTACATGGGATGGAGATGGAGGCAACAAGAAGAATGGCAAGATTCTAAACCTTGGTGACTTGGTGGTACCCTGAGCAGAAACAGGGAAGTTTGGAAGAGGGGTGGGTTTAGAGTAAAAGTTAATGAGTTCTGTTTTGAACATGGATTTGATAATTTTTTAAAATGTAAGTCTTTCAACAAATGTGCATGAGTTTAAACTGCATGACTCCATTAATTAAGAGCATTAATGAATGCTCCAAAGCAAAATCCTAAATTTGTCATGAAGAGAAAATTAGCATTCTAAACCTGATTAAGCCAACATGAAGGGTTGTAAATGCTTGAAATTGCTTCCTAGGAGATGGTACTGAACTCAGAATGAACAATTGAGAGCTAAGCATAAATATTGCCAAAATGAAAATGTTCTAAAGATTTAATAAAAACACTTGCAGCAGGAGTGTTTGCAAACCTCTAGTGTATTTTATTAATGTAATAAAATTTTCACAGCACAGGACACCTGCAGTTGACTTAGTATGGGGAATAACACCAATGTCTCTAGAAGCATGAGAGTGAATCAGTAAGGAAATTCAACAAGAAGCAGTGAAGATGATGGGCTCCAGAGGCTGGCAGGGATCTGAGCCTGCCAAGAAAGAGGCATATCTGATTAAAAAATGAAAAAACTTGGCAAGGTCAGTTACACAATAGGAGGCTGGTGTTTAGTTAAAACATTCAAGGTTTGCTAAACCTTTACATTGACTAAAAAGTAAAAGAACAAGCAGTCCTACCTTTAAGGTGCAAATTACCACAAGGAGAAATATTATATATATAATATTATATAAGAAAAGGATATGAGCATGTATAATATATGTGTGTGTGATATTTATGTATATGTAAGGTAGCACAGAGGTAACATGAGATCACTAAATACCTTGGGCATGGTGGAAGTGCGCAGGAAAGGGCAGCAGATATCGAGTGCCAGGAACATTTTTCCTGTTTCACAATTTTGCTCAGGCTAATGCTCTGTATAGCCTAATTAGAAGCTAGTTTGGAAAAGAGACTTTGGGATGGGTTTTTTTCATTGGCATTTTAAATAAACCGTGAAAATGGATTCTTATAGTTCTATCCTATCCAATACTCCACTTCTATACATAGATGATACACACACACACACACACACACACACACACACACACACAATCTCACCCACCACTCTCCCAAAACCCAAAAAAGCCAAGTTTTTTATAAGATTGTTCATCTGAATAGGGGAGGATAATTGATATTTAAATTTATATTCTAAGCCATTTAATTTCCAAATAAGACCGTCAAAGAAATTCTTTAGAATAATGAGCTCAGTCCTAATTATAGTTCTTATAGTCTATTAAAAATGTTCCCAATAAAATTAATTGAATGCATATAAAAAACCAGCAATGATAAAAGGAAGCATAGTCTAATGTGAAAGGCACGAAAGCTAAGAGCCAAAAGATTTGAGTTCATCCTTGGATTGGCCATATAATGGACTTGCACTTAATTTCTGTGAGTCTCGGTTTGCTTACCTGTAAAATTGGGATAATATTTAAACTACACCACACATTGAAGACGATCCAATGAAATCTTGTGTGTGAAAGTGCTTTGCAACTATAAAGAGCTACATAAAATATAAGCTATATTATTAAAATGCATTGATGCTTAACAAGCAAACAAATACCACTCAAATAACAAAGAAAGAAAACACATGTTCATTCAGCATATTTATTCAGCCCCTCTTTTTGGTGATTCACTGTGCTAGGCACATATGTGTACAAGCTAACCTATGCTATAGGTAAATCACTTTGGTAGTTAAGTGGAGGCTACCTTGGAGTGGGGCAAGATGAGGCAGGGAGATCAGTTAGAGGACTACTTCAGGAGTCCAGAAGGAAAGTGATAAAAGCCTAAAGTGGTAGCTGTGTGCAACATGGTGAAGAAAGAAATTTCAAGAGCTGGCATTGCCTTGGCTATGTGGAATTGAGGATGATACAAAAATTGAGAGGATGGTGATCACCTCAACAGTAATAGAGAAGTTCAGAAGGGCATTTGAAGGGAAAGATAATGAGTTCTGTTTTGGATATGTTAAGTTCGAAGTACTTATGAGATATCCAGCTAGAGATGTCAAAAAAAGTTAGCTAGTGATGCAATATGGTAGTTCAGAAGAGACACTAGGGCTGGATATGTGATCTGAGGACCATCTATATAGAAGTAATAATTGAACCCATAGGAGTTGATAAGATCACCAAATGAGGTAGTATAGAGGGAAAAGAGAAGAAGACCCAAGACAGAAGCTTGGGGGACCTCCACTGTTAGTGGGTGTGACATGATTAAAGATCCACCAAAAGGGTCAGGGAAGTAAGAGAATGAGAAAAGACCAATGTTGCTAGAAAAGAGGGTATCTAGAAGAAGGTAATCCACATGGTAAAATGGGACAGAGGTCAAGAAGGAGCAGGAATGAGATGAGGTCGCTGGATTTGGCAAGCAAAAGATTATTTGGTAATGTCAGCAAGAGAACAATATCGGTTAAGTGATGAGATCAGAAGCCAGATTGCAGACGTTTTAGAAGAGAATAAGAGGAGAAGAAGTAGTGAAGAGCTAGTGTAGAAGACTTCCTGAAGGAGTTTAGCTGAGAAGGAGAGAACAGCCATAAGATGATGGCAGAGAAAGTAGGATCTTTCTACTAGTTGTTTGTTAGGTAGTATTAGATAGTATTTCTATTAATTTGCCATCAGCAAATAGCCATTTTTAGTGCTTCACAATACTCAGGGTGGTAGCAACCATTCTGACACTCTTAAGCTAAATCACCTTAAAAATGAAAGTGTCAAGTAGAAGTGTCTTCCTATAGGACCATTTAACCCACAGAATATAATAGATACATGTCTTCACTGGCCTTCTTTAGTAGTCCATGCTGTATATTTTACTGATTGTTGTTGTTCAGTCATTTTTCAGTCATCTAACTCTTTGCGACCCCATTTGGGTTTTCTTGGCAAGGACACTGAAGTGGTTTGCTATTTCCTTCTCTAGCTTCTTTTGCAGATGAGGAAACTGAGGCAAACAGGGTTAAGTGACTTACCCAGGGTCACACAGCTAGTAAGTGTCTGAGGCAAGATTTGAATTCATGAAGCAGAGTCTTCCTGACTCCATGTCTGGTGCTCTGTCCACTGCACCACCTAGCTTCATTTTACTTGGGGTTTCCATATATGTTTTACTTTCTCAATTCTGAAGTAGCATTGCCTAATGAGTGAAAAATGGTTCTCCTAGGCAGTATGTCACAATGGAAGGAACTTTGCATTTGGAGTAAGAGTACCTGTGTTCAAGTTCCAGCTCTACCATTTACTACAGTATGTGACCTTGAACAAGTTACTTTCAGTATCTGAGCCTGTTTCATCACCTTTAAAATGAGGAGATATTACAGTCTCTATGGTCTCACCAATACTAAAATCAAATTCAAAACAAGTCTATGCTAAGTGTGCAGCCAATATTAGTGACCCAGTGCTGGGAAATGAGTTTGGCAGCTAGAACTGTGATGGAGAGCTTTTGGACTATTGTAAGATTATTGGGGGGATCGCAGGGAGGAGAGCATTATGCTACAGATTCAAGAATAGGTATTTCCATCTCTGATCTGTAAAGAAATTCATTACTAAGTAATGGAATTCTGAATGGAGGTCAGTCAGATCCTTCCAATCCAGTTCTCTTGGAATAGACCTGTAGATGTTGCACGTTGGTGTTTCAGGACCTTGAGAGCTGCCGACTTCGGCTAGATCCTGAGTTAGACCGGCACAGGTATGAGAGGAAGATCAGCTTTGCTGGAATCCTGGACGACAACGAAGACCTAAAAGACTCCCTCCACAGCAGCAGTCACACCCTCAAGTCTGACACAGGTGTTGAGGAGAAGAAAGGTAGGTAAAAACCAAGACACTTTCTTGCTTCAGTATTTCTTTTTGGGGGGGGAGGAGCTAGGCAATGGGGTTAAGTGACTTGCCCAGGGTCATGCAGTTGTTTCAGTAATTCTTGCAGAGGGCATGTAGCTTGCAAGAAATGTGTGCCAAAAGGAAGCCATGAATGTTCCAAGAAGCTATTGCTTGTCTTTTGGCCTCTAGGACAGAGACCAACACACCTTACTGAGTCATGGGTACACTGCGATCAGGACTTGTTTCCCAGTCATGGAAATAAAAACAAACAAAACCAATGTAAGGCTTTATTTATTCCTAATCTCAGCTGCCCTTTCAAGGTTTCCTCCATAAATTAAAACAAGAGAACATTGCATTATTTCAAAACAATATTCTCAGTGTCTGTTGTGAACAGTAGGGTCCTGGCCCATCTTTGCCATACTGTTATTTGGAAAAAAAGATGGAATTTTTGTATATATCACAAATAAATATGGTTAGAAGTTGGTGACATACAATAAGACCTACATGGTTGTTGTATGACATGTATGGATTTTACAGTTGTACCTAAAGGCTCATAAATCATTGAAAATGGAAAATTAAGGTGAGAGGGAAGGGGTGGGAAAGAGAAAATAAAGCTTGTTAATTTAGTAAAAAGAAAATTTAATTAAAAAATAAAGTTGAAGTTAGAGCCTCCACTATATTTGGTAAGGACAACAGAATGCATTCCATCTTTTTTTTAAGCACATCTCATGCTAATTTCTCCATATACTGTCACAATACAAGTGTTGCAATACAAAATGAAGTCAGAATTATTTGGTATATTCTCTTAAAGACTATATAGTGATTCAGTTAATTAAACTAGATAAAGTAGTGGGGAAGAAGGGGAGGGAAAGATATCCATAGATAGCACTAGCCTTAGATCCAGGAGTACCTGAGTTTGTATCTTGCCTCAGACGCTTCCTTAGTAGTGAGACAATTGGTCTCATTTAACTTTTTTGAACCTTAGCTTAGTCATTTATAAAACAAGAGAGGTGGATTTGGTGGCTTTTAAGGACCCTTTTCTCTCTAAATTGATCATTCTAATATCCTACAATGTGTTTGTGCAAATCTATGTAAAGGCTAGACCATTTTAAAATATTTTTATTATGGTGGTATTATCTTAGAGATTATTTTAATTTCATGATTTTCATCAAGGACACTAAAATATTATAGATTTTTGCCAGGGTGAATCTACATAATCTGTACCCAATAATGATTAATGCCTATTTCCTTTCTCCTGTAAATTTGGTAGGGAGGTTACTCGAGAAATGACTAGCATAAAAATGAAGTATGTGTGTGTGTGTGTGTGTGTGTGTGTGTGTGTGTGTGTGTGTATAAAAGGTAAAAGTGAAACTATACATACACATATAAATACGCACATAAATATGTATGTGTGTGCATGTAAATATATACACACAAATGCACACAGACATAAGGAAGGAGTAGTCCGTGAAGGTTCCCTTTATCAAGCAGACTAGCTGAAAAACGTAAACCTCCATTAGCTTATTTTGCAGGCTCTCATCAGCCCCTAAAACCAACTTGAAGGTTAAGACCAGAACTCCCTGATGATTTAAATTATTCCATACCATCTGTTTTTTTGAAAGCTAAGCACTGGATAGTATTAATGGCTGAATAAACTGCTTCTGATCACCATTTTGATCCTACCAAAGATAGCTGTAATAGGAGATCCTCTTCAGGGATAAGAATTGCCTAAGACTTGTGACTGCCAAACCAGGCCACAGCCTGGAGCTCATCAGGTCATTTCATGTGGTTTGCAATACTAGCCTTTATGGCAATGATTATGATTAATTAGTAGAATGATCAATCATAGTAGGGTAGTCAATCATAATAAAATTTTGGCCATAGCAAGCAAGTCTGTGTCAATTCTGTTGGTGGTCCCAAATTAGGTTTGCTTTTGGCAAACTTGGTTTTGTCAAATTTCGGCAAATAAAACCGAATTTTGGTTATATGTTTAAAAAGAAAATAACTCAGTGAGCTCATCAAATGGTCCCAGTGTAGGCAACCATAAGCCTGCCCAATCTACCTTGGTATTCTTAGAAAAGCAAATTATTTTAGAACTGCCCACCTTGATTTCTTCTTCTAAGAATATCACCAGTTATAGTTTCCTCTGAGAATAAATGACAGAAAGCTTGGGTGGCGATGATGATGTAATCATGTGGTCACTGTAGAACCTTTCTGGTGGGCAATAGTCTGGAAGCTCCCAGTCATTCCTGGGAACCTGTCAGTCAGCTCCAATATCAGTTTGTTAGGTAGCATGCCCAAGAACATAAACCAGAGGGAAAAGAATACTAAATTCAGATGATCTGACTACACGTAACTTAAATCAACTAAACCTAGTTAAGAATTCATGGTCAAAGTAGAAATTTAAGAATAAATTAATTCATTTGTGTTCATTAAGAAGACCCCTCTATTAACCAATTACACAAATTTTTCTTTTTCACATTCCTGCTGATTATTTGCTATCATGGAAACAAAAGTTAAATTTCATTGTTGGAAGATCATTATCTCTTTTTTATGTGCATTTCAGAGGGATAAAAGAGCATGCATACAAGCAATTCCCTGCTTTTCCAGTTATAAATTACCAATTCAATAGTTTGAAATACTTATTTTGGTATTCCTAAGAGTGTCCCTGTTTATCTCATAGGATATCACCCAATCCTCAAAACAGAGTGTATTTTAATTCCCTTTAAATTATCACAGTGCAGTTTTAGGTTGAGTGAGTCTATGAAATCAAACAAACAGTGGTGGGTTGTTGCCATTATTAGGAATTCCTACAAATCTGCTTGTTTCCTTTCAAATCCACTGTAGTGAAACTGCTTTGATAGACTGAGGCATGTATTAGCGATGATGCAAATTACAATTTTATTCTGTTTCTCCTTGCTGCAGGTAGGTAGAAACAAAGATGTAGTAATTATGCCTAAACAAAACTGTGGAAAACATACACTGGAGGGTTTTGTGCTATAATTAAAATGTAGCTTGATGTTATAAAGTCTTCATTGGATTTGTCCAACTGTGCTATGGGAATTATAATCTTCTCGCACTCTATCCAGATGTACTAAGGGAGTCCCCTAAGGAATTTGCCAGCTGTATAGAGATGATTTTAGTCATTTGCAAGAATGAATCAGAGAAGAAAGTACCCACATTGATCCAAAGTAATTTCTCTGGGAGGTCTATATGCCAATAAACATGTATATCTAACTGGCACTTTAGTATCAGTCCCATTACATTACCTCAATACAATTGCCTGTGGTAGATAGCTATGGAAAAAATGCCACTTTTCTGACAAGTTCTTTATTAGATTTGGGTTCAACAGAACAATGTGACTCCAAACTCAAATCAGTTAGTTTGTAGTTGTATATCCACCTCAGTAATTAGTTGAGTATCTGGTGCTTCTTGTTCCTTGAGAGAAATAACTCATGTCACATAAATATGAGCCCCTGGTTCAATTATGTACCATCATTCTAAAAACTCTCCCCTCTAATCCTTCTGAATAAGAATTAATGATAACGGGGATAAAGCTTTCAAAAGACATATATATATATATATATATATATATATATATATATATATATAATATATATATTGCATATGCATATGTGTGTGTGTTATACATAAACACATATACATATACACACACACATACACATATATATATATATACATATATATATATATAAAGAGAAGGCTTGAATGCACAGGTCAGGTTTTCACGTCTAAAATTGTTTTTTTTTCCCTCTACTGATCAATTTCTCTTACTCACAGAACACTAAAAGATGAATAATGCATGTTCTTCCAGTACATGTAGACTATAAGGGTGACTCAGGGTGTTGCAACATTTGGACTCACATGCCACCAAGCCTTTTGACTGAGAGGAGGATCATGGGAAATCACTAGGGGCATTGGAAATGGAACCATTTCATATTCATGCTCACCAAAAACACCAGAACGAAAACAGATCCTTTAGCGGCCTTGCTGAAGAGTCAAAGCTGAGACCTACTGCTGGCTTGGAGAGAGAGGAACCACTTGGGGTATTAATTACTTAAGGTATTCCAAAATGAATGGGTTTACATGGCAGCTCAAAGAACCGTGTAAGTCCCATTGCAAACATTTTATTTAAAGGTTGTCATTCATTCTCTTGGATAGAACAATAATGATATGTGAATTTACTAAATATCCTAGATAACTCTACTGGAAAAGCACACTCATGCTTGTGAACCTGGGGCAAGGAAGAGTGCAGGTTGGTCCTAGTATTGATAAGTACTGTTTCATAGGAAAACTTTTTTCCCAGATCATCACTGTAGACCCTGCCATAAGTCTGATTCACAAAACTCTTCAACAGCAATGACCTTGGAGGAAGCCCTTGGCCAGGAGAAAAAGTTCCTTCCATACAGGCCAATAAAAAGGGGGCAGGGCAGGGACTAAATGGGGAGGGCAGGGATTTCAACCTGGAATGGAGAGAACTAAGTGGGGGAAGTCCTATCTTATTCTTTTAATGCAGTTCCCAGCAGGAAGATAAGGATAGGAGGCTCCCGCCTGCTCCAGATTAAAGGAACCCGCAGTTTCCGGGTGAAGAAGGGGGGTTCCTTATCCAGTATTCGCCGGGCCGGCAGCTTAAAGAGTACCAAGCTATCACGGCAGGACTCAGAGTCTGAGAATGAGGAGCTGCAGCTGTCCCAGAGCAGGGACACTGTCACTGATATAGGTAACATAGAGGACATGGGTGGACAGGGAAATGGGAGGAGAAAAGACAGTGTCCTCTAATACCTTTTGGCTAAAGAGATTGCCAATACCTAAGTCAATAAATAGCAGTAATTTAATAATAATAAAGATTAGGCACTAGGCATCAGTCTCAGGCTTTGACTACATAGTTGATCTAGTGTAAGGAAAGTAGAACTACTGTTAACTCATTGGATTTCTTCACCAGTTGTTTGATGAAATTCATTAGATGATTGAGTCAAGAGTGGTCACTTTGTGCATTGTGTGGACATTAACAGAGATGCTTACTTGACAGAAGTTGAAAAACTAAAAGACATAAGGTTTTAGAGTAGTATATTTTTAGGAGAATTTTTCCCTTATGAGTTCCCATGGAGAAGACTGGCCTGGTGAGTTTAGGTGCAGGGTTCATTTTCCTACTTAGCTCTGTGTATCCAGGGATCTATGGCCATCTGGGGTGATAGCACTAATCATAGTAACAATAACAAAGAGGTAGTGACCAGAGCAGAAGCAGCAGCAGTTTATGAGGCCACTGTGTGAGGGTTGGTGTTCTTGTTCAACTTCAGCTTGCAAAGCCTGGCCAATGAATGACTAATTTGATCACAGTGAATTCTAATAGTTTGTGCATCTCAACAACACAAGGAATTGGATTTATTTTTATCTTTCTTCACCCTTTCTCCATACGTGAGCCATGGCCTACCCTTCTGGTAACCATGAACTTGAAATCTCCTTGTCATTGCCAGCATCATGTTGGTGGCCAAGAGGGGGAGATCCTCCTACAATCTCTAAAAACAGTGGATTCTCTCTTCTATTTGGTACCCACTGGGTAAAGGTGGTCTGACTGCAAGTGTTTTCCCGTGGATTCACAAGCATGGGCAGCTCTACTACACACATACACAAACATACACATTCAGCCCCACAGGAGATAAATAAAACATTTTCTGGTATTTTTCTTTTGAAGAAGGGAGCCCCTGGAGTGCAAGTGAGCCAAGCATTGAGCCTGAGGGTCTGAGCAACGCTGGCACTGAAGAAAACTACCATAGGAACATGTCATGGCTTCATGTAAGTAAAGTCAACAGGCATTTATTAGGCACCTGTAGTGTGCTTAGGCACTGTGTTGTAAGTAGAAGTTTATTTTTTTTTTATCAACTTTTTGGCCTTCTACTGAAGGGACAGAAATGTCAGTAAGATGTTCTGTCCAGCTTTATCACCATCATAGACCAGAGACTGGCAAAAATGTCTGTTGTATCTATTTTAGCTGAAGACCAGAGACTAAAGTTGATATTACATTGACATATTCAGCTCCAAGTCAGCTATGACTCTAAAATTAGCCACAGGCCAGGATTATAAACTATCTAGAACTAATGGGAGTACAGACTGGGCATCATGGTCAGTGCATATAAAAAGAAAATATTACTTTAACAGAAGCATAGTCAAAGACCAGGTTTTTCTAGTCTCTAGGGATCTGTCCTTTTTTATTTTTGCTTGATTATAGTCATTTTCATACATGGATTATTAAATGAATTAAGTTTAAGCTCTCTATCAATATTTAGAAACCAGCATATACATATATATATACACACACAATATAAATAATAGAAATAAAAATGATAAATCTATTTTAGATGGATTATTGAATGGATTAAAGTTTAAGATCTCTATCAATACTTGGAAACCAGTATATACATACATATATACATAGTAGAAGTAACATAATAAGAATAAAATAATAAATAATATAAATCTATTATAGATGGATGATTGAATGGATTAAGTTATTGAAGGTCATCTACAAGCCTTCATTTGCTTCTTCACCTGGTTTCTTGGATCAGGTGTTAATGCAGAGAGATAAAAGCAAACTAGTTGCACAATTATTGAAACTGTGATTCTATATCCAAAAAGGTAGCATACTCATTAACTCTCTTCCAACCAACCACCTGTAGTTTCCCTTTCCAAACATTCACTGGCTGTTGGGAAATATCTATTGGGCTTTTTGTGTTTCAGGTCATGATCTTATTGTGCAATCAGCAAAGTTTCATCTGCACACACATTGACTATTGCCACCCTCACTGCTACCTTCACCACAGTCGTTCCTGTGCTCGCCTGGTGCGGGCCATAAAATTGCTCTATGGGGACACTGTAGATTCCCTTCGGGAAGACAACGCGGTTCATAATGTGGCCTTTCGGGGCAAGAAGCAAAAAGAGGTGAGAGGCTTAAAACTCAATTAATATGGAATGTGTTATAATTTATGTTGTTTTGTATTTTGTGAAGTAGAACATTCTTCCAGATAAATATTAACATATTAAAACTTTGAGATACTATCTCAAAGATTGGCAAAAAATAAAAATAAAACCAACCAAATTCACTGCTGTTGGGACTGTGGAGAAGCAAGTACACTCATTCGTTGCCAGTGGAATTGTAAATTTATAGGACTCTTTTTGGAGAACAATCTCACAGTGCCTAGTAAAAGTTATTAAAATGATCATATTTTTTGACCCATTACCAATCTATTGCTGGGAATATACCCTGGAAAGAAAAACCAAAGATAAACAGCCAAAGAGGAGCTATCTGTTCAAAGATTTCTGTATCAGCATTATTTATAATTGCAAAAACTGGAAACAACCTGAATGTCCAATAACAGAAGAATGATTATATAGTGTGTGAAACATTAATGTAATGAGATAAATCTGGAAAGATCTTCATGAAATAATCCAGAGTGAAAAAAGAAGAATGAGAAGAATGCAACATTTGTATAGTGGTGACATATATAAATGACAGTTAAGAGAGAGAATGAATTCTGGCAGGATTTTAGAAGGAGTGACTATAAGACATATAGTACTTTATACACTGAAATTAATTTAAATGGTTACTAAGCCAGTTTAGTTATTTGTAATGAAGCTCAATGTTGGGTTTTTAATCCAACACTAAAAAAATTGGCACATAGCAATAATGGGGAAAATAAATCCTTTAAAATAGAGACTCTTAATCTGCAGTTTTTGGACCCTAAGAGAACATGGATAATTTTAGTGGGTTGTGAACTTGCTTTTTAAAAATATTTACTATTTTGGTATTATTAATGAATACTTAAAATTTTATATTTTAATATAATTGGTTTCCTTTGTAATCCTACATATTTCATTTTATCCATTTAAAAACATTATTCTGAAAAAGGATTCATTCATTTCACCAGATTGTCAAAGGGATTCATGTCATTAAAATGTTTACGTGTCCTCGTTTTAGAAGTTTCTTTAAAAATGAACTGGGATTTTTAGATCATAACAACAATTTAAATAAAGCTATAATATCTGCTTGATTCAGAACGAAGACAAGTAAACTGGAAAAAGAAGAACAAAATTTTTGTCCTCATTTCCACAAGCAAAAAGAAACCTCTCTCCCCATATCAGAGGAGTGTTTTTCCCCTTGTCAAACTCTAACTAATTGCTTGACTGTTGACTGACAAATGATAGAATATTTAATGTTGGTTGAGCTAAAAGAAATGCTTTAAAGAGAATGTAATATTCTCTTTAAATATAAATATAAAGAATATAAAGAGAATATTTTCTGAATATTAAGCTCATTTTAACACCAATTTGAGCAGCTGAACTTTTCAAAGTTAATGGAAACTCAAAAATGTTAAGCCTGCCTTTGAGAAGCAGGAGATCCTCAGCCTGCCAGCCTAGTGGTAAAGCAGCCAACACCTATTGCTTTTTGCCCCTAGCCATCACATCTGCTATTAATACATCTGCATTTGCCCAGTGGCTTCACCAAAGAAATTTCCTTCATTGATTATCCAATTCAATTAATATTTACTGTGCACCTGACAAGAGTTCAGCCCTATACCAGGAGCTGTGGGGAGTACAAAACAAAAGACAGCCCCTGCCTTGAAGGAGTTCATGATGCAGCTGAGAGTGAAAAACACACCCACATCAAGCTATTACAGAATAGGAGAAAATGAAGGATATCACAGGACAAAATGCACCTAAATTCAGAGGGAACAGAAAACAAGAAGGATAGCATCATGAGTCACAAATTAGTTTCAGGAGCTAAAGGGAAAAGAAGTGTTATTCATTCCAAAGGTTATAGAATATAGAGAGATGGAGAGGTTTGTTTGACATTAAACACATGCACAAACAAAAAACAAATGCTCTTCCTGGTTGTTGTTGTTATTTTTAACCAGTCAATGACTAGTGATAAAAATTATTTTCTTCTCTGTTTGTTCTTGGATGATCAGCCTTAGGGGTCATGAATTGCTGATTACCCATATGTGCCTCTCAATCAATGTTGACCTCAGGGTCATGCTCACAAAAAAAGAGTGGGGCTCCAGGAAACTTGGAAAGGGTTCTAGACCTTTGTTTATGTTCCTGAAAGGAAAACAAAACCAGTTCTATCTGATTCTTTTCAAAAGCTGTGGACAGCATTTATTAACCTGTTCCCAAATCAATCCCATATGGCAATCGTGATATTTTGTTTCTCACTTGAGCAATATGGTCTTCCCAAACCGTGATATCCTTCCTCACAATCTATCTTTTCTCTCATGATACTCTCACATTTACCCATTCTGCATCAGCCATAAAAATGCACCCTGGCCTGCATGACTGGAGTCTCAATGAAAACAGGACAGCAAAGTAATAAAGCAGTGGGCTAATAAAAATCAGACAAAGGTCTAATGAGCAATAGATAATTCAGCACTCTGTTTCTCATTCTTGTTCCTCTTCAGAGGTGTTTGTAGAGCAAACAGTATTTATGAGGAAAATGAGGGTATTTTCTAAGCCATCTGGTTCTGATCACTCCTCTAATTCATGTCTCTGCACTCAGAGCTTCCATTCCTCTGGCCATGTTGTTTTACTTCCGTCATTTTATTGGTGTCTGTCACTTATCCAACTAGACTGGAAGCTCCTTAAACACACGACTTCCTTCTCTTTAGTTTTCTTGCATAGAGCTCTAGGTAGATAATATATAATAACAATAATAATTAATAATAATCTATTATATATTATAGTACTGCATATTATAATATATAATAAATACTTATTGAATAGGTAAAAAGACTGTTGGCCCAGTAGGAATGAGAACTGAGTTCAAATCCCAGTTCAGGCACTTTTACTGGCTGTGTGAACTTTGGCAAATCATCAAACTTATCTGAGCTTCATTTTCTTTACTTATAGAAAAAGTTAAAATAATCCTTGCACTACCTACTTCACAGGGTTTTTGAAAAGAAAGTGCATGGCAAACACTAAGGTGCAGTCAATGTTATTAGCATAGTAATATGGAGGAGGGCTGAAGTTTCTGAGGATTGCAAAGGAAAAGAGAAAATGGCGCTGGTCATTGTTGGGAAGGACAATTCATATTACACAAATCAAGAAAAATGCTTGCAAATCTAATTATTCTTGAAAATTGTGTATAAAAGTGATTATGTTATCCACATTAGCTCTAAATATGGTAGGGCTGCATAAGTCTCCACTAGTTGTCTTTAATGATTCCCTAAAACACACATTTACACTTGTGTTAGAGATGCCCATAACATAGAAGGCCAGTATTACTTTTTACCAGTTACTTTTTTTTTAGAAACCAAAATCTTAACTATTAAGCCCTCTGCAAAAAGGCAAAACACAGTTCTCTAAAAATTCCACAATGAGTATTCCATAATGTCTCTGGAAAGTATTTGGGAGAAGGTTCCAGTTTTGGGGGGGCTATCATACTCTCCTGATGTGAGATGTCATACTCTCCTGAGAACTTCCTGAAATAGTTCCCTCCAGGCAAGAATTCCATCCATTGCTCCAATAATGTTTGAACTTTGGGCCTCTATTGACATAAATGCTGTCTATAGGTCCCGGGTCTAGGTCATTGCTCAGTCTATACCTGCTGTCTTCAGGTTCATGTGATGTTTACAGATGTTCGTAGAATCACTTTAATAGGAAACCTTAAATCAGGGGTTCTTAACCATGTGTGTGTGTCTGTGTCTGTGTGTCTGTGTGTGAGACCGAGACAGACAGACAGACATGGACCCTTTTGACAGGCTGGCAAAGCTTATGGAACCCCTTCTCAGAATAATATTTTTAAATGAATAAAATACATAGAATTAAAAAAGGAAGCCAATCATATTGAAATACAGTTATTAAAATATTTTTAAATAACCAAAACATCTGCTAAAGAATTGTACCAGTAAAGAACAGCCAGGGATGAGCTTTTCCAGCAATCTAAGCAGGTGACCTTTCTTTCTATGGCTATTCTACCCTCTTGAAACGCCATTATTTCCTCAATATTTTCTTGTTGTTAGTCTTTAAAGAACTTTTGGAAATTATGGGAAAAGTTAAGTCAATAAGTATTTATTAAGTGTGCCAAGCATTGTGCTAAACTGGAAATACAAATACAAACAGAAAGATAATCTCTGACCTCAAGAAGGTTACTCTTTAATAGAGGAAGACAAAACATTTTTTAAAAGCTGAAAAGGTGAAGGGAGTGGGAGGAGAAAGTACCCATGCAGAGAAGTGATGGAGAAAGTGCAGAGTCAGGTGGGGCCTGGGAGAGAAACAAAAACTTGTCAGGCTTAGGCACTTTTCCTTAAAATGGAGGTTCTGGGAGGGACTAACCAATCACAGTAGAGGAATGCAACTTCCACCCTGAGAAATTCAGCGCCAAAATGAACTTTTAGGGTAAGGGATGCTGTGACAAGGTGGAGGAGGCCTATAGAGGGAAGAACACATGGCTGGCCTGGGAACTTTCCTTAAAAATGAAGAAAAGTCATCTGACCTCTCTGAGCCTCATTCTCCTCCTCTGTAAAATGCAGGTTTTATTTGAGAGATGTACAGGAGTGTGGCATTCCATTCCCACCTCCGACATACATTGAATGTCTGAGTCTGGGCAAGTCATTTAACTTCAAAATGCCCTCCAAGGAAACTCTGTAAGACTCCCAGGTTTCAAGGCAGGTGCTAAGCTGTGTTGATAAAGGGATTTGCTTCCCTGGGAGTTCTAAATAAGCTCCAATGAAACCCAATGAAAGTATAGATCTTATCCAAAATAGGCATAATAATACCTGTCCTGTCTGCCTCGTATTGTTATGAAGAAAACACTTTGTAAACCATAAAATGCCATATGGAATGTCCCAAAAGTTTTAAGCTTTAAGAGCTTAAAACTGTAATAAGACTTTTGGGACATGCAGTATAAATGAAAGTTGTTAAGCTGTTGTCATTATTACCATTATTCAAAAGTGAAGCTAATTTCCCCGTGGCACTTCTATGATGGGAATGACTCCCCTTGTATATACAGATGATTTGAAAGCAGCCTCCAAATTAACTTATGTAAGCACACGCTTTATACGACAAATTGCTTTTGCATTCCCAGAAAAAAAAAAAAGCAGTACAAATTATAAATGTTCTGAAGTCTGCACCTGCATTCTTTTTGTCTTTAGAGAGCACGGCATAAGCTCTGATTCACTTGTTTCAAAACATAGTCATTGGTAAAGATGGAGCCATCCTATTCACAGAAACTCAATGCTGTAAGCCCTTGGGGTGAAACTCTTTAAAGACTTCTCTGAAACTCATCAGTAGTCTCAATGTTAGCTCTTCTCTCAATAGCTCTGCCTGCAGCACCATTCAGGAGTGAACCAGAAACATAATCCTCCCTTGGCATGGGTTGAAGAAGCGGAGACCCCGGGGAAAGAATGAATACTGAAACGACCAGCATGTACTGGCTCTGGGGAGGGAGAGTTATTTATCCTCTTCCCACATGATGTAGTACCTGAAACATGGTTGAAGGTCAGAAAGACTTAGATCAGGGTAAATGAGTGTCTGTTCTCATTCAGGAACAATACCTCCAGCAGCTTCTCTGATTTCAGTAGGGCCAACCAACAATTTTTTAAAAAAAGTTAAAAAGCTTAAACCAGTGTTTTTTCTACTGCTGGAATAAGAAATAACAAACAGCAAAAATAACAATATATGGAGCTTTTAGGTCTTCACAGCACTTTACATACGTTATTATTTCACTTTACATACTTCATATTACTTTGTATATGTTATTATTATATCTCATTTGGTCTGCACAAATAAACTGGTGAGATGGTGGTATTATTATCCCCATTTTATCAAAGAGGAAATGAACTCAGAAAGGCTTAGTGACTTACCCAAAGTCACACAGCTAGTTTATGTGACTTGCTTAGGGTCACATAGATAGTTTGAATTGTTGTACCGAGAAATCAGCGAGCGAGACCCAAATGTAATTTAAAATGTGGATTTATTAGGGTGTGACTGCAAGGGGTATGCACATCCAAATCAAGCAGCCCCGATCAGGGGTCGAGCTAGGGTTTATATGGAAAAGAGCATGGGAAAGAAATGCCAGGAACACTGATGAGGTAATCCAAAGGTGCAGATGTCTTTGGGGGCTATGGATGGGAAAGTACAGGGAGTATACCAGACAGGGAGGGGGATGGATCTTTGGAGTCTGGCAGGAGGAAGAGTCCTTGGGCTGGCCAAGGACACCCCTCTCCCTCTGTCTTGATGAGAGAATGCTCTGCAACAAGGGAAAGCTTTCTCACAACACAGGAACTTACTAAGGAATTGGGAGGCTTCCAGAGCCATGATCTGAGGGCTGGGGCTTCAGCAGCCCAGCTCTGTGTAGCTGTACCAGGGAGAGAATAAGGGTCATGCTGAGGCCCATGCATGAATAACTGCTAGGCACAGTGTCCTTGAGCTGGGGAGTGGTTGTCAGAGACAGTGTTTCTGAGACTAGAGAGAAATTGGGGCACAAGTACAAGCACAAGCACCCGAGCACCCCATCATTACGGGTCAGAGATCACACAAACTAGACCAGGTGTCCTGGTCTCTTGTATAAACATAATTATCTAAAGAAATTATATCGTAAGCTTTCTTATCCATTTGTGTTGGAGGTACGGGCTATGCTGAGCTATGCAAGAGTACATTTCACTATTGTTTAGATTTAGGAGGAAAGAGGTCTGGGGCAAGATTAAGCACCAATTTTTGCTTTCCATGGCTTAAAGGGCCCTACTACCTAAATGGCAAAATAATGTTCTGCATTACAGAATCGGGCCTCAGACTAGCTGCATGACACTAAGCAAATCATTCAGCCTCTGTTTCTTCATCTGTAAAAATGGGAAAACAATAACACCTACTCACAGGGTTGTTGTGAGGATTGAATGACAATATATGTGGAGTGCTTTGCCAACCATAAAGTGCTCTGTAAATGTTAGCTATTGCTAAATGTCTGAGGCAGGATGGAACCCAACTTGACCTGGGTTGAGGGCTTGCTCAACAAGAAAAAAGGAGGAAATGTTTTCTACTTTCTACAACCAGGTTAGAACTCACCTATATGTGATAAACAGAGTGAATCTTAAATGGCCTTTTTGTTCATGACAATGTCTTCTCTTGACTTTCAGGACCTTTTGAACTAGAAGGAAATCTGAGGGATTCATTAATATTGGACAGTGGCTTTACTTTGTTTCCAGGTGTGTGTGCACCTAAAATCCTTTCATTTTTTAATTTAGATTTCTCATTCTTTTCAGTGCTCAGATAAGTCATGCTTGAGGACACCCTCTCTCAAGAAGAGAGTTACAGAAACTAACCTAGAAGGCAAAAAGGACTCTGGGATGTTAAAATACATCAGGCATCAGGTATTGACCGTTGCATCACGTTCATTAGTAACATGTTTACAGTCATTCCTAAATTAAAATACACAAACATATAAACATACATTCAGTCAGTCAATAAGCTATTATTAAGTGCCCACTTTGTATAAAGCACATGAGAAGCACTGGGGATATAAAAAGAGGCGAAAGCCTCTAAACTCAAGTAGTTCACAATCTAACTGGGGAGTCAACAGATAAACATATATGCACCAACACGCAAAATACAGCATAAATAAGAAATTTTTAAAAGAGGGAAGGCACTAGAATTAAGAGGAGTTGGGAAAGGTTTTAGTTGGGACTTAAGGGAAACCAGTAGGCAGACATGAGAAGGGGGAGTATTCCAGACATGGACAACCAGAAAAAAAGCCCAAAATGAAGAACTGGAGTGTGTTGTTCATGGAACAGCAAAGAGGTCAGTGTCACAGGATCAAAGAGTATGTGGTGGTGAATAAGGTATAAAAATACTAGAAAGGTGGAGGGGGGGAAGTTAAGTTATGAAGGGCTTTGAATACCAAATAGAGGTTTTCACATTTAATACTAGAAGTGATGGGAAGCCATTGAGGTTTACTTAGTACAGGGGGAGGGTGATATGAGCTCTGACTCACTTTTTTCATAGCAGAAGAAAGCAGGTGGCTGAATGGATGGATTGGAATGGTAAGAGACTTCTGGCAGGCAGGCCAACCATCAGGCTATTGCAATAGATTATGAGGGAGGTGATGAGGGCTGTATCAGAGCAGATAATGGTATATTCAAGAGATGTTGCAAAAGTGAAATCGTCAAATCTTGGCAACAGATCGAATATGGGGGTAAGAGATAATGAGGAGGTGAGAAGGACGCCTAAGTTTTGAGCTTGGGAGGACCGGGAGATGGTAGTGCTCTTAACAGCAATAAGGAAGTTTGGAAAAGGGGATGATTTAGAGGGAAAGATAATGAGTTCAGTTTTGGACATGTCCAAATAACCTCAAGTTTTTTTTTCTGTAAAATATGAGGCAACATTCTCAGCTAAGAGGATAAGAGAAGGGAACCGTGGAAAGCTTGAGAAGGGATGAAAAAGGTTAGAAGAGCCAATGTGGAGAGTGGTATGGTGAATGGATAATGGAGGTGTACAAAAATTGCCTAGTAACAATGAGGTTGTATAACATTTGAGGTTGTATAACATAAATTTATAGTGGACCCAGTTGGAACGATTGCATGATTTTCTCTACCTTCGTTCAGTAGCACATATGTAGCAGCAAAGGTGGAGGATAGTGGGAGTGATCCAAAGCTAAGATTTGGCAGGGCACAATCAGCAATATAATAAGGGGGACAGGGATTCAGGAGAAAAGAACAGTGTAAAGTTGAACTGGTTCATTAAGGAGTCAAGATGGGGAAAAAAGAAAGAAAAGAGCAAACATACATACAAATGGCCATCTCTGTTGGAGTCAAAGGCATTCCCTTCCCTACTCACCCCTTCTCGTCTACTGACTAGCTTAGGATAAATATCTTCCTTGGTTTATGGCCAGAGATCTCCATGCCACTGAAGCTACAAGAGAAATATTGCACTGTGGTTGGTAGGATGGAAAAACTTCCTTTTAATTCCCATCAGAAAGGGAATCTTAGCTATAGGGAGAACTAAAGGGAAAAGATGCATTTTCTGGATCCTAGATTGTAACTTAGATCATATCCTTCCTTGGAAACAATGTTCTAAATTGTGGCTAAGTTCCCAGGCTAGCCCATAAAAACTTAGAGAACAGCAGAAATTGTAACTAGTATTAAATAGGTTTTTGTGGGCTAATTATAATTTATAATTTATTTCAATGGGAAAATGTATTTGGAACCCTGAAACTGACATACAAATAACATTTTGGACTAGCCCATTTATAAGTTGGAGACAGCCTGTATTTTTAGAGAATGAAATAAATTCATAGAATTATGGAATTTAAGAATCAGAAAGACCCTCAGGGGCCTATTAGAACAACCCATATACCAATGGTTGTCTAGCCTCTGCTGATAGTACTCAAAGGGAGGAGGGAAACTGAGGGGAACCTGCTGCACCTTGAGGCAGTTCATTCAATTCTTTGGACAATTCAAATTATTAGGAAGTTTTTCCTGACATCAGCTTAAATTAGCCTTCTTGTAACTCATACCCACTGCAGTTGGTTTTGCCTTCTGGGGACAAACAAAACTGGTCTGATTCCTCCTTCACATGACAGCATTTCAAATGCTTGAGGACAGCTATCACGTTGCCCCACCCTGAGTCTTCTTTGCTCCAACCTAAACATACATGGTGGTTTCAACTGATTCTTCGGGCTCAACTTTCACCATCTCTCCTCTATTCTCTCTCCAGCTTGTCAATAACCTTCTTAAACCATGGTGCTCAGAATGGGGCATGGTATTCTGACAAGAGCAGAGCACAGTAGGACTCTCATTTTCCTTCTTCTAGAAGTTCTTCTTCTCTTAATGAAGTCCAAGATCTCATTAGTTTTTTGAGGGTTTTTTTGGCCACATCTCACTGCTGACTCATATTGAGCTATAGTCCAGTTAAAATCCCCAGATCTTTTCAGTCAACTCAAAAATCATTGAGTGATTACTATTTGCCAGGCACTATACTAAGCATTGAGAACGCAAATACATGCAGAAAGAAAGATAGTCCCTGCCCTCAAGGAACTTACATTCTAATGGAGGAATACAACACCTATTAGAGAGTTGAGGAAGAGGGGGTATATAGGAGTATGGTGGAGAAAGTCCTATGGAAATGAATTGGGAGTGCAGCAGAAAAACTGCTCTCTACCACCCCCACCCAAACCCATCTTATTCTTGTGAAACTGATTTTTTTTTTCACTCCAGTGTAAGACTTTTCATGTATCTCTATTGAATTTTATCGTATTAGATTCCACCCACTGTGCTGGCCTGTCAAGATTCTTTTGAATCCTGATATTTTCATCAACCCTATTAGCTCTCCCTTTCAACTTTGTGTCATATACAAATTTATAAGCATGTCACTTAATTTTTAAAGCCATTGATTAAAAAATGTCCAACAAATAAGACCGAGCACAGATCTTTGAGGTGTACTACATTGGTGAACTCCTGCCATGTTGATGTTGGAACAGGAAGACAGGAAGAACTATCCTTTGCATCTGACCATCATTCCTAATATTCTAGAAGTGTATTAGTATGGTACAAAACTGTTTATAGCAGTTCATTGCACCCTGACCAAAATCAATGCAGAATTCGGACACGAAGAGATATTTTGCCTCTTACTGTGCATCATTCTACTAACCAGAAAACAGTGTATTGCACTGGCTCTGCCCTGGAACTTTGGAAAGAAACAGATCTAAAATACAAATTTATCGTTGATCAATCTGCAAATAACTAGTCACTTCTTGGCATGATAGTGAGTCCTAATATACTTCATCATTTAAATAGCTTCTCTTTTAGACAATTCTTTATTCTCATTTAGAGAAAGAAGGACTAGGAAAAAGCAAATCAGACAGTCTGTCAAATTTGTGAGACTGTCAGTATTCACCCTCATTTAAAATGCTTTTGAAATGTGATGGGTTTTTTTCTTTTTTTCCCCCCAAGGTAATGAGCCTGTCCCCAGCTCCCTTGTCTCTGCTAATCAAGGCAGCACCAATTCTGACAGAAGAGATGTATGGAGACATACAGCCTGCAGCCTGGGAGCTACTGCTCAGTATGGATGAGCACATGGCTGGAGCTGCAGGTAACACAGGACGGGACCCACCCAGGGAGCCATTTGTTGTGGCAGCTCATATTTTAAAATGAGAGCTTTTTAAATTCAGGTTGATCTCCTAGATCAAACAGATAGTGTGGCATATTGCTCTAGATATAGCAGTGAGCTGAGAGATGGATCCTAGGTTCTAGGAATCGTAGGATTTTAGAGCTGGGAGGACCTTAGAAATTATATAGTCTAACTCTCTTATTGTAGAGAAGAGAAAGTTGAATTTCAAAGGTGAATGGTTACTCAACAATCATGTGAGAAGTAGATGGCAGTCCTAGGATTGAAACCCATGCCTCTGGAGGCCTTGATGCTATCTCCCAGCATGAGGGATTGGTTTTCACTTCTGGGCTGTTGAAGACATTCTGGAGATATAAAATAGGATTTTGCCTTATAGCCATACTTTCAGTGTATTTTTCATATAAAATATAATTCTAATTGATTTTTCTTCTCCTGTATCTACTGTGCAGCAGCAGCAACATAAATGGATATTTAGGGTGCCTAAAGGCAGTGTGCTAACCACTTTTTTTTAGAAATATTATAATATTTGGTCCTCACAACAACCCTGCAAGGTAGATTCTATAATTATACTCATTTCTCCAGTTGAGCATCCCTTAGCTGTCCCAGTTGAGGAAACTGATGCAAAAAGAAGTCAAGTGGCTTACTGGCCAGATTTGAATTTAGATCTTCCTAACTCCAGGACAATGCTCTGTCCACTGTGCAACATAGTTGCCTCTATCATAGATGCCTGGAGTACTACATTGAAAACCTCCTGCCATGTTGACATTGAACCATTAAAAACTGTCTTTGAGTTTGGCCATCCATTCCCAATATTTTCTTTATGTATAGAGATAAAACAATAATGTAAGGTAGCACATGCTAGGTAATAGATAATGATTAAAAGAAACAAAACAGGCATTCAAAGGAAGAAGTGATTACTTAGGAATTACTTGGGAAAAATGAAAATAGATGACATAGAACTTGACCTGAGTCATAAAAGAAGAACAGGACTTAGCCAATCAAAGATGGGGAGAGAATACTAGGTAGGGGAACCTTGTAAGCAAAAGGATAGAGGAAAGGGTGTGTATAGCATGTTTGCAGAACAATGAGAAAGCAGGGGGATAGTTAGGGGAGTAGTAAGAGATGACAGAAGAGTCAAAGATGAGTCAAAAGTTTTAAGCCTGAATGCTTGAGAAAAGAATGGTACTATTGACAGAAAGAGGAGACTCCAGAAGGGAAATTGATTTTGGGGGGAAAGATGATGACCTTGTTCTTCAACATGCAAGTTTAAAGTGATGACTGGGTAGATTTAGGTAGCACTGTACCAAAGGCGGTTGGAGATATAGGGCGGAAGCCCAGAAGAGAGGGCAGGAAGGGGAGATATATTGAGAAATCAACTGTCTGTGGGTGATGCTTGAAGCCATGAGGTTGGATGATATCTTTCCTAAAAAGGGAAATAAGGCTAACAAGAAGAACAGAGTGCTGAGCATTCAAGAATGCCCACATAGAGACAGATTCCTTCTGTGGGACACCATGTGGAGCAAAGGGAGTTGGAAAGAAAAGAGAAGGGGTGACTGGTCCCCCAAAAAGAGATGACATAAGAGGATAGTTTCATAGTAGCCAAGGAAGGGGAGTTTCAAAGAAAAGATCATTAAGAGTGTTATAAGCTAGAGAAGGCAAGGAGAATGATAAATGGAAAAAGATAGGTTTTGGTAGTAAGACATCACAATGTCTCTTTCAATAAGAATATTTTTGGGGCAGCTAGGTGGTGCAGTGGAAAGAGCACCGGGCCTGGATTCAGCAGGACCTGAGCTCAAATCTGGCCTCAAACACATAACACTTACTAGCTGTGTGATCCTAGGCAAGTCACTTAACCCCACTACCTAACCAAAAAAAAAAAAACAAAAAAAAGAATATTTTCCTTTTTTTCTTGTAAAGAAAAATAAATATTTATTGATATTTTTTGTTTTATTCCTTTCTCTATCCCTCCTCAAGTGTCATGCTTTGTTATAAAAAAAATACAAAAAGAAGTTTGTAAAACTAACCAAGACTCAAAAAAATTCATTATTTTATTTTTTTGTGGGGCAATTGGGGTTAAGTGACCTGCCCAGGGTCGCACAGCTAGTAAATGTCAAATGTCTGAGGCTGGATTTGAACTCAGGTTCCCCTGACTCCAGAGCCAGTGCTCTATCCATTGTGCCACCTAGCTGCCCCTCAAAATCCGTTATTATATATAGTATTATATATACTTATATGTGTGTGTGTGTGTGTGTATATATATATATGTGTGTGTATATATATATATGTATACATATACATATATATATATAGTATTCAACACCTTTAGTGCACCTACCTCTGCAAAAAGGGGGCTTACTCAGTTATCATAATTTCATGCCATTAAATTTTGTTGTTTTGTTTTGGGTTTTCATTTCATTATTGTAGTCATTGTGTACATTGTTTACTTTATCTTACAGCAGCAGTTCCTATGTCTTCCCATGCTTTTCTGCATTTGTCATATTCATCTTTTTCTCACAGTGAAGTAATATTCCATTACATTCATGTACCATAACTTACACATGAGGAAACTGAGACTGAAAGAGTTTGCATGACTTACCCAGGGTCATAGAGTTAATAAGTATCAGAGGCAGAATTTGAACTCAGCTTTTCCTGTCTTCAAGTCCAGTGCTCTAGCCGTTGTACCACTTAGTGGCCTCAGAGGTAAAGATAAAAGGAGGCAGCATATCCCAGGCATTTGGGATGGCCAATACAAAAGCACAGGCACAGGAGGTGTTATATGATGAACAGAGTGAAGGCCATTTTGGCTGCAACTCAGGCTGAAAGATGGGAAACAATTTCCAGTGAGGCTGGAAATGTATGTTGGGGCTAGGCTATCAAGATCTGTAAAAACTAAGCAGAGAAGCATATATTCTGGCCCTTAAAAAAAAGTTTGGAAAAAAAAAAAGATTGAATAGGATAGTCATGTCATCAGATCAATGCTTAAGGAAAATGACTTTGGAAGTAGTATGGAGGATGGACTGATCCCTCCAGATAAGGTCCCCTGCCTTCCCAATCTCTTATACTTATCTGACCTCAGACTTGAGTTCAAATCCTGATTCATATGCTTGCTAAATATGTGACCCTGGGCAAGTCATTTAATCTTTCTCTGTTTCCTCCTATGTAAAATGAAGATAATAATAGCATCTACTTCATGGGATTGTTGCGAGGATTAAATGAAATAGCATAAATGGAGTTTTAGATAAATTCAAATCTGTTATTGTTATGCACATACAACATAGGTATAAATTCGGTTTATTATTGTTATGTACAAATGACTTCCTAACATATTTGTTTGTGTGCATGTTATTCTTATGCTTGACAGTGTGTGCCTTGAGAGTAGTCAATGCTGTCACAGAATGACAGAATTTCAGAGTTAGCAGGGACCTCAGTGGCTTCTTAGTCCAGCCCAGATTCTATCCAGGATTCCTAGTGCAACACATCTGACAAGTAGGCATCCAGCCTTTCCTTGAAGACTTCCACTGAGGAGAAAACCACCCCTTCCCAAAGCAGCCCATCCCCATTTTGGATACCTCTGGCTTCTAGGAAACATTGCAGGGCATCAAGCCTAACCTTTCCTCTTTTCAACTTATACCCATTATTCCCTGTTCTACGCTCTAGGGGCAAACAGAATATATGCCATCTCTTTTCCACTTGGCCTTTTAAGTACTTGAAGATAGATAACATCCCGCTCACTTTATCCTTCTCTCCTTCTTGTTCACCAGACCTAGTTCTTTCAACCAATTCACCCATGGCATAGACTTTTAACTCTTCACCACTCCAGTTGCTTATCTCTAGAAGTTCTCCAATTTATTAGTGTCCTTTCTAAAATGCATTTTTCTGAACTGAACACAATACTCCCAAAGTGATCTGATTAGGGCAAAGCATAATGGAACTATCTCCACTTTATTCCTGGAAGCTGTGCTTCTCTCAAGTCCACATCAACTTTTTTGGCAACCACGTCACGCCGTTAACTCATATTGTTCTTAGAGTCCAGTAAAGCCCTTGTATCTTTTTGCCATTTAAAAAGATTTGAAAGATATAGTTTCTGGGTAACTTAATCATTTTATTAATAAGGCCAGCATGTTTATTAATAAAAGGATGGTCATTTAGCCATCTCTCAGACCAAACACCTCTCAGGGCTGTGGGCTCACAGTTTATATGCCCTCCAAAAAGTAGGTATTCCTCAGGGTGGCAATACTGATTGGTTAACAATTAATGAGAAAATGAATATTAAAATGAGGGTCTTGGGGGTCATGATTTGGATCACCCAAATCTTGGTCAAACAGATGTATAAATTTCCATATCACCTGTATGACAAAAGGGTGGATCCACATTTTCTCAGACCTGTCTGAGCAAACATAATGAGCAGTAATGTACCAATTAGCCCAAATTTAGAATTTCTTTCACTGTCTGATTAGATCTTGGTCTGGGCAAATCTTTAAGAGAGATTTCCCACACTGGTTGATTTCTGGATGAAGAAGTAGAATAGGGGAAAAACCTTGGTCCTAATACAATCATTAGTTATTAATGCCAGAGAGAAATAATCATTCTCACATTTTACAGTTAAACTGGTATCCAACCGTTCCTCCTCTATTTTGTACTGGGTGGGAGGGGAGAGTTCTTGAACCCAAATGTAAGACTTTACATTTATCCCTATTAAATTTCATTCTATTAAATACAGCTCAGAATTTCAGCCTTCCAAGGTCTTTTTGTATTCTGACTTTGTCATCTGTTGCATTGGCCATCTCTCCCAGCTTTGTCTCTACAAATAGAAAAGGATGCCATCTATGCTTTTATCCAAATCACTGATTTAAAATTAAAATTCAATAAAAAATTAAAAATTATTAAAAATAAAAATATTTAAATAGCACAGGATGATGCACAGATCCCTGAGGCACTCCATTGGAGGCCTCTCAAGTTGACATCAAACTATTAATGAGTATTCTTTAAGTTCCAAGTTCATGTAATTATACTATAATCTGTTCCACATTTTTTCATCTTTTCCATAGGAATAGCATGAGATAATTTATCAAACATTTTGTTAAAATTCAGGCAATCTGTATCTACAGCATTCTCCTGGTTTACCAGTTTAATAACCGTATCCAAAAAAAATTTAAAAAAGAAATCATATGAGGCTGGCATGACATATTCTTGATTAAGCCATGCTGGATCTTTGTGATCACTGCTTCCTTTTCTACCTTTTCCACTTTTACCACCTTCTTCCTTTACCTCCATCTCTTTAATAATACGTCCTAGAATCTTGTCAGGGGTTGAAATCAAGCCCATGAACCTATAGTTTGTAGGTTCTGTTCTCTATGCTTTGTCGCAAATTGGCTTCCTTGCTCCTGAGATTCCTCTTCCTTTATCCATGTTCTGTCTCAGAAATCACACTAAGTAGTTCCTTTAGAACAAGAGGATGCAATTCGTCTGAACCAAGTGACTTGAATTCATCAAGGATAGCTATGTGCTCTTGTAATCTCTTTACTTATTTTGGGTATCAACTCATTACTAGCCATTAATTTTTTCTTTATCCAGTTCAAAAATCATTGTATTTTTACCTATGAATTTCCAGTCCCTAGAACAGTACCTTGTAGATACATGATTCATAAGTGATGCTTGAATTGGTGGTGGGGGGGGGTTAGGAAGAGGGGGAAGGGGAGTAGGGTGAAATAGAAGATTAATTATAGAAGAAAAATACTACAGATTTCATCCTCGCCAGATTCCTTTCTTCTAGGGTTGGAGCCATCAACTTTCAGATGACTGCTCAGGCTGTACATCAACCCGAGGATTCTGCCCCGCTGACCCTGGCATCAGCCGGGTTTTTGAAGTTTGACCCCTCAAACAGGATCCAGAGAGGCAGGGACAGCTCTACACCCCTTGCCAGCAGGAAGCAGTTTCAGAAGTCCAGACTTTCGCTCCTTTCCCCAAAAGAATTTGTGTCAAATTTGTTTGAGGGGGGAATGATGGGGTGTGACCCAAGCCAAGGTCTTTGCCCCTTGCCCTAAGGGGAATCTGGCTCCCCTTTTGCCTACAGGCCCCAGCCCCTCATCTCCCTTTGAAAGCCTTGGCCTGCCTTTTGGTTTCATTCAGATGCCTTTCAGTTCCTTCATTATCTGTTTCCATTGTCTGTTCAATCTCTTAGACATTCTAATCTCTGGGAATTCTCACCCAGACCCTTTTCCCAGACCCTTCCCTGGTCACCTAAAGTATGTGAGATCTGCCCTAACCTCTCATGCCCGCTTGTCTTCATGGGCATCACCTGGCTGAGAATCTCAGGCCCACAAGGCTGAGAACCTCTCATGCCCGCTTGTCCTTGCGGGCATCACCTGGCCCTAAGTGTTTTATCACTAATAGGCTTTTCCTCTGGCTGAAGAAGATTTGAGTTGAATTCTTTCAGGCAAGGCCCGGTACCATGCTCTTGGGGTTCCAACAGCACCCCAAAAGTCCTAGACCTCTTCAGTACAACCAGTGAAAATGCCTAGAATTAAGAGGTAGAGTTTCTGGTTTGATGAACAATAAAGAGGCCAATGTCTTAGGAACTCGGAGTACAGGGAGAGCCTTCCATATTTCCTTCTTTCCTTCTTCCTTCCTTCCTTTCTTCTTCCTTTCTCCTTCCTTCCTTCCTTCCTTCTCCTCCTCTCTTCTGATGGTTATTTAACTGATAGTAGAATATTTTTCCTTGTTGTATGTTAGTTTCAAAAACTTTCACTTAACAAAATGTTAATAAAAGTGACAAATTAGAAAGTTTTCCTCCCCTTATTTGACATTAGGGAGAGCTGCTGTAATAGAGGAAATATCTATGTCTCAGCCAATTAGCAGACAAATACAAAACTGTGGCTCAAGACAATGATGATGATGATGATGTTGATAGTAACAATAATAAGAACCATGAGCTATAATATGTAAAAGTTTCCAATTAAATTAGATGGACATTGAACAACAACAAAAAAATTACTACAGATTTCAGAGCTTAGAGTTCCTCATTTTACAAATTAAGAACCTGAACCCCGTAGAAATTGAGTTGTCCTATGATCCTACAGTATTCTAGTCACTCAAGTTGTAAGTGGCAGCTCCATTATTTGAAGAGAGGCCTTCAAATGAAGTACTCTTTCTATCATACCACAAGAAACATAGGTATCCCATGTCAGAGATTTACTAGCTATATGACAATGGCCAAGTCAAACTTTTTGAGTCTCAGGTCCTCATCTATAAAATGAAATTGTAGCTATAGGAGGTAGAAGAGTCAAAGGAAAGTTTCTTAAGATAAGCAAAACCTGACAACAGTTGTAGGTGAAAAGTAAAAACTATAGAGTTGGCAAATTCTATCTCCACCATAGCCACTGGTTCCTTCTTCCAATCTGGATTTATGTGGCTCATGATTTATCATCTGATATATGGTAGCATGGTTCATGATCTTGTTTCTGATCGCTGTTTGGCTTTCTTTTAAATCAAAAGCCACTACTAACACTCACAAAATCTCTTTCAGCATGTCTCTCTCTTCATTATTTGGGAATGATAGTATCGCAGTTTGAGAATTAGAAGAGACTTCAGAAATCATGCAGTCCAATCTGTTCCTGAAAAGAATTCTCACTACAACATACCTAATAAGTGCCCATCTAGCCTCTGCTTGAAGGCCTCCAGGAAGAGGAAACACACTACCTCACCAGACAGCTCATCCTACCACCTTTGGATAGTTTTAATTATAAGTTTTCCTTTATCTTCATAAAATCTGAATTAAGTTTGAAATGTGAATTTTTTTAAATATCAAGAAAATTTGATGTATTTTTAAAAATGTACTTCTTCACTTGAAGGGTAGTCTCATTAAAAAATCTCAAAATTTCAGCAAAGCTATTTATTTGAAACAAAATTTTACTTTGGATGAAATGACAAAAACAGAGGAATCCAATTTTAAAAGAAATAACAAGTAAAAGTTTGTTTTAAGTAGGTCAGTGGCTAGAGTTATTTAACTGGAGCTCATAGGCGACAGTAGTTTTAGCAAAAGTCACCATTATTTGGCCCTGTCAAAATGTCATTACACTATGAGACCATAAATTGGAAGCTGGTGGGTGGAATGAAAGATGGTGCTTCCTGCCTTGTCTGAAATGAGGTGCTTTCTTGCCAGCATAGTTGGACAGGTTTCATTTCCCCTAAGGGGCATTCTCACCAGAGCTGGAGAGTTGTTTTGCAGACACTAAGCCCAGTGACATGTCCTTGATTAATGCTGGATTGCTTTTTTCTAGCTGCCATGTTCCTGCTATGTGCAGTAAAAGTCCCAGAGGCTGTGTCTGACATGCTGATGTCAGAATTCCATCACCCAGAGACTGTGCAACGGCTCAATGCTATCCTCAAGTTCCATACACTCTGGAGATTCCGCTACCAGGTGTGGCCTCGAATGGAGGAAGGAGCTCAGCAGATTTTCAAGGCAAGGATGGGAAAATTATGGGAGGTTCGTTCCTGGGCCCTAAATTTTATTCTAAGCTTTTCTTTTCAAACCCACCTGATATAACCTGGAGGGAAACTTCTCTAGTGAGCAGAATAAAATCATTTCAAGATCTTTTGATAAAATTATTTCAACTTTTTGATGAAATCATTTCAAACTTTAAAAAAAAAATTTCAGTTCCATTTAAAAATGGTAGGTCATCTGCTGAAGTTGGTTAAGTGGAGCAATTTTATATGCATTTTTTATTTTTATTTTCAGTTCCAAATTCTCTCCCTCCCTCCACCCCCTCCCCTACCCATTGAGAAGACAAGAAATATTATATCCGTTATACATATGAAGCATTTAATGGAGTAATTCTTTTAAAGCTATTTTTAATGGAGTAATTCTTAAGAATCCAAACTTCCTGACACCTGCTTTTCTAAAATAATGGGCTATAAATAGAACTTGGCTAAACAAGGCTTTTTCATTAACAATAACAATATTCATATAGCACTTTAAGGATTACAGAACACTTTCTTGCATATTATCTCATGTTATCTTCCCAATAACCCAGCAGCTATTATTATCCCCATTTTACAGAGGTTAAAGTGATTTGTCCAAAGTCAAATAGCTGGTAGTACAACTCAGGTTTCCCCCAACTCCAGGTCCATAATGCTTTCTATCATGCCATATTGACTGCCATTAGTTCCTCAGTGCTGATTTCAAAGTTGTAATTACAGAGTTTTCCATTACAAAGAGCCAGAAGGCTGTAATCCCTCTGTGTGATGCTCAGCTATAGCTGAAATTATCTCCTTGTGTTCTAGTAAAGACAATTTCACCTGGAAAATCTCTTTTTATATCAGAAACCACTGCCCTCTGTAATATGGCTATAAATTCTGAGTTATATAGTAAATTTTCAAGGGCTTCATTTAAACTTTTAAAGATTAAAACTGCACTAAGTTTTTTGGGACACCCACTATATGATGAATATGTGTATATGTATGTGTATATGTGTGTGTGTATGTGTGTGTGTGTATACACACACACATATATATATATATACACACACATATACCACACCTACACATGTACACATATATTCATACATATATATATACATATATGATACTAGAAACAAAGTGATATATTTTTTTTTTGGAAAGGCACTTGGGGTTAAGTGACTTGCCCAGAGTCACACAGCTAGTAAGTATCAAGGGTCTGAGGCCACATTTGAACTCAGGTCCTCAGGACAGAGCCAGTGTTCTATCCACTGTACCACCTAGCTGCCCCCAACAAAGTGATTTGATGGGAGAAAGTACTAATAGCTAAGGGAATCAGGAAGAACTTCTTATAGAAGGTAGAAGAGTTTCTTGTAGAAGAACAGCTGAACCTTGAAGGAAACTAGGAACTCTGAGAGACAGAAGTGAGGAGGGAATCTATTCCAGGCACAGGAGACAGCCCAGAGTAAAGGTGCTGAGGTGGGAGTTGGTGCGCTGAGTGTGAAAAATAGCAAGATGACCAGTTTAGGTGAACATAGAGGGGAGTAATGTACAATAAGACTGAAAAAGGTAAGTTGGGACCAGGTTGTCAAGGGCTTTAGGTGCCAAAGAGAGGAATTAATATTTGATCCTATTGAATTCAGGGAGGGATATGGTCAGAACTATGTTTTATGAAGATAAGTTTGACAGGAGAGAAAAAGGAGAGTTGGATATGTAGATCTGAATAAGTGATCTGCAGTTATTTTTATTATTGTTTATTATGTAATTATTTTATTTTTATTTCATTTTAATAAATAATAAAATATATTATTTTATAATCATTATATTCATATATTATATATAATAATTATCATATATAATTATAAAATATAAGATAAATATATAATAAATAAAACTATTTTATTATTATGCAGTTATTATTACAGGGCTTTACTAAAATGGGGTTGCATTTAAATGCCATGTTTATGGAGCCTTCCAGAGCTCTGAACAAGAACTGGAAAGGATCTTAGTTAGAGGTCATTTGGTCAGTGGTAGTTTGGTGTAGTGACCATAACAGCAGACTTGGAGTTGGAAGACCTGAGCATGAGTTTCAAATCTATATGCTGCATGACCTTAGGCAAGTGGTAGTGGTGGTGTTGTTTTAACCTGCTTTTTCTTCTTCTATAAGCAGGGATAATGTTGATTCTACCTACCTCACAGGGGTAGGGAAGATAAAATGAGACACAGGATGAGAAATATTTCATAAGCTATAAAAATTTATGCAAAGGGAAGGTGGCATTTAGTCCAACAACTTCATTTTACATTGGAGGTAACTGGGCTCCAGAGAATCAAAATGTCTGGTCCAGATCACAGAGCTGGTTAACAGAGTTGGCACTAGAAACCCATCCTTGTCTAATGATGCTATGTAAATATGTTTCATTGTTATCAAAATCTTGCAGTAGCTGGAGAACTATTACTACAGCCTTACCACCATTGGACCCCTTACAGGCTGCCGTTACAACTTTGTCTCTCCCTACAATATTTTCTCTTTCTTCCTAAGAGTCTCTATTTATGTCTCCTTACAGATTCCTCCTCCTAGTATAAATTTCACCCTGCCCTCGCCAGTACTGGGAATGCCTTCAGTCCCCATGTTTGATCCCCCATGGGTACCACAATGCAGTGGGAGTGTACAAGACCCAATTAATGAAGATCAGTCGGTAAGTGGCATAGAAATTGGTTTCTATAGAAGCAGAGTTAAGACCTAAGGTTACATAGTAAAAGCTCAAGGAACTTTTAAAATAATAATGATGATCCCTGATGGCTATAAAATCTATAGCCATATACTTTTAACATGTTCTCTGTGATGACTGTGATTTACTAACTAGAAGAAAATTAATGTGCAACATTCCCAGGTTCAGCACTCAGCACTAGTCTTTCATACTCTCAATAACAAAAAATCAATTAATGAAAGACTTCACGTGCTTATTTTGTATTGCTTAATGTGACATTTTTAATTAAAAAAGGAACACATTAACAAAGTTTGCATTTTCATTGGTGTCCTTGTGACTCTGTCACCTGAAGCATACATACATACACACACACACACACACACACACACACACACACACACACACACACACACACATATATATATATATATATGATGTCCCAAAAGTCTTAGTACAGTTTTAATCTTTAATAGCTTTTTGGGACATCCTTACATATTAAATTAGAGAGGCTTTTAAAAATGCCTTTTTAAATTTTAAATTTTCAACGTGATGGTTGGTTTGATTTCCTAATGCAAAGTTGATTGTCCCATGGACATGTTGGAGTGCTCTTTCCTATCTGTACATCCTGGCTTGCCTGGTTTCCCTTCAAGTCTTAACTAAAATTTCACTTTCTACAAGAAGTCTTCCCAATCCCTCTTAATTCTACCGCCTTAGCTCTACTAATTGTTTCCTACATATCCTGTTTATAACTTGTTTATACATATTTGTTTGCTTGTTGACTCCCCTATTAGGTTGTGAACTCCTTGAGCACAGAGACTCTTTTGCCTTTCTTTGTATCCCCAATACTTAGAATAGTGCCTAACACACAGTAGATGCTTAATAAATGTATATGGATCAATCCTAGTCTTGATCACTGAATGGGTGTTGCCTCAGTCAAACTGAGACCTGTTAAAGACCTTAGCTTAAAAAGGCCAAGGTGTCCCACTGCATCCAGGGCCATCTCCAGTCATTCTGATCTATATCTTGCCACTGGATCCAGATGGCTCCAGAGACAAAAGTGAGGCTGGTGACTGCACAGCCCTCCCTCTCTTGAAACCAATTCATTTGCATGTCATAGCATCACTTTCCTGATGTCATAGTCCTCTTCAAGAATGAAGGATACAACAACAAATTGACTGACTACTCATATTCCCCACAGTTCTCTAAGAATCTAAGTCACAGAGAAGATAATGGCCTGCATTAGTGTAGGGAGTTTGCTTTTGCTCACTAGGAATTTCACCCATAACAATGAAATCATAGATCCAGTTAAAAAAAACATATCAGAGAGAGACAGACCATAGAACACCATTGTGCCTCTTGCCACAAGAAAAGTTTTCTTCTTATAATTAAGATTTCAAAGGTTGGTAGGAATAAGTCCTCTAAAAAGTCAGAGAGTCAAAAAAGAATTGATTAAGCCCTTTACTATATGCTATGCACTGCTTCTAAGTATGAAAGACATAAAGAAAGGCAAAAAAAAAAATCCCACAAAAAAAATAGTCCTTGCCCTCAAGGAGCACGCATTCTAATGGAGGAGATAACATATCCATAAATAGGTACCTACAAGATGTATGTAGAAATCATGGAAGGTAATCTCCATGGGAAAAGCATCCTAAAGAAAGTGAGATTTGAGCTGTCTTGAAGGAAGCCAGAGAAATACTTGCCTTTAATTTAATTAAAATCTCAGAGGAAAATAGAGTGGATGCTGTTACAAAATCACAAGCATTCCTAAAGAACTCTTCTGGAAAGAACATTGGATTTGAAGTTAGAACATCTGGTTCAAATCCAGGCTCAGCTACCTACTGGTAACCTGTCCTTGGTCAAGTTCCTTAATTCTGGTTCCTCAGTGTCCTCATTTGTAAAATGATATTGGATTAAATGACTGCTATGGTTGCATTTACCTCTGAAATACTGCAGTGCTAAGTAGGACAGCTTTAGCTGTATAAAACCTAGAAATGTCCTTAAAAGAAAAATATGAGATAACTGAAGCTCTCACTTCAAAATCTCCCAAGCATGGCTATTTTGTTTATGTGGTTCATTTGGACTGGACACCTACCATCGATTCCTTTGTGTGAAACCCTGATTTATTTTTTTGTTCAGACATATTACTCATTGGTGTAAGGAACTCTAATAAAGGAAACTCCATCTCCCAGTGCAGATCAGCAAGTGTTCTGTAATTTACAGTCTTAGAAAGTTATGTAGGGCACTGAGAGTTTAAGTGGCGTCAGACACAAGGCTAAAACTCCCATCTTCCTGACTCGTTGTGTACTATTTATCTCCCTCTCAAAACTCTTATCAATAGCTGTAAAATAAATTTCTTTCTGTCTTCATTTACCCTCAGAAATCTTTTTCTGCCCGAGCTGTGTCACGGTCCCATCAGAGAGCAGAGCACATTCTCAAGAACTTACAACAAGAGGAAGAGAAGAAGCGACTTGGTCGAGAAGCCAGCCTCATTACTGCCATTCCCATCACCCAAGAGGCTTGCTATGAGCCTACCTGCACCCCCAACTCAGAGCAGGAAGAAGAAGGTGCACTTTAGTTTCTCATAGAAGTGCGAGACTAAGGGAAGAGATTCATGGGGGGGAAACCTTGATTAAAAATGGTTCAGCATTTCTGACTACTTAGGTAAAGGTGAAAGCTAAAGAATCAAATCCATTGATACGGTCAAGGGAAATGGAAGAATTTTTAAGGACAAAGTAGTCCTGCTTTAAGTGAAATATATTATCCATAATGAAGAAACCAATCAATTAAATTAATTAAACTTTTCACGAGGTTGGAGAAGGATTCCAAACCCTCCGAGGAGCAATGGAAAGCTTATGTCACTGTTTGATGGAAAGCAGTGTAGAGCTAGTCTTAGTTAACTCATTCGATGGCACTTTTATGACGATGGCCAGGTTATGCAGAGGGTTTGTAAACCCAGACTGGACCATTTCAGCGCACGTGGAGCAAACACAACCAACGACTCACTGCTAAGAGATTTCTTAGTGAAGAAGAGCCCTCTTGAGTTTGGGAGTTTTAAGTTCTTACAAGCTCAACTATGCAAGGCACTGGGAACAACACATAGAGAATAGTCTGGCAGATGACTCCAGGAGAACAATTTCCAAATTACTCTTAAGAGCAGTGATATTGCACAGAGTGTTTGGAAGAACTCTTTTGTCTTTCAGTCTAGATGGGTCATTATGTGTGCATATGCACATGTGCATGTTTTCCCCAAAAGGGCAAAGTGAGTCACCCGAGTCTTGTATTGTGGAAAGGAAGGATACTATGAAAATGAAAATCCTAATCATTGTAATGTTAACATTATTAGAAAACCAAAATTTACGTTCTCTGGTTTCTCTGTCAGTAGAAGAAGTCACTAATCTGGCATCCCGACGTCTTTCTGTCAGTCCATCCTGCACATCAAGTACTTCTCATAGGAATTATTCCTTTCGCCGTGGCTCTGTTTGGTCAGTGCGTTCAGCTGTCAGTGCAGAAGGTGAGCCCTGCAGGAAATACACTTTCTCTTTTACTATTCTTCATAATGCTCATGGAGTAAAGTATTTCTCATTTAATCTCATTCATTTCTCATTATTGCATTTTCATAAAGAATATTTTTTTTTACATTTGGCGATCTAGAAGCAATGATGTAAGATACTGTGCTATAGGATTATTTCTCATTCAAACTGACAATCACCCTCTACAAGTGGAGCCAGTTTTTAAAAAATTATTATTACAGGTCTCAATCCCACTACTACATTGATTGCCCACCTCTGCTGAGGGCAGTCCCACAACTACCATGCCAACTTTTGCTGAGTAGGATTTGCTCTGGTTTTCTGTTTTGGCATTGTTTAGCATTTATTTATTTTTTGTTTGTTTTTGTTTTTTGGTTGGGCCATGGGGGTTAAGTGACTTGCCCAGGGTCACACAGCTAGTAAGTATTATGTGTCTGAGGTCAGATTTGAACTCAGGTCCTCCTGAATCCAGGGCCGGTGCTCTATCCACTGTGCCACCTAGCTGCCCCTGTTTCGCATTTTTTTAAAGTCAAACTTAGTTACATTTCTATTATGAGAGAGGCCCATAGAATTTGCATAGCTTTTATGTCCCGGGTAGAAAACCACATAGTGGCCCAATATTCATGTATTGTGGGTTCCAGTAAGCTGACAATTGATTTGTAATGTGGTCACCAATAAACTAGGCAGAGCTTGTGAACCTAGGAGCTTCACTTAGCCATCTAAAACCACATAGATTTAGTGGGCAACTAGACCTTTCTGATGTCTGAGAGTCACACAAGTCAGAATTATGAACCTCAAAAGATACACACATAGGTACAGCTAGGTGGTGCAGTGTATAGTGCACCGGCCCTGGAATCAGGAGGACCTTAGTTCAAATCCGACCTCATAACAAACACTTGACACTAGCTGTGTGACCCTGGGCAAGTCACTTAACCCCAATTGCCTAAAAATTTAAAAAAAAAGTTTAAAAAAAAGATACATGTATGGTTGTTATTAGCTTTGAAACTATAAGAAAGATTTCCATTTCTATTTTGGATACCATTCACCTCAGATCACTCCTATGAGCTAATCTCTGCTCACTTAGGAATGCTTTCAAAATTATTTATTCATGCATCCCTGCTTCCATCTCTGGAAAAAAAAAAGAGTTCTTACTACTAGGTATTTTGTTAATATTTTTCCTATAAACTTTTGAAAGATGGAAGTTGTTACAATCTGATGTTCTTTAAATTAGCACAGGATTATACTGCTTTAAAAATTAGAAATACTTTGATTTCTGAATTGTACTTTAAGAATAGAATAGCACTTAGAGAGAGATTTAGATATATGGATATAGATAGATATAAATGTAGATATATAGACATATGGAGCTATAGATAGATATAGTTTTGGCTGTAAATATAGATGTAGATACAGATATAAGTATACACATATGTAACGTCCCCGCCTCCTTCCTTCAGATGAAGAGCACACTACAGAGCACACGCCTAACCACCACGTGCCACAGCCCCCTCAGGCGGTATTCCCAGCATGCATCTGTGCTGCAGTGCTACCCATTGTTCACTTGATGGAAGATGGAGAGGTTCGGGAAGATGGTGTAGCAGGTACAATTTGGAAAATTACACTGTTACAGCCCCTTAAAAAATATGCCAAGGATCCGCCATGTTTTCATCCTTCCTTGCATGAATCACTTCCATTTTTCCTTTAGAGCTTGCTCTTGATTTCATGTAGAACTCTTCAGCGGAAAAATATGCTATTCTGACCTTCAGCCAAACAGTCAATAATCACTGAGTAAGCACTTACTATGTGCCAAGCACTGTGTTAGGCCTTGGGGATACAAAGAAAGGCAAAAACAGTCCCTCAAGGTACTTACCTTCTGACTGGGGAGATGACATGTAAATACGTATGTACATACGTAAGACATACAAAATAGAAGGAAGATAATCTCAAAGGGGGAGGCAATAGCAGCTGGCAGGATCAGGAAAGACCTCTTACAGAGGGGGAATTTGAGCTGAATCTTGAAGGATGCCAAGTAAATCAGGAGGTCCAGGTAAGGAGGGATAACATTCCAAGTATGGAAACAGTCCACGCAAAGGTATGGAGATGGGGGGTGGAATGTTGGGTTCTGAGAATAGCAGATAGGCTGTTGTAGCTGAATTGTAGAACACCTGGAAGTGAGCAAAGTATAAAAGGACCAAAAAGACAGGAAGGGACCAGCTTATAAAGAACTTTCATTGTCAGGAAGAGAACTTCATAATTGATTTTAGAGGTAAAAGGGAGCCTCTGGGGTTTAGTGATTTGTTGGGGGGGGGGAAGTTAGTTAGAAGATTTGGTCAGATCTATGCTTTAGAAAAATCACTTTTGTAGCTGAATGGAAACTATCCAATTGAGGAAAAACTTGAATCAGGGAGATGAAGTAGAAAGCTATTGCAATTTTCCAGGCAAGAGCATAAACTAAGGTGGTAGTTTTGTGAATGAAGGGGATGTGGTAGAGAAAGAAATGACAAGATGTGACAAGACTTGGATATGTGAGGTGAGTGAGAGGGAAGGGTCAAGGATGATGCCCAGATTATGGGCCAGGGTCACAGTAATGCCAAAGCTTGGAAGAGGTAAAAATGATCTATGGATTCTATATAGCAACTCTAAAAGTCAATCATAAAGAGGCTCGAATTTCCCAAAAGGTAGCTGACAATCATGCTACCATTGATCATAAATGAAGGCAACACTCCTACCCTTGGCTCCACCACCTGCAGACTATATTTGTGGAGCTGTTGTCCTAGGGCATGATGGTGATGGATTTGTACTGATACATCCTCCCTTCTGAACCTCATGCTCCTTTGAAACATTTGTGACTGGGATGATTACAGTTAGAAGTCAGGTTTACTTGACCATTTGTCTAGCTCTCTTTCTGCTGCTTTTCCCTAACGTTCTTCATTTTCATTTATTAAAGTTATTTCTTAATATTGTGCTAATTTGATTTATTAATAATTTTATAAAATGATATACTTGATATTCATATAGTGCTTTAATGTTCACCTAGTGCTTTACACATGTTATTTTGATCCTCACAACCATCCCAGATCCTACCAATATTATTCCTATTTTACAAAAGAGGAAACTGAGTCTCAGAAAGGTTCAATGACCTGCTGCAGTCATACAACAAATACATGTCAGGGGTGTATTCTGAAGCCTGGGCTCCCTCACTCACAGTTTAGTGCTCATCCCATTCTACTACAATGCCTCTGTGACACATATTTAATAAAAACCTAGAAAGCATGTGTTCCTGTATATATTCCATGTAAAAAAATGATCACACCTCACAACAGTAGTCACACAGTTTATTCCCTACTTTCTCCATGCAGAAGAACATGCATGTCCACTTAATGGTGAGTAAACATTCTATAGACCTTTTCAAAGGCAAAAAGAAAACTGGCATTATGTCATAGAAAGTGTTTGTTATTTATAATCTTAACAAGCATCTCCAGATTCCTCCCTTAGATGATGCTTTTTTTTTCTTTAAAAGTGAGTGCTGTAGCCCAGCAGGTCCTGTGGAACTGTCTAATTGAAGATCCTTCAACAGTCCTTCGACATTTCTTAGAAAAACTCACCATAAGCAATAGACAGGTGAATGAATCTTCTGTTATTTTTATAGAAAAGGAAATATGTCATTACAAAGCTAAGTTCACAAATGGTTTCCATATAGACTGGGGTTCCTCTCAACATGTTACTTTGAAAGTTATATCACCATTTGTGGTACTTTTGGGATTGTTATCTATTAAAAAAAAAAAGCACAAATCCAAGTACTCAATGATATATCTTTTTATCCTACCCCAAGCCAGATACTGCATAGATTCAAAGCAGAGGGCATTTATTTAAATGGTATATCAAGGTAAAGAGCAAGAAAAGAACTCCTCCAGAACAGGAAGACATTCCCTCTAGTGACAATGGGAGAGGAAATGCCCTTTGGATACTCCCAGGGTTGCATCCAAGGTAGAACACCTCTTGTGATTCTATCACTTCAGTCTCTCAGCGACCCGATGATGTCTCCCTTCTGACAACAATGCCTCACCTATGTTCCACTCTGACTCTGAAGCTGCTCAGAGCTGCTACTGACATGAATTGCTATAATGATTCTCTACTACAGTGGTTCTCAAAGTGTGATCCAGGGACTGTTGAGGGTCTCCAAGACCCTTTCAGTGCACCCATGAGATCAAAACTATTTTTATGATAATATGCCTCAATTTCTAATATGATAAATATTGATAAATGTAAACTACATAAACAAAAGCTCTTTGGGGGGGGTGTCCTCAATTTTTAAGAGTAAAGGAATCCTGAAAACAAAAAGTTCTCAAAAAACCACTGACCTAGGTATTCATCTCCGTTTAGTTGCTGCCGCCCTTTGCTGCTGGCTTTGTTTTTCCCACTGAGCTGTTGGTGACATCTACTGCTAGGCTGCTGCTGCTTCCTCAAAGGGAGCACTACCACTCTTTTGAGATGCACATATCCTCCAAAATCAACTTATGTCTGTACACTCTCACTCTTGGTGATCTTACATACTTCTGTGGCTTCAATTATTGCTTTTATGCAAGTAACTACTATATCTCTATCCCTATCTCAAATCTATCCCCAAAGCTCCAGGTCCATAATTCCAAATAACTATTGGATAGCCCCAGCCTAGATTTTTCATCAGCACTTCAAACTCACGTGTCTAAGATTGAATTACTGTTCTTCTCTCTAGAACTTGCCCTTCTACCTAACTGCTATTTCTGTTGATGGCCACATGAATCATAGAAGTTTCTAAGGCATCACCAGAGAAATATTCATCTGTATTCTATATACTTTTAATCTTAGGTACATTTTTTTAAAATGTTTTTGAGAACTTCCAATGTACCTCCTCTGTACAGTCTATTGTAAATCTCAATTCAATTCAGCCAACATTTATTAAGTAACTTGTCTATGCAGGACCCTTGCTGTGCTTTGGGGATTCTAAAATAACAATAAAAAAATCTATAAAAGTCTAGAAAGCATTTTCCTCACAACAGCCCTTTGAGATAGGTAATAAAAGACAGTTTCCTGTGCAGGGGTGTTCAACATTAGTGATAAGAAGCTATTTGTTCATTGATGGGTGGCAGTAATTGTGCCTGGATTAGTGCATTTGGTTTCTGAAAAGCAGTGAGAACTCGTGAGGTCGTATCCTTACTTAACCTTTCTAGATGGCCATGGAAAAACAAAGCCAAGATGACAGAATTCAGTCTACCTGGCTTCCTAGGACCTTTTAACCCACATGAGTAGAAGAAAGTGTTGCTTCTAATTATGACAGTAAATTAACCAGACTACATTTTATTGTTCTAGTCTGATTTTCTGTAGCATAGCCTCAGTTAACTTTTATGTATTAAAATGAAATAGTCTACTTACCTCTGGTGGTTGGTTGCTCTGAAAAATTAGCTCCTAGAAAAGGAGCAATGCTGTAGAAGACCTAAATATTATTTTATGACTATCAAGTACTTCTCTATGACAGGTAGTACTATATAGCATTGGAGTCAGGAGACCTACTTCTAATATTCACTAGCTATATAACCTTGAACAAATCCTTAATTTCTCAGAGCCTCAGTTTACTCACCAATAAAATTATATTTCCCCTACCAATATGTTTGTGATGGATGTTCGTGAGGGCATGCCATACAAATGTAAGTTATTATAATTTTGAGAATTCAAAGTAAAATTCAAAGAAAGTAAAATTGTAATGTAGGCAAAAGGTAAGGAAGAATTTACACTGAATTCTCTATAGAATTAAGTTTCTTAAAAGTTGGTATCTAACAGAGAGATAATCGAATGCATTTGAACAACTTTGTGTCTTTCAGGATGAGTTAATGTATATGTTGAGAAAACTTCTCCTGAATATTGGAGACTTTCCGGCTCAAACATCACATATCCTATTTAACTACTTGGTGAGTTTCATTAGTGAAGTAGCATGTGGATGTCGATTCCCCACTAGGAAGCAGCAGCATTTGGGTCCAATAAAGATGTATGTACTTTCAATGGATAGAACTCCGGCCTTGGAGTCAGCAGGACCTGGGTTCAAATCCTACCTCAGACATTTGATACACTGTGTGACCCTGGGCAAGTCACTTAACCCTGATTGCCTCGAAAGAAAGAAAGAAAGAAAGAAAGAAAGAAAGAAAGAAAAAAGAAAGAAAGAAAGAAAGAAAGAAAGAAAGAAAGAAAGAAAGAAAGAAAAGAAAGAAAGAAAAGAAAGAAAGAAAGGAAGAAGAAAGATGTATTTACTTTCAGTATTCAACATCAATACACTTGCTTACTTTGGTGATTTTCTGTGATTTTTTTTTATGTCGGGAAAAATCACGGATCGTTCTTCAAAATATAGATTATCATGGAAATCTATAATGTCTTTCACGTTGCTACTCTTTTTTTATTAGTAAATGGAAGGGGCATGTCATAAGAAAGCTAATGATGATTATCATTAACCATTAATAGGGAAAATATGGTAGAGGGATTATCAGCATTTTACAGAGAGTTAGGGGTATTCTTAGCAGTTAAAGTGCATTACACTTAAGAAAAATATATAAACAAAGAAGAAAGGAAGTATAGTTAATGGATACAGAGCCAGCCTTATAATAGGTACCTAAGGCAAGCAACAGGAATTGGGCTCTCAAATCAACTTCGTAATTTATGATATGAAAATTGTACCTAAAGTAATTGAAGACAACTTTTTGTAATTCATTTGACTGGTGATATGAAAATTATACCTAAATTGATTGAAGATAATTTTTTGTAATTCATTTTACTGGAAAGGTAACTAATAAAGAGAGACAGAGCTGGACACCAAAACAGTGGTACAGGCAATGACCTTGAGCAAGTCACTTCAATACTACAGATTCCTCATAATTACAGTGGTGATAATATTTACATCACCTATTGTGAAAAAACACTTTGAAAACTTCAAAGCACCATAGAAATGTGAGGTATTTTGATGATTATGTCAAATAAATGTTATTTTTATAGATCCTTTTCCTTCACCATCACCGGTACCCCTCCATTTTCTAGCTGCTTTGTTCTCACTACTGAAAATAACAACTCTACTTGGTAGTAGCTGTATGTACTTGGGCAAATTGGTTTCCTCATTCCTACGAAATGAAGGCATTGGACTGGATGACCTCTAAGGTTCAAGGTTCCTTCTAACAATTTATGAATCTATGAAACCTATAGAAAGAAATGGAGGTAATTGGTAGGAGCAGAGACAAGAAGCAAGTCTGGTATATATTGGGGAATAAAGGAAACTGTACCCATATCCTTTTTCCCCATCATTTTTAGACAGCATTAAGAGAGAATAGAAGTATAATACCAATACGATACTCCCATCTGGTGCCTGAAAATCAAAAGCCAGGAACAATAACAGTTGATATTTATATACTTCTGCAGTACTTTGCTGGATCTGGGTATTCACAGGTGTGAAAAATACCACTCCCTCCAAAAGTGAAAGTTTTAATCTACCCATTTGGTTTTATCCCTGGGAGGCAACAGGACACAGTGAAAAGTATTGACTCTGGAGTTAGAGGAGTTGGGTTCAAAGTCTGCTTGTGCTTCTTACTACTTGTGTGGCCTTGGCCAAGTCATTTAACCTCCCTTGGGCCTCACTTTCCTCATCTATAAAATTAAATGCTTGGATTAGATGATTGCTAAGGTATTTTCCAGTTTAAAAAGCTATAACACTAAGATCTCATGATGTCTTCAATATGATTCTATGACCCTCATCATAATGGGTCCATTCAATATACTGGGAACTTTTCTCTGGGCCAGGAGTTCTTAAACCTTTTATGCCATAGACCCCTTTCACAGTCTAGTGAAGGAAGCCTTTGGATTCTTCAGAATATTATTTTTTTTAGCATTTTTTTTGTTTTGTTTTTGTTGCTAGGCAATGGGGTTAAGTGACTTGACCAAGGTCACACAGCTAGTAAGTGTTATGTGTCTGAGGCCAGATTTGAACTCAGGTGCTCCTGTCTCCAGGGCCAGTGCTCTATCCACTGCACCACCTAGCTGCCCCCAGAATAGTATTTTTAAATTCATAAAATAACATACATAGGATTACAAAGGAAACCAATTATATTAAAACACAGGTACCAAAATGTTTTTCCCATCCAAGTTCACAGATCCCCTGCTCTAAATTTATTAATATACTATGAATTCTATGTAGCACTTTATATATCTAATCTCATTTGTTCCTCACTGCAACTAGTGATGTATGTAGTATAAGCATTATTGTTCCCATTTCACAAATGAAGAAATAAAGGCAGTAAGAAGTTAAATGACTTCTCTGGTATTACAGAGCTATCAAGGGGAAGCACTGGGAGTTATATCTATGTATTCTGATTCCAAATCCAAGGTTTTTATTCACTATATCACAGCAGCTTAGAGATAAGTTACTCCACACATATGGCCAGGATGGAGAAAGGAAAAAATAAGCCACCTTGATAACATTTCTTCCAGATCTTACTGGAAGGCAAAGGGTAGTCTGGGGATAGGGGAAACAGAAGCAGACATTAGGAGCCACTCTTTGACACTACCAGTCAAAACTGTTCCAAGGACAGGCGGATAGACACAATCTGAAAGGCAAGTCAATTCAACAAGAATTTATCGAACATCTACTATACTGATAGTGTCTAGGCAAATATGGTACACAAAATATATATCAGCAGTATCTAAAATAACTCTGATGTGACGTGGAAATAGAAAGTTCTATTCTTGACTGAATTATTTCCCCTTTCAATGCTGTATAGAAAAGTATTGATTAGTTCTAAGATCTGTTTCCCATTTACCAGCTCACTGGAGTGCCATCGTGAAATCTGCTAGTAAATGGAACAAAGAGCTTAAAGGATACAAGAAGAGAGTTGTTTTACTGTGAAGGACGGAAGAAATGTTAACATAATCTAAAGTCAGTCATCTAGCCAGAACTAGTGTCCATAGGCATATACTTTCAGCCACAAGATTTTAGTTTTCCTGTTTTTACCAGTGAGATCATAATTAATAGGAAGAGGAGGAAAAGCAGACTCATGGCTTGGATGGCCACAGACTTGTGGATTTTTTTTTACCATAATTACAAACATTGGTTGAAGACTACAGTTTGTGTGGGCTGGAGGACTACCCACACCAGTGAAATCATTTGATGTGTTGCAGAAGGTCCACAATGACCATGTAAACTCTTTGCATTCTATGCCTTCCAGGTAGGATTGATCATGTATTTTGTGCGCACACCCTGTGAATGGGGAATGGATGCCATTTCAGCCACTCTGACTTTCCTTTGGGAGGTGGTGGGATATGTGGAAGGTCTGTTCTTCAAAGACCTCAAACAGACAATGAAGAAGGAGCAATGTGAAGTAAAGCTGCTGGTCACAGCCTCCATGCCAGGTAAGCCTTTCACTTTCAAGGAATCGATCAATATTTATTAAACACCAACTATGTCCCAAGCACTGTGCTATCACTGGGAATACAAAAAGAGGCAAAAGACAGTGACTGCCCTCAAGGAACTTACAATCTAATAGGAGAGACAACATGCAAACAAATATCATTGCATTACTATATATATATATACACACACACACACACACACACACACACACACACACACACCATTTTTTATCTTTTTTTAAGATTACATCTACTCTGTTTAAAGAGCAGGTTCCTCAGCCATGAGATTGGAAACTGTAGAGAGCACCTTTCATGCAAAAATGATCCAAGTCTTATCCCTCCAGAATCCAGTGCATTAAAGAATTCTTGTTTCATATAGTCTAGGGAATGACAATAGTACCTTTAAAAAATCAGCAGTTGCCAGATTAAAATGGAGACATGAGAACTAAGATCCGTGTGAATCAGTCCTTGAGGACCTGCCAATTTTGAACATTTAAAAGGTCTGTCACAGGGCAGCCTGCTGAATTTGAAAGGCTTTCTGATTGGAATTTTGGCACTAAAAGGAGTATTGTGTTCATGTCAGGGGTCCCACAGATTTGTAACCTGCGTGGGCGAATGCTCAATGAAAAAGGAAAAGATTAATGATCACAAAGAAAGAAACAGTTAGAAAAGAGTGAGGAGAACGATCTAAACTCTAGACTTTTAAAACATCGTGGATGACTTAACTTTTCTGAAGTAGTCTACAAAGTGTTTTTACACTAACACAGTGATTATGAGATCCTGTATAAGTTGGAGTAGAAAAATAAAACATCACTTCTAATATTCTGACTATTAATTGTCAGTGAAAAGGATCATTTAGTATTATTGCAAAGTAATCTGTAGTTATTGACACTTTGAATTATCTCATTTAATTATGAAAAATCAAACATCGGCAATTAGAAAGTGGAAGTGCATGAGCATAACTTCATGAGCCAAGCAAGAGAGAGAAAACCTAGTTTGAACTACGTTTCAACTCCTTGGTTGCTAGAAGAGCTTAGCTCTGGTTTGGTTTGGTTTGGTTTGGTTTTTCAATTTCTCAATACTCGGGGTTCCTTATGTGTTAAAGGACAGGTTGTTTGTCTCAAGTACGGATTTTAAAGTGAAATGTAAGTAACAACAATTAAAATAGCCTTTCTCAAGAATTGATTACTGTTAGTGACTAGAGTTCTCTTGATGATCTTATGCACACATAAGAAATATCCCATTTCTGTCATGGAAGTGACAGCATATGAAAATTTTTCTTTTCCCTAGGTACCAAGACTTTGGTTGTACATGGGCAGAACGAGTGCGATATCCCAACCCAGTTACCTGTACATGAAGATACGCAATTTGAAGCTCTTTTGAAGGTGGAAATGACTTACTGACCAGTGTATAATGTCCTCTTTTTGTGGGTTAATCATCTCAGCGAAAATCTAGTTTAGAATTCCATGGCGTCTTTGCTCCTTCGTACAAATCTCTAAATTCATTTGCTTTGGGAAGAAAACACTGTAAGGTTCTGTGCACATTGCTTTTCCTGTTAACTTTAAATTAGAATGTTGGAACTTGTACACACTCTTAGATGCAAAAGCAGCTTGGCAGCAGTGGATCCAAAAACCAAAATATGACCGCATAACCACTTTGGTTATACTAAGGCCATCAGATTAAATTCACTGAACATTTTTAAGTGACCAATATATGTGAGGCCTTGTACTATATACAGGAAATACAAAGACAGAAACATAATGTCTTCAGGAGTTTGTATCCCACTAAGGGGAAACATAGATAATGAATTACTTTAGACACAGTCATAGATAGTTAACCCAGACTCTCCAATTAAACAATAACTCTGGGCTCATAGACTGGGTCCAGATCTGGGTACTAACCCCAAAAGTGTCACTTTTCTCTCTTTGATTCATGGCCCCCCATGTAGAGTTACTAATTTCATATAATATACTAATGGCATAGTTTATATCTTGGTTTCCCAAAATATGAGTAAAATAGGTCTTCCTCAAGGAAGCACATGAGAATTGGATGTGAGATAGCCTATATTCCAACTCAAAAAAATGCATTAGATACAAAAGACTCATTGGAGCCCATGATATGAGAGGAAAGAGACAGAGGCAGAAAGAGATAGAAGAGAGAAGGAAAGAGGAAGAAAGGAAGAAAGAAAAAAGAAAAGGAAGGAAGGAAGGAAGGAAGGAAGGAAGGAAGGAAGGAAGGAAGGAAGGAAGGAAGGAAAAATTATGGGAGAAGGGAAGGAAATTTTATATTTTTTCTGAAATTATTATATAATTTATACTCTGATTTTTTTAGAGTCTTCTAATTGGCCTTCCTGCTTCAGTCCTCTTCCCTCTTCAATCCATCCTCTGCATGACTGCCAGAATAGTCTTTTTAAGTCACAGGTGTGACAATGTCACTCCCTCATTCAAAATCATTCAGTGTATCCAACCTACCTTTCTAGTCACATTTTTATTATTCTCCATCAGCCTAGAATATGTACTATCATCTCATATCTATTCTTAGAATACTTACATTCTTTCTAGGCTCAGCTTATGTGCCCCTTTCTCCTTGAAGCCTTATCTCATCACCCTGGTCCTGAGGACTCTTTCTAGTTCAATTTAGTCTGTGTATTCTATTCTGGATACATATCATACCCACCAGAGGAATGTAAATCCTTGAGGGCAGTAATTGTTTTTTGGTGTCTTTGTATTCCTAGTATAGTGGACTGGCCACCTATTAGATCTTTGTCAAATTGAATTGAATTCAATCAAGATTAAACCCTGTGTACAATAACCCTTCTTTTATCTAGATGTCAGCTTGTAGGCAACTTCAACCAAAATACAAATCAGTATTCAAAAATGGCAAGGGATGGGTAACCCTCTTGGCCAAGGGGAAAATGAAACTTATGTATTTTACTTCATTGGAGAACTACAAAACCACCTTCAGTCCTTAACCCAAACAACAGGATGCAAAGCACAACACTGGCTTAGAAACAGCAAGGAAACACTGAGTCTGAAAATGTGATAGCATTCAATAGAAGGAGGCAGAAACTATAAAAAGCAGACAGAAAAGCAATGAGCACACTACAGTGTAGAGGCAGCTTGACACTTCTTTAGCCTTTATATTAAAGCCCATTACCATTCATGTTTATCATGAAAGTGCTGAATCCTCTAACTATATTCTCATATACTCATCATATTTAGTGTTCTATGTTTAATCAGTCAATTAATAAACATTTATTAATCACTTACTAAATGCCAGGCAATGCTTAGCTGAGGATACAAATAAAGGCAAAAACAGTTTCTGCCGTCAGGTACCTTACATGGGGGAAACAATATGCCAATAACCAGCTACATGCAAGATACATACACACAGTCAGTTAATTTTATATGGGAAGTCTCTGGCAGTTAGAGGGACTGGGAAAGGCATCCTATAAAAAGTGTCATTTGAGCTGTTTTAAACGATGCTAGGGATTCTAAGAGGCTGAAGTGAGGGAGAGAACATTCCTAGCCTGGGGACAGATGGTACAAAGGAGATAGGAAATGGAGCATATGGTTTAGAAAGATTTCAAATCACTCATTAAGTACCTACTAGGTGCCAGGCACTACAATAAGCTTTCTATAGAAGTATTTTTTAAATATTTGTAACTTAAAGAGGGTAAGCCTCAGTTTTCTGGAAAATTCATCTATGTGAAATAGCTCATTGCTCAACCATATCAGATAAATAACGTTACCATATATAGTTTTCCTCAGCAGATGGACTAGTAGATGAGTGACTAAAATATATATATATATTTTTTTATTCTAGGAGTGTCTAGAGTTTTTTAACATACCAGAAACCCAATCAACACATTACTTTCTCATGGATAAACGATGGAACCTTATCCACTATAACAAGGTATGGACGGCTGTTAAAAAGCTCATTTTGAACCATGTTTAAAGCTTCTGATATCTCATCCTTCTGACGTACCTTTAAGTGATAAAAGAAATGGACCAAATATTAATTTGTGTAAATTTATCCTCCTGTAAAATTCTTATTTCACTTTCTTAAGCCATTAAACTTAAATGCTTCCAGCCAGTGGGCAGGGGAAAGCCACAGTGAGGTGACTAACATATGAATGGAGTCAATCTCCTCTCCTTAAATAATTACCTACCTCTTCGGGTATTTCTGCATCTAACATATTCTGCTAGCGACCTGGATAAGCTGATCCAGCTTACCCCAAGAGGAGACCTGAGGCGTTCTGGCTCATTTGGAACAGGAAGAATCTAAGAAACAGGAAGACAAAGAAATGTGCTTTTTGTTTGTCTGACCTTCAGTTTTCCTTTCTCCTTAATATAGAAAAAATAACCTTTTGAAACTTTTTTATTTTTTCTTTCTTATGCTCCCACTACAGACCTATGTGCGTGACATTTATCCTTTCCGGAGGTCTGTATCGCCTCAGCTGAACCTTGTACATATGCATCCGGAAAAAGGCCAAGAACTCATTCAAAAACAGGTCTCCTCAACACTACAGTGTTCTTCAATAGTCTAAGTATAACAGTTGTCACCTATTTGGATTCTTTATAGGGAGTTACATATAAAGCATTTTAAAAATATATAATGTATTTATATACACACACATATATGAGACATATAGAGATATACAGATATATAGAGATATACATATGTACATATGAATGATGGCTGGGAGGTAGAAACTCAGAGTTACTCTAACTTGACTTTCTCTACTACTGATTTATAAATTATTTTTTCATATATCTGGGCCTGGAGTCAGGAAGAGTCATATCCCTGAGTTCAAATCTGGCCTCAAGACACTTACTAGCTGTGTGGCGCTGGGCAAGTCACTTAACCCTTTCTGCATCAGTTTCCTCATATGTAAAATGAGCTGGAGAGGGAAATGGCAAACCACTCTAGTGTCTTTGCCAAGAAAACCCCAAATGCGGTCACGAAGAGTCAGACACAACTGAAAAAACAACTGAACATGAGTGATCGTTTGTATTTCTTCCTTTGAAAATTGCCTGGTCAGGACAGCTAGGGGGCGCAGTAGATAGAGCACTGGCCCTGAAGTCAGGAGGACCTGAGTTCAAATCTGGCCTCAGACCAAACACTTGACACTTACTAGCTGTGTGACCCTGGGCAAGTCACTTAACCCCAACTGCCTAACAAAACAAACAAACAAACAAACAAAACAAAATGAAAATTGCCTGGTCATATCCTTCCACCATTTAGCAGTTGGGAAATGACTCTGAATTCTTGTAAATTTGAATCAGTTGCTTATATATCTTGGAAATGAGACCTTTATCAGAGAAATGTGCTATAAATCTTTCTCCCACTTAATTGTTTTTTCCTTCTAATCTTACTTAGCTGCATTGGTTTTCTTTGCATAATGCATATATGATTAAAATTATCTACTTTATCTTGTGTTAACTTCTTTAATCCTTGTTTGGTCATGAACTCTTTCCCTATCCATAGATTCAAAATATAACTTCTTTATTTCTCTAATTTGTTTATGATTTGACATGTTAAATCTAAGTCAGGTATTCATTTGAAGCTTATCTTGGTATGTGAGGTGAGGTATTCCTTGTTAACTGAAAAACATATAAATATGTATAAATCTAATTGAAAAGCACCAGAAGCAGCCCAATGAGGCTGGCTTTCAGTGATTTTTTTTAAACAGCCCCTTAACTGATCTGCAGTGGATCAATGTAAGTGAAAGAGAAAAAGAAAAAAAAAGACAGGGTGGAAAGATGGAAAAGGAGCAATGGACTTGGAATTCGAAGACCTTAAATTTTAGTCCCATTTTTGCCACTGACAAGCTGTGTGACCTTGAGGAAAATCACTTCTTTCCTCTGGGCCTCAATCTCCCCATCTATGATATTAGGTCCTTTTTCAGCTCTTGGAATCTACACGTAGAAAAGAACACAGTAAACAAAGTTGATCCCAAATCAGACTTGAATAAGAAGCAAATTTAATGCTATGGTAATATAACTGCATTATATAACTCTAACAGTGAACCAAAGGTTATTTTTAATAAAATTATTAAAATCAGCTATTTAAGCATCATTGCTAACTTGTTTTGACACCTGGAGTATATCACTGAAATTTATAACTCAATTAAATCTCCTGGTTGTCATATTGATTTAACATTAATAAGACCTGTGGTCAAAATTTTTTTAACTTTTTTTTTTTAATCACTTTGGTCATCCTGTGTGTATAAAGGACAAGTTAGTTGATTCCAGGACAGAGAATCAAATTCAGGCCAGCTTTAAGGGGGATTTCAAAGAGATGTGCATGGTATTTAGTCAGTCTCTGCCCTAATTATAATTATGGTCACCATTAATTTACATAGTCTGCTATTTTTGAAAAGGAAAAATGAAAGATCATCCAAACACATATGTGTATATGCAAGTATGGGTTTGTATCCCATACATGTTCTTGAATGATATGAAAAATTTCCAAGACTCTTAACCTGCAAGTTATTCTGCAAAAAATTTCCTAAAACAGTCATTCTAGTCCTTGTTTCCAGTAGCAAAATGACAAGATCCATAGAGTGTTCACAATGTAAGAATTGCTTTAATTAACTTTTCACAAAAAAAAAAGGAAAAAGAAAGGAAAATAGCCAGAAGACTAAGCATTCAAGATAAGATATTGTCAGGAAAAAAAAAACAAAACTTTTTTTTAAACCTAACCCAATGTGGTACTTTTACAAACTGTCATATTTGTTTCATGCACTGATTTTGCTGAACTATTTTTTTCCTCCTCTTTTTGTATACTTTATTATAGAAGCTGGTTCTAGGGTGAAGGCTTACATACAGGGTTTTCCAAGAGTCTTAGTGCAATTTGAAATTTTAACAGCAGAAATAGTTTTAATAACCCCACCCCACCCCAAATTTATCTGTTTTCTAAATTTGGATTGTCATAGCTTATTTTTCCTTAAAGCCAACATACATATAACTCTGAACAAAAAAAGTCAGTCCAATGCAGTAGATCAACCTAGGTGAAAAAGAAAAAGAGGCAAGGTGGTGAGATGGAGAAGGAGCAAAGGGATTAGAATTAGGGAGCCTTAAATTTAATCCCAGCTAAAGCTTTAATAGCTTAAAACTGCACACTGACTTTTAAGACACCCTGTATTAGAAAAAATATTAACAAAAATTTTTAAGTAACCCAAAATGGCACTATGTCAAAATTCTACCATTTTTGATGGCATGCTTTTTTTTTTAAATCTTCATTTTATAAAAGGCCCTCATTCTACATGTAAGTCAACTGGATTCTCAGGTTTTTTTCACTTGTTCCTACAAAGTGAGTGTCACAAAATAAAGTTGAATGTGTGACCCAAGTTCTGAAATATGATGGATTAAAGAAAGGAGATGAAAGGGCTTCTGCATTTCTTTTCTTTGTTGATGCTGAGCCTGGAGACTCCAATTATCAAAAGAAGGGGAGCTACAGAGGAGCAAGATAGTTTATTTTTAAATTTGAAGTTCATTTTTTATTCTCTCAAAGACAACTGTACACAAACTGTATCTTAAAAGTACTGAAATTTCAAAGGAAAACAGGCAATATGTTTCACCTCTTATTCATTCCTCAGGTTGGAAGGAAATTTTTTAATGGGACAAATTGTTAGCCATTCCTCAATTAATGGGCTTAAACTTTGTTTCCAGTTATATGCTATCCAAAAAGTACAAAGACTTTTTTTTCTCCATTCAGCTGCTTCATGATGAATTTTTTTTAAGGCAAAGGGAAACCTAGTCCATGTGACATAAATTCAGAGTGAGAACTATATTTCTCTGAAGGCCACCAAAGACTTTAATTAATTACATGGTTTGTTTATTGATTGTGGGTTGTTACACTCATCCCTTGGGTTCATTTATGTAAGAAAACAGTGGTGAGCTAATAGGCAACAACAGAAAGAAGGAGAATAAAAAAGGGCAAATGTTGGAACTACCAATCAATTCCTACAAGGAATCCCTTATTTCATAACACAGAAGCAAACAAAGAAAAAATGCTCTATTTCAAATGATAGAGACAGACAGAAAGACATATATACATATATATATTATATATATATATGTTATATACATATATATATTATATATATATGTATATATATATATATACACACACACACATAGAAAGACAGAGACAGAGAGGCAAACATACATAGAAATAGAAACATAGAGAGGTAGATAGATACATAGATAGATGGAAAAGAAAGCATTCATTAAGCATATACTTCATGCCAGGCCATGTGCTAAGCACTGGGTATACAAATACTAGCAAAAAAAAAAAAGGTAGTCCTACCCATAAGAAGCTACTACTAGGAGACAAAATATAAAAGAAAGCTGGAACTCTATACTTTTAATGTATGCTTTTGTATTCCACAGGAGTTTGAAATATATACGAAACCCTCTTCTATGTTAGAGTAATAGAAGAAAGAAATGAGTCAATAGAGGTATTCTTTAACCTCTCTGTACAATAAGGAGAAAAAACGCTTCCCCCTTGTTTTCACCAAGATCTTTTTATTTTTTTCTACTTTGGGCTTTGACATTTTGGAGCTTTTAACTCTGGTCATCTGGCTTTTCTATTATTTGTTTGAGCAGGTATTTACCCGGAAGCTTGAGGAAGTAGGACGGGTCCTGTTTCTCATATCCCTCACCCAGAAAATCCCCATTGCCCACAAGCAATCCCATGTTTCAATGCTCCAGGAGGATCTTCTTCGCCTTCCTTCCTTTCCTCGAAGTGCTATCGATGCTGAGTTCTCACTCTTCAGTGATCCTCAAGGTACAGGGGAGGCCATTGTACCCTCTTTTTTCTGCTTCCCTTTGTCTCTACTTAATTTCAGGGGGCTTCTTTATCACGGCTCTCAGGAAGCTCACTGTCTGTTCAGCAATGCATGGTGCATGAGGTTATCCTGTAGAGAAGAAAAGCTGTGTGGTATAGTGGAAGGGCAGCTAGGTGGTGGAGTGGATAAAGTGCCAATCCTGGAGTCAGGAAGACTCACTTCCAGAGTTCAAATCTGGTCTCAGACACTTACTAGCTGTGTAACCCTGGGCAAGGCACTTAACCTTGTTTACCTCAGTTTCCTCATCTGGGAAACGAGCTAGAGAAGGAAATGGTAAACCACTCCAGTATTTTTGCCAAGAAAAACCCCAAATGGAGTCATGAGGAGTCAGACACAACTGAAACAACTGAACAACAACAATAGTAGAAGGAGCCCTGGCCTTGGATTCAGGTGATGCAAATTTGAATCTTGGCTCTGCCACTAATTAACTAGATATTAGAAGTGTCCACAGCAAATGAATTCACTTCTCTCTGTGGCTCAGTTTCCTCATCTGTAAAATGGAGACAATATTGCCTACACTATCTACTTCATAGACATGATGTGAGGAAAATAGTTTGCAAGTCTAAAGATATTTTTTGGTGCAAATCTGTGATTTCATTGATGTTAGAAACCAATGGTAAGAAAACTCTCTGTACTAATAGAGACCGGCAAATGTTCTGCCATTTGTAGTCTTATAGAGTCACCTGAGGCTATGAGAGGTTAAGAGACTTGCCCAATCATGCACGAGCAGAATATGTCAGCGGTGGAGTTTGAACTCCATTCTTCCTAACTCCAAGGCTGAGGGACTGTCTCTCCACTATGCCATACTGCCTCTAAGGAGCCGCCTAAAGGTCTTGCCTTCTCAAGCTGACTGTGCCAGCACATTATTCTGTCTCTATTGCCCTTAACAGCTGGGAAGGAGCTATTTGGTCTGGATACGCTTCAAAAGAGTCTATGGATTAAGCTTCTGGAGGAGATGTTCTTGGGGATGCCCAGTGAATTTCCCTGGGGAGATGAAATCATGCTTTTTCTCAATGTGTTCAATGGAGCCCTGATCTTACATCCAGAAGACAGTGCCTTGCTCCGGCAATATGCGGCCACTGTCATCAACACAGCAGTGCACTTCAACCATCTTTTCTCTCTCAGTGGATACCAATGGATTCTCCCTACTATGCTACAGGTAAGTCTGAATCTTCTCATCTTTCCCTTTTCAGTTTCAGTAGAGGAAAATATCTTTATTTGATGAGGAAGCAAGAACTATGTTCAAGTCTTTCAATTGCTTAACTTTGTTCTCTTGCTGCATCATAAGGTATCTTACAAAGTTCTCCTGATAATGAATCCATCAACCAACAAGCATTTATTACTGTTTACTATATGCCAGGCACCATTTTAGGACCTGGCAAAATACACAGAATGAAATAAACCCTTCTCACAAGATGCTTACATTCTAATAGAGAAGTGGGGGAACATAAGAACCTAGGTAAAGAGAATAAAATAAAAGAGAAAAAATACAAAGAAATACAAAGAAGTTAAATTCATGGTAGTTTGAATAGGAGGGCACTAGTAGCTGTGAGATGAAGAAAGGCTTCGTTGATGTCTCCTTATTGGATTTCCCCCAGCCTTAGCTATGTTTTCCCATTTTCTCTTGATAGAACAAGTTATACTCTATGTTTTTGTTTCCCATCTTTAACAATTAACTGTTATTATGTATGATGGGATAAGAGTGCTAGATTTGAAGTATGTAGATAGTACAAGCATTTATTATTCCCATTTTTGTAAATAAGGGAAAGGGAGGTAATAAGCATTTATCTAGCACCCACGAAGTACCAAGGCAGCTAGGTGGGACAGTGTATAGACTGCCGGATCTGGAGCTGGGAAAACCTAAGCTCAAATCTGGCCTCAGACACTTATTAGCTGTGTGACCCCAGGCAAGTCACTTGATCCTGTTTGCCTCAGTTTTCTCATTTGTAAAATGAGCTCAAGGATAAAATGGCAATCAGTCCAGTATTTTTGCCAAGAAAACCCCAAATGGGGTCACACAGAGGCAGACATGGCTGAACAACATCATGTAGCAGGCACTATGCTAAATGCTTTTTACAAATATTGCATTTGATTCTCACAACAGTCCTGCAAGGGAGATGGTATTATTATCGCCATTTTATAGTTAAGGAAACTAAGGTGAACAGAGGTTAAGTGACTTGCCCAGGGTCACACAGCTAGTAGGTGTCTCAAGCCAGATTTGAACTCAGATCCTTCTGACTCCAGGTCCAGGGATCCATCCACTGGGCTACTAGCTGCCTCATAAGACTCAGAAAGGTTAAGGTACTTACCCAAAATCTCACTACCGGCAATTGGCAGAACAGGGACCTTAACGTTGGTTTTTCTAACATCAAATCCAGTGTTCTTTACATTACAGATTGTAATTTATTACAAGCAATTATTTTTGTCCTTTTACTTTATTCAGGTGTATGCTGATTATGAAAGCAACCCACAGCTGCGTCAAGCCATTGAATTTGCCTGTCATCAATTCTACATTCTTCATCGAAAGCCATTCGTGCTACAATTGTTTGCTAGTGTGGCACCTCTCTTAGAATTTCCTGTGAGTAAAGTCTCTCCCTTTCTTTGATCTCTGGAACAACACTGATGGAGTAATTCCTTTCTGCTTTATTCAGGCAAACATATCCCACATGATCACCCTAGGCTGGCTTCAGTTGTCCCCCATTAGGTTCCAGAAGGGCAGTTTCTCTTTTTTGGTCACCATTTTGTAAATGAAAAAATAACCATAAGAATATGTTTCAAGGGCCAAAGACGCCAACCCAATGTAAACAAACCATCAATTATTATGAAAAGGGAATTGGTCAAAAAGTAAAGATGTTTCTGACTATCCACATTTCTAAAGAAATTTAACTGATGAAATAATCATCACAATGAAGAGGCTGAAAGATTTGAGAAGCTGCTTTTCTCATCAAACACATGAACTCTTTGTCAAGCAGAAAACAGCATTCAAGAGTATCACTGGTTTAGAGTATGTTTATTTGCAAAACACCATATTAGTGACAAAAATCAATATACGGTATCTCATAGAACAACAAAAAAATCATTAAGGAAAAAGATTAGTCTATAGGCAGCTTAGAATGAGACTCAATGACACTAAGTCATCCCAAGAGCATTTTGTAGATGAAATCAGAAGCAGGACAACAAACAGATCAGAAGTAGAACAGATCTGCTAATATTTCTTCACAGTGATCTATCTCCTCAGAAATTATTGTGGAGTCACTGTATTTGATTTGTACAACCTCAGTACTTGATGAACTATGTGAAGCAGTGGCATTTCAGAAAGGCACCTTTAGAAGAGGGAGAAAAGCGGCTGAATGTGATCAAATATATATAGAAGAAATATGTTCTTGAGATATCATAACTCTTGGATCTGTTTTAAAGATATCTCAAAGAGGGGCAGCTAGGTGACACAGTGGATAGAGCACCAGCCCTGGAATCAGGAGGACCTGAGTTCAAATCCGGCCTCAGACACATAACACTTACTAGCTGTGTGACCCTGGGCAAGTCACTTAACCCCATTGCCTAGCAAAAAGCAAAAAAAACAAAACAAAACAAAGATATCTCAAAGAGAAGAAGAGCCTAAAGAATGGAAAAGATGAAAAGCAGTACTTTCTGCCCCTTCCCACCTCAACAAAAAGGAGAAAACTAAGAAAACATCAATAACTACCTACTCATATCCCTATAAAGTCTTATGAGTAAAGTGCACACGTACTTTGAGGAATCTTTGATGAAAGCATGAGATGAGTAATAATAGCTAATGTTGACGTAATTTTAACTATGTACCAAGCACTGTGCTAAGTGCTTTACAGTTGTTATCTCATTTGAGTCTTACAGCAACCCTGCAAGGTAGACGCTATTACTACTCTCATTTACAGACAAGGAAAGTAAGGCAAACAGTGGTTAAATGACTTGCCCAGACTCAAACAGCTAGTAAGTATCTGAGTCCAGATTTGAACGCAGGCCTTCCTGACTTTCAGCCCAGGGCTCTATCCACTCCATCACCTGTCTGTCACATATAGTCAACCTTTGTGAATGAATTTCTGTAGCAGACCACAGCTTTATGGTTGGACAATTGACAAAGGTGTAAAAAATATAAAATCCCTTTGTGTTTATTGTTTATCTTTCTATAAGAATTATAATCAATAGATCAAACTGTATTTTCAAAAGCTCTCCTCAAAACAGAGATCTGCCATGAACATTGTAAAGTTATAAAAGACTCTGCAGTGGACATTTCCAAAGAGTTAACTGAGTTCAAGGGTTCTCTGAGGATTGACACCAAGCGAGCTATAAAACAAGGAGATGTTCACTCACTAAAGGTTGAGATCAAGGAGATTGTCTTACATCAAGTTAAAATAAAAGGATTCTCTTTTAATAGTTACGCTCTCCTAATGATTTTATTCACAGATCACATTGTAGGGGTTTCACTGAATGTCCAAGTACTACAAAACTCCTTAATGTAATCTACTACAGTACAAAAAAGATTGGTCTAACTACCTACAAGTATAAACAAAGTAGACTTAAAAATGTAATTGCTCGGATTTCCCAGATTTAGATAAACAGGTAGACTGGTAAGTTTGTCATTACATACATGCATGCATACATACATACACACATGTACATGCATATGTATGTACATTTACAAGTATGTATAAATATATGTTTATACACACACACACACACACATACACACACATCATATAGATCTTAGGAGCAGCTAGGTGGCACAGTAGATAGAGTGCCTGGGCAAGGAGACCTGAGTTCAAATTTGGCCTTAAACATTTACTAGCCGTGTGGCCCTGGGCAAGTCACTTAACTCTATTTGCCTCAGTTTCGTCATCTCTGAAATGAATTGGAAAAGGAAATGGCAAACTACTCTGGTATCTTTGCCAAGAAAACCCTTTAATTGGGGTCATGAAGAGTCACACACAACTGAAATGACTGAACAACAAGAAAAAATATCTTTGGGACTACAGATGTCCACAAAGTATACCCAGCATTCAGGAGAAAAAATCAAACTAGGTCACATTTGGGAAACGGCATAGTACTTTCAGTGATTGCTATTAATCACTGCTCACTGCCCAAAAAGACCAGTTCAACCCCGACATTTTCTTAATGGTGTTATATGGCCATAGATCATAGAACACCAGAAACTTGAACAAATCAAAATTATATGTGACTCAGAGGATACATTATGAATCTAAGTAAATTGAAGCATTCTTTACCAACATTGGCTTGTACAAAATTGTCAATAAAAGGCATTATCTAGTACATATATGACTGAAAAAAGAAACAAGCCTTTTCAATGCAATGAACATGAAAGAAGACATGTAGGTAGCCTAAGTGCCACACTGGAAACCTCCAAATTTAAAGAACAGAACAAGGCCTCCAAGCATGTTGCATGGATCTTGTGGGAGCAGATTATTGCAAGACATGGCCAAGAACTGCACAGAATAAGAAGGGGTAGGGAGATGACAATCTGCATGAAATTGTAGCGGCATCAAAGTGCCAATGATGGTGAGTAAATCTCTCTCCTCATCCTCTCAGAGATAAGGGGTTATCTCTTATAGGAAAGAAAAAAAAGAAGAGAAAAAAGAAAAAGAAACAGTCTGGCAGAACTAACCAGCACATTAAGCAGATCCAACATTATATGCAGTGTTCCATACCCAGAGCCTCCCACCTCTGCAAAGAAGGGAGGAGGCCCATCCTGATATCTCATCTTTGGGAAACAACTTGGTCATTATAAGTCAAGTTGTGATTATTGTTTTTGTTCTTTCCATTCATGTTATTATCATTGTGCACATTGTCTTCCTGGTTTTGCTCCCTTCTGTTTGCACCAGTTCATGTACATATTTCCATGTTCCTCTGTATTCTTCACATTCATAATTTCTTCAGTGTAGTCATAAGCCATTGCAATCACATGCCACAGTTTCATTAGCTATTTTCCAAATGGTGGAGATCTACTTTGTTCCCAATTCTTTGCTACTACAAAAAAAGTCTCTCCCTTTCTTTTAAAGAAATCAGTTGAACACAAAACTGTACTCAAATAGTTATTATGAAAAAAAAATTATATGCCTTCATAGGGAGACTTCATGGGAAGAGGTCACCTTATCTCTCTGGTTCTAGGGAATGGTGTGAAGAACATAAGAGAGAAAAGAGATTTCTATAACTGTGGAAAACTGAAACTTAATTCAGAGAGAATACATTTATACTAACTACTCTGGAATAATCTGCAAAAATGACTGAATGAAGCTTCTGATTTGCAATTTGAAAGCTGCATAAAAATAAATCTACTCATTGCCCCTTGACACTTTGATGCAGCTGCAGTTTTATGCAGATTGTCATCCTCCAACCCCTTATTCTGTGCAGTTCTTGGCCATGTCTTGCAATAATCTGCTCCTACAAGATCCATGCAACATGCTGGAGGCTTTGTCCTGATTCTTTCAAAGTTCTGAGTTTCTAGTATGGTACTCAGGATACCCACATATCTTCTTTCATGCTCATTGCCTTGAAAAGGCCTGTTTCCTTTTCCAGTCATAGATGTCCTAGTGCCTTTTACTGGTATTTTTTGTGAAAGTCAAAGTTGGTAAAGAATGCTTCAATTTACATAGGCTCATAATGTATCCTCTGAGTCACATACAATTTTGATTTGTTCAAGTTTCTGGCGTTCTATGATCTATAGCCATGTAACACCATCAAGAAAATATTGGTGTTGAAATGGTCTTTTGGGGCAGTGAGCAATGATTAATAGCAATCACTGAAAGTACTGTGCTGTTTCCTAAATGTGACCTAGTTTTGTTTTTTTTTAAAGAGAAGTATGTAAAAGGCTCCCAAGCCATCTTGCTGCTTTATTTTATATAGAAATGGGTAAGCAAACATATATGGTTTGTTTTTTTTTTCATTTGACACTTGAATCTTGATTAAACTGTGCAAACAGAGATTTCGATATGAAGGTGGAAATCCATGGTTTAAAAAAAAAACTTTGTCATTTACACAGGATGCTGCCAATAACGGGCCTAGTAAAGGTGTGTCAGCACAATGCCTGTTTGACTTGCTGCAGTCTCTGGAGGGAGAAACCACTGATATATTGGACATCTTGGAACTGGTAAAAGCAGAAAAGCCTCTGAAATCTTTAGGTAAAAAGCAAATCTCCTTAAAATCCATTTTTCCCATAGCACTGATTTTTTTTAAATTTAGATTTGCGCATCAAGACAGCATGAGACATATAGGCCAATAATGTGAATTAGATGGGGACATTCCACCTCTTCTGTATTCTCTTGAGTGCCATTAAGTACCACCTCTAGAAAGTTAATAAAGCTTGTACCATGAAAAATGCTCTATAACCTGTGCAATATGGATTACTAGGTAATAGTGCAGTCTATAGAAAACAAAGATCATACTGGACAGTCATATTTTGCTTCTTTGTCTTTTGAACCATCTTCAAATGTTTGTTCTGAGGGAATATCCCTATAAAATATGTCTTTGTTATTGTCACAAAGTATAGTACCATCTTGTATACAGGAGGGTTCTTAACTTCAATTTCATGAACTTGTTTTTTAAAATATTTTGATGATCATATTCAACATAATTGGTTTTATGTGTAATCAAATGTATTTTCTGCTTTTCAAAAGTACTAATCTGAGAAGGGATTCATAGGTTTTATCCGACTACCAAAGGGATCCATGACGCAAAAAGGGTTAAGAACTCCTGGTTCAAGACCATCGTAAACAGTAACAGCAACATTATATGATGATCAGCTGTAAATTACTTAGTTATTCTCAGCAATACTATGATCCAAAACAATTCCAAAGGATTCATGATGAAAAATGCTATCCACATCCAGAGAAAAAACTGATGGAGTCTGAATGCAGAATGAAGCATACAATTTTTTCATTTTTTTCAGGTTTTTTCCTCTTGGTCTGTTTCTTCTTTCACAGCATGACTAATGTGAAAATATGTTTTACATGATTGCATATATGTAACCTATATCAAATTGCTTACCATCTTAGGGAGAGGGGAGGTGAGAGAAGGAGGGAGAAAATTTGGAACTCAATTTTTTAAAAATCGAATGTTAAAAATTTTCTTTACATATAATTAGGGGAAAGTAAAATATTATTTTAAAAAGAACTGGTTGAGAGGAAGGAAATTATTTACATGATTAAAAGACAAATTATCTTTTCTTCTTATCCTTAGACTTAGAGAGATAGGTTGGAATAGTAAATAGACTGCTGATCTTGGAATCAGGAAGACCTGGAATCAAGACTTGCCTGAAGCACGTATTTTATGTGACAATAGAAAAATCATTTAATTTCTCAATGTGGTAGGCACCTTTCTAAGACTACAAGTTACAGATGAGTAGTTGCCAATTTGCATTGGTTGAGGGAATTTCTACACCAGGAATTTCCTACACTGATGAAATAATAAGTATAGATTCTGCCAGACCTTAGATTTGCAGAATATGCAAGTGTCATCTTCCATTTCTAATCCATAGAGAAATAATTAAAAATAAAAGAGCATCTAATCTAGAGAACTGTGAGACTGATAGGGCGAAAAAATGAAAGAATGCTTTCTCTTAAGGACTAAGACCTAAAAAACATGTGGCATCCAAACACAACTATTGATATTAATCTTCTGTTAGAAACATAAACTCTTCTTTATCACCAGCAGAATTCACTGAGCTGACTTCCTTCAACTTTTGCCTCTTCAGATTTTTGCTATGGGAATGAGGATCTGACTTTCTCTATTAGTGAAGCCATCAAGCTCTGTGTCACTGTGGTGGCTTATGCTCCAGAATCATTCCGAAGGTAACAACTGTTCATTGTTATTTTATTGTTACTGTTCATTCTGTTTTGTGCCTGGTGCTAAGGTCATCAGAGGAAGTGTGGAAAGGTGGGAGAAATGATGTAGGAGGCATGATGCTTAAAAAATGGACTGGAGAAGTCAAGGTTATATTTGGGAATAACAGAAATTGTCACTCTTTGGTATGACATGGTAGTGGAACCCTTATATTTAGACGCTACTGACTCAAAATCTGGTGTACTATATACTGAAGAAAATTTTTTTTAAAAAACCTAATGTCAGTTAGGTGAATTATCAGAGATTCTAGTAATACCTCATTCATTAGAATGCCCCTAATTTGAAATTTGGAATAATTTAAAGGGACTAAGTGAAGTTCTTTCATTTAGTAAAAATTACCAATATAAATAAGATTACTCTGAGGATAATTTAAACATATACAAGAGAAACAGCTATTTTCAAACACATACAGAGACGGACAGAGAAACATCCATTCACATACAAATAATTGACAGGCTAATAAAAAAACCATACTGGCTATTCATTTTAAAAGATCTCTAAGAACAAAGTAATCATCTGAATGAATGACCTATGCCAACCTACTTTGAGTTACTACACATACTTCAAAGAAATGGAGCAAAGAAATTATACTTTTTATAGATTGTGAAGGAATGCCTCAGTCACAAATTATTTTTGTTCCAAAACCAAAAAGTTGTACACTTGTTTAGAAAATTATTTGCATTTGAATATCATGTTTCTGAGCTTCCTTTTGCACACTTTTCAAGCTCTATGGCCTACTATTCTCCTCACAATTTCACCCCTATTAAACTTGTTCCGTGTCACAAACATACACCTCTTCCTCCCTTTGTTCTCCTCATCAATCCATCAATTCCTTTTTTCATTTCTTTTGCTTCTCTACCCAGCCTTCATATATGCCATGAAGAATCACTCTAATTCTGTACTCATCAAATGAACAGCTTCTTCTCCCCAATACCAAAAACATGATTTAGACCTCATATCTTGGATAATTTTTGTTTTGTTTTTCCTTTGTCTCATGGCATCAAAACTCCATTACAAGTCATAAATTTCTCATGTAAAATCAGAATACGCATGGCCATGCACAGTGTTGATACAGACAAGAGAATGCTGAATTGGTCCTAAGACATTCATTCATGGAAATACATAGGATCATAGGTAAAGAAGGTTGTAGGTACTGTGAGAAGCAGTGGAAAGCGCATTAGTTTAGAGTCAGGAATGTAAGTCCAAATACTCTTTGTGGATGCTTACTAGCTATGTCACCTTGAACAAGCCACAACCTCCCTAGGCCTCAGCTTCCACATCTGTAAAATATGAGTTTGGATTAAATGTCCTTTGAGTTCCCTTCCGACTCTAGTTCTATTATGCTAAGGAAGGATTATTAGGGACCCTTGTACTGCATCATTCTTGTGTATGTTATTTTTCCATGACCTTAACATGGCAGGTGTATAAAAATAGAATGTGAAATGTAATTTCCTTTTCTTTTGATGAAGCCTTCAGATGCTGATGGTCTTAGAAGCCTTAGTACCATGTTATCTACAAAAGTTAAAAAGGCAGACGTCCCAAGTGGAAACAGTGCCTGCTGCCCGAGAGGAGATTGCAGCCACAGCTGCTCTGGCTACATCCCTGCAGGCCCTCTTATACAGTGTGGAAGTTCTCACCAGGTAATCCCATTGACAGAAATATCCCTGCCTAAAATCATGTTAACAGTAGGTAAGAAAATGCCATGAAGCAATAGGGGTGCCATGGACAGACAGCTGGGCCTGGAGTCAGGAAAATCTAAATTCAAATCCAGCCTCAAATACTTCCTACTTAGGTGACCTTGTTTTTCTTAGTTTCCTCTTCTGTAAAATCAGCTGGAGAAGGAAATAGCAAACACTCCAGCATCTCTGCCAAGAAAACTCCACAGACACGTTCACGGGGCCATGAACAGTCTGACATGACTGAAAAACAACAATGTGACATGACTCAAAAACAAAGCATAAACTGTGATTTCATCTCTAGCTCTCCAAGTTAATGGAAACTTGGGTTTTAATGGCTCATGGCTATGATTTTTTTCCTTCAGCTATTTAGATGAACTAAAGTTCTACTCAACATTTTCATGGCTTAGAGATGATCCTGGGTTTTCAGAGGTTATGCCAGTAGAATACAAACTCTGGCAATTTATTGCATGCATAAAAAAGGAAATGAACAAGACAAAAACAGGATTTTTAAAGCTGGGGGCACACGAACACAAAAGATCATTGTCTTTTCCTATTGATGTATCCTTTTTACCTTTGAGGTATCAATTCAGAAGTAAATCTTATTTAGGTTTTTAAGTAAATAGTAAGAATGACATAAGTAATTGGTGCATCATTATAATCCCTAAAAGTGGCTAAATTGTTGATTTGTTATCATTTTAGAAGGTTCACTTGTCCCAGCTGTTTTAGATATGACCTAAAAGAGGAGAAATAATTGACCATATGGTGGTTCTTCACTGACTTATTATTCTTTAGTCATTTGTTAAGGCAAGTGGAAGAGGTGAGTGTAGAATGGGCAGCTGGAATCTCCTACACATATTTTCTATTTCCTGTCTAGAGTCATTGAATTTGGAGTTTCCGTAGATTTCAATTTTTAGCTCTCAAAACATCTGAGATAAACATTTATGTTCATTTATTCAAATTTTACTAATTGTTTTAAAAATTCACTATTGTTTTAATAATCATGGTTTATAGTTGAACCCAAATGACATAGTTGTAAAAATTGCAGAGTTCTTATAAGGTAGAGATTATCATATTGCCAATATGGAAATAAACACTAATAATAACTTACATTTATATAGCGTATTAAGATTTTCAAAGTGTTTTTTCTAGTGAAGTAGGTACAGTAAATATTGTCTCCATTGCACAGATGAGGGAACTGAGTTTCTTAGAGGTTAGATCACATTTATCCTGGGTCACACATTTGGTAAGTGAATGAGCCCCAATTTAGGTCACCTGAGAGTGCTGTAGTTGGAGTCTGTGCAATTGGAGTCAGGGGACCTCGGTTTAAATCCCAACTTGGCTACTTGTCACCCATGGGCCTGTGAATAAGTCACTTAATTTCTCTAAGACTCAGTTTCCTCTGAAACTGGGGGTGGCAGAGGAGACTGGCTTAGATGGCTGCTAAGGTTTCTTCCAGCTCAAGTCCATGATCTTATAAGTTCACCTCAAGTCTAGAATGCTCTCCACCACAGCTGGGCTGCTTCTTGGATGTAGATGCCACTCACAGGTTGTGACTTGATCTTTTCAGGCCTATGACCGCCCCTCAGATGAGCAGGTGTGATCAAGGCCATAAAGGGACCACTACTGCTAACCACACTATGTCATCTGGAGTGAATACAAGGTAATTTCTCACTGATTCATTCTTCTCCTTTGTTTTTACCGACCTCTCTCACCATTACACACTATTTGGTTTGGTGTAAATTATACCCTCCTGCTCATTAAATGGAGTTATGCAAAGTGCTCATGAGGAGGACAGTTCTTGGCACATAGTAGGTTTTTAATTAATATTTATTAAATCCACATGACCTTTATAAATGTGCATATATAGGATGAACTGGATGGTTAGTGTATCTCCTTTCTAGGCACATTTCTTTTGCCTCTCATAGGCAAAGGTTAAGAAATAGAAAGGGGATCCCCAATTCTGATCACTGCTAGTCAATTCCTTAATGTCAGTGGGCAGATTAACAACACTGTACTTTGTCCGAATACTGATTTGGCTTCTTAAGGCTTGCTTTCAAATTTATTGGCAGTTTGCATTTTATTTAAATATTTTGTTGATAACTCAGACACTCATACCACTGTCCCATCTGTTGTTGTTTTGATATGGGTTTTTTTTTCACATTTTTATTGCTCTCTTAAACTCCTTTGAGATTCAGATAACCTGATTAACGTGGGCAGTCCTCTTTTATTGGATCTAATCAAGCTGATGTATTTGAGAGAAGAAGGTAGCCCCCAGGTGAACAAATCGGGGAAAATTAGGTAGAGGCAGTGGACGAGTGTGTCCCTCAGGATGTCAGTACCCTAGAGGGAAGCCCTTACCAATGAAAGCAAGTTGTGGTTTGTCCACTTCCCCTTCTTAAAAAATGACAATTATTTAGAAAGATCTGCTTTTTTCCAGCATGGAGAAGGTGACAAGGGAATGGAAATAGGGGGAAATGGAAATTCTCTAGATCGCTCTCCTAAGTTAAGTTTTCATAAACAAAGGTTTTTAGATGTAGAACTGGAAAGTCCTCATTGGCCATCTACTCCAACCCTCTTAGATATGGTACTGGACTTGAAATCAGGAAAACTTGGGTTCAAGCCCTGGCTCAGACATTACCTGTGTGTCCTGGGGAAGTCATTTAATCTGTCTACCTTACGCTTTTTCATCTGCTCAATGAGGGGATTGGACTTGGTGGCCTTCAAGGTCCCTTCCTGCTTGAAATCTTGGATCCTATGCGCTCTCATTTTGCAAATGAGGAAACTGAAGGCCAAGGAAGCTAAATACCTTTCCCAAGGTCAGAGATGTCAATTGAAGGATTTGTACCCAGGTCCCCTGCCTTCAGAGTCAGTGGTCTCTTCACTGTACCAAGCTGCTTCCATATGTGACAACATTATTTTGTATGACGGAAGTATTGTGCACAGAGTTAATTTTCTTTCTTTTTTTTTTTTTTGCTTTTAGGCAATTGGGGTTAAGTGACTTGCCCAGGGTCACACAGCTAGTAAGTGTCAAGTATTTGGTCTGAGGCCAGAATTGAACTCAGGTCCTCCTGACTTCAGGGCCGGTGCTCTATCCACTGCACCACCACACAGAGTTAATTTTCTAAACATCATATACACCTATATCCAAACATAAATATAAAAACACACTTATAAGCCAAATATAAATGACATTCAAATTATCTGATATTTTAGATAATTCAAAGCTCTGATCTGTTCATCAGTACAACTAATTAAGAGTTTACTATAATTTAAATAATTTCAGGAAATCTTTTGGGAAGCTGTGGCTGAACGCAATTTTGGGGGTTTTATCTGGGGAGAAAGATTTCCTCAGATGTCTCCATTATCATCAGCCAGTGAATAAAATATCTCCAAAGCAGTTTTCTTTCCCTGGTCCACTGCAAACAGAATGCCTTGTAATAAATTATTCTCTTAGATACATTTTATTTGCAAACTGTCATAATTGCCCTTCCCTCTGGCTAAAGTTGCTGTACAATATTTATTTCCAAAATATACAGACCTAGTACAATAGACAGGAATTGTTGTAGTTGCCATCTGCAGTCCCCAAATGAGGCAGTTTTAATCTTTCTTAGGTTTAGTAGATGTGCCATTGTGTGTGCTGATGAAGGTGCGTGCACTGATAAAATTCTAAGTTGCTCCATGGGAAGGGCCCTGTTGTTCCAATAATGATTCAGGCTACATTTCTCACTTCTCAGGTACCAGGAGCAAGGAGCAAAGCTACATTTTATCAGGTACAGTAAGACTTGTATCCTATCTCACCTCACTCTGCCATCACAGGATGAACTCCTCTGAGCTATACTGCAGTACATTGGATTTCAATGATTTGAGGCAAGGTAACACCTTTTCTGGTTAAACCCATGGAAGGTGTCTAAGACAAGGAAAACAGAACTTCTCAGGTTGGAGTGACCCTAATTTCCTAAGCTTTCTCACTTATTTTGCTCTTACAGAAAGGGTATCGCTTTACAATTATTCTCTCAGATGTGGTTCTATCAGTTCGGCAGGAGGGGTTCATCACCATCTATTCTTTTTGGCCACCTGCAGCTGCCTGCTCCACAAAGTTCATTCCACTCTGCCAACTTTTTCATTAATTATTATTATTCCCTAGGGAAAACCTACACTTGTTGGAGGAAGGGCAGGGTCTTCCCCGAGAGGAACTGGACGAACGAATTGCTAGAGAGGAGTTCCGGAGACCCAGAGAATCCCTGCTAAATATTTGCACCGAGTTCTATAAACACTGTGGACCAAGACTAAAGATCTTACAGAACCTGGCAGGAGAACCTCGGGTCACTGCCTTGGAGCTGCTAGATGTTAAATCTCATATGAGGTACTGTCCTTACTGTCCAAGTGAGCTGTATCTCTGGGGTGTGTGAAAGTCCAGTGTCATAGATTGGGGTAAAAAAAACATGATTTATTGTCTTTCGTAAGAAGATTTGGTGGGGAAATCTTATTGTTTGGGACACCGGTTATCTTGCTAGGCTTTTTGTGAAGTTATGCTTTATCCCAGCAAAGTGGGAAGATTCCTGAATTGGGAGAGCAACAGATGTCAGGGAAAACAAGTTCCTGGGGACAGACAATCAGGACTCATATTCTTTATCAATGAATATAGAAAAGTAAGGTACGAAAAACAATGACATTTTTCTAGATTTCACAATCATCACAGTCAGTGCCCTAAAGGATATGAAAGAGAGGTGTTCAGAAATGGATGAAACATTTTTCAGCTATTTTAAGAATTGCAAAGGACTAGCTAGGTGGCACAGTGAATAGAGCTCTGGCCTTGGAGTCAGGAGGACCTGAGTTCAAATCCAGCCTCAGACACTTGACCCTTGCTAGCTGTGTGACCCCGGACAAGTCACTTAACCCTGATTGCCTCACCAAAAAAAAAAATTGCGAAAGTACAATCCTTAGTACCTACTATGAGCTTTTCTTTTTTAAAGTAGATTGGGTAAATAACAAAGCAATGATCATAAAAAAAAACTCCAAATCAAACTTCTGTTGGACTGGTGTCTGTGTTTTATCAGCAATATTCTTAACTATGCACTGTCATTAAGCTATAATGCAGCATAATAGACATAAATCTCACAAAAAAATTGTAAAAATCATCAAAACCATATTAATGACCAAACTTAAATTCTTAATGTCTTCTAAAAACATGGAATATAACAATTACTACATAGGCTTAGGTAGCCCTAGACTAATCCATTGTGGTACGATAAAGAATCAAATGTGAAAATAGTTTGAAAAAAATAAAGTTGTTGATTTCAAGAAAAATTTTACTCATCATTACCATCATCAATGGAATTTATAGTAGTAGACTTTATAGTATTCAACTGTGTTGGATCTCTTTCATTGGTATTCTAGAATTGTGGGTGTCACAAAGACAGAAGTGCAGAATGACTGAAGCAAAAGAAAAAAGATTATGAAGCTTAAAATAAGTTGAGAATTAGATTTCCCATATAAATACATGCTATTGTTTCAGTTCCATCTGTAATATCTGAATGAGTCTTATTTAATATCAAATAGCCAAGCAAGGATTCCTATATTGAGATCCTAAATTATAATTCATTAAGATTCAACTTATCACAATTCAGCTTTGGTAGGCTAGAGAAGGAGACTTTTGTGACATCAACCATTTTGTGGTGAGCTAAAGTAGAAGAGAGTTACAAAGAACTGGGGGAAGGACATAAGAAATCATACAAATGTAACTCTTAGGAATAGTGCAATATGATTTAGCTGAGCAATGATATTATTATATCAAAAGAGAACCTGGGTAATATGGTAGCTCAATTTGAGCTACTTCTTAGGAAAATTGGTCTTTCTACTTTAAAAAAAAAGTTTAGTGGATGGATAGTGGCCCAAATAGAGTGAAAATACATGATGTGAACCTATTGAGGCAATCAGTACTCTCCATTTTCCCACAGTGTTGATCATTGGATTTAGAGCCAAAAGAGATCTTTGAGATTATTTATTCCAGTCCCCTCAAAATTCAGAGGAGAAACCAAATCCCAGTGAAGTGATTTGGCCAAAATCACCTTGGTCATCAATAGCAGAGATGGGATTTGAAGCCAGGTCATATGGACTCTAGATATGATGTTCTTTCCATTAACACCAGCAGCTTGGGCACATTTGCAATTAGACATGATTGCTGTCCTAAAGGAACTTATCATCCAATATACCCAAGGCAGAGCTGCAAAAAGCAATATAATGTGCACTGTTGTTTTCAACCAGAAAGAGAATTCCATGTTCTCTCAATGGGGATAGATCGCATGTCTTCTCATCCATGTCCATACAACAAAGGACTAATACCTTTTACATCATCTAACCTTAAAGACATGCATCATTCTGAATTATTTATTTCATTCTGAAACTCAAAACACATATCTTGAAACATTCCTAAAAGCTGAAAGAAATAAGGCAGTGATCCTAATGAAAAGAAGACCAAATAGGGATTCAGAAAACTTCCCTCCACTGCTCTGTTCTATTTTCTTGTAGGTTTTGTTTTGAATGTTCTAGGCTTTATTCTTTGATAGCAATGAGAATAGATACTTCATTTTTCAATGAATCGTTTTGTTCTGTTTTTCTCTGGAGGAAAATGAAATTGCAAACTTGTCAAAAAGCTTAAATAATTAGAATTTTGTACATATTACTTTTATAAGAAATTAGTATTGAGCAAACAAATTAATATCCAGAAAATATTTATTTTAAAAGTGACTTTCAGGGATTATCATTCATAACCTGGCCTAAGCAAAGTTCCCTCTTGAACCCTTTCCTCTCTTTCAAGCCCAGTCTCACCCTCACTCCTACAACTCCTACCTAGTTATCCAAGTTTTTCCATGATCATATTCCACTTATAAGAGCCCTCCCAGACAGCTTTGGCCCTTTTCTGGTCACCTTCCTACTCAAAATTTGCCTATCCCATGCCCCATTTGCCAAGGGCCCTACTAAGCAACTTCTTAGGTAGTCACACATGCTATTTATATCTAACAAAGACAATGTGCATAATATAGGACTTTATAACTCAAAAGTGCTAGATGTGTAGAAATTTTAGATATTACGCAAGTTCATCCCTCAGTAAAAGTTGTTGAGGAAAGGTTGGATGACCACTTATCAGGTAGGTGCTATTAGAGCCTCAAACCTCTCACCTAGAGACCTAGTGGTCCTAAGACTACTTCCAACTCTGGAATACTATGATTTTATAACTTGTAAGAGAAATATTATGGTGGAGTAATTGAGGTAAAGAACAGGAAGTCATTTTATTGCCCCTCAGATCATATTATATAGGTGACTGCCTACTCTACCTAGGACTAACATCAACCTAGAGTATTCAACAGTCATGTACTGAACCCCAAATATATGCTAAGTGCTGTGAGGGATTCAGAGATGAGTAAAACACAGTTCCTATTTTCAAAAAGCATACATTCTACTAGAAGAGAGATGTGCACCAACTCTATAATAAAAAACAGAATATTATATTAAATGAATATTATAGGTAGCTTCCACCCACTCAGAAAAAAAATGCTTTTAATTGCTACATTGAGGAAAGAGATTTTTCCAGCTGATTGAGATTAGGAAAAGTTTCATGGAAGTGATGGTCCCTCAGCTGGCCTTTGAAAGATGAGTAGGACTTCAACAGACATAGATGAGAGAGTGAGGAAGGTGGAATGCATTCCAGATACAGGGGCCACATAGTTCAAAAAAAGTGGCATGAGTTCAGAGATTGAGGAATAGTTCATGGCAGAATCATTAAGTATATAAACAGGAAAAGTAGGAGATAAGGCTAGAAATGAATGTTAGAAGCCATCCTGTGGAAAGTCTCGAATGCCAAACAAAAGTAACTTAGGCTTGATTTGGCAAGAGAAAGTATTATGAACTAGATCAGTGGCACTGCAGAATCCTACCGTGAACTGTGGGCCAACAACATCAAAAAATTCAGTAACGTTCAGTTATATTTTCATCTCATGTTTTTCATTCAATTCAGGTTATGTTTAATAATTCATCTATGTTTAACTCTCAACTAATCAGAACATTAAATTACCCAGAAAGCATACTGCCAATCATTTTGGAGAATAAGAATTTGCTATATATTAAATTATGTATGCTTATTCTTTGAATAATAAATATGATTTTTCCCTCAATGAAAAGCAATATTACCTGGATACAAGCACATGCATATGGATTTTTGTACATATTTATATGCACATGCTTGTATATTCTTATAGGTATAAATACATGTATGGTATGTATGACCTACTGGAAAACACTAGAAGGATTGGGACTACATAATCATACAGATTGAGAGTGTAAAATGGGGTATTGTTAGTTCACTTAAATCAGCCATGGAAAAAAAAGTGGGTGTTTCTGAAAGATGGGTGGTTATCATGCTGCTGTATGGAGACACTAACATTGTGGAGTCCCGTGCTTCCTCTTAATGGGAAATACTTCTAGGTTGGCGGAAATTGCACATTCCCTTCTGAAGCTGGCACCTTATGACACCCAAACAATGGAAAGCCGTGGGCTCCGACGATATATCATGGAGATGCTACCGATCACTGATTGGACTGCTGAAGCAGTGAGACCTGCTCTTATCCTCATCTTAAAGAGATTGGATCGTATGTTTAATAAAATTCACAAGATGCCTACCCTGAGGTGAGCAGGTATAATGGAAACAAATATTTGGTCTGTCTCTAGTGTTACAAGCTTTGATGTCCAGGCATGTCATTTTATTGATGTTGATGTATTGCACTGAATTGAAACAATGGGTCAAATGTAATATTGCTAGTATCTTATCATATAATGTTATTTTTACAATTGCCTTAGTGACAGGTTCTCAGTTGCAGTGATGGAAGAGAAATTCTTAAGGAAGCAAAAGTGGTAATCTTGAAATCTACTTTCTTTACCTCTTACTCTTATTGATACAAAGAAAACAATGTTTTAAAGAAATGAAGTATACTATATACAAAATTAAACTAGGAGACTGACTGAATCCTACACTAAAATAATTGAACATGTGTACATTTAACCACATCGACAAAACTAATCTGAAATTAGAACCACTTGGGTACCAGTTCAATTTCAATAACAGACACATATTAAACACCTACTCTGTGTAGACCTTTGTTAGGTACTGGGGGAGATATAGAGTGAATGAGAAACAATATCTTCCCTTAAGGAACTTCCAGCCTAGTTGAAATGGTAAGACAATTTGGGGGGAGGGGGGAGCTGATTTGTGATTTCATTGGAACTCCCAGTGTGGAAACTCACTTTTCCAACGCAGATCAGCATCTGCTGAGCAATTTATAGTCTTAAGAGTTACCTGAGGCTTTGAGGATTTAAATGATTTGCCCAGGGTCACATAGACAGTGTAATTCAGAGACAGAGCCTGAACTCAGGTCATACTGACTCCAAGATCATCTCTTTCCCATCTACCATGCTGCCCATAGTATGATATAAATACTAAGCATAATACAAAAATCTATACTCAGTATAAATACAAATTCTAAGTATAAAACAAAAAATAAAATCCAAGAATAATACAAGTGAGAGTATAAGTACATAAGGGAACTATAAAGTTCTAGGCGATCAGATGAGGGAAGGATCACTTCAAGTTGAGGGGATCCCTTCCAGTGGTGAGGAATATTTGACCCTTATAAAAACTCTCCAAGCAAAGTTTAATGAAAGTATTTAACATGTTATACCAAATGATAGTACAGGGTATCCCAAAAGTCTTAGTGCAGTTATAAGCTTACAAATTTGCAAAGTAAATATGTGAAGACAGGTTGACCCTCAGAAATGGTAACAAATACTTTGTCCTTTGAAAAATGAGTTCACTTTGTGGGATTAATATCTCTGGTACCAAACCAACTGGAAACCTAATGCTTCCCCAATAATCCTATGCCCTCACGTGCTGAGAGTTCAGTTAATCAAGCAATACATCAATCAGTCCTGGCAAGCCAGGATCATGGACTACGGAAATCACCCTGCTGATTCGGCAAAACTACATTTAAGTTAATGAGTGCCTTTCTCCTCTTTTCTAACTAACCCAAAGTCTTGCTCAGAATTTAGTGACATTTTTCATGTTCCTCCCATTCTCTGGAATTACTCTAATTCAGGTTCTGCTACCCCTCCACTTAGGTACACCACAGGAGTTCTGCAGTTTCAGAAGGAAATGTCAAAAACCTTTCCTAATCTTTGGAATTTGCCCGTTTCCTTTAACTACCAAACCCCCTCCTATCTCACTTTCTTGATGTTCTCACCTTACTTACTGGAGTGGCTAGACTAGAATTGGTCTATTTCACTAAATCCGTAATGCCAATTTTTAAGCCACTTCCTGGGTTTTTCTCTTCTATGGGTCCTATTAACCCACTGTTGTCCTCGCTTGCCCCTAGATCTTGTCAGGGATGAAACTGACTGTGTTGTTCTTTGTGGGTCGCCGGAATGCTTCAGCTTCCACAGATGTCAGTTTTAGCTCTTTCACAAGGTATACATTTCCATTTCAAGCCAGACAGTCAAAAGACATTCTGATTATTTGAGGAAGAAAAAGATAGGTCATGTAACCCCACTTCATGGAAACCTCTGAAACTGATATTGGCTTTGGCAAGCCCAAATCCATTTATTTTACTGGTGTCAAAGTAAAAGAGTACAAAGAGTAAATTCTCAGTCCTGGAGCACTATGAAAACTAGTCTTATCAAAACAAAACAAAACCAAAAAAACCTGCATGAAGAGGTTAGTTTGTATAACTCCACCCAAAAAATATTTTTGTGAAGACCAAAAAAGAATAGTTCTAAATTTAATTGCCTTTGAATATGATCTTCATGCTAGCTCGAGTTAATATGTGTCCAAATACATAATCCCCTCATGTGTCAGCCAGTAGTATCTGTCCACATGCTGTCTGACAAGGCTGGTTCTATAACATACATGAAGATAGGTTCCCCTACAATGAATAACTCACTCTCTGTGATGGGTTTTTCATGATGACATTCTCAGGACCCTTTTTTGGAACAAAATATTAAGAACTTAAAATGCTACCCATTCATCATCTTTGTTTTTTCTTCAATAGATTTTGTGTTATTAGTCAAGTGAGGCAGGAGTGCTTCTGCTACGTTTCCAATATCTTCTTCCCCTCCCAGTGTGCTCTGTACTTTTGGAACAGCATGGGTAAAATCCATCCCGTCTAATGCACTTTGTTGTCTCAGACACCCATCCTGTCTTAAAACGTCTCCATTCATCTTAGAAGAAGGAACAAGGAGCTAATGGCACCTACTGTTGTATTCCAGGCGACAGGTTGAGTGGGAGCCTGCCAGCAATTTGATTGAAGGGGTTTGTTTGACACTTCAGAGGCAGCCTATCATATCCTTCCTGCCTCACCTTAGGTCACTGATCAATGTCTGTGTCAATCTGGTGAGTAGCCAAGTGGCAATCTTACGAAACTTTACTAAACTTCACTCTGCTATTGACTTCTTTGGACTGCAGATTACAGATCAAGCACTTTGCCCATCTCTGCCCATCCATGAAAGCAAACTGCTCAGGTGACGCTGTAAATGATGAGGTACATTTTCAAAATAGTGCATGGGGAGATGCTAAGACTGATCCCTGTGGTAATGGGTTTCAGGTATGTTGCTTCCCACGCACTACTTTGAAAATCTGCCTTAGTATGTTGAGCTGAGAGTTGAGGGCTGCGAGTTGGAGAGTGGGGTGGTGGGGACTGCACAACTGGCTAATATTAAGATCAGAAAGGATACTTCAAATCTCCAGAGGAATCTCTTTGGGGGTAAAAAGTACAAAATGGCACTATGAGTTGGCCAGGCTAAGGTTGATATGAATGAAACCAATTACTCTACCAGCTAAGTAACATCTAGAGTCTGGTCCTGAGGTTTTGTGCAATGTGTAGATGCCATGTTAGAACATTTCATCAGATAAGAGCACATTAGATTAGCTTGTTGCTTAATTTGTAGAGTAACAAACTCTTCATCGCTGGAATGCTTGATGCAAATAGATCAGTTGACATTATCACCTTCATCAGTACATTCACCACAAAATATATTTTGAATAGCTTTGAATTAAGGAGTAAGTATGACCAGTCTTCTCATTATGAATAATGAGATGGCCTTTCAATTCATATCTCATTGTATATTTAGCTGGATCTAAACATTGTACATTACTTAGGGTGGACTGAATGAAGTAAATGGACCAGACTCTAGACATTACACAGTATAGGAAGAAAGCAGTAGAAAAGATTGAAAGCAAAATGTCCAACCTTGTAATTATATTTTTCCAATGAATTTAACCCTTCCACTGTAGCTGCATGAAAATGCAATTGTCAGGGCTGGTCATGTGCTCTGTTTGTATTTCAGGTGATGGGAGTAGTAGGACCTTCCAGTGTTGCTGATGGATTACCCCTTCTTCATCTCAGCCCTTATCTCTCACCACCTCTGCCCTTCAGCACAGCTGTTGTCCGGCTTGTAGCATTGCAGATACAGGTGTGACTGCCTGGCCTGTTGTCAGGCTCATTAATTTTTTAGTTGAGGCACCAGATCATGAGTGCTCTCTTTTTTGCTGCAAAGGCTGGGCAAAATCTGTGGAAAAAAATACATATTTAAAGACTACCCACCTTATGTAGGCTTAAAGCATCAGCCCTGAGCTTAGCTCTCACTTGTATTTCTTTCATTCTTCTGAAGAAACAAAAAAAAAAGCAGAATGACTTCAGCCTGTAAACACTACAGGAATCCTTTCCAGTATACAAATATCACAGGAAAAGAAAATATCACTCACAGATAATCAGCTCACAATATTTGTTTTTTAAAAAGTCCATTATTTCACTAAATATTGAAAGTCTGGCAAAAAGATTCAAAGATAATTACAAAATAAATCTTCTTTTTGAGATTGTCACCAGACTTTGAATATTTTAATTTTCTTTGATAAAAGTTTTTTGTCAGTTGAGTATCTGTGTGTGGTTGGGATTTTTATCCCTATTTATTTCATCTCTGCCAGAATGGCAAGCTCCTTGCTTGTCTCTGTTTCATTCAATTACAGAGAGGTCAAAATCATTATCAAGGAAGACTGTGTCCCAAAGAAGTGTGCAACCAATAGCTAACAAACCAGTGTGAAGGAGGTGACTGGTCCATCCATCATCCAGCAACCACCAACTTAGAAGTCACCCAGAACATGTATAGATTTTAGAGGAGAGGTTAAGCACAGAGCTATGATTATCACTTAGAACGGGATAGACATCCCCAAAATGATGTGGTTTCAATTACCAGTGTAAAGATATTATCTATTTCTTCCCATGCTGCTTAGCTCTTTCTGACTTGAAGAGTGCCTTGTTCAGGGGTAAGAGGACTTTTTAGTCAGACTTGACCTGAATGACTCTCAAGTGGCAAGTTCTCATTCTTTTCCTCTTCATTCCCCTCTAAAAAAGAGTGCCTGGGTGGGGAGAGAGGGAAAAGTAAGGGGAAAATTAGTTTAATCCACACCATCAATATTGTTTTTCATGCCATTTTCAAAATCGTATTCCTTGCCACTCTCTTTTTAGTCATGTTAACACTTATTAAGGCAAGTACATGGTCAGATTTCAATTCTGAGTGAATCCAGTGTCCTGCATAAACCACAACCATGCTCATAGTTTACAGGAGCAACAGGGAAATCACCACCTGTGTTGTGTTGTGAAAAAAGAGGGGGCAGAGGTCAATTAATATCTCTTTCTCTTATTATTACTGCACAGGCTTTAAAAGAAGATTTCCCCCTAAGCCATGTGATCTCCCCATTCACCAATCAGGAAAGAAGGGAAGGGATGCTTTTAAATCTACTCATCCCATTTGTGCTCACAGTAGGATCTGGAAGCAAAGGTCTGATTAATTTAACGAAAGGAGATACATTGTTGTTGTTGTTTTTATTGTTGTTATTGGTGTTGTCTTCCTAAATGACCAATATGTGAATTTCTTCTAAAGCTTTCACTGGAGGTTGCCTGAGGGATTTAACCAAAGATACCTTAGGAAGCATTTCCTTTCTTTTCAGTAGAGTCAATATGGAACAACAGTTTCTCCACTTTCTGGATGAGATTTTTCCCTTTGGAAATGATTCAATACAGCAAAAAGTTAGGAGGATATGGTTAAACTTAACTAGCATTGACTGAAGATTTGTATCAATATGGGAAAAGCATTTGGAGGGTGGGGTTTTTCTGGGGAAGAGACTGTGAATTGATGTTTTTGCTACCAAAGAGTTGATTTAAAACCTGGCAACTGTCACATAATCATTTTGCATTCTCTCTCTCTCTCTCTCTCTCTCTCTCTCTCTCTCTCTCTCTCTCTCTCTCTCTCTCTCCTCCTTCCACTTCTTATGGGGATTTTCCCCTATTGGGAAAGAGTTTATCTCAAATGTAGGGAAAACAGTCATTGAGTATATGAAAGGAGAAAGCAGGTAATTTGTCTGAGACCATTGAGCCTTTTTCATTCTGCTATGAAAAACCAATAACATTGTCTTTGTCCATAGGAGAAGCTGTGCCTCACAACCTTATGAGATGGAGGATGAGCCCTCAGTTATAGATGTTCTAATTTGAAACTGGAAAACAGAGCTGAATTTTACTATGTGTAATGAAAAAAAAAAGCATGCATTTTGATTAGTTTTCTTTCCACTTTCCCACCCCAAATTCTGCTCCCTTCAGATAGCCCATGGTTGGAGCAGCCTGAGGTCCTTCTGCTGCTCCAGACGGTTATTAATATCCTCCTACCTCCTCGAATTATTAGTACATCTCGCAGCAAGAACTTTATGCTGGAGAGTTCCCCAGCCCACTGCTCCACCCCTGGAGATGCTGGGAAGGATTTGCGCAGGGAAGGTCTGGCTGAGTCCACCAGCCAGGCTGCATATTTAGGTGAGTAAGAAGCTTTACCATGGCAAGAAGAGACTGGGCACATTGGTAAACAACACCTAGAATAAAAATGAAACTAGTCCAAAATGCATGGTCTTTTTATAATAGATTTACTATTAATTACCATCTATGAAATTTACTATTATTATCCAATTACTATCTATGAAAGCGTCTTCAAGGGCAGCTAGGTGGCGCAGCGAATAGAGCACCGGCCCTGAAGTCAGAAGGACCTGAGTTCAAATCTGGCCTCAGATCAAACACTTAACACTAGCTGTGTGACCCTGGGCAAGTCACTTAACCCCAATTGCCTTTTAAAAAAAGGTGTCTTCAATGATATACGGCCTGGTTTGCTTGATTTTTAAAATGACATTTGGAAATGTAGGAAAGGCAGCTCAAATAAGCCCCCTGGCCTCCATCATGCCTGAGCAGTGAATCACAAATGAGAATCAGCTATAGCTTGAATAATATGAAACCTCAACCTAATCTAGAATATTAGCTTCATTATTAGTTGATCAGCCTGCCTCTATAAACTCATCTCTCCTCATGGTCCAACACAACCCTTTCACTTTAGGGAAGCCACTTTACCCAATCTCCCACCACCCATGCCATGCTATTACTGCACCTCTCTACCTTTTGTAATGTTAATACTGATGAACGTAGCAATGAAAAGACACGATTATGGATTTGTCAAGTGAGTTCCATGACTGCACAACTCAGCTGTGTATGGGAACAAAAAGGAAGATTGGCAGGCAGGAAGTAATGGAAGTAAAAAGAAGTCTTAAGAAGAGAATAGTGAAATAGCCAAGGCTGCTGCATCCCCAACACTTTTCCTTCCGCAGCTTTTTCATTTCCTCAGGCAAAACTTGGTGGAAATAAAGGAATTTAGGGAAAGTATAAGAAAATTGGTGGTTGGGGCAGTAGAGTGGGAAGGGCTACAATGGTAGGGAATATTTGTGGAGGGTACACTTTGGGAAAGAATATATTTGGCCACCCATGCTCATGGATCCCTGATGAAATCATGCTACCCTCCTCTTCACAGAGAAATGATGGACACAAGGTGAAAACTGAGACATATTCTTTGAATGTGACTAACGAGTTAGTTTTGCTATTCATGTTTCTTACAAGGATCTTGGGGTTTTTTTCCCTTTTTTTCAGTGTGGAAGAGGGTAGGAGAGGGAGAAAATAGATTTTTTTAATTAAAAAATAATTTTTTAAGAAGACAATATGTTTGTAGTTGATAATTAAGGAAAAGAAGTGTGTATAGTCAGAACTAAATAGTATTGTTGACTCAGCTGCCATAAAAGTAGAAATATGTGATTCAGAATTGGAGGCAAAAACCACCAGTTTTCAGCTGGGCTGGATTCCAATTTGGCAAAAGAGGGAAGAAGGAAGTAAACATGGAATTTTACTCACCTAATGGCAATTTTTGCAGAAGACACTACAAGAAAAAGCTCATCTCACTAATTAAAATGGGTCTTTTCCACACTGCAGTTAAGAAATCTGGGCTAGATAAAAGCTAACCTCAGAATTGACTAAAGTCATTGCCTCAGAAATAAAGAGGGACAGATGGCTTCAAAAACTGGTGCATAAGGAATCCTTGATACGGGACTGTTTCATTTTTGCCTTGGTAACAGTCAACCACTCAATAACCATTTATTACATTTATTAAGCACCAAGTATGTGCCAGATAGCAGTAATACAAAGACAAAGGATTAAAAACTCTCCTCTCAAGGATATTAATATCCCCAACACTTAACAACAATAGTTGGCACTCAATAAATGTTTCTTGACTGATTGATTAAATAGCAATAGTCAAGTCTTTATTAAGTGTTTCTATGTGCCAGGCACTATGGTAAACAAAAAGAAAGTCTCTACCCTCAAGGAAATTATATTCTAATGAGGAAAGACAGACAGTACATAAAAAGGAGCTGAAAAAAAGGGGCAGAAGGCATGGTAGCAAAGTCCAAAGAATGAAAGAGGGCTGGTCCAAACCATTCCTTAGAATGGAGGTCCTGAGAGGAGCTCACCAGTAGGGGAAGAGGGGCTTCTAGAACAAAAGATGAAGGCAGATGATACATGGTGGCATAGTCCAGAGGGTAAAATATGACTGATCTGCACTCTTGCTCGAAATGGAGGTTCCAGAAGTTCACAAATTTTTGCTTTGGAGGTCAATGATGATATTGCTATTTGTCATAAAGCTTCTCTACAACTTTCAGATAATAAAAAATTATAAATCATGTTTTGAAAAATCCTCTTCTGTTCTTTCCTTAAGTTACTTTCCTCTGGGTCTTACAAAATTTTGGCTAAATGTTTAGAGAAGAGTATTTGGGTGATCTTAGTGCAAAAGTTAGAATCTAGTTCTCCTGCTTGCTACATTTACAAAAGGCTTGACCACTTATAAAAGAGGGAGGGAAAAAAAATCTTCCTCTGAAGTCCCTGACTTTGTTGAAATGCTCACGAGTTATTTGGTAACTAAGTGTGGTTGCTGTAATGTCTTTCTGGTCCCAATAGCAATTCTAGAAAATCATGCCATTTTTTGATTTTCCCAACCTCCAGCTCTGAAGGTGATTCTTGTTTGCTTTGAGAGGCAGCTTGGCAGTCAGTGGTATTGGCTGAGTCTACAAGTCAAAGAGATGGCATTAAGAAAGGTGGGAGGGCTGGCCCTGTGGGACTTCCTCGACTTCATCGTTCGAACTCGGATTCCCATCTTTGTTCTCCTAAGGCCCTTTATTCAGTGTAAGGTGGGTGTTTCTCCTCCTGAAGTTGATCAACTTATCAAATAGTGCCTAACGGTTGACCATTCATTCTCTATGGAAAAGAATGTTGTTAAACTGTTGCAGTTATTACTACAATGATTAGATGAAGGAGCTATGAAGAAATACAGGTTTTGTACCATATATCCACAAACCATCCATTATCACAGAGTCCGTGAGTCTCCAGCAGATCCAACTGCCAGAAAGGAAAGCCTGGAGTGAATGATACTATCCAGGGGGAAGTTATGGACTTGAGTTCAAACCCCACATGTGCCATTTGCTATCCATGGGACTTTGGGCAAGTTTCTTTCTGTTTGGGACCCTATTTCCTCATGTACAAAATGAAAGGTCAAATGACTAGCAACCTAAGAGGTGAGGCTGAGACTGGAACTTGAGCCTTCTGATTCCTCAGATAGGACTCTTATCCACTCTAGCAGGGGTTCTTAACCTTTTTTATCCCATAGGCCCTTTTGACATTCTGGTAAAGCCTAAAGAAAGCCTAAAGAAAGTCCTTTCTGAATAATGTTTTTAAATGCATAACATAGAATTACAAAGGAAACTCATTACGTTGATATACAGTTATCAAAACATTAAAAAAGAAACAAGTTCACAGATCCCAGGTTAAGAATCCTTGAACTATAAGTAGAGTGCCATACATAGTGTATAGAAGTCTGGGCTTGTAGTCAGGAAGAGCTGACTTCAAATCCTGTATTACCAGAGATATGACTCCTGGCAAGTCATTTAACCTCTGTAAACTTCAGTTTGCTCAACTGTAAGATGAATTAATAATAGCAATCTACATCACAGCTTATTGTAAGGGTCAAGTGAGATATCTATAAAGTACTTTGTAAACCTTAAAGCACTAGATAAATGAAAGCTAGTATTAGTACATAATTACCTTATTTTAAAATATTTATAACTTAAAAACGCTTAGTAGTAACTCATTTTCCCACTCTCTCTGTACACAACTTTCCTGGAACAATGATTCAGCATTAGGAACGGAGAAGATCCTGTTGCTTTTTTTTTCCCTTCAGCTTTTAGCTCAACCTGCCGAGAACCATGAGGAGCTATCTGCCAGACAACACATTGCTGACCAGCTGGAGAGACGCTTCATTCCTCGGCCCCTGTGCAAGAGCTCTCTCATTACTGAATTCAACAGTGAACTTAAGATTCTAAAAGAGGCTGTACACAGTGGGTCAGGTAAGGGGGTTTGGTGGGAACCACTGTATTTGGACATTCTTTGGCCATTCCAAAGCATCTCTCCATCTAGATGATCTAATTCATTGGAAAAAAGGTCTCTTTAGGTTCAATATTCTATAAACATATAAATTATGTGTCAGGCATTTCTTTTTTTATGTAGTTCAAGTGAATAAAGAAGGTTATTACGCTACAGTTTTCTAAGAATTCTCTCCACCATCCCAGAGGTGAACCCATACAAAACATTGTTTTCTGTCAATAGGGGGCACCCATAACCTGCACATGTGGAAAGTAAATGATACATTTGTGCCTTCATTGCTCAATATGACAATGTGGTAAAGAAAAAAAAATTATGAGAATATAATCCAGGCTTGGTGACATAATGAATAGTCTTACTATTTAAATCTTTACTTTAACATTAAAGAGACCAATAGGTGATTGAGGGATAGTAAATTAATTTTCTGAAAAAAATGGAAGTTGTTCTTGGATTTTGTATTCTTTTAAATGTGAGCTGCACTGGAAAACACAAATGTGAACATATTTTTATCAAAGTATACAAAGTAAACATTGGCAAAGTGGCAGCACTAATTTCCTATCAACCAGAGAAAAAGAAAAACAACCAGTCAAGAAAGCATAATGAAAGCATTTTCTAGATAATACCATAGGTAACCTGTGCTAACCTCACTTCATATACTTGTAAGCATACTTTAAGATTGATTCTTCATATTCCCACTCATTTTTCCCACTTACATTTTTTCTTACTTCAGTCCCATTTACGTTTCCAACCTTTCTTCATTCCCACTTATTTTTTTTCTACTTATATTTCAATTCAAGCCTCAATGCATTGTTCACCTTTCCTAAGCAACACACTTGAGGGGAGAAAACCTTTGGAAATTATACTGTGTTTTGTTTTGTTTTACCATTTATAAATATGCATTTTTTTTACTTTGTTTCCCATCCCTACACAGCCTACCAGGGGAAGACGTCCATTAGCACAGTGGGTACCTCTACCTCTGCTTACCGCTTGAGCCTGGCCACTATGTCCCGCTCCAACACCGGCACTGGCACTGTTTGGGAGCAGGACAGCGAGCCTTCCCAGCAGGCTTCCCAGGACACCCTGAGTCGGACTGATGAGGAGGATGAAGAAAGTAAGCAGCATGACAAGATTTGGAAAATGAGGTTTTTTTAGGCTAAATAATGAAAGCAGGAAGGGGATGTATTGACCCTTGTGTATTTTCCAGCTCTTGTTTCTGCGGATGCTTCAGGAATGCCTTCATAATTATTCCAACACAGAGTAATCCGCATGTAATAACCCTACTGTTTCTATCATTCTTAAGTTGTTTCAAGTAGTTATATTCTAATTTTTCAATGGTAATTGTCCACGGATACTATACATAAAATAAATGCTCTGATAGGTCCCAAACTGCATTTTTGCTCAGAGTTTCAACCTGTTCTATCAACTATAAGTTTCTTTGTACTAAGAACAAAAATAACAAAGTAAAACAACTTGAATTATACTTTCTTTCCTGAAACACTATGTATAATACAGTGGCAAGAGCACTGAACTTGGGAATCAAGCACCTTAGGTTTGAGCCCTCCTCCTTATATTAACTAGCCATGTAAGACTGGCCAATTTCATTAACTTGCAGAGCCTCAGTTTCCACATATGTAAAACAGCAATAATTATACTTATACTATATAGATCACAGGTGTTATGAAGAAAGCACTTTATAAGTCGTAAAATGTTGTATACATGAGCTTTTATTTTCAAATGCATGTACCCCTGCAAAACCACCAAAATAACTCCAAAGTAGGCAAAGGAAATAAGGAGGTGGAGCCAGGGGCTGGAAAGTAATCCCTAAATAATTGGAGCTAACAATACTGGTTGTAACATAAGATACCAGCAAAGAATTGGAGGAGTAATACCTGAGTTTAAGTGGGAGATAATGGCTTAAACAAGGACATGAAAGCATAATGAAGTAGGTTGATCTATCGCATGTGTACATCATAAGGGAAGGTTTTTAATGATAAACAGAAGTGTGCAGGTAAATATTTAACAACTGACTTAAAAAGAATGTATCCATGACACATTTTAAAGTTTAGTCTGTATCATTAACATTTTCTCCAATATTTTCTTAAGTCGAGGGTCTAGACTTAACAAAAAAAATCCAGACAAAATAATAAATCAAGGTTTGATTTTGTAGCTTTGGCCAAAGTGTGAAAGTTCACCCTGAAAATTTAACAGTTTTCTCAAGCCATTTTCAGCTTGCTCCATCATACCCCTGGGCCTAAGGATATATTATAGGCCACTATATGACACTCAGTGTGAAAGCTTTGCCTAGAAATGTCATTAAAACAAACAAAACAACACTTTTTTTAAAAAAAAAAAAGCTTTTTCTGAATTTAGGGAATAAGGATTTCATTAAATTAGGAAACACCATCTGCCAGTGTAGGTCAGCTGCTTCTCTGTAATTAATGGACTTAAAATGTTGGCTAGACCAGTGAGAGGTTAATTGACTTGCCCATAGAGACAATCAGTACATGTCTCAGAGGCAGATTGAGCCCAGATCTTCCCAACTCCCTCTCTATTCACTAGGCCATTATGACTTTTGTGAATTTAGTAAAAAAAAATTTAAATGGGGATTCTAGACTGAATTTTGAACAACAATTATAAATTAAAGGTGTTTGATAGGAAGATATATAGTGTTTTATATATATAATCCATATTTTGAAGTTATACTTCAAAACCCAGTGATACATATCATCAGGACCCCTCCCAAAGTATGATATTTTGTTATAATAAACCCAACCTGTGGGTGCATTTATTTCTGATGTACTCAAGCAACTGGTTTCTAGACTGATAATAATTTGCTCATGGAAAAACACCTGGAACTCTAACATGAAAAACCCTGACAAAGCTACTTGAGACTAAAATTGTCATTGCCATTATGTCAGGGAGATGGGGCACTGAGGGGCATGCACAGGCAGAACAGTTTTTCCTGTGATGTTCCTGAATGCCAAGGTTGTTGGAAACAGCCAAATCACACATCTGTTGATTGCACCAGCATTTCTGTCAGTAATTTCAACGAGTGAGACATTGAGATTAAGTAGATGTGTATGCCCATTTCATGGTAATGAGAGTGAATGAAATGAGTGCAGGGGAGAGACCAGTCAAGTCTGGGAGTAGTGGTGCAATTGCACACTTGTAGTCTGTCCTGGTGCCTAAGAGTGTTCACCAGTGATACTGCTTTAGACACACACACACACACACACACACACACACACACACACACACACACACACACACACACACAAAACCCTTGAGCAAGATATGGAAGGATAGGTAATGGTGTAAGCTTGGGTTTGAGCTGACCCAGAGGTATTTGTTTGAACTATTCATTCCTGATGCTTAGAAGCAGACACTGGGGCTGTAACAATATTCTGACTCCCTACTAGATTACAGGAATCAGATAAAACACATAAAATTGATCCTTGCCCTCAGAGGACTTAGAATTATGAACAAAACATAAACTTGTGGAAAGGAAATTACACAGGCACTAACCATGTAAAATAATAATGTAAGGACAAGGTGGAGAGTATCCAGAGGACAGCAGCTAGGGTGGTCAAGAGGAGGGCAACTAAGATAGTAAAAGCGTGAGACCATGCCATATACAGATTGATTAAAGGAAATGGGCATATTTAGAGTAAAGAAGAGAAGACTGAGTGAGTCATGATATTTTTCTACAAGCATTTGAAACAAAGTCATGTGGAGGAGAGAGTAGGCTTCTTCTGTTTGGTTCCTGAGTCAGAACCAATAGCAATGGCTGAAAGTTGCAAAGAGGCTAATTTAAGCTTGAAGTCAGGAAAAACTTCCTATTAGAGTTGTCCAAAAGTATAATGGATTCCCTCCCCTCAGAGGTCTTCTTCAAGCAAGGCTGGATGACAGCCACTTGTTGAGTACGTCACAGCCAGAGTTCTTTTCAAATAGGGGTTGGCCCCTGAGGTTCCTTGAAACTCAAATTCTGTGATTCTGTGAACTTTGCTAGGTAATATGGGATTAACTGCCAAGTGAATGGTATAAACCACGAGTGCTATGTCAGCTTTTCTCAAACTTTTTGGTCTCAGAAACCCTTTGCATTCTTTTTTTTTAAAAAAAAACATTTATTTTTAACATTCTTTTGAAATTTCAAGTTTCAAATTCTCTCCTTCCCTTCCATACTTCCCTTATCCACTGAGAAGGCAAGGGAATTGATATCAATTATTTATACATGTGAAATAATGTACAACATATTTTCACATTAACCAAATCCCCCCCTCAAAAAAAAAAGGCAAAATAAATCAAGTGAGGAAATTGTACTTCATTTTACATTCAAAGTTCACCAGTTCTCTCTATAGGTGGATAGCATTTTTTCAGCATGAGTCCTTTGGAATTGTCTCAGATAATTGTATTGATCAGAGTAACCAAATCTTTCATGTTTGATCATCATTGCAACATTTCTGTTACTGTGCACAATGATCTCCTGGTTTCACTTCACTTCGCATGAGTTCTTATACGTCTTACCATGTTTTTCTGAAACCATCTCCCTCATCACTTCTTACATCACAATAGTATTCAATTACAATATTATGCCACAACTTGCTCAGCCATTCCCCAATTGATGAGCATTCCCTCAATTTCCAATTTTTTTACTCCACAAAAAAGAGCTGCTATAAACATTTTGTACATATGGGTCATTTTCTTTTTTCTTTGATCTCTTTGGGGTATGGATCTAGTATTGCTGGGTCAAAGGGTATGCACAGTTTTATACCCCTTTGGGCATAGTTCTAAATTGTTCTCCAGAATAGTTGGACCAGCTCACTAGTCCACCCTGGAGTTCATTAGTGTACCTATTTTTCTTTTTTCCCTCAAGGATTGGTCATTTCTGACAGGTGTAAAGCAGTGCCTCACAGTTGTTTAAATTTGCATTTCTCTAATCAATAGTGATTTAGAGCATTTTTTCATATAACTATAAATAGCTTTTTTTCTTCTGAAAACTATCTGTTCATATTCTTTAACCATTTATCAATTAAGGAATGGCTTTTATTTTTATAAATTTGACTCAGTTCCCTATACATTTGAGAAATGAGGCCTTCATCGCAGAAATTTTCTATTAAAATTTTTATATTGTCTATGGTACCTTTCAGCAAAATTTAGTTTTCCTGATTTTCTTTTTTGCTTTTGCTTTGTCTGAGATCATGACTGCGACCTCTGCCTTTTTTACCTCAGCTGAAGAAAAATAGATTTTGCTCCAGCTCTTTATTTTAATTCTGTGTATGTCTTTCTATTTCCAGTGTGTACACAACATATTGTTGGATTCTGGTTTCTAATCCATTCTGCTACCCTCTTCTGTTTTATGTATTTCTTTCCATCTTATTTCCTTCTGTTTATCCTTCTCTCTCTCTTTTTATCCTGTCCCTCCCCTCAAAAGTCTGTTTTGTTTCTGACCACTGCCTCCCTTAATCTGCCCTCCTTTTATTACCCTCCCATAGCTTTCACCTCCTTCCTCTCTTATTTCCCTATTATGTAATATAGATTTCTATAACCAAGTGAGTGTATGTGTGTGTGCATTATTCTTCCCTCTTTGAAACAATTCTGATAAGAGAAAGGTTCAAGCACTGTCTGCCACATACAGCTTCCCAATTTCCCCTCCACTATAAGAGCTCTTCCTTACAAGCTTTTTTTATGTGAGAAAATTTTCCCCATTCTATCTCTCCTTTCCCCCTTCTTCTAGTGTATCCCTCTTTCTTTCCCCTTCACTATTCTTTTTGGGGGGGAAATCATTGCAACATAATCAACTCACACTCATGCCCTCTGTCTATGTAAATTCCTTCTAACTGCCCTAATAATAATAGTTCTTAGGAGTTACATATATCGTCTTCCCATGTAAGAATGCAAACATTTTAACTTTATTGAGTCTCTTTTTTTATGCTTCTCTTGAGTCTTGTGTTTGAATGTCAGATTTTCTATTCAGCTCTGGTCTTTTCATCAGGAATGTTTGAAAGTCTTTTATTTTATTAAATATCCATCCCGCCCCCCCAAAAAAAAAGATTATACTCAATTTTGCTGGGTAGGTTATTCTTGGGTTTAATTGTAGCTCCATTGCCTTCCAGAATAACATGTTCCAAGCCCTCCATTCCTCTAACGTAGACGCTGCTAAATCGCATGTTATCTTGACTGTGGTTTCACGATATTTGAATGATTTCTTCCTGGCTGCTTGCAATATTTTCTTCTTGACTTGGGAGCTCTGGAATTTGGCTTATACTATTCCTGGGCATTTTGATTTTGGGATCTCTTTCAGAAGGTGATTGGTAGATTCTTTCAATTTCTATTTTACCCTCTGGATCTAAGATATCTGGGCAATTTTCCTGGATAATTTCTTGAAATATGATGTCTAGGCTCCTTTTTTGACCATGGCTTTCAGGTAGCCCAGTAATTCTTAAATGATCACTCCTTGATCTATTTTCCAGGTATATTATTTTTGCAATGAGATATCTCACTTTTCTTCTACTTTTTTCATTCTTTTGATTTTGTTTTATTGTTTCTTGATGTCTTATGGAGTCAATAACTTCCACTTGGCCAATTCTGCTTTTTTAAAGAGTTCTTTTCTTCAGTGAATTTTTATGCTTCTTTTACCATTAGGCCAATTCTGTTTTTTAAGGTGTTATTTTCTTCAGTATTTTTTGTGTCTCTTTTGCTAAGCTGTTAATTCTCATTTCAAAATTGTATTGCATCAGTCTCATTTCTTTTCCCAATTTTTCCTACCACTCTTATCGCTTTCTTTAACTTTTCCAAGAATTCTTGTTGATCATGGGTCCAATTAGCATTTTTCTTTGAGGCTCTGCTTATAGCTGTTTTCACAATATTGTCTTCTTAGCGTATGCCTTAGTCTTCTTTGCTACTGTAGTAGCCTTTTATAGTCAAATTCTGTGTGTGTGTGTGTGTGTGTGTGTGTGTGTGTGTATGTGATTTGCTCATTTTTTGTCCTATTTCTTAATGTTGATCTTTATGTTAAGATTGAACTCTGCTCACGTGGGGATGGGGAGGCACTGTGCCAAGCTTCAGTCTTTTCTGTTCTGCTATTTTGAGAGCTAGTTCTAGGGGTCTGCAAGTTTTTGATACTTCCAAGGTGGTGTGATTCAGGGAGAGGTGTGGTCACTGCTCTCTTTGTCTACATTTTGGTCTTTACACAAGAAGGGTCACTGCTTCCCTCTAGCTGCAAGTGATAGTACTCTTCTTGACTCTGGAACTATAACCAGAGCCCCTGCTCCCTTGTGACCAGTCACAAGCATTCCTCTCTGCCCTAGAACTGTGACCCAGAACTGCACATATTCAATAGAGTTGCCAATCAGCACCAGCTCCACCCAGTGCCAGCAAATGGCTCCTGCCTCTGAGCTGAGAGTTCCCAAAGCTGCTGCTGCTGCTGCTGCTGCTGCTGTTGTTGTTACAGCTGCCTTCAAGGCCCACTGCTGGTACTCTTGCCTTGCTCAAAGCCAACCCCAACTTGGGTGTCACAGACCTTTCCTGCCAACTTGCTAAGCTGTCTTAGGCTGGAAAAATGTTTCACTCTGATCTTTGGTTTGATCTGCTGCTCCAAAATTTGATTTGAGGGGTTATTTTAAAGTTTTGTAGGGTAATATCGAGAGAGTTCAGCTTGGTTACTGCCGGTACGCCACCATCTTCACCCCTTTACCTTCTTAAAAATTATTAAGGATCCCCCTCCAAGAACTTTTGTTTATATGGATAATGTCTATTAATATTACTGTATTAGAAACAAAAATATCTTAGTATTGTTATGAAAATAATTTTGACCTTATGGACCCTCTGAGTGATCCCTGGTCTACACTTTAAAAACCTCTGTGCTGTGGGACTCTAGTAAATAATCAACAGACAACATGATGGGCTACAATCACACAAGAATTTCCTTCTCTGAAGAAAGCTCAAACCAGGGGTGTCCAAATCAAACAGAAATAGGAGTCACTATAACATATAAAAGGATCCCTGAGGGCCACATATCAACTTAGAAAACCATATATTACTATTATCTATGTTCCCTTTTATTTTTTAATTTATTTTATTAAATATTTCCCAATTGCATTTTAATCTGGTTCTGGCCACACTTGAGAGTATAGTGGGCTGCAAGCAGTCACTCGTCTTTTTTGACAACTGTGGCTTAAACCACACTTCTACCTCACCAGCCTGCTTACAAATACCATTTCTCATTCTCCAATTTGGACGGAAACTAGAAAAGCCACTTTCAAGACAATCATCACTGAATAAATTCAGAGCTCTAGTAATTTTAGGATATCCCTAGTACTTACCTTCCAGGACTGTTGTGAGGATAAAATGAGATAACATTTGTAAAGCACTTTGCAAACCATAAAGTGCTTATATAAGTGCTAATTTCATTCACTAATTTGTCCATGGAGAGACTATGAATAGTTCTTTCAAGTAAACAGTGAAGGAATTAAAATTGAATGTAACTGATTTTGACTTTCTGAGCATTTTCCTGATTTTCTGAACACTTGATTCTGAGGTTTTCTATAAAAGTTTGGATACCAATTTTGCCACTTCTTCTGACCTCATTTCTTTCTATGTCCTTTTCAGATGACTCGGTGAGCATGCCCAGTGTGGTAAGTGAACAAGAAGCTTACCTCATGAGTGCCATTGGAAGGCGACGATTCTCAAGTCATGTCTCCAGCATGTCTGCACCTCAGGCTGAAGTGGGCATGTTGCCCAGTCAGAGGTAAAAAGCCCTTTATTTTGTGTATTCTCTGTCTTAAGCCTAAAGTAGAAACTCTGAGACTTGATCTGACCATGACATGTCCCTCTTCCATCAAAAACTCCAAATGGCTCCCTATTAATTTTTAAGATAAACTCCTCTGCTGGGTATTTAAAGCTCTCCACAACCTTGCCCCCTTCCTGTCTTTATAGCCTCTTACATACAATCCCCTTGACACACTCTAAGATTTTATGCATCTCAGTGCCTTAGCACTGGCCATCCCCTATGCCTAGAATGTTCTGCTTCCCACCCCTATACCCCACACCCACCTGCTGATGCCTTTCCCTTTAATTTTAACTTCTATCTACTCTTTATGTATCTTATATATCTATATCTGTATATGTGCATGTCATTTCTCTAATTAGGATGTAAGCTCCTTGAGGGCAGGGACTATCTTCACTTTTTTCTCTGCATCCCCAGTGCTTAGGACAGTGCCTGGCACATAGTAAGGGCTTAATAAATGCTTGTTGATTGATTGTTCTACTTAGCACAAAAAAACAAAAACAAAAAACACCTGAAAAGGGGACAGTGCATTGGTATCTTAGACCTACATATTTAACAGGTATTTGCCACTTAAGTTTATACACACACATACACACACGTATATGTCTTCCTTATTAGAACTCCACTCCAGTGCTAGCAATATTAAGTCCCAACAATCCCTTTAGGCATAGCATTATTACTGTACATTATCTATATCCAGATTAATTTAAAGTTATGCTAATTTTTAAAATAACTGATTTGATGTTTGCTTTACTCTTGCTAGCATGATTTTAGGGAGAATTTAAAGTTATGATTCTTCATAAAGAGTATGCATCAGTTTACAAAGTGGTTGTCTACACTTTATAAATTTAACTTGAAACACAGAGATATACTTTCTGCTTTGAGTATTGTCCCTGTATAAGGGTGGGGTCATTTAAACCATTTAAACCCACTTGGAGCTGACAAAAGCGTCCAGTTAGGAGGAGTGATTGATAGTTTGTCTCAGTCAGCTCCCACCCTTAACACCTGAAATAAGTTTGTATCAAATAGGCATGTGGCTTCCTTTCTTGGCGAATGACATTCTCTTATCTCTCTGTGATCCCTCCGTATCAGGGTTCATAAGGAGTGTAATGCCTGAGGACTTTCTTGGAATGATGAATTTTGTCAAGAGTATTTTCTCCATCAGGCATCTGTGTTCAGCCTGTAGTAGTGAATGAAACAAGAAAGGTATTTTGATGCTAAATAGATATGTGACTTTGGACAAATCACTCACCCTTTCTGGGCTTCAACCTCCTCATCTTTAAATTAAGGAATTATTCTAGATACCATCTAAGGTTCTATCTCTTTTAATCTGTTCTTCAAGACGAGATTTGACATGATAGTAGGTAGAAGGCTCCAATCTGGCCTCTGACACCTACTGGCTGTTTAACCCTGGGCAAGTCACTTAATTTTTCAGGGCCTCAAGCCACAAACTTTGTAAGACTATAAATTGCAGAAAAGTTGTCCATCTGCCTCAGTGGATGGAGTTTTCACACCAATGACAGTTCCCTACACTGATGCAATCACAGGCCCAGATGAAAAACATTTTTGGAAAGCAGTTTCTTCCATGGTGTCACTAATATGTGTGAGTTAAAACAATAAAAATCTCAGCACAATTGAACAATTTAAAAGTCTCTGGCCGAAAGTTAACTGCCTTTGACATCAAAGTACACTCTATTTCACTAAATCTTTCAAAGATTTGGTCTAGTAGGTATTTAATTACTCTCTGCTCTCCATCTCTTTAACTCTGACTTGGAATTAATCATAGACAGACACAGACAGACAGACAGACAGACAGACAGACAGACAGACAGACAGATAGATAGATAGATAGATAGATAGATAGATAGATAGATAGAGATAGGTATAGGTATAGGTATAAAAATATAAAATAGAAATCAGGGGATATGGTAATTCAGATTTTTAAAAATTAGTTAAATGTAATTATGAAACTTCTCATAGTTTGATGTCAAATATTTTTAAGTTGTAGACGCTTCTACCAAACCAGTGAGAGGTACCATGGTGCAATACTGGTTAGAACACTGGGCTTAAAGTCAGAAAAAACAGGGTCCAGATCATGCCTCAGACACTTACTACCTGCGTGACCGTGAGCAAATCACTTAACCTCTCTAGGCCTCAGCTCAACTGTAAAATGAGGAAGTTGGACTCAGTGACCTACCAGTATGGTCCCTTCAAGATCTAAATCCACAATTCTACAATCCTGTGAGACAGATCAACGAATAAACTGCTGGACCTAGAGAGTCAAGAAAACCCAAGTCCAAATCTGGCCTCAGAGAATTACTAGCTGTGTGACCCTGGGTGTAATCTCTGTCTACCTCAGTTTCATCTTCTGTAAAGTGAGGATAAGAATAGCACCTCCTTCCCAGGAGTTTTGTTTTGTGAGTATCAAATGAGATATTTGCAAAGCATTTTGCAAACCATAATGTGCTTTATAAATGCTAACCAAAAAAAGATGAAATTAAATTCATAAAATGAAGCCCAAGTTAATGAAGTTTTTTTAAACCAGATTATAAATAAGAATAAGAGATTAACAATTAGTTTTTTAAATGAGACAGCATCTATAAAGTATTCTATACCCATAAAGCATTACATGAAAGTAAGTTTTTATAGCTATCATTGAAAAAAATGTATTATTCTAAAAAAGGACTAACAATTGATAATTTTTAATGTTTTCCCAACATTCTTCAGATTTTTATTTAAAAAAGAATTGAAAGAAAAATCCTAGTGGATCAACCATGGCAAACTCTTTAAAGAAAGTAATGTTTCATTTTTCATGTAAACCGGATAGGAAGTATGGTGTGATGGCAGGAACTCTGAAGTGTTCTAGAGTCAAAGTGCCCCTCTCTGCTCCTACATACCCAGGGGACCTGGGGCAAGTTAGGGCACCTCTCAAGCTTCACTTTCCACATCTGTAAAATTAAGAGGGTGAAATTTGATGATCTCTAGGGTCCCTTCTAGCTCAAGACCTACCATCTATGAACTAGTAACTAATCATCAGAGCTCTGGCAAAAGTTGACCAGGTAAACGGATTGCTTGTCATTTTCCACATACAATTAGGGTGTAACTTTTGTCTTGTCCATGTGGGGATTAGCCTTGGGAGATAAGCACTAGTGGTCTCCATTTTTCAACTTTCTTAGTAAGACATTAAAAATATGATTTCTGAGCTAATCAGAGCACTGACTATGAACAATGAATGAATAAGAAAACACCAGCAGTTAGCTATGCTGAGCACAGAATGAACAGTGGGATGAAAGCCCATAGAATAATACTTAAAGCATAAAGGTTTTTAAAAAAATTTAGTATCAAACTATTTTCACTAAACATTTTTATAGAGATTTAAAATACAAAGTTTTCAACAGTCCTCAACAAATGCAAACATTCCTTTCTTCACCTTCTGTAAGGAGTTTCTACCCAGTGGGAAACAGTGGAGGCAGGCAATATGCTGTATTGCCATTCATCTGAACAGATGGATGAACAGAATTGCATTCTGGACAGACTGAAATTGAAGAGGCTGATGAAGATATCTATACTCATTCATTTCTCCTTGATTCATTTCATGGGAGATAGAGTGGGAAGCAGGGTTTGGGTTTTTTCCCCTTACATTCGGAGTGGTAGAGCATTTTCTAAAATACTGTCTTCTTAGTGCAATTGTGCAAATTTTGAAGCACATCTAGAATTCCTAAGTAGTGGTAATTTAATTCAGTACAATCAAACAAGGATTTACTGAGTGCCTACCACGTGCCCAGCACTGTGCTCTACAAGCAAAGTCTAAGACACTGCCCCTGTCCTCAAGAAGGTCTCTTTGCAGCCAAGTAAACTCATGGCCTGTTGATCTTATTTGTCTCTTACCCACCTAACAGCTTTCTCCTATCGATATTTATTTTTCAATCATCCCCAATAGATGCAATATTTAATTGCTGAGGAAGGAGAAGATGACTTGAGTTCGTAAGGATTTCCTAGGTCAATTCCCTCCAGTTTACTTGCATCTTCATTGTAGTGTTAACTTAGACATCTGGCATTGCTTTTGCTTTTTTGTTTGTTTGTTTTAAACATACGATCAGAATTAAAAGTTGGTATTAGGAGTTCATGGTAAGTGGTTTTTTTATTCTAATTTCCAAGGACAAAAAAAGAATCCTAAGGAGGATGATTTTCAATGAAGCTGCAAGTAACTCACCCAAATAGTTTCAAAATAAGTATTAGTTTTGATTTTCTAGAAACAATCTAGAAAGCATTTCACAGTTCACGTATTGATTTGGAGCACTCTAGGTCCCAACATTTGACTAATAGATTGCTCCTCTAAATTAGTGTCCAGACAATGTCTTTCCTTACCCTGTGATTCCATGTCCTGATGAACCCAGTGTAAGGCCAAATGGTTGATTGTCCTCCTTTTCCTTCCTTTTTCTGTTGATTTTTCTTTTTCTTTTTGTTTTTAGTTCCTGAAAAAACAAACAATTGCATGCTTTTTTTTTTGCATTTTCTTTCCCTAAATGCTTCATTTCCCTACCCCTCCTGCAGTGAACCTAATGTCCTCGATGACTCCCAGTGCCTGGCCGCTGAGGGCAGCCTCTCTAGGTACAGTTGTCAATGCTACCTGTCTGTCAGTGTCTGTGCTGGGATACTAACTGTTCCCTGTCTCTCTGTCTCTTCTTCACCCCCCCTCCTTTCCTCTATTTCCATTCCTTTCCCCATGTTGTTCATGGATACACCAGTCTGCAAGTCAAAGGTGTAGCAAACCTTCCTAGGTTTTCAGCTATTGACGGCAAGAGTTTTGTTTTTTTTTAATAGCCCAAGAACAGATCTATAGAGTTCTTTGGGCAGTTCTTATGTCAACCTAGCTGTCTGTTGTACCAGGTGTTACATTTTTCCCAGCTAAATATTTTCCCCTCTACACCAACATTCATTAATAATTTTCTAGGAACATCATCAATGTGTATTCACTTATTTAAATACAGGTCTCCACAGTCAAGAAACACTTTATTAAAGCATTGAGATGGATTTTTAGTGAATACCATAATTCATTTTTAAAATATTATAAGAATGTCAATTTTATGTACATATCAACTGCCTTTTAAAATTTATTTTATGGAATTTCTTTAATATCTTACTCCAGGAAGCTTGTCCAAATAGCACTTATATAGGGAATTTGTAACTCAGAACTAATCCAACTCCTCCAACTAACAATTGTCCAGTAAAATCAGGAAGACAAATGTTCTTTGGCTGAATTAGAAAAGTTATATGATGCCAGCACAATATACAGTTACCACGCTGTGTGTCTAAAGATTGTAAAGAAGGGATGGACTGCACCTTTAACACTCAGATAAATGACATCAATGGTTCCTACCATTGTACTCTCATAGCCATACCTCTCAACTGATCCTCATTAGGCAGGGCAATGCTTCCTGTCACTAGTGTCTTTGTTCCATTTCAAGTGAACATCTGCCTTTTTTAAGTCTTGCCTTTATCAAGTGTTACATGTCTGTGTCTCTTGCTTTATCAGGAAAGATGAGGAGATGTTGAGAGGCTGTTCCTGTGAACTTTCCCTTTTTAGAATTTTGTCACTCATTTGATTTTTTGTGTTTTGTTCAGATTTCACTTTTTTTCATGTTGAATATGGGAAATTCATTCCATCATCAGATGTTCTTTTTTTTTTTTGTTAGACCAGATTCATGACATTCATTTATGTTTGTCAGCCCTAGCCTCAAAAGTTCAGTCTCTTAGCATTTGTGGAATAGCTGCAAAGCTAAGGCTTGCTCCCATTGGCAGAAGCTCAAATAAGGGTTATTTGGCATAACTGAAATAACAGAAAAGAAACAGGTCTCAAGACGGTTTTGTATAATTGTGCAGTTTTTGAAGAAAGCAGATGGTCTATAGTGGGGTTAAAAATAGTCAACTTGGCTTTTAAAGAACTCATCTGTTTACACTTAAATTTATGTTTGAGCAAGATAACATTGCTTAAAAACTCCCTTGAAAAGCCTTGGTGGGTTCAAAGGTAATCACTGTCTAAACAGTGTTAACCTAGAGGGAGCATAATATATTACATCAAATTTCCATCAGACCTACTACCCATCTGAAATCAATCTGTTCTGATCACATAGTGTGAATTTTGCTCTGGAATTATGTGGTCTAGAGCTACCCTATGTCATTTAAAGTGAGAGGGGCAGGAATTAGGTCATGAGTGCTGGGTCAGCTTTGAGCATTTTTCTTAAGGAGTTAAATAACACAACCCAGTCTTCCCTGACTCCGCTGCTGATGGAAACATATCCAAGATTACACTCAGGCAAGAATAATTTAGACAAGCCAACTAGTCAGAATATTTAGAACTGTATTATCCTTGGTTAAAGAAAGTTGAATGGTCTGACTATACCTGTTTATATTTCTGTGCATATGTATGGTTTAAAGCTAATTACAGATTCAGCTCTTGAACTTGAAAACAGGAATGCATTTTGTTTTCTGAAAGTAAACCAAGTTAGCACAGTGATGTTCTACTAGGAAGCAACAAATCAACTTTTGCTATACACAGGTAAATGTACCGCCTGAATTTTACCATGTCACCAAGTTTTTAGCATTTTATAAGAGGTAGGTTTAGTCAGAAGATCATGTTTTGGATGACATATTCTTAGCTCTTATTTTCTGTGTGCCATCCTTTCAAGGTGCAAAATCTTAAATTTTTAAAGGCACATGTCTTATCAGCACTAATTAACTTGTGTCCAAGACCTAAAAGAAAACTGAGCGGCATTCCCAAAGGAAAACAGACTACAGGGCCTGCAAACTATTAAGCAGAACGGCTGATTAATTAACTGATAATTTTATTAGACTTTCATGAAAATGGCTATTTATAAGAAAATACTGAAAAAAAAGAAAATATTGAATATATGTACTATATTCATTAGGGACCAGTAGAACTAGCCAGATCCAGATAAGAAAGAAAACACTGCACTGGTAAATATGGGTGAGAACAATGGAAACTTTACAGGCAGGAGAAATTTTTCTTCCAAGAATTTTTAATGCAAAGAAAAACTAAGATAACTAATTTCTTTTAGAAGTCATTTTAGGGCAGCTAGGTGGCATAATTGATAGACCACTGGTTTGGAATCAGGAAGACTCATCTTTATGAGTTCAAATCTGGCTTCAGGCTCTTACTAGTTGTTTGACCCAGGCAAGTCACTTCACCCTGTTTGCCTCAGTTTCCTCATCTGTAAAATGAGCTGGGGAAGGAAATGTCAAACCACTCCAGCATCTTTGCCAAGAAAACCCCAAATGGGGTCCCAAAGAGTTGGACCTGACTGAAACCTTATTATCAGCCAACTTTTCAAATTATCTGGAAGATACAAAGGGCAAAATAATTTCCTTTTCAAAATAGCTGAAAATAAGTGCCTAAAAATCCCTTTTGAAATATGTACCTATCTGTTTTATAACTAAATCATTGTTATGTGAGAGGTAGTGTTTAGTGGAAAGAGATGAGATAAGGAGTAAGACCTAGATTATAGTCCTGACTTTAGCATCTACCAGCTTTGTGATTTAGGGAAAGTCAACAACAACCTCTCTGATTTTCAACTTCCATCATCTACAAAAGTGAATTCCTTGCCAACCAGAGTTGTTGTGAGGATCTAAAAAGATCATGTATGTAAAAGGACATTGAAAACTTTAGGCTTTTATAAAACTATAAGGGTTTATGAAAGGAAATGACATCTAATTAACAGCATAACAATCAGGTTTTATCAGCTCTCTCCATGATGGTAGGTTGTTTAGGTTACAACATCTTGTACATTGTGCATACTCAATAAATATTAAACAGGAAGTATTGTTTATGGGGAAGTGTAGGGTTCTGTTTCACCCCTTCTCTGTGAACACTCCATGCCATTTTCTATGGCACCACAGTTTGTTACTATGGTGGAAAGCTTACCATAGACTTAACATTTCCTATGTACAGAATGGGCAGCTAGGTGGTGTAGTGGATAGGACTCTGGGCCTGGAATCTGGAAGACTCATCTTCCTGAGTTCAAATCTGGCCTCAGAGACTTACTAGTTGTGTGACCCTGGGTAAGTCACTTAACCCTGTTTACTTCAGTTTCCTCACCTATAAAATGAATTGGAGAAGGAAATGGCAAACCACTCCAGTATCTTTGCCAAGAAAACTGCAAATGGGGTCATGAAGAGTTGAACATGACTGAAAATGAATGAACAATATACAAGATGCTCTGCTCCATTTGGGGAGTTTCCAGTGTGTACACGAGACTCAGCCCATAACTGTGAGACCTAAAAAAAAAACAATGAAAAGCACCTGCTCGGTTTTTTAAATTTTTGTTTTTGGCATTGATCCCACCCAGAGGTTCGTTTATCATAAGGGTGTTTATTTGCTAGAACAGTCCCTTGCAGATTAGTGAATAATACAAACAATGATTCAACTGGGAGAAAAAAAATTCATAATAAAATACTTTTAAGATTGTCCTAGCTCCTTTTGCAATTAAGTGCTGCCCCTGTAATTTATTCTTTTTTTTTCCTTTTTTGGGAAACATGAAGTAAGATTTTTTTTGGTAGCCAAGGTGTTTGATTCACTGTCATCCAGCAATTTCTTCAACTGGATTCCTGCTTCTACTGACTTCTATAAAATTTTAATTATGTCGTCTGCAATTGTGATGTTTCTTAGCACCTCAAAAATGCAAGTGAACATTTTTCTCTCTGAAAGGTGTTGTTAGCTTTAGGTTAGAAAACCCTATTGAGCTTTAACTTTAGTATGTACAAGTTAATATTTCTCCCTTTAAACATTAAGGCAGAAGAGATTTAGGTATTGCTCTTTTCTATGATTCAGAACTTCAGATGATAAGTGTTCTAGGAAAGTTTGTTTGTTTTCAGGTTTGGGTTTTGTTTTGGTTTGGTTTTTGTCCACTAATGAAATTAATACTGACTGCTCTTCTTTGAAGAATCTTTTGTGTTAGGGACCATGCTAATGTAGAGACTTTCTTGATTTATGATAGGGACAGTAGTGATATAGATTCTGGATTTTTGTTGCAAGTATATGGATGATCCACATTTCAGTTATGCAGATGGCCAGAACTCAGGTACTTAAAGAGTACTCAGGTACTAGAAAACTAAAAACACATGACATTTCTTCTTTGAAATAAGAAGTAAATCTGGTTGTTGCAGTTCTCATTGCCAAAAACATGAACAGAGTTCAATACAGTTATTTTCTTTTACTTCTTAAAGATAAATTGGTTTAGAAATATAAGACATAATATAGGCAGGAGCTTAATAGTTCATATAGTCACCTTGATCTTCACTAGCTTGGCATTGCTGGTTCTATACGTATTCCTAGGCAGATACTGCAAATTCTACAGTTATTTCAGATTTCTTTGGTGCTGTATGATATGGAGACATGCCTACATTTAAACCATTTTTGACTTGTGATGTGAGGCTAATTTAAGCCCCTGAAGAAGAAACTTTTGGTATTAGATTTCATTCTACACAAATGGCTTTATTCATTGTTAAATCTCTATTTATATCCTGTCTAAACTGTACGAGTATACATATCAATCCTTTGGTGTCAGAATGTAAATATATCAGCATCATTTATCATCCTATTCAGGTAGGGGTGTGTTTCCAAGGACTTCTCTAATATTTTCAACTCTGATATACACATCATTCATACAAAATAAGTACTTGCTATGATCATAAACTTTATATACTTCTTTAAGGCAAGTCTTATGTTTATGATCCTTATTTTGGAATTCTGACCATGTCACTACCATTGTACAATGATATTTATCACTCCTGACAGGAGATGGATTTTGTCTTTTATTTCATACAGTTTCCTCACATTCCAGTGTATGGCTTATTCCAATTATAATACTAGTGGCAATTCACGTGTGTATAGCATTCTTTTTTTATGGCACTTCAACAAACCATTATCTCCTTAGTGCAAGTACCACCTCTCCCAATGTAGATCACAATTCTTCCATATCTCTAAGTTCATCACCCAGTGGTCCATCCACTAGCGATAAGCTTCTCTGCACTTTGCTAGTCCTCAGACAAAATGTTTTCCAACAATTGTTTATTTCAGTGATGGCTGCAACGCTCCCCCAGATAAATGAACTTTGTTCTTAATTTGGAAACTTTGAGACTAGCCTCACTAAGGAATTACTGATTTATTCTAGATGAAATATGAATAAGATCAAGCAAGATGGTTGATATGACCATAGATGACATATTTTATTTGGGATATTAGAGCATACTTATGATTGATTTTGCTCACTATATGATAATGAGCCTGTTTTTTACATGACCCCAAATACAAGGTTGGCCTTCTTGTAATTTGTTCCTCCTTTGTTCTATCCTTCCCACCCCCTCTGCATTTGGCCACTTCCTTAGAGGAAAGAAAAGTAAGTGGAGAGGCAATGTACGGTAGTGGATAAAGGGCCAGCCTGAAGCATGGATTCAAATTCTGCCTCTGACACATACCAGCTATGTGACCCTGGGCAAGTCACTTAACTTGTCCATGCTCCAGTGAATTAGCTAAAATTCTAAGCTGCAACATAGTAACTAAGCTTCATTGGTCCAGGGTGTTTTCTTACTGGGAGTTAGTTCCTCATCAGTGAAATCACAGGTCTGAAAACAATAGCAAAAATTAGTTTTCTCTTTTTCCTAATGGTAGTACTAAATTATCATTAGATGACATTTTTTTAAGGCCATGGTAAAAAAGATTAAATATTAAATGAGTACTGATGCCCTCATTCCCAGAATTAAGTTGTATTCCAAGGGTATAAATACTTTTCCCTCTTATTAAAAGTATTCTCTACATGCATGCAACTAAAGGAAAACTGGCATTTGTGTATCAATCAGTCATCCACAGACAAAGAAAGATCACTGCCAAGCCATTTTTTTTAATATAAAGGATTCAATTTGATTCAACAAACATTTATTAAGCAACTACTGTGTGCAGAGCAGTATGTTAGGTACAAAGAGAGTTTAGAGAAGACACCATCCTCACCCTCCCTCATGAATCATTGACCCAATCACACAAACATCCCATTGCCCCAGTAATTCTCTTGTATGTTCAAGAGTAATGCTACGAAAACAATCAGAATGTAAGATAAGTTAATTGAAGGAAAGAGAGAATATGAGTTGTCAATATTATAAACTGCATGTTAAATTTCAGTGCATTTAATGGGTCTTAAAGCTCTTTAATAATTAGTCAATTCAATCACTTTGACAGTGTATTTTATCAAAAAGTTTTAAAGAGTTTGGGTGTACCTACTTGTGACTATGTTTAATCACTAGCCTTAAAGAGACTTCAGGCTGCAAACATGGATTGAATGTAGAACTTGTTCATGTGTCATGCTCCTTCACCTAAATGGAACCTGTGTCTGTTGTGTTTGACATTTGTTCATTTTATTTTTATTTAAATTAAAATTAAAAAAAACAATTAGGCATTCATATCAGAGAGAGTCGTTTCCCTTTTCTATTCCTTCCAAAATCTGAGATTACAAAATGCCATCTCATACTCTTTCTGTATATGGTATGCTTCATAATCAGGGGGTGAGATAGGTGGTTATTTTGATATGGGGTGCAATATCATTAATGGCTGAAAACCAAGAATCTTAATTTTGGCAGTTTGGAAGTGCAGAGCTTTATGCCAAATGCCATAACTCTTCGAACATTTAGAAATCCCTACCTAAGGATGCCTATCCCACCTAGCCTTCAAAGATAATGCTGTCTTTGAAGTGATTGTGTCGCATTAGTGCTTCGCAATCACACTGACTAAGGTCACTTTTTCCTCTATACTTCTTTGCTTCTGTTAATACTGTTGACATTTAACAGGGTGGCAAGTATACAGAGTGAGCCTGGCCAACAGAATCTCCTTATTCAGCAACCACTGGGAAGGAAGAGAGGCCTGAGGCAGGTGAGTACCCAAGGACATATATGGTCATGTTTAAGATATAATCAGTGTATTTTCTCAAGTCTCCCTTGACTTTACACTATCTTCTCTCTTTTAGCTAAGACGACCTCTTCTGTCTCGTCAAAAGACTCAGACTGAACCTCGAAACCGTCATGGAGCTCGGCTTTCAACTACTCGCCGAAGCATACAACCTAAAACAAAGCCCACAGGTAAGGCAACATTCATTCACAGGACAGTGTTGGTACATAATAACATATAGTAAGGGGAATGGGTGCCTAGATTTTATAAGAGGGTACAGAGTTTAGGGTTATCTTTTGCTTAGTGTAAAGAGATGGGAGGAAGAGTCTCTGTGCATATCAGCACCATTATTTTCCAGGAGTTGGGGGACTCCATACACATACCCTCTTCTTCCCACCTCCTGACAGTAATATACTATTTGGTTAAGAGAGTTTATTTTTAAAAGGCTGATACCTTTTCAATCACGTAAGCAAGCAAATATTTACTAAACACCTACTATGTGCCAGGCATTGTGCTAAGTACTGGAGATACAAAGAAAAAAGTGACAGTTCCTGGCCTCAAGGAGCTTACATTCTAAGGAGGGAGACAACATGTACCAATGTAAGTATTTACAGAACATATACAAAATGGATCCAGGGTAGTTGTGAGAGGGAGGACATGAGTACCTAGGGGGATCAGGAAAGCATCCATGTAGAAGGCAGCACTTGAGCTGAAGTAGTTAAGGAAACCAGGGATTCCAAGAGTCAGCACTGAAGACAGACAGAATTCCAGGCATGGAGGTTAGCCAGTGCAAAGACACAGAGACAGGAGATTCAATTGTTAAAAAAAATGAAATGCTTAGGACCGTTCTAGGGGGAGGAGACAAAAGTTAACATAAGGCATACCCTTTTCTAGGACAGATACATCATGCATACACACACACAAAATACAAAAAGGCATTTATAGATGCTAGAGGTATTAGGTGCCATGATATGTGTCCATCTGCCATGCTAAAGACCAAATAATTAGCTCATTAACTAGAGTCAAGTTTGTACAGTTGTTGTAAAGGATAATGATTTATTAGGTTAATGCCTATGCCCTAATGACCTTAATTTATGAAAATAATGACCAGAATAGTTTGTGTTATTTTGAAGAGGCATGAAATTAAAGCATTCACTTTTACTAACGTACAGTAGCAATGCCAGTAAAGGCGGGAGAACTTAGTTTAGACAAATGAGAGCCGAAGATATCAATTGTGTTTTTCTATTCATCCCCCATTTTCTGCCTACACGGAAACAGATCAGAAACGATCAGTGACCTTCACAGAAACTCAGCCTGAGACAGCACCTTCCCCAGCAGACACCCTTCCTGCTACCACTCAGCAACAGTGTTGCAGCAAGAGCAGTCCTGGTCAATCTGGTAAACCAGAAGTAGTGGAGAAACCAGTCCTCACATCTTCCCCTGCCATCATAGTTGCTGATCTCCACGGCCAGAGTCCCTGCCAGGTAATGGCTCTCACAGTGACTTGAGACTGACTTCCCTCCTGTATAGCTCTTTAGGTATCATTCAAACATGCATTGGTTTCCTGAGTTTTATTTTATAATCAAGTCTGAGCCAATTAACTCCACTGACAGAACAGTATTAGTAAAGCTAAAATCACTGGTTAATCCACATGAGATACTTAGCTTTACAAAGAGAAAATATTTTGGGTACAGGTTTTGAAAGAAGATATTTTATGTACAACTCAAAGATGTTCTTTTGAGGCAGTAAGGAGAGATGGTGGATACACGGGACCTAGAATCAGGAAGAACTAAATTTGGATTCTACCTCAGTTGTTCACCAGGTCAGTTGCAGCTTCCACATTTGTAAAATGAGGATAATAATAGTTACTTTGTTGTTGTTTTTGTTCAGTTGTTTCAGTTGTGTCCAAGTCTTCATGACCTCATTTGTGGTTTCTTGGCAAAGATGGTAGAGTAGTTTGCCATTTCCTTCACCAGCTCATTTTACAGATGAAAAAAGTGAGGCAAACAGGGTTAAGTGACTTGCCTGGGGTCACACAGCTAGTAAGTCTGAGGCTGGATTTTAACTCAGGTCTTTCTGACTCCAGGCATGGCACTCTATCCACTGTGCCACCCTAGCTGCCCAAATAAGATAACATATGTAAAGCACTTTGCAAAATTTAGAGTGCTATAAATGTTGGATATTCTTTTTGAAGTAATGGGTAGAAACATTTGATATTAAATGTTTCAGAGAAAATTATTCCTGCAGTGCAGGAGAGTTTGGATGAAGAGCAGCAGAGCCTCACAGGGACAGGATTTAATAGAACTTTATTACTACTCAGAAGGGGAACAGATGCACTAGGGAATGGTCTCTGTGCGAAGCTCCTATTGCCTATAACCATGACATAGTTTTTATACTCCACTGGAAAGTCTAGAGCCCCTCAGGGCTCAAATTTTTAGATCTTTAGACAAAGAGCCAGCATGGCACCAATAGGAGACTACCCTTATCAATAGGATTATAGTAGAGATGAGTGAAGTAAGAGTATTTTCTAAATTCCCAAATAAGGAATGAAAAATGATGTGCAGGGACAGAGGGAACTTAACTCTAGCTGTGCCATCCAGTAAGATCATGGGGACAGGAAGGAGGTAATGACCAGTCTCAGGGCTTATTAGCTTTAATATACATGCATCCTGGGGGTGCTGGGTGCCCAGTGAAACTAATTTTCACCAGTCCACAATTGCCTTTGTTGAAATGGATGGTTCAAACATATATATATATTAATATATATATATGTATATGTATACTCAAAAATGCTTGCCAGAAAAGATTTTGTCAAGAAAACATTTATTAATGTATATGTAGCATTTAAATAAAAGGTCCCTTTATAGTATCTACTTTACACTTAAAATAAGCAATTCCAGCCTACTCAATTTAACAAACATTTATTAAATGCTTAGTGTGTTCAAAATACCATAGTAGGTATTGATGATATATAGATATAGATATAGATATAGATATAGATATAGATATAGATAAAGGCTAAAATGAAACAGTTCAAGGAGCTTGCATTCTACTGGACAATACAATGTATATACAGCTAAACAGAAATACAACATGTGAAATAAAGTAATTTCAAGAGAGAGGGAAAAACAAAGGAATGTTTTCATAAAAGCATTTCATAGAAGGGTTTGGTAATGTTAGATGTCATTATTATATTCTCTTCTATGGTGTTCTAAGGAAGCTAGACAGGTGTCTGTGGTAGAATAATTATTTCTTAAACTCTTCTGTGGCACGTGGGATCATAATCTTAGAATGGGAAGTCCACCTCTCTCATTTTTGAGATGAGGAAACTGAGATACAAAAAGGCTAAGTGATTTGCCCAAAGTTATATATGTAGCAAATGGGAGGGCTAGGATTTTGACCCACATCCTTTGACTCCAAATCCCAGTAATCTTTCTACTATACCATGCTGCCTGATCTTACGTAGAATTTTAGCACTAGAAGGATCTTAGAAAGAATATTTTCTCTACTGTGTGAAGGCCTCAAACCTGTTGGTTATCTTGGTTCTAGAGTAAGGCTCACTCAACTGAAGAGAAAGAAAAGGAAAAGGAAGATGATGCTGAAGCAGCGCAAGGAGCTACAGCACACAGCCCCTCATCTACCCAGCTTTCAGACACTGAAGACTTTGCAGGTCTTGAGACCACAAGCTTGCTACAGCCTGATGACACTATTCTTCATATCAGTGAGGAAAATGGAATGGAGAATCCTCTATTAACAAGCCAGTTCAGTTTTACTCATATTGAACTGGGGGAGACAGATATTGACCTAGATGAGTCTCATGTTTAATTTTATACTTAGTAGGGGTTGAGGGTCTAGAAGGAGAATGAATCACCTTGCTGAAGCACTTAAATTTTCTCTAGCTAAGACTGTGGTGGCAAATTGTCATTAGCCAATTAAAAAACACCTTATATCCATAGAAGGCACAAATCTAAGTAGATTGCTGCCAATTAGCAGAATATTTTTTAAAAAAACATAAAATTGATGATTACACTCATTAGATTTTGTAAAGACCACAAATGCCAGAGAAGAATGGGAAAATGAGCCATTTCAATGGGGATTATTCATGATCTGTTACAAATGTACTGTAAACATCAGCTTATCTAAGGAGATGAACAAATTTATTAATACATTATAAAAAGAAACCAACCCTTTGATTTTTGGTCACATTAACATCTCACCTGAATTTTTATTTTTATAGTTTCAGAATAAATATATGACTCATCAATTAGTGCAAATTATATTTAAAATGAAATAAAATACTAGTATCATAAAAGCAAATAGAGAAAAACAAGTCCACTGCTGATTTTTCCTAGTCAAAAGTAATGTCATTGAGGAAAAAGGCAATTTTTTTAGAGCTTTCAAAATCTTTGCTTTGGGCTATTCCTTTTATTCCACTTTTTAAATCAAAATGCTAATGTTATCAGAGCCTTCCATCCATTTCAAAATATAACTAATTGGTTATACAGTATTACCAGTATGGAGAGGTACAATTCTTTACAAAGTTGTTCAAAAAGGCAAAGATTATAATGATTTGAAACCCAAATGTAGGGATGAGATTGCTTATTATAGCAATTATTATATCAGTGCATGGCAATGGAGGCAACTAGAAATATGTGTACTCAAGTGTAGTATCTGTTGCCTATCCTCAAGGACCTACTCTCCTATAGCTACTGTACTGAGATTATTAGAACCAGCTTAATGGCCATTCCTTTGTGATAATAGTGCTCCCAAGTGTGCCCTAAGGCACATATATTCATGATACAAGATGCATCCAGATAAATAAGGAAATTTCTCCATCTATTAGGCTCACTCATAAGTTGTTCTTGTTCTTATCAGCCCTATTTGTATGGCCTTCACATGGATCTTTAGTGTTGAAAGAAATATGAAAGAAAGGGATTATGACAATCAGATCCCTAGCAAGTCAATCTCACTATAAGATCATAGGATTATGAATTTCACAATTCAAAACTGAATTTAACTGTGTACATTAGAAAATGACATGTCTATAAGGCAAATCACAAGCTCATGCTTCTGTGATTCTTTGATTTATCATAGCTAAATTAATATGGTATAAAAATGCAAACTCTAATCCTGGAGTTGAAGTTAAACATAGACCTTAATTATACTACAATGAGTTTTAAATTATTCTGTATGTCTATACTTTATCTATATTGATCATAAACTATACCTGCACATACAAAGGAGGCCTATCAAACCTAAATCTAATATAGAAAAGGTATTCTTCTATTTTATGTACTTATTGAATTAGACCTAAATTATATTTTGAATGGTATAAAAATATAATTGGAAGTCATTCATAGCCTTGTCCAAAAATGCAGTGCAACAAATAGGTATTTATCACTAATAATGATAAGAGACAAATACCCACCTAAACTTAGATTAAGTAGAATTTCAAAAACTAGAGAGGCCAAATGTACTCTTGTTCATTTTACAATATTTTGATATAGCTTGCACTTACTGCCAACTAACCCTCAAATGCAGTTACATATCTATCATAATGATTTTTGAATCTCTCTAAGTAAGATAGTATATTTCTGCTATTTAGAAAATATGTTGCTGCTCAATTAGTGTTAGGGGCCTTATGTCTATGTAATTTCCAAGTGTCTGCGTTGTGTGAAGGTCTTAATTTATGTGCATGTTCCAGTCCAGTTTATTGATTCAGATTAGACATAATCAAACATAATTGTACAAGACAGCAAAAAAAAAGGGGGGAGTAGGGTAGAGGTGGGATATTAAAGAATGATGTTACTTTTGAAAGGTGTCTTTAAGTAGTTTCAGATAGTCATCAAGGCACAGAGCTATTTTTAAAGGTGACCTCATGCCTGTCTACTTATTATCCCATCCCTCCTCTATTCTACTGTTGAAGTCTTTTAGAAGCGTCTTCAGTGTTTTAAGTATCAGTTTATTAGGTAAAAATTTATAGCCCCTATTCTGAGAAATATGGCCTTATTTAGAGGGAGTGTTGTCCTACTGGGACTACATCTCTGCTGCTGTCTGTGTCCGTGTTTGTTTTTTTTTCCAGATACCTTTAATTATGTTGAATGTCTATGTGTGTGGGTATTTATCTGTGTGTACATAAGACTGTCACAGTTGTATTTTCAGGAATATTATTGTCTGGGAGTTTAAAAGTATGGGGTGGGGGAAAAGAAAGATGGAGAAAATTATAAAGAATTTTTACCATTTTACTGAATGGAAGTCTAAATGTTTATCTTGCAAGAGTAAATAGAATAGCCTGTTCCTAAATATGGGGATCATTTATTAAAACATTCATGTATATAAACATATATTGATTTATATTGGGGAAACAAGAGCCCACCACCTTGAATAAATCTTCAAATTCAACAAATTGCTTTTTAAAATAACATAAAAATGACCAAGTTTTAACTTTTTAGAGAGCTTGAACATATCAATTCCATAATGATAGATGATGGTTCAGATCGTTTAGATTTAATATAGCCAGTTCAAATGATTGGGATAGATTATTGAACATTTTTTATAAGAATCTCCTCCTTTCAAAATGTGAAACATTTGTCTCTAGTGTATCACGTACCCCAATGGTGTCAAACTCTAATAAAAGCAGGGGCCATTATACTATATGTAAGGACCCCAATGGGCTTATTAACTTAGTTTTTAAATGTTACATTATCTATGTTTTATTGTATTTTTATTTATTTTGTTAAATATTTCCCAATTACATTTTATTACGGTTCAGGCCTTGGGAGTATTGTGGGTCACGTGTGGCCCATGGGCTACATGTTTGTAACCTATGATGTACCTCATAATCTGTTGACTTGATATATTATACTCTATTTTTAAATGAGGGAAGCTGAGTCACAGAAAAAGTTCTAGTAATGCATGTAGAGTTATGCTGATAATATATACTTTACCAAAAGTCATCAAAATGTAATGGGGAAAAGATCCTGTGGGGCATTAGTGTCAGGCTAAACGATGAATCTTGGTAGAAAGAGCGAATTTAGAGGCAGATCCCAATTTAAACCCTTTGGTGAAGTCATTTTTGGGCTTCTATTTTTTCATTGTAAAATGGCAAGAGGAGTGCAAGTCACATGATCTCTAAGGTCCCTTCCAGCTCTAAATCCTATGATCCACAGTTCCCAATTTTAAGCCTTTAGCAGTTATTACAGCCCAAACCACAGGGCCCTTGCTTTGAAAAAGGAACTCTCCTTCTAGTCAATAAACGGCATTCTTCTGCTGTCCTGTCTGGCTCATAAGGCAGCAAAAATAAGAGCAAGGTGCTGGGAAGAAGGGTCATAAAAGGATATGATTTCAGCTTAATGCACAGATTAAATGTTTATCTCAAGTTATCTGAGTAACAGAAACCAGAGGCCCCTGAATCTGCTGCCTGGTTCAGTGAATCATACTGTAGTCAACATGACTTAGCCTTTATAATTCCATACTTATTACGAACAATATTTCGGCAGTTCATCCTCCTCGTTTGCCTCAGCTTCTAGTATCAGCAAAAAGATTCACATGGTGACGTTTCAGAAAGCTTTGGTTTTTCACTCAGGGGAATAAGAGCAAGTTGAAGGTGGAGTGTATTGAGTAGGTTTGAGAACAATGTATGTGTATTAAAGAATAGAAAACCTGTCAAATTACTGCACAGTTTGTCCCAGAGTATTTTTTTATAGTCTTTACAACATAGGATGAACATTTTCCCACTAGCCATCTCAAAGGTTTATGTTAAAGGTAATAACATAAGATTGAAATAATCTATTTTCCCCAAGATGAATAACTGTGAAGACTGTATATTGAATGACCAAAGAGCATGGAAATGAAGAAATATCATGACAAATACTATATGAAAAAAAATTTGAAAAATGTTTTTGAAAGGTATTAGCATTCATTGTTTGAATATGCACATATAATAAAGTAATTATAAAAGCACCTGAAATTATTGTCTTAGTGTGCCTCACTTCCTTATTTCTGGATAAAGCAATTTTGACTTACTCTGTAACAAGATTTAACCTTTTCTGTGTCATGTACTCCTCAGAGTAATATTTTTTTTAAATGGATGAATTACAAAGGAAACCAATTATACTGAAACATATTAAAATATTTTTCAAAAATAAGTTCACAGACCCCAAATTAAGAACCCCCACTAGAAAATTGTCATTTTCAGTGCATTTTGTTTTATGGATATATATGACTTTGTCAGTGTATTACCTACATTATAGTGGAACTGAATTATACAAATATTTACTAAATACATATTTTGAAGTATATACTAGAAAAGGACACAAACAAGCATTTATGAGGTTCAAACTACATCCCAGGCACTGTGCTAAGTGCTTTACAAATATATTTCATTTGATCTTCACAACAACCCTGGGAGGAAGGTGCTATTATTATCCCCATTTTACAGTTGAGGAAACTGAGACAAACAGCAGTTAAGTGACTTGCCCAGGGTCATACTGCTACCAAGTGTCTACGGTCAAATTTGAACTCAGGTCTTCCTGAACCAAGGCTAGCACTCTATGCACTGAAAGAACAAAGATGAAAAATACATGGACTGAGAAACACAAACTGGGTTCCAAACCCTACTTTGCTAACAGCAAATACTTGGGAGTCTACCTGATAAGACAATCTGAGAGACTACATGAATACAATTTCCCTAATGAATAGTGTTGCAAAAATAAATTTAAATAAAATACTTGCAAGAAGACTAAAACAATGTATCATAAACATCAGGTGAGATTTATACCAGGAATGTAGAGCTGGTTGAATATTAGGAGAACTATAAGCATAATTGACTATCAACAACAAAACCCAACAAAAATCATGATTACATCAATAAAACCAGAATAAGCTTTTGACAAAATAAAACACCCATTTCTTTTAAAAAACCCTAGAATAATAGGAATAAATGGAGAATTTCTTTAAATGGTAAGTAGCATCTAATTAAAACTAGAAACAAGCATTATCTACAATGTGAATAAACTAGAAGCCTTCCCAATAAGATCAGGAGTGAAGCAAGATGTTCATTAACTCCCTTATCATTCAATATTGTACTAGAAATGCCAACTATAGCAAGTTTACAAGAAAAAGAAAGTAAGGGAATAAGACTAGCCTTACAAGGAAACAACTATCCTCTTTGCAGATGATATGATGGTGTATTTAGAGAATCCTAGAGAATCAACTAAAAAACTAGTTGAAACAATTAACAACCTTAGCAAACCTTTTTTTTTTTGGTTGGGCAATGGGGGTTAAGTGACTTGCCCAGGGTCACACAGCTAGTAAGTGTTATATGTCTGAGGTCATATTTGAACTCAGGTCCTTCTGACTTCAGGGCTGGTGCTCTATCCACTGCGCCACCTAGCTGCCCCAACCTTAGCAAACTTGCAGGATGTAAAATAAACCTACATAGATCATCAACATTTCTATATATTACCAACAAAACCCAACAGGAAGAGATAGAGAAATTCCATTGAAAACAGCTGCAGACAATATAAAATACTTGGGACTCTACCTGCCAAGACAAATCCAGAAACTATATGAATAGAATTATAAAACACCTTTTACACAAATAAAGACAGATCCAAACAAATGAAGAAATATCAATTGCTCATTGGTAGGTTCAGCCAATATAATAAAAATGACAAGACTACCTAAATTAATTTGCCTATTCAGTGCCATACCCATTAAACTACCAAAGAAACTATACTGTAGAATTAGAAAAAGTAGTAACAAAATTCATCTGGAAGGACAAAAGGTCAAGAATGTCAAAGGAATCAGTAAGAAAAAATATGAAGGCAGCCAGCCTGGCAGTATCAGAATTCACACTACATTACAAAGCAGTAATCATCAAAAAATTTGGTACTGATTATGAAATAGAGCAGTGGATCAATGGAATAGATTAGGTATACAACACACAGTTGTAAATGATCATAGTAATCTAATATTTGATAAAGCCAAAGTTCTAAATTTTAGAGGTAAGAACTCACCATTTGACAGAAATTGTTGGGAAAACTGGAAAGCAGTTTGGAAGAAACTACGTATAAACCAACATCTCACACTGTATACCAAGACAAAGTCAAAATGGGTACGTAATTTAGATACAAAGGATGATATCATAACTGAATCAGGAGAGCATGGAAGAACGTACCTGACAGGTCTGTGAATAAAGGAAGAGTTCATGACCAAACAAGATATAGAGCTCATCACAAGAAGTAAAATGGATAATTTTGATTACATTAAATTTAAAAATGTTTGCACAAATAAAATCAACGAAGCCAAAATTAGAAGGCAAGTAGGAAACTGGAAAGTTTTTTTATAACAAGTTTCTTGATAAAGGCCTCATTTTTCAAATATATGGGGAACTGAGCCAAATTTATAAAAATAAGAGCCATTCCCCAATTGATAAATGATGAAAGAACATGAATAGGCAGAAGGTGAGATCAAACCCATTAATAGTCACATGAAAACATGCTCTAAATCACTATTGATTAGAGAAATGCATTATAAAACAACCCACAGAAATAAGAATGTTAGGAAGAAGGATGTGTTTAGAAGCCAAAAGGGATGCATTTTGTTTTAGATATGTTGAGTTTGAGGAGTTATGAGACATCCAGGTACAGATATATGCTAGGTAGTTAGTGATCTGGGATTGGATGTGAGGAGACCAATGGGGGGGGGGAGACAGAGACAGAGACACAGAGAGACAGAGAGACAGATGGGGCTAAGGTAAAAATGTGAATGAATGTTGATCCTGAAAAGGAGACTAAGAAGAATTAGTTAGGGAGGGAGAACAAAGAGAGAGCCAGCCTTGTGATAAGAACCCAAGGAAGAAACTACACAGGAGAGATGGTGATTAATAATGCCAAATGCTTCAAAGAATTCAAGAAGGATGAGGACTGAGAATTAGCTATTGAATTTGGTGACTAAGAAGTCATTGGTGATAGAGCAGTTTCAGTGGTGAGGTTCGGTTACATTGCAAGGGTTGAAAAGTGAGAGGGATGTGAAGAAATGAAGGTAATAGTCAAGGACAGTTCTTTCCAGGACTTTGCTTGTAAAATGACAAGAAATATAGGATCATAAATTTTGGGTTAGAAGGGACCTCTTCATTTTACAGGTAAAGAAATTGAGGAACAGAGAGGTTAAGTGATTTGCCCAGGGTCACATAGCTAGTAAACATCTGAGCTAATTAAATTGAATTCAGTTCTTCCCTGGAGTCATCACCTAGCTGTCAATAGTTTAAGGAAACAATAGAGTCAAAAAGTCTTTTTGTCTGTTTGTTGTTTGCTTTTTGAGACTGGGAAAAGGAAGCAGACAAAAGCAGCCAATAAGGAAATATAAAAAATTAAGGAGAACTGGTATTTTTAAAGGGGCAGACACAATAGGAGCAAAGATACAAGTAGAGGGGTTGTTTTTTGACAAGGAAGGTTATCTTTTTTTTTCTGTCACTGCAGCGAAGGAGAAAATGGGGGATGATGCAGGATTTGTGGTCTAAAAATGGAAAGAAGAAAGAGCTCATAATGGATAGCCTTAATTTTTTAAAAAGTATTTGGTGAGCTTTTTTGTTGAGGAGGAGTGGAAGCAAAGCTTGAAGAGAAAAGGAGTTTGGGGAAAAAAAATAGGGATTGTAATATAATTAATCAGGGAAGAATAAATGGATTGGTGTTTAGCAGTGAGGCCCTGGTTGAGAGTTTCACAGTTGGAGAGTAAAAGAAGACAAAACAGATCTTAGGAGGGATCGAGGGCTAGAATTTGGCGGGGAGAGAAGATGAACAATGGGGGTAGAGAATTCAAATAAAGAGGTCATCATAAAGCTAAACTGGTTACCTATGGGGTCAAGATGAAAGTATGATAATTAAGACCAAAGCAGAGGTGATGATGTCCCGAGAGAGATGGAGTAACTAGAGGCTGCAGAGAAAGTAAAGAACAGGTTTGGAATGATGAGGCACAAGGGACAAATTTTTTTTTGCTTGGATCTTTTGCATCATTTGACTTGGTCTGATGGTGTCATATTTTTCATGAACAGTTGGAACATGGAAGACCAGCAGTTCAGCAAAAATCAAAAGAGTACATCAGAAGATTTTCAGACTTCTGGATCAATCATAGAAGTGATAACATTTGTGGGTGATGAGACTGAAAGTGAACACTAGTGTGTGGCTAAGGTAGAATCGAAGTGCACATCATGGCAGTTGAGGCCGAAGAATTGAGAAGCAAGGGTGCTTAGGAGCGCCCTCGTTAATACTGAAGTCTCCAGGTGAAAAAGGGAAAGTTTGGAGCAGGGTGGAAAATCTTGAACCAGTTCAGGAACCTAAGTTCTTGAAAAAAAATATAGACGACCAGTTAACTGCCATCAAGAAAAAGTACAGTGAGGCATCCAAAGTTTCAGTGAACTTTAAAAAAAAATTTCTTTGTAGTCATGTTTTATACACGAGTCATTTGACAATACCAGGTGTTCCAAAAGTCTTAGTGCAGTTTAAAGCTTTAAGAAAACCAATTCAGTGGAATTGGCAGCCAGGAGCAAGAAACATCTGATAGGACGATCGGTTAACAAATATTGATTAAGCGCCTACAGCAGGCCTGCACAATGCCAAGTGCTGAGGTGACAAAGGAGAAAACACGGTCCCCTCTGTCAGGACCCCCTGAGCCTCTTCTCAGAATTGTTTAAACGCATAAAATAACATCGATGGGATGGCAATAAACCTAAAACCAGACGGACCTAAATAAACATACCTAAAGAGAAAAACTTACAACGCTGCCTGTCTGGGTACTCGCTCCCCGCCCGCCCCACCACACACGCAGTCCCGCTCCCGCCGCGTTCCGCATTCTGCTTCCGCTCAAGGAGGCGGAGGCGGGACTTCCTGTGCGCGAAGGGCAGCGATTTCCGGCGGCCCCGGAAGAGCCGATCAGGAAGAGGAGGGAGAGGGGCGGAAGAGGGTCGTTGCCTTCTGTGTGACAGGATCGTCCCTCGCCGCTGCAGCTGCACCTGCAGCCGCCATGGCGTCCGGCTGCAAAATCGGCCCTTCCATCCTCAACAGCGACTTGGCCTGCCTGGGGGCCGAGTGCGCCCGGATGCTGGATTCCGGGGCCGACTATCTGCATCTGGATGTAATGGACGGGTAACTCCTCCGGGGAGCTGGCGCGGGAGCCGGGGCCGGGGGCGGTCTGGGGCGGCTGCTGCACGTGCTCCCCCGGGAGGCCTGGGCGGCGAGTGCTGGGGCCTGGCCATGCGAGCTTGGAGGGACCGGACGTGGATCAGATCCCTCTCTAACCAGTGCATGCTCCAGGCGAGGAAACCGAGGCCCGCAGAGGGGACGGAAGGCGCTTGCAACCAGGCACCCAAACGCACCGGCCTGCTTAGGAACTCTCCCTGCTCGCCCAGTTCTTTTCAGCTAAGACTGATAAAAGTGAATGTGAACCAAAAACTACTTTTAAAAAAACAATTCTTTGAGGTCATGTTTTAAACACGAGTCATCTGCCAATGCCAGATGTTCTTAAAGTCTTAGTGCAGTTTTAAGCCATTAAGAAAACCAATTTAAGGCTCGAAATGCTGATACAAGCTGCCAGCGAGCTATTACTTTGTAGGTAGTCGTTCAGTCGTTTCGGTCCTATCTGACTCTTCTCAACCTTTTTGGGTTTTCTTGGCAAAGATACTGGAGTGGTTTGCCATTTCCTTCTCCAGCTCATTTTACTGAGGCAAATAGGGTTAAGTGACTTACCTAGGGTCACACAGCTGGTAAGTGTCTGAGGCTGAATTTGAAGTCAGCCCTTCCTGACTCCAGCCAGGCCCTGTGTCCATTGTGCCACCTAGTTTTGCTTCTTTGCTTCATGGGTATGAAATGGCAAGATATAAATGCTAGCTATGATGGTGATGATTTGTCAGGGTCTTCCTGACTCTGAGGCCAGTTTTTTTATCCACCGGGCCTCTTAAACACTTTTAGATAGGCCAAATAATAAGCTAATAAGCGGTCACTGGACCATAATGAGGTTGATGCTAGTTCCCCTAGAATATAAATATATAAGTGCTCATATATATATATATATATATATATATATATATATATATATATATATATATATATATATACACACACACACACACACACACGTGTGTATATAATATAAAATAATTACTTTTTGAAGGTTTTGACAGGATTAGAATGTACATCTTAGATGTCAGTGGCCAGGAACTCAGTGCTCTGAGCCCTGTAGATAAACTCCTGTGTCAATCCATTTGTCACCTTCTCCATAACTTATAGTCCTAGGTAGTTGCCTGTGACTTGCTCGGCATCACAGAGTCAGTATATCAGATACTGGATTTGAAATCCAGCTCTTCCTGACTACAAAGTCAACTTTCTATCTGCTGTACTGCAGTGCCTCTTTTGTGAACATTGAGAGAACTAAGTCCTCTGGAGCAAATGCTTTCACACTTTCCGTACCATGCTCAGGTTTCTTGTATATTATGTGCAATGTAAATATAATAATACCAAGCCTACTATGTTGCTTCTAGCTCTTTATTTTTCTTACTTCACTGGTCCATATTTACCTGAACAGACTAAGGATAGCTTTCTGCTGTCATCTTTTTATTCTGCAGTTTACCTTCCACTCAGGAGTCCAACAGATTCAAATTTAGCAAAAGGCAAACTACTTTATGCAGGGCTCTGTGCTCCTTACTGAGGAAGATAACAAAGTTATAAGACCACACCTATCCTCAGAAAACAGCCAGTAATCCTCTTGGAGGTTATCATCTAGCAATAGGATAAGGCATTAACATAAAAGCTGTAGTGATGCATTCATTTAGGAGTTTTGAAGCTAATGCTACAGAAGTCCCAGGGAGACAGTCCTTACCAACCAGGAAGATCAGGGCATACTTTGTGGAGGAGATGACATTTAGTTGGTCCCTAAAGGATGGCAAAGCTAGATTTAGAACTAGAAGGAACTTTATGGTTCTTCTAGTTAAACCTCTTCATTTTACTGATATGAGAACTGAGGCTCAGAAGGAATTAAATAACTTACCTAAGGTCACACAGGTAGCAAGTTACAGAGCTGGGATTTGAATGTACGTCCTCTGGCTCAAGTTCAATGGCTTCTTCCACTGGAGTGTGCTTTTTAGAAGGGACTATAGGTAAGGGATGTTCTGGGGACAGGGAAGAGGCTTAGGTGGGAGACAGCAGAGATTATTGAGGGGACAGAGTTCAGGTTTGATGATAGCATAGGAGGTGAGAGACAAAGGAGTTTGTATTTTCCTCAGCAGGCGACAGAGATCCGCTGAAGATTTTTTTAAAAAGGAGTGACATGACAAGATCCATGTCTGCATAAGGAAGATTATTTTGGCAGTGATGTGAATGGTGGGTGGCTGAGGGAGGGAAAAGTGAAGGCTGAAGACCTGGTAGGATGCTATAGCAATAGGTATTTAATGGTCTGTATTCAGTAAAAATTAAACTAGCAAACAGTCACTATTTAATGAGGATGTTATGTAGCACCTTTCTTTTGAGAGCTCTGACATTTAACCTTTCAGATACTCAAAAACTTTTATTAAGTTTGCCCCTCAACATTTTTGTGATCTAGCAATTGATGCCATTTTTACTTTTTAGTCCTCTTGCAAAATAACAGTAAACCCTTAGATTGTGTAGACTTTTTTCATATTTGTCCTCATCTTTCGGTTCACCTTAACTTTTTGTGAAGCTTCCTGAATACTTTCACATTTCACTGGATGTTCACAACTACCCAGTTATTAGTACTATTTCTGTTTCAGTGAAGGAATGGATGAAAAAGCATTTCTTGAGAGCTGTGTGCCAAGCAGAAAGGGATGCTAAGGCTCAGAGAGGTTGTAACTTGCCCATGGTTAAACATTGAAGTGGACATTACCACCTTTACTTTCACCCAGCTTACCAAATTCCAGGGCTTTTTTATATCTTGTTACCTTCCCATATTTAGTTGGTAATCTTTGATAACATATCCTTAGTTCTGAGTAATGTGTAGGTTTTCTTCATTGTGGTAAGAGCCCCCTGAGTGGATCACAGGACACATAGTACAGGAAGCAGCAAAGGCTATACTTAAAGCAGAACTGTTTAGGACAGTGAGGCCAGAGGAGCAAAAGATTGCTGAAGACAAATAGGCTTGAAATAACTTAAGAAACACCCAAATGCTTGAGTGTTGTGTCAGAAATAAGAAAGCAGTTAAAACACCAGCCATAATTTTGCAATTTGTTCATAACTGATAGAAGGTTTACTCTGGGGGAGGGGAGGGGAAAAGATCTTTGTTTTATAATTTGTTTATAATGGCAGTTTGTTTTTTTGGGGGGGATGGGAGAGGTGATGAGGAAACAATACTTACATTCTTTGAATTCCTTACAACCTTTCTCTCCTTGTTTCTAAGCCCAGACCTAGTCAGGGTGTTCCCCTGAGGAGGTAACCACTGCTAACTCCAACTAACCAGTTTCTGACATTAGGAAATGAACTGGGATGGCATGACAACCCTGAGTTTTAGCTGAGCTTCTGTACTGTCACTGTGGTTTTCTTTTTCTCCTAGGTGCCTTGGCTTATTCTCTTTCATTACCTCATACACCATTAGAACTTGGATCCTTCTCTCCAGGTCCATCCCTTCCGCCCATATGGTTTTCTGAACAAAAACTTAACAAGAAGTGTTTTCACTGATTCACTAAGAGAGGTGTGTGTGTGTGTGTGTGTGTGTGTGTGTGTGTGTGTGTGTGTGTAGAAAGGGAACATTTGAGAGCCATTGTTATAGTTGTCTGTTTAAATGTCCAGAGAGGCTCTTGAGTGGTAGAGACTTGAGATTCCTGTAACATAATGAGCTTCCTAGTGCAGGATTATGGGAACTCATTTTTGGAAATGGCTTTCTACTATTATGAGAAGCTGTCGCCAGCAGGAATAAAGGAAAATGTCTGACATTATTATTTTGAGGCAAAAGAGAGTTTATTGATTTTGAAAGGATCTAGGTTCCAGTTATAGCTCTACTGTTATACTATATACAGCAACCTTAAACCTTTTATTATCTTTGACTTGCTAGGAGACTTGGAGAGGTATGTGAGATAGCCAGTTTGTTTAGCTACGTAGCAGTGAAACTATAAAACGTCAGTGATCTACCTTAAAACAAAGAACTAACAATTCTATTTTTATCATAGCAGACCTACTGAAAGAAAATAGAGGTCTGAATATTAGATGTTGTTTTAAATATTGTTGTTGATGATTCTTTGCAGACTTGTCTCACTTCATTCACTGGATTAGGAGTTTCTGAGATGTAAAGTGAAAGAATTTCCCACATAGAAATTCCTTTACGTTGGACTAATAAATAGTTGAGTGATGCTTGTTGAATAGGGCAAAGAATTACCTAGAGTGATGTTGGGAAGAGAAATTCAACTGTCTTCTGCTTGATTCCTCCTCATAACTTGGAGAAGAGCCTTTGTTTCTTCATGTTCTTCAAATTCCATCTCTTAGTAAACAGATGTTATTGAACTCAAGTAGAATGTATGCTGACAGGGAACTGACTTTATGTCTTTGGAATGAAGATCAGCCCAGCCAGGTCCAAAAAGACACATTATCTCATTGACCACAGGGTCTTGTGTTTTTCACTTCCATCAGTTTTCAAATGCCATCTACCAAAGATGGCCTTAGGTGAGGGAGCACTCACAGCCGATCTTCTAAGTGTTGTTTATTCAGCAAAGGAAAAGTAATCTTCAGTTGCTCCTAGAGAGAAGGGCCTAAAAGTGTGTTTACTATATTAAGGGAGAAAAGTTAAGAGCCACCAGTTACTAAAGTCTTCTAATTACCTTACTTAAATCTATGGCCCTGTGATCCTGTGTTTTCTGGTCCCTTGGGGTTATTTGTGTAAAAGGTTGAAAGAAATAATGAAAGGCCTTTCAGAAAAGTATCCATCGAATGTATCCAGTGTGACCTTGCAAAAGGAAAACTATCTGAAACCAGTATTAGACTTAGGTTTCTTTAACCTGAAGATGTCAATACTGCTTGGAATGTGTCGTGGTAAATTCTATTGATCTTTAAGTGTTCAACAAATAAATAATGTAAACTGAGGGTCATTGGCACCTCTCTGTTTGACAGTCCAATATTCCAGTCAGGTGAAAGCATTTTGCAGTTAATAATTCTCGTAACAATTAGGCAGAAAGCACTCTTTATGTGTAAAGGCATGTCAATTCATGTGCCTAAGGTCTTACATTAAGTTAGAGGAATAGAGCCTGGAATCCAGTACTTTGGGTTCTTTCTAGTATACTATCCCTTATTAAACTTTCTGCTTGTCCTTATCTCTTTTGCTCCAAAGGGTAAATAAATAATCATAGGAGTCTTGTACTTGATCAGCCCTGAAAATCGGTACTGCTGGGGTAGTGTCAGAGTGACCCAATCTCCAGATTGCCAGAGTTTTACTTTGGAACTGTCCATGAAGCTATTCTTACAGTAATCCGCTTTCACCCTCTCAGCTGTCTCCTTAATGCTCATAATGTCCAAATTCATTCATTAGCCATATGCTTGCTGAATAAATGACTGATTTAAAATCTTACCTGGCTTCATTGATAATCTTTTGAAATTGAATACCAGTCAGTGAGAGGGGTATAGTTTATGGTCAAAAGGTAACCTTTTATTTGGAAGCAAATATGCAGGAATCCCTATTCCTATATGGATGACACATAGTCAGCATGATAGAGTGTGCTCTAGGGTTAGTATGCATAGTGGACTTGGACTTCCAGCTATCCCACAAATTAATTGTGTGACCTTAGGCAAGCCATCTAACCTTTCTGAGTTTCATTTTCATCTGTCAAAGGAAGATTATTCTTTACTTGCCCTCAGGGTTGTTTTATCAAGTAAAATAATATATTTGAAAGGTGTAAAATACTTAAATTATTAGTGTATTTTTTGTTAAAGTTTCTAAGCCATTGATTTTCTAAATTAAAGTACTATAAGCATGCTTAATTTTATTTAATATTAATACTGTAAAGTGTTCAATTGTGTTGTCTACCTCTCCCTCCAATCTTCACTGTTAAATGTTAAGAAAATGGAGTTAATTCCATTGAAAAAATAATTTTCTTTGTTTTGTAGGCATTTTGTTCCCAATATCACCTTTGGTCACCCTGTGGTAGAAAGCCTTCGAAAGCAGCTAGGCCAAGACCCTTTCTTTGGTAAGTAGTTATGAAATCTTAAGCACAGTGGTGTAGCCAATTAAATTCAATTCAAAACAGTTTGCTTGTATGTCCGATGCTTTTAGAGGTTTGGGGGACAGTGAAGGATGGTTCTTACATTGACTTTTGAATACTGTTATTTAGGCTGTACTATCTCCTAAATCTGGCCTCTTATAAAACCTGAATATGGCCCCAGAGTTATTTTTTACTTTATATTTCTGTTTTTCACCCTTCAGAAAGTGTATCCTATCAAGAATGCAGCCTCTAAAATTGTGTAGTCAGGTAATTTGCTATGCATTATATTTTAAATTTCTTTAAAATGTAGAATTTTAGGATATTTGCTATGTTATTTTCAGTTGTATGTTCAGACTAGCAGAATAGTTTTTCTGTCTTCCCTCACTGCTTTCAGGACATATTTTTCCCCCACCCCCACTACCCCCCAAATTAAGGATACAATTCCACCCTCATTTTTATTGTATAGAATAACCCATTGCTTTAGTGATTGTTACAGATAAGACTTTTCAGAGTTTTTATCTTATTCCTCAGGTTTCTGACATTTAACAGCATCATCTTTTAGGATTTTAACTAACTCAGCTGGATTTCCCTTACCTCCACTAGCCATATTGTTAGCAATGCTTCCTAAGGCCCACTTGACTTCACTGGATGTATGGCTCTAGATTAGTAATGATGCCATCATGGTTATTGGTGATGTTAAGATCTTCCTTATATAGTTCTTTTGTGTATTCTTACTAACTCTTCTTAATCTCTTCAGCTTTTGTTACATTTTTGTCTTTTATCCCTTAATATCCCTTAAAGAGATCTCTTGTCTTTCTTATTCTGTTGTTTTCTTCTGTTTCTTTGCAGTGCCATTTAGGAGAGCCTTTTTGTTCTCTAAAATTCTGCATTCAGTCGGGTATATCTTTCCCTTTCACTTTTCTTCTTTCTTCAGGTATTTGTAAGGCATGCAGACAGGCGATGAGTGCAGTGTGTAAGAAGCAGAGCTGAAACATAGAATGCAAGGCAGGAAGGTAATCTAAATTGACTCTTATAAAGAGGTTGGGGCCAGGTCATGAAAGACTTTTATAAGTCTAACAGAAGAATTAAGAATTTATTATTTAGATGACTGGGAACTATTGAGTAGGAGAGTGACATTTGCAGACTTGTACATAGAGGGAAATTACTTTGGCAGCCATGTGAAGGATAGATTGGATTGGGAGCCCAATTGCAAAGCCATTGCAGTAGTCTGTATGAAAGGTCTCTGACAATTAAAAAAGTTCAAGAAATATAGTATCTGGGTAATTTAATCATTAGTAAGGCCAGCACATTATTAATAAAAGAATGGTTATCTGGCTGTCTCTCTTAGACCAAAGACAGTCATGGTGGGCAGGCTCACAGTTTATATATTCTCAGAAGAGTAGGTGTTCAGTGTGGGGCTGAGAATGACATCATGTCACCTTTGGACAGAGAAACTATCTCTATACCCAGACTACCCCCAGCCTGGGGCTACCTAGACAAAAGGATCTTTCTTCACCCAGTATTTTGAGTAGAACACAATGGTCTTCCTCACCTTATATTAAATTCTTTGTGAGGTTGGCTGGGGTCTGACCTAGATTAGGGAGAGTTAATTCAGTCTCATTATCAGTAATGTCCTTCAAGAGGCTGAACTTTTAAGATCAGGTCTTTAGAAGAAGAGAAGAATTCTGGCTCTCTCCAAATTATTGGTTATTAATAATTTCAGCTCTGAACTAAGGTGATTACTATGTTGTTAGCAAGAACAGGACAGAAGTATGATGTGGAGGTAGAATGCAAAAGTAAATGTGCCTCTCAGTCCCACACAGCCCCCTTCTGTAGTTATCAAGACCAAGTAGCAGAAAATGGGATGTGGGATGCTAAGAACGGTACAATGTTTAGCCTATTAAATGCATGAATTACCAGTACTCTAAATGTGAGGCAGCATGTTTGGATGGAGAGAGAAATGACCTGTGATTCTGGAAGACCTGATTTCAAGGCCTTCCTCTGGTACATGCTAGCTCTGTGACCCTGGGCACATCACCCTCTTGGTCCAGGCAGCTCTCTTAAGACCTTAAATTGCTCTTTTCTGTATTGATAGAGGAAGTTCCTATTTGCACAGTTAAAATTGTAGTTTAAATAAGAGATCTTTATACATTGATGACATGCTGCTGTGGGAATTAAAGTAATCCATGTGGATATTCTTACAGTAAGTAAAACTAGAAGACAGAAATGCTATAGCTAAATGAAGCGTGGATTGCAGGCTTCAAGAGACCTAAACATTCACATGACCTCTACCGGAAGCTACAAACACTGTTGGCCTCGTGGTAGACTAATATTTTGAAAGAAAAGTATAGCCTCACTGAGGGACCACATGGTAAGATAAGATGCAGGGGACTCTGAACCTCTGTGAAAGAAGAGAAAGGAGAGGGAGATACCCAGTCTCATTCTGGAGTAGGAAAGAGGCCTGAACCATTTGAATGACCCAGGAGAGAATGAAGGATCGGCACATCAGCAAACCTTGTGCCCTGACAAGCAGCCTACCCCCTGTAGGCCTTTGCAAATACTATGAATTGTAAAAAAAGTATAGGTCCCAAGGGAAGGTAAAGCCCACCAGAAAGAAGGGTTTTTTGACTCTCTAGGAAGAGAGAGAAGAGGATTTGCTGATGTTTGAGACTCCAGTTTGAGCTGTTGTGATTTTGTTGGCTGGGTTAAATAAAACCTATTTTATAGTTTAGAGCTTGTCAGGCTGATTGTGAAGAAGCCAGTGTCTCCTTAGTTACTGATGTTCTTAGGTTTTCCTTGGGTCACAGCATGAGACAGATTTTTTAGAAGAGTTTTCCCACTGCCTCCCCCTGTTCCTTGCAAGAAAAGTAGGGGAGGGATAGTTTCAATGTGCTCTTAGAGTCAACAAGAAATTGCATTATTCAACTTATATAATGAAATCTCTTGTAGTGGTTGAGGGAGAAAAAAAACTGTATAAGAGCTCTTCCAGAGCAAATCAAAATTACCCTAGCTTGTATTTCTTCTTCTTCTTTTTTTTTTTTTTTTTTGGTTAGGCAATGGGGTTAAGTGACTCGCCCAGGGTTCACACAGCTAGTAAGTGTTATGTGTATGAGACCAGATTTGAACTCAGGTCTTCCTGAATTCAGGGTCAGTGCTCTATCCACTGCGCCACCTAGCTGCTCCTATTTCTTCTTACTTATATGATTGGCATCCTAGTTAAGCCTTCATCATTTCTGGCTTTGACTATTGCCCTTGCCTCCTAATTGGCCTGCCTGCCTCAAGTTTCTCTTTTCTCTAATCCAGCCTTAGTATAACTGTCAGATTGACAGTCTGAATATACAAAGGCCTGACCATGTCACTGCCCAGGAAGTTGCAGTGGTTCCCTCTTGCTTTCAAGGGTAAAATACAAGCTATTTTGGCATTTGAAACTTCTAGCAGTCTTCTATACTGGGGTTCACATTACTTTTCTGCGTGTACTCTACCGTACAGCCAACCGAGCTTATTTGCTGTTTCCTATTTATAACATTCTCTCTCTTGCCTCATTGCCTTTGTGTAAACTGGTCCTCATTCCTGGAATGCTGTCTTGTCTGACCTCCATGTCTAAGTGGAATACCTAGATGAGCCCTTCAAGACCCATCTCCTCCAAATATCCCCCCAACCTTTTGAAGTTATTTTTTATTTATTTGTATGAATGTTTTTATTCCGTAGAGTGTAAGTTCCTTGAATACAGAAACTTTTGTTTATATTTCTAGTGGATAGCATAGTGTCTTGCTACACGTAGTAAATATTTATTAAATTTAATTACATACAATGATGCTTCAATTCTAGATGTCACATTTTAGAAGGGAAGTTGACAAACTGAAGAATGTCTAGAGAAGGGTAACTAGGATGGTAAAGAGCCCCAGTACAATGCCGTTTGTGTTTCATTTGAAGGACCATAGTTAGATTAAAGAAAGGGGGGCAGAGGAAGGAGGTAATAGCAATATTTAATTGTTCAAAAGATTTATATGTGGAAAACTGATTAGATTGTGTTCCATTTGTCCCAGAGGACAAAACTAGGAGCACTAGATAGAAGTGACAAAGAAACAAATTTTCTTTCACTGTAAGAAAAGAATTTTTTTGGTTTAAAGATAGAGTGGGCTGCCTTCGAAGATAATGGGTTCCACCTTGCTGTCTTCAAGCAAAGGTTGGATCGCTTTTTTTTTGGTGTTCTAAAATAGATCCTTCAGGTATGGGTTGGACTAGATGGCCTCTTAGGTCCCTTCTAATTTTGAGATTCTCGGATAGAAAGGTGGGCATAGTCCAAAATATTAAGAAAGTATAGTGCATGGCTAAGAAATGAAAGAAGCCAGAGCAAAACATGTAGATAACTGAGAAGCCTCACAGCTGTATGTCATAAAAAAATATTCTTCAAAAAGTAAGTCATAAAGCTCTGGTGAACATTAAATGTTCTCATGAAAAAAATAAATTGACTGTATTTTAATAGACATGATGAGTTACGGATATAAGAGTCTTTTCTAGAATCAGTAAAGCTATTAATTAATGCATAGGTCAATAACACCAAAATTGAAGAAAGGATAAAAGTGAGAATAAAGCACTGTACATATAAAAGTGCTCCAACCTAAATGGATCATTGACTAAAAAATAAGAAATGAAATAAGGTAAAGATATTGACTCTACTTATCACCATATCTTAGAGCATTTTAACAAGCCTAAGATTCCAAAGAGCCCAGCATCTGTTTCTGCCAGGAAGCAAGTAGTTTGTTAAGTGGAGAGACACTGGCTTAAGGTACCAACTCATTTGAAGAACAGTTATGAAAAAATGTAGTGGAAGATTACCCACAGCGTTTTTAGAGAACAGCAGGGAAGAAAATGAGCCCATAGAAAAACTTGGCATGAGGTACAAACCAGATTATTCTAAGATGGTGAAACCAAAAGGAAGCACAGCATAGAGATTCAAAATGGAACAGATTTTCCATCATTTATCATAGCTATGATAATGGAACTATACTTTTGGGATTCTAACACCTCAGTACCTCATGTGCTATATAAGAAAATAGAAATAGTATTTATGAAAATAAAATTAGAGAAAGCAGTTGGACTGAACTAAAAGAAATTCTGCTGGAAGTTACACAGTTTTGAAAACTAGATGTCAGTTTTCAAGATATTTCAGAATGGGAGGGATACATGAAGTAGGGGGAAAAATCATACTGTTATCAACCCCCCAAAATCAGTTTAAATAACATCAGCAGGTACTAAAACATTTAATAATCCCTACTTAGTGATACACAGAGTGTGTAATAGCTGGAGCTTCAAATTGACTCAGGGAATTTAAATCATTATGTCTCTTTGTTTGTACTTAATTTTGCTGTTCCTTTCAGACATGCACATGATGGTTTCTAGACCAGAACAGTGGGTAAAGCCAATGGCTGTAGCGGGGGCAAATCAATATACCTTTCATCTGGAAGCTACTGAGAGCCCTGGAGCACTGATTAAAGACATCCGAGAAAATGGGATGAAAGTAAGAAGCAGTAGTCTGTTTTTGTTCCCTCTTTTTATGACTATAGAGGCTTTGGGAGTGTGTAAGAAATGACAGAGAGAAGTTGTAATAAGTAACTGTCTTCTACTTGGGGAAAATAACCTTATTTTGGCTTTGCCAATGTCTAAGATACTACCTGTCTTTCGGGTGAACTTTAGCAAGCATCTGATTCACATTGTAGTATTTAAGGAGACCTGAGGTTTAGTACATCTTCTGCCATTAATTAGGTGCGACCTTGAACAAGTCACCATAAAATGAAAGGTTAAGAATTACATGTTAGCTAATATTCCTTTCAGCTTTTAACATTCTCTGAATCCCTTTTTGAACACAAATCGTTTTAGTGACATTTTCCAAAAATTACTGGTAGAAAATGTTAAAAATTAATACTCTTCTATTACTACTTGCCTTCAATAATTTGTATATCTTCCCAAATATTAAGAATGTCACTGGAGACTTTCAGCTCAGCATGATTATCCAAACTTTTATTTATGGAGGTGGAGCTTATTAACCCTGGAAGACTTGTGTTATTTTTATGCCTAACCTATAAAGTACTTTGCTGATATAAAATGAGGATAGTGATTCGTGGATTAACGTGTATCCTCTTGTTGCAGGTTGGTCTTGCTATTAAACCTGGCACTACAGTTGAGTATTTGGCACCATGGGCCAATCAGATAGATATGGCCTTAGTCATGACAGTGGAACCTGGGTTTGGAGGGCAGAAGTTCATGGAAGACATGATGCCAAAGGTAATAAAGGGTGTGGTATTGAGATGCAGCTATTTATCTGTGTCATGGAAATTAGAGAAAGCTTTCTTTTATTTCACAAGTTTTGCTCTTTCACCTTTTTGTGAATATTAGAACATTTTCTTTTTTCTTCTCTGTTGTTGCTAATGTCATTTTGGGTACACACAGTTGCTGAGTCTGTGACCTTATTCTCTTTTCTTAGTAACCACTCTCTCCCTTTGCTTTTTTTAGCCTCTTCCCCAAATATAGGTCTAATTGAAACTGTTCCTCAAATTCAGCCTTACTTGATTCTTCTTCATAGCCATTATCTGCAGGGCAGAGTGTAAAAAAAAATGCAGAGAGATGAATAGTGGCCTCCACCACTCTTCCTAAACCCACTCTTCTTCCAAATTCTTGCCTTTTCCTATTGAGGGCACCACCTCCATCCTTCCATTCACACCTGTTCTCAGCCTTGGAGTCATCTGCAACTCTTCTCCCTTCTTCATCTCCCATATATGTAGAAGTGCTAAGTTTTGTCAATACTTATCGTACTCTCAGCCTTGGATTCATCATCTCTTCACACTTCATGTTCCATATACATTCAAATGCTAAGTCTTGTCAGCACTTCTTTTATCTGTCCCCTTCTCTCTATTCACAAGTCCACAACCTTGGTTTAGTCACTCATCCTTCCTAGTGGATAGTCTTTTTTTAATTCCAATTTCCATTTTCTCCTCCTCTCCATACAATCCAAAATAATCATCTCCAGTGTCTCCTTATTTCCTCTGAGTTAAAATGTAAATGCTGGTTAGCTTTGAAAGCCCTTTCTAACCTGACCCCAGTCTTTCACTCTCACTGGACGTCACTTCCCATTCCCCCTTTTGAGGTCCAGTGAAGCTGGCCTTCTCTCTGTTCCTCCCGCTTGACACTCCATCTCCTGTGTGAATCAGTGGCTGTACCCATGCTAGAATGTACTCCCTCACTTTGGTCTTATAGAGCACCTCTCTTCCTTCAAGACACAATACATGAACCACTTTCTGTATAAAGCTTTGCTTGATTTCCTTGAATGTCCACTCAGCTGCTACTACCTATATTTATTAGTATTTATTTTCCATGTTTATTCTGTACATAATTATATACTTGTACTTTAAAAGTCTTCCTTGAAAGTGAGCACCTTTAGAGTAGGAATTGTTTTATTCTTTGTATTTGTATCCCCAAGCCTTGCACAGGGCCTGGCATATGGTAGGTGCTTCATAAAAGTGGTTCCCATTGGATAAAAGATCGTTTACCTTAGTCTGTGCTTTGTCATCACTGTTTTGGCATGGTTTTAGCACCTTTCCTTTACATGCAAGTCAGTTACCCTTTCGGGAAAGGGTAGCTCAGTACATAACACTAGGCCTTCTCCAGGCAGACTTGCTTTGATCCCCTGAACTGGAGTTTGGGTGATCAGGGTAGCTCAGGGGTGGGGAGCCTGTGGCCTCAAGGCTACATGTGGCCCTCTAGATCCTCAAATGTAGCCCTGTGACTGAATCTAAACTTCATAGAACAAATCCCATAATAAAAAGATTTGTTCTGTAAAACTTGGACTCAGTTAAAAGCCTCACTTGAGAACCTAGAGGGCCACATGTGGCCTTGAGGCCACAGGGGTAGCTTGTCACTTAACCTAAGAAGCACATGTCTGGGAAAAGGCTGTTTTCTGTGGCATCAGCAGGCTTCTCCTGCTCCTAAATTCTGGGCCTGGCCTGCCTTTCAAGAGGTTCTTGCACATTACTTCCATTCATGCATTCTTTATTCCTACCAGACTTGCCTCCTTGCTATCCCTTGACTTTGAAGCTTCATCTCTTGCTTCTGTGCCTTTGCAGAGATGCTCCCCCATGCCTAGAATGCCCTTGTTCTTCCCCTATGCCTCTTAGAATTCCCAGCTTCCTTTAAGGTGCAGACTATATTCTATTTCCTCTTTAACTCAGATCAAATGAAATGCTATATGTAAAATTATTTTCAAATCTTAAAGCACTATATAAATGTTAACTATTGTTATCTTCACTTTGTAAAGTAGAAAGTGTGTTGCAAATAAGAGCAGTTTAAATGTATCTCTGAGGGATTTCCAAGTTGATGGTCTCCATATGCATCCCCTTACCTCAGATAAATAGAATATCTTGGGTTATTTTTCCATGGGATTTTAATACTTGCAATTTTTTCCTAACACTAAGTAAAATAAAATGGCCGTTTTGTGGAAAATTTGATGACTATAAAAGTGTAATGGAAAATATTTGCTGTTTTAGGCTGTTTCTACAAATTTCAGATTAGGATTCACAGATTTTCCTGTCTTGTGTTTCTAGGTTCATTGGTTGAGGACCCAGTTCCCTTCTCTGGATATTGAGGTAGATGGTGGAGTAGGTCCTGACACAATTCATAAATGTGCAGAGGTAAGATGCTTCCCAAAGTTCCTAGGCAAAATAAATCAGGAGTTTAAAAGATCCTGACCATGGCCAAGGGGTAAGGCAAGCCAAACTCTTAGGGCAAATCCAGTTTCCCTCTTTCCTTTTCCAAATTGACCTTGACTGGTCATTACGGTGTGGAGGTTTAGTACCACCTGCAAAACTATACTCTTAACACCAGTTACCTTAATAGTGAGGGGGAAAGCAAATTCATATGAGCAACACTATGGACAGCCATTACCCATCTTGGAACCAGGGGGGGCCATTTCCATGGGCTAGACTCCTTTCCCACATTTGCTGGAGAAAGAGAAGGCATTTTATAGAGCAAGTCTTTAGGCATTTTACCCTTGAAAGCAGAGATTATGTCTTGCAGATAATGATGGCACTTTCACCAAGCCTTCTCCAAAAGAATATGTGTGTGTGTGTGTGTGTGTGTGTGTGTTTGAAAATTATTGACACCTTTTGTTTTAAAATCAGTCATTTCCAGATATCCTCCTGTCCATCCCACCATTTACATCTTCCTTGTAACAATGAAAAATAATCAAAACCAGCCACATAGTGATTTCCTCAGACAGTGTATGTTTCATTCTGAACCCTTTTCCCACACCTTTCCCAAGAGAAAGATGGTAAGTTTTGTTGTCTGCTCTCTAAGATCAGGATTGCTTATTACAGTTATTCAGAGTTTACCTTACTTTTTTAAGTGTTCCTTTCACTTACAGTATCATAGTCATGGTGTATTTGTTCATTGGTTTTGCTTTTCTTCACTTTTCATCCATTCATGCAAGTCTTCCATTGTTTCTTTGAATTCTTGATATTCATCAGTTTGTTTGGGCATTTCTCCAGTCAATGAGTACTAATTTTTTTTACCACTATAAAATGTACTAATATGAATATTTTGGTGCTGCATAGAAGAGGACATTTACATCTTTGACCTTCTTGGGTTATGTGCCCTATGGTTAGTTCATTTGAGTCAGAGGTTATAAAATGAGGCTTTTTTTCCCTTGGCTCTTCACTACACTCTCTTTGGTGATCTTATATCCATTGCCATGGCTTCAGTTATCAGTTCAATTATTTTCATTTTGATTATATCAAAGATACACAAAAGGGAATATACATCCCCAAAGCATTCCCATCCCTGAAGATCCCTCTCTCTTTTTTTTTTTTTCAAATATGGAAGTACTGATTCTTGCACTGTTCCCTTTTCCTTCCCACCATATCCAGTCAGTTGTAAAACCTGGACAAATATTGCTACATAGGTCTCTATCTCTCCACACATTGCTGCTATTGTACCCTGTGTCCTTATAACCACTTCCCTAAATTATAGTAATAGCTTCCTAATTGGTATCCTCTGCCCTCTCGTTCAGTGTTTGATTTCACTCTAACCTGAGTATTCACTGCCAGTCTCCATGTTCAAGAATTCCAGAATTCACTTATCTTACCATAATCTATTGGCTTTCTACTTCACCCTCTGCCTTCCCTTACCAAACCTTATTCTTTTGTCTCTATGGCGACCTTCAATCCCTTGACCCTTTGGGTCTCTCCCAGAGCTGCTGCCCTCTCTTCCCCATCTTGATCCTGGGTGAACCAATTCAGCTGTTTGTTGTTCTCTTGAGTCTCTGGCCCACTTATCACTAAATGTACCCAGCCAGGCCTCAGTCTTTGACTCCCACCATCCACTGCCTTTGCTTCTGAAAGCATGCTGCTGAATATAGATGGAGAAAATAACACAACTGTTCTGACTGGGTACATTACAAATTTATGTTACACAACCTCAACTGGGCCCTCACTGTTGGCAGGCAAATTTTCTCTATGGTGGCTCTTCAAACCTTTTCATCCCCTCCGTAAGACCTTCCCCTGACTCCCCCTACTTTCAGTCTCTTAGCTGAGAACTTTGCCTCATATTTTACAGAAAAATGGAAACCATTCACTAGGAACTCCTTTTTTCCTCTCAAATCATTCAGATGCCTTCTGCCACTATACTTCACTCTTGTTTCACCCGAAGAGGTGTCATGTTCTTTACCAAGGCCCACCTCTCTACACAAAGTGATCCCATTCCATCCCCTTTTTCCCTCTGTATTGCCTCCTCTGTCACCCCCCACTTTCTTATTTCTCTTGCCAGCTTCCTCATTGCCTTCAAACATGCCTCTCCTCATCCTCAAAAAAACCCTCACTTTACCCTTCTATGCCCATTATTGTTCTGTATTTTTTCTGCCCTTGGTGGCTAAACTCCTTGAAAAGGCCGTCTACAATAGATGCCTCCACTTTTTCTCCTTCTTAACCCCTTACAGTCCAACTTCTGACCTCATCATTCCATCAAAACTGCTCTGTCCAAAGTTACCAAAGAATGATCTCTTAATTTCCAAATCCAGTGACCTTTTTTCCCTCGGTCCTATTCTTCTTGACCTCTCTGGCTGCAGCCTTTGACAGTGTTGATCAGCCTTTTCTCCTTGATACTCTTTTCTCTCTAAGTTTTTGGGGCACCACTCTGTCCTGGTTCTTCTACCTGTCAGACTGTTCCTCAGTTTCCTTTGCTGGAACCTTATCCAGGTCATGCCTTCAAACTGTAGGGGTTCCAAAAGGTTCTATCCTGGGTCCTCTTCTCTTCCTTCTTTGTACTACTTTACTTGGTGAGCTCATCACTTCCCATGGATTTAATTACCATCTATATATTGATAATTCTCAGATCTACCTCTCCTGCCCTAACCTCTCTGCTGACCTCCAGCATCACACCTCTAACTGCCTTTCAGACATCTCAAACCGTATGTCCAGTAAACATCTTAAACTCCGCATGGCCGAAACTGAACTTATTCAATATCTTTCCCCCTGAAGCTTCTCCCCAAACTGTCTCTACCTTCCATCTTTGTGTAGGGCAACACCACCCTTCCAGTCCTCCAAGCTCTCAACCTAGCTGTCAAATTTCACTCCTCACAGTCTCTCACCCTCCATATCCAATCTGTTGTTTTCACCTTTGCACTATTTCTCAAATATTCCTTCTTCTCTCGTCTGATACTGCCACTACCCTGGTACAGACCCTAATCAACTCAAGCCTGGACTATTGCAGTAGACTGCTGGGGAGACTGCCTGCCTCAAGTCTATCCCCATTACAATCCATTCATCTACCAGAGTGATTTTTCCAACAGCACAGGCCTAACCTTATGTTCCTCCCCTACCTTTTCAGTTTCCTTACACCTTACTCCCTGCCATGTACCCTTCAATCCAGTGACATTGGCATTCTGACAAACAAGACACTCCATCTCTCATCTCTGGGTATTTCCTCTTAACTATCCTCAGTGTATGGAATGCTCTCCCTCTTCTGTTCTGATCACAGACCTTCCTGGCTTCTGTAAGTCTCACCTAAAATCTCACCTTTTATTTCACAATTCCTCTTAATTCTAGTGCCTTCCCTCTCTTAAATATTTCCTGTTTGTCCTGTATATAGCTTCTTTGTACGTATTTGTTTGCTTGTCTTGCCTATTAGATTGTAAGCTTCTTGAGGGCAGGGACTGCCTTTTGCTTTTCTTTGTGTCCCTAGGGCTTAGTGCAGTGGTTAAAGTAGGTGCTTAAAGAATGTTTATTGACTGACAGTTGTGATTGGCAGTCCATTGTCAGTGTTCTTTGAATCCCTGCGGAAAGAGACTGGAGGAGGACAGATGCCCCAATTTTGAAAAAGAAAAGAAAAAACAGTAGAGTCTGCATACTATAGACTAGTGAATTTGACTTTTGCTCTTGGCAAAACTTAGAATGTATTGTTAAAGAGATGGTTAGTGGGCATCTAGAAGAGAAGGTGGTGATTGTTTCATTAAGAACAACTCATGCCAAACCTACTTTCTTTCTATGGCACATTTCCTCAGTTGGCACATCAGGGAATGTTGTAATTTACATAGAGGTTAGCAAAACTTTTTATGCCCTTGTCGTGAGCAAAATGGAGAGATGAGCTAAGCATTGTTAGGTAGGTTGATTTAGAGTTGGTTGAATAAATAGATCCAAGGAGTAGTCCAGTGCAGAGATTCTCCACAAGAATCTGATTGGCTCTGTGTTGCTTAACATTTTTATCAATGACTTGGATACAGGCATAGTTTGTTGAATCAACAATCTTTTTTTGGGGGGGGGCTAGGCAGTGGGGTTAAGTGACTTGCCCAGGGTCACACAGGTAGTAAGTGTTATGTATCTGAGGCCAGATTTGAACTCAGGTCCTCCTGAATTCAGGGCCGGTGCTCTATCCACTGTGCCACCTAGCTGCCCCAACAGTCTTTTATTAAATGGCTACCCTTGTGTCAGGAGCTGTGGATACAAAGTAAAAAAATTAAATAGTCCCTGCCCCCAAAGGAATTTACATTCTATCACAGAAAATACCATGAATGTATGTAAGCCTGTATACAATAGAAATACAAGGTAATTGTGGTAGGGGAGAGCACTAGCAGCTTTTCTCCATGCCACCATGGAGAAGGTGGCAGTTGATCTGAAATAAAGGATTCTAAGAAGTTGATGTGAGGAGGGCTACATTCTAGGTTTTGGGGTATAGCCACAGTGCAAAGGCTGTAGAAGAGAAGAGAAGCATCATTTTTGAGGAACAGCAAGGCCAATCTGGCAAGACCACAGTGTGGGAAAGGGGTAACATATAATGAAGTTGTAAAGGTAAGTTAGTGCCAGGTTGTGAAGGCCTCTATAAGTCAAATAGATGAGTTTTTATTTGATCCCCAAAGTGCTAAACTTAATTGAGTAAAGGAGTGAAATTCTCAGATCTGCATTTTAGAGAACCCACTTTAGCAGCTTGGTAGCAGATAGGTGATAGTGAGGAGAGATGTAAAGAAGGAATACCAATTAGGAGGTTTTTGCAGTAGTTTAGGCAAGATGTTATGAGGACCTTAATTAAGATGATGGTTGTGTATGTATCAGAAAGGAATTATTCAAGAGCTGGTGTAGAGTTAGAAATTGTAAGATTTGGCAATTAATTGGATAGGTGCAGTGAGTTGAGAGTTGAAGCACTTAGGTTTTGAATCTGGGTGACTGAAAGAATTTCTGCCCTTGGAAGAAAATTTGTGAAAAGATGATGAGTTCCCTTTTTGGACAGTTGAGTTTCAGATGTCTCTGGGGTAACTGGTTTGAAATGTACAATGAGTAGTTGGTGGTGGGACTAGAGCTCAGGGGAGAGATAATAGGACTCTGATTTATAGGTGTCTGAGTCTTTATGAAAGAGATACTAATGAAACCCAAAGGAGCCAATGTCGTCAACAGTAGAGAACTTGGAGAGGAAAGAGAAAATGGTCCAGGTCAGAGCTTTCAGCTACCGTCATAGTTAGGAGATATAATGGTGACAAGGTCGGTCTAGCAGGAAAGTCAAGAGGGACCAGTCACAAAAAAAAAAAAAAACAACCTAGAGAGGAGAGGATGGACAGCAGTGTCAAATGCTCCTGAGAGGTAGAGAATAAGGATTGAGGAAGATTAAGAAGAAGAATTGACGATTGAGATCACTGGCAACTCTGGAGAAAGCATTTTTAGTTAATAGGTCAGTTAAGTTTTAGTTACATTTAGACTATAGTCTCTATAGAGTTTAAAAGAGACAGAGAGGAGAGCAAGTGGGGAAGATATGGGTAGATAGTTTTTTCTAAGACTTTAACTGACAGGAAAGAGAGATACAAGAATATAGTTTGAGGTGGTTGATGTTATTAAGACTGAGAAAATTGGGGCCTGTTCTAAGCAAAAAAACCCGGAGGAATAAGCAGTAGGAGATTGCTGGTTGGAGGGGGAGGGGATTTTGTAAGAATGAAGAAGACAGGTGGGGGAGAGGACTGTGCAGGGGGTATTATCATGACTTTGGTAAGAAAGGTTCTCTCCATCAGAGACTGGAAAAGTGGAAGAGGGAATAGGGGATGATGTCAAGGAGTTTTGAGATGTAGAGAAAGGTAGAAGAAGGAACTCAGTGAATAGCCTCAATATTTTCTCAGTAAAGTGTGAAACAAGTGGAGAGGGCTTGAGAGGTTTAGAACAGCCTCTGGGAAGTGGAATAAACTATAAATTAAGGAGGAATGAAAAGATTGCTTTCATCAAGGGACAAACTGAGATTGGGTATTAAATTTGTAGTGGACTAGGCCATCATGTTTAAGTTATTTCTTCCAGTTTTACTCAGCAACAAATGAATTGGAGCAGAGTAGTTGGAGGGAGAGGGAGGGAAAAATGATCTCAGGGTTGCGGTCTGGCAGGGTGTGAGCATTGATAGGTGGGGGAAAAGGGACTCAAGAGAAAGAAGGTGGTATAGGGTTAAATTGGTTAATTTTAGGTTTGAAATTGGGAAAGGTGGATGCAGATAAAGGCATGTAAAGGTAAAGTTAGAGCAGATGAAATGGATTTAGGAAGGCATTGAAGGAGGGATTAGAGGTCCATCTTAGGTAGGATGAAGAGTTTTAGAGGTAGGTTTAGGTAGGTTTAGGTAAGTTAAGGTAGGATGAAGAAGCTTAGAAAGGGATAAGACAGAGAGAAATGGCATGTTAGGGACAGTGAGGCCCTAGCACACTCCAAGGCCAAGATAGGGAATGGTAAGGCCCCACAGCCAACAGATTTGTGGATGACTGAAAGCTGGAGCAATAGCTAATATACAGGATGACAGTCAGGATCTAGGGCTAAGGTGTTTGGTCAGATATAGTGATACGAAATTCAGTACTTACATTTGGGTTTAAAAAAAAACATTTCAATAGTACAAGCAAGCCATAGTGTAGTTAGATAGCATTTCTTGTAAAATGCTTTTAATGGACTACACAATCAATGTGATTCAAACATGATAATGGTATCCCAAAAAGTTAATGTGAACTTAGGCTACAGAGGCCTAAGGCTTATAGACTTACAAGAGGCAATAATTCTGCTAAACTTCTTTGTAGTCAGGGCATTTCTGTAGTGTTATGTTTAATACAGCAGCTCTCTTAGTTGAGACTCTTATCAGCTCTTACTTGGGTTATTGTAATAGCCTTCTAATTGGTCTCCCTGCCTCCAGTCTACACCATCCCATCTATCTTCCACAATACTCCCCAATTGATATTCCAAAAATATAGGTCTGTGGCATTGCACTGCACAAGAAGCTTGACTGGCTCCCTGTTGCTTCTGGAATAAAATACAAACTCTTCTTTCGCATTTAAAGCTACTCAGTCTGGTCCCATCCTAACTTTCCAAAGTGATTATGTATTATTAGTCTTCATGCCTTTAATGACTTTCTTCTTTAGCCTCCATTTCTTGGAATGTATAGCTGTTTTCAGGGTTCCTAGATGCCACCTCCTATAGATAGCTTTATCTAATTCCCTAATTGTTTTCTTTCTTTCTCCACTACATCCCTCAAATTACGTTGTATTTACTTTCCCATATGTCTTGTACTTACTCATCTGTGCACATGTTGCTTCCCCTAATAATATATAATCATCTTGAGAGGAACAAGGTGCCTTTTCAGTTTTTGTCTATGTATCCTCAGCACCTAGTACAAAGCCTTGCACGTAGTAGGTACTTAATTTTTGTTGATTTGAAAAGGGTATTTTAACTGGTGATTGTTGAGAGGGTGGCTACCAAAATGGTGAAGGACCTTGAGATCATGTAAAATAAGGAATAGCTGAGGGAAGTGGGGATGAGATGACAAGGACTGAATATTTAAAGAATCATCTTATCAAAGAGGAGTCTTGTTTTCAAGCAAACACTAGATGATGACCGTTTGTCAGAATTTTTTTGAATGCATTCTTACTCAGGTAATTTAACTACCAGAAAAAGTGGCCTCTGAGGTCCCATCGTTGGATCCTGTGATTCTTCAAATTGAATTTATGATTCAAAATAGAGTAAAAGACATTAGAAATGATCAAGATTTAAAGTTTTTTGGTTTTTGTTTTTAATCTGTGCTTTCTTAGCAAATAGGAAAAAATTATGGCCTAGACTTTCATGTTACAATATATATACGTGTGTACAAATACATGCTCATGCATACACACATATTTTCTCATATGAGTAGGATTCACATACTTACCAAGTCTGTCTTTTTTTATATATTTATGGAAAGAACTTTAGAAGTATTATATTCATCCTGAAGAGCTCTGTGTACTTTGAGATTGCTGTAAACATCCATATAGTGACTTCTTCAGATAATAAGATAGTATTTACATCAATTCCAGTCAGTCAGATGCTGAGGTTTGAAACATTCATCTTGACAAGCTGTTCTGAACTCTTTTTTACATTCTGTCTCTTCATTTATATAGTTGATCAGCCTTGATGTTTCTCTCTCTTTCAGGCAGGAGCTAATATGATTGTGTCTGGTAGTGCCATCATGAAGAGTGAAGACCCTAGATCTGTCATTAATCTCTTGAGAAATGTTTGTTCAGAAGCTGCTCAGAAACGCTCTCTGGATAGATGAGATTTCCAGGCAGCTTTACTCTGCGTGCATAGTCCACCTCCTCCTAGACCAGCTTATTCAGCCTCATTTTCACCTGGTGCACAAGAACACAAGCTCAAGAATCATGCTGCTGTTTCTGCTGTGGAGGTGGCATTGATCTCTGTCCTGGGCAGTTAGTCTTCATTTCCTTGACTTCAACGTACACACAGATATGCTGAGAATGGAAATAAGTGCATATATGACAACTACTAAGTTTTTAAGAGTTGGGAATTAAATTTTCATGTGGCAAAAAAAAAAAACACTTTTTTACTGGAAGACTTGATTTTTGTAAAAGGAATATATTATGATGCCTTGTCCTGAGGTTAAAAAGCCAAATTGCACCTCAAAGGCAGAAGAAGGAAAAAAACCAGGAGCTGCTAACTAAAGAAGGACTAAAATGGGTAATACTTCTACTCTTAGAGAACTCTGAAATGTTTGTGCATTATTATAAAAAGGTTTGCATTGCTCATTAGCTTTCTTTAGAAAAAACAGTTATCCTTTTGTTTCGTCATCAGTTGATTTTTTGTATATATGTTTGTTTTGTGTGACTGAGCTTGGTCTATTGGGAGAAAAATCCAAGCTCCATGCTTTGAGTGTTATGAAATGATTCCTTTTAAAGTTTCTTTATCCCTTCCCTCCCAGCCCCCCCCATTGTGCTTATCTTGACCATGTTTTCATGTGACTAATCACCCTACTTATTTTCCTAGTTGACCAAATTACACAAAACATTCCTCTTTGTTTTCTTTCACTTTCTGCAGTAACCTACTTTGGAACTAAATTTACAAAATGACTGAGGATAATACTGTTTACAAGAGCTTATTTTATATATATATTTTAAAAAAAACATTTATTTCAGGCTATTTCCTGCCTATAGCAAAATATGTTCAATATTTGTTGGAGAGAAGCCGACATGTTTCTTTCTCTAGATCAGAGGTTCAGAAGTATGGCCTCAGAGGGTCCTTCGGGTGGTTGAGTCCAAAAGTACAAGAGTAGGACATGTCTTTCTCAAGGACTGTCCTCAACTAGTCACAATTAAAAAGCTAGTGGGGACTATTTCAAATGACTTTCATCAACCACTTCTTTAGAAAATTTATAATTTGGTTGTGCTAGTGCCAGCTTGGGTAAGGAATGATTTCATTTAGCCCTGGACCCTAGAGTATCCTTACATCTTAACAGAGCACTCAGGTATTTCTTGCATCCTGAATCTGATTTCATTCATCTAACACTCTTAAAGGAAGCAGAAGAGTTACTGTCCCCATTTTATAGCTGAGGAAACTAAAGCACAGAGCAGTAAGTTAAGGCAACAGACCGTGGTACCTGTGCAGGGATCTGGAGTTAGGACTTGTGTTCAACTTACATTACTTGTATGATGTTGACCTCCCAAGTCCTCTTCCAGGGTCCTTTCAACAGTATGTCAGCATAGTTTTGTTCTTTCACCTCTAAAGAAGATGGTGGTAATGATATAGTGATCCACTGACCAAAGGTTTAGTTTATAACTGCTCTGCTTATTCAAATATTTAGATAACTGTAATGATTACTTCAAGAAAACAGGAGCAGCAGAACTTTAGTCATCCTCAGGTTGATGTGAATTTTCTGTCTTTCATTAAGGTATATTTACTGTAAACCCTTGATGTTTGTTGAATGAATTAATAGGGTATGGGGCCTAGGGTTGCAGCATATGAGGTATATAGTTTTTTGTTTTTAAATAGGACTCTTATCTTGCTTATTTTGTGTGTTTTGGGAGGCAGGAAAAGAAAGATTTCGAAACAAATAAGGACAAAACTTCTCAAAGCAAAGTATTGAAAATAAAATTGTACTACCAAGCTATGTTCCTTTTTTGAAATAGATAGTATGGATCGTTTTGATATTCTAATCACATTCACACTACAGGAGACATATAGAAATAACTTTAATTAAAAAACTTACATAGAAGATCATGGTATCAGACGTGACAGCAAGATTCAAGTTTAATTTTCTGGACAAACTTGTGTCTGTGAGGCTTTGGTTTTTGTTTTTCTTTAAAAATAATTGTACAGTGAAACCACAAGCAGAGGCTTTTCAGTGCTGAAATTTGACTGAACTTCCCTCCCTCCCCCCAAAGGGTCCAGCATCAGTTTCCAATCCCTGACAAAAACTGTGTCAAATCACACAAACTAGGCCAGTGAGTGTTAGTTTAGTGCATATGGATACTACAACTTGAAGCAATAGCTTTTCCTTGAGAAAAAAGTGATTGCTATAAATTGTCCTCAACCGTTCCACACAGCAAAACTCTTATGGTATGGTAGCTTAAAAAGGATTCCACTTCAAATGCACATACAACTTGGTATAAATCTTATTAGCCTCATTTTAGAATACAAGTAGATATGAGTGGATGAATCATCACTTGCTTTTAAAGCAAGGTATGGTAAGGAATCCAGAAATTCATTAGCCAGGGATATAACAAAACAGTATTTTTGAGCTCATACTGATGGTTATTTCCCTTTCAGTGAATTATTTTAATTAAGCATATTTTAAACCCACTTGGGTTCTTGTAGCACGGTGACAATGTATTCCGAATAGTAAATATAGGTGAAGCCAGAGGTAATATCTTAAAGACATGGTGACTTAATATAACAATTAAACTCTCTTAGAAGTGAACAGAAAACAGCTTGTTGTGTCTAACAGAAATCAGTGATTTAAAAATAAAGGATTATTATCTCATTTGTATATAAGAATTTTATAAATGACTTCCACTTGTTAATGGTAGTGAAGTATGTAAAAAAAAAGCCTCCCCCATACTTAAGAACTTCAGAAGTCTACATTCGATTAAAATCCTTCTGTGTTTATGTATCTATATGGCTAGATATTGGTTTTTATATCTTCAGAGTTATTCATATGTGCATTTTAAAAATGAGTTGGTAGACATAACAGTACTTTTAGTATATTTAAGGCAGTTTGATGAGTTCAGTGTTTTTGTTTCTTGTATATTAAAAAAAAAACAAAATCCATTATGCTATAATCTGAGAACACACCAGGACCATATAGTATATCTTAAGGGTTGGGAGTGAGAGGGTGAATATCAGGTCCAAAAAGCAGGTATCTGACACCAGAATTCAGGAAATAATTAGGTCATTTTCTTGGTGCCAGTGATTTGGCCTTGCCTAATAACAGCAAATGTCTATTGCACCTGGGGTCTGGAGACCAAAAGAACTATTTTCTCTTGTGGTTCACGAAGGAAAGAAAGTGACATTTTTTATTTTTAACCTGTCTCTTAGCAAGAAAGATTAATACATCACATGCTGTTACTCTAATGCATTGGAATTGTGGGTTTTCTTTTGTTGTTGAACAGGGTTGGGGGGAGGGGCTTGCCTTGTTTTCTCCAGTTTAATTAGGTTTCTTAATGAACCACTAAGTTCCCTGTCACCTATTTTTCTTTAGACTACTGAGTCCTAGACCAGGAGGTTTGTAATCTTCCAGTCTGTCTACTGATTGCTTTTTTGGAGGATAACTGTGATCTGACACAGTGCTACAGAAGACTTCACCAGGGAAAGCTGAGCTTGGCCTTTCAACCTGATTTCTTTCATCTTGGCACAAGAAAGCTACTTCTTCATCCTTCAGTGGAAAAGCCCGTCGTTCCCACCACTGAAAAGCAAAGGGAAAAAATACGATTTTCAGTGGAGTTATTTCTAATTATGTTTCAATGTCAAGTTTTACAGAATTATTATTAGGTTCTTTTGAGAAAGGAACTATTACCTACTCCGGGTAAATTTTTGCTGATCCTTGAAAAGCAAGGAAACAGAGCTCAGTGTGCATGCTGCCTATTATTCACATTAGGTCAACGATGTAAGGCTGCCTGAGTAACACTGACTACAGGTCTTGGATCTTTTCTCCTGGAGAGTAGGAGCTATAGGTCCTACTCCTTCCACAGAGCACCTCTACTCCCAGGTTCCCATTGCTGTTCCACTATTCTTTCATTGTAACTGGAGCCCACCTATTAACATGTTTCTATCTACGGTCCCCTCCTCCCCCCCACCCCCACATTCCACCCACCCAAACAACTTATTTTGCACCAAATGGAAGAGTTTATACAGTTAAGACTTGAGCAGAAGAACCTGCAATTTCTCCAGGGGGTATAGATCAGTCCTCTAGAGGAAAAGACTCAAACTTATTACATAATATGCGCTAATGTATAATGTATAATTGTTTATCCTTTCTATGTGTCATGTTTTATTAACCATTTTACCTCTGTCTCTTGGGATTCATTTTTCCTCTACTTAAAGCAATTCTTCCATTTCTTCAAGTAATACTATTCTCCCTGATAAGCTGGATAGCTGAAAGATAATCCTCTAATCTTTTCAACTCCTCTAGCAGGGAGACCAAGCTGAATTTTGTGCCTATGTTATTTGGCACTAGAAGAATCACAAACTTAGCATACTTGACTGGCCACTGGAATATTCTCCTTAGTCACTATGCTTGCTGAAACCAGTTTAAGAATTCTGATGCCTTTTCTCAATTTTTATAAAAAGAGGTAATATCCACAGCATTCCTGACTCATTAACTAGATTCTTAATGAACCACTAAGTTCTCGTCACCTATTTTTCTTTTAGACCACTAAGTCCTAGTCCAGGAGGCTTGTAAACTTTCAGTATGTCTTCTGATTGCTTTTTTGATGCTAATAACATTTCACATGCAAAGAAATCAAATTTCACAAAGGCAAGCAGCATGGTTATTAGTAGATAAGAGAGCTAACTTTGGAGCCAGGAAGACCTAAATTCAAGTCCCACATCTCTGACACATACAAGCTGTATCACCCTGGACAAGTCACTTAAATACTTTAGGCAACCCTGCAACACTAGAAGCTGCCTAACTACAATGGTAGAGAGATTCCTCAGGCAGGAGTTCTCTGTCCTAAAGATATAACAGGTGCAGTTCTTATTCCTCAGGTTGCCTAAGTCAGCAGCAGCAGAACCAAATATTGGACAAAGAGCTTATGACTCGTACTTAACACCAATTATTAAGATACAACAGAACGTTTTCCAAGATAAAGTGCTTTCTACAAATACAGGTAAAAGTATGCATTACACCTAACATTTTGCTAGGAATGTGTTCCCTACCTTGGCTTCTTGATCTTTGTTTAAGAAAGGTGAGGCATCAACACATAAGCCATGCATTTCAGAAGGAAACTCAAGGATGGCTTCAGAAGCACAATGCTCAACAGTGCTAACATCACTGTGGTGTTCTTTTAATAGTAAGTCCTGTCTTTGCTGCCCTTCAACATATCTGCCATAATATCTAACAGGGAAATGAAAATCATTATTATTAATAAGATTTATAGATTATTCCCTTAAATAAAGCAAAAAATTGGGCCCAGAGTTTAATAAGACAAGGGATCTTGTCACTTCTGTTAAATCATTTATAAGTGATTTAATATAACTAGACAAAGTACAGTCTTCCATAAAGATCAATTTGATTAATACAATAGAGAGTTATCAAGCTGATAACTAGATATGGGTAACTGTGCAAGGAAGGTAAATGGGGACAGGGATGATGCTATTCAGATCACTTCCTCTTACTTTTAGAAATGGCTTATCTCCAGGTGATTCCATTATAATGCTGATCTCACTGCCTTTGTGGGACACAAAAATTTGCCAATATGATTGGGATAATGGCTTCTTTACTCCTATTTTCCTAAAAAATTACAGGATCCTGGAGGCCATCTGGTCCCAACACATAACAGTAAAGAAAGGTTTCAATATACCAAATAAATTGTCATCCAGTTTTTCTTTGGAAATCTGCTGATAGGGAGCCCACTACCCTCTGGGGCATTGCAGACCACCACTGGCTGTCTCCATCACTAGAGAACATTTTCCCTACAACAAACCGAAGTCTTCTCTGCCCCTACTTCTTATTAGAGTCAAAGAGAACTAAGTTTACACGATACCTCTTTCAGGACTTGAAAGCAGCTATCATATTTCCCCTAAGCCTTATATTCTTCAAAATAATAATAGTTAGCATTTACATACTGCCTTAAGGTTTGGAAAATGTTTTACAAATATGTTATTTGATCCTCACAACAACCCTGGGAGGTAGGTGCTATTATCACCATTTTACAAATAAGGAAACTAAAGTAGGCAAAGGTTAAGTGACTCGCCACTTACTCTACAGCTTATAACTGTCTGAGGCTGGATTTGAATTCAGATCTTGACTCCAAGTCCAGCACTACACCACCTAGCTGACATTCCTCAAATGATCTTCACATATTTTCAAGGCTCACTGCCTAAATATATAGTCTTTAATAATCAGTAATAAATAGACTTTTAAATTTTCCTAAACTTATCCAATTCTTCTGATGTTTCATTTTTAAAAAATGCTTAAAATTATACTGTGAGACCCTTGTTTTTAAATGGCAATTACCTGACCCCTACTGCCTGGCTTTGTGTTCCAATGGTATTCTGTGATGGTTGCAATGACACCCATGAAGGGCTCAATTCATATCTTCCCTTACACCTCTGTAGGGATAGATCTCTAGGCTGTGGAGAAAGATGTGAATTCAGCCTTGTACATGCTAGGACATCTCTTGGAGTGAGTGTTCTACAGCAAGGCTGGACATCTTGAGACCTAAACAAAGGAATATGTTTTTAGAATGCTAGTCATGTTAACAGATGCCACTAAGACTAAATAAAAGTGACTGATTTCATATCATACATAATGAACTAGAAATTCTTATTTTTTTATACCTCAGCTATATTAAAAGAATCATCTCTTCCAAATTTGTACCTTTTTGTAGTCTCAAATGTAAAATTCATTTTTATACAAATTTCATATACTAATAATGTCCATTTGAGTTTTAATTGAAACCACTGTCCTTCTAGATTATGCAGGCTAATTTTTAAAGATATTTTCTTTAAAATACATCTGATGAAACAGTAATATTCACATAACTTATCATACTTATGCTTTTAAAAAGTCCATTAATGGTTATTTGAAATAACTTATTTTTAGGAGCCAAGATGGCAAAGAAAAGGCAGACTCACCTGAGCTCTCCCAAATTCCCCTCTAAACAACATTAAAATTATGCATCAAAATGAATTCTGGAGCAGCAGAACCAACAAAAGGATGGGGTAAAAAAAATTTCCAGCCCAAGACAACTTAGGAAAGATTTGTCACACCAGAATGAGAGTTTAGCACAGTCCAGTGCAGGGCCTAGCAACACAGCAGCAGGCCTTAGGGGCAACTGAATGGAAGCAGCAGCAGCGGCTTCTGGAACTCTCAGACTACAGAAGGTAAGGAGGTTGGACAACTGGAGACTACAGGAGTCCCTTTGCTGCACGAGTGCAGGACTTTGTTGTATTACCCATACACAGATCTGGGTTATAGTCCCAAAGAAAGGAGGAGCAGTAGCACACCTGAGCTTGAAGCCACAGGGGAGTAGGGAACCTGATTATACTTCCAGAGCAGAAAAGAGTGCTTATGGTCACTCACAGACTGGAGCACAGGTTAGAAGAATAGTAAACACACCTCTCCTTAGATCACACCACCTTGGAAGAACTGAAAACTTCAAGATCTCTAGAACTAGTGTTGAAAATAGCTGCACAAAAACCCTAAAGCTTGAGACGGTGCCCCTTCTACCCAGAAGAGTCCAACTTTCAAGAAATAGGCTGGGAAAATAAAGTTATTATGGTGACAGGGAAGATCAAATCACAAACTCAGAACAAAGTCAAAACTGCTACATCTAAAGCCACAAAGAAAAATGTCTATTGGTCTTAGGCCTACAAAGAATTCCTGGAAGAGCTCAAAAAGGATTTTAAAAATCAAATAACTAGGGAGAAAATTGGGAAAAGATATGAGAGTGATGTAAAAAAAATGTGGGGGAAAAAGGGTCAACAGTTTGGTAAAAGAGGCACAAAAGTACTGAAGAAACAAATCTTAAAAAACAATAGGCCAAATGGTTTTAAGGGGGGGGGCACAAAAATCCACTAAAGGGAACTCCTTAAGAAGCCAAACTGGACACATGGAAAAAGATGTACAAAAATTCAATGAAGAAAAGAACTCCTTAAAAGACAGAATTAGCCAAATGGAAAAGAGGTACAAAAGCTCACTGAAAGAAATAAATCCTTAAAAATGAGAACTGCACAAATGGAAAGTAATGACTCCATGAGATATCAAGAGATAATAAAACATTGTTTTATTGAATGAAAAATAGAACAGAAGAAAAAAAGTGAAATATCTCATTGAAAAAACAATTGATTGGGAAAACAAATTGAAAAGAGATAAGAATTATTGGACTACCTGAAAGCCATGATCAAAAAAAAAGCCTGGACATCATCTTTCAAGAAAACATCAAGGAAAACTGCCCTGATATTGTAGAACCAGAGGGTAAAATAGAAATTCAAAGAATCTACTGATCACCTCCTGAAAGAGAACCCAAAATGAAAACTCCCAAAATACAGCCAAATTCCAGGGCTCTCAGGTCAAGGACAAAATATTGCAAGCAACTAGAAAGAAACACTTCAAATATCACAGAGCCACAGTAAGGATAACACAAGATTTAGCAGCTTATACATTAAAGGACTGGAGGGCTTGGAATATGATATTCCAGAAGACAAAGGAGCTAGGATTTCAACTAAGAATCACCTACCCAACAAAAGAGTATAATCCTTCAGGAGGAAAAATGGATATTCATTAAAATACCAGAGCTGAATCAAAACTGTGACTCTCAAATACAAGACTCAAGAGAAGCATAAAAAGCTAAATAGGCAAAGGAAATCATAAAATGTTCAATAAGGTTAAATTGTTTACTTTCCTACATGGGAAGATGATACATGTAACTCCTGAGAACGTTATCATTATTAGAGCAGTTAGGAGTATGCATAGACAAAGGACATGGGAGTGAATTGACTATGATGGGATGATATCCCTCCAAAAAAAATAAATTAAGGGGTGAGAAAGAGGAATGCACTGGGAAAAGGGGGAAAAGAGAGGTAGAACGGGGTAAATTATCTCATATAGAAGAGGCGTGAAAGAGCTTTTTGAGTGAAGGGGAAGATGGAGGAGGTAGGGAGGAATACTTGAACCTTACTCTCATTGGAATTGGCTCAAAGAGAGAATAACAAACACATTCAGTTGGGTATAGAAATCTCTTACCCTACAGGAAAGTGAGAGAAAAGAGAATAAGTTGGGGGTTAAGATGCTGATAGAAGGGAGGGCAGACTGGGGGAGTTGGTAGTCAGAAGCAATACACTTGAGGATGGACAGTGTGAAAGGAGAGAGAGAAAGAAGGATAAATGGGGGAAAAAAAGGATGGAGGGAAATACACAGTAATCATAACTGTGAAAAAAAATTACAGCAGGTTTCTCTGATAAAGGCCTCATTCCTCAAATATAGAGGACTGAGTCAAATTTATAAGAATATAAATCATTCTTGAATTGATAAATGATCAAAGGAGGCAGTTTTAAGATGAAGTAACCAAAGCTATCTATAGTCATATGAAAAAATGCTCTAAATCACTATTGATTAGAGAAATGCAAATTAAAACAATTCTGAGGTACCACCCCACACCTATCAGATTGGCTAATAGAAAGGAAGATGACAAATGTTGGAGTGGATTTGGGAAAACTGAGGAGTTGTGAACTGATTCAGTTATTCTGGAGAGCAATTTGGAACTATGGCCAAAGGATTATAAAACCAGATATACCTTTGACTCAGCAATACCCACTAAATAGGTTTATATGCCAAAGAGGTAAGAAACAAAAAGGAAAAGGAGCTATATGTACAAAAATATTTATAGCTACTCTTTTTGTGGTAGCAAAAAATTAGAAATTGAGGGAGTGTCCACCATTTGGGGAATGGCTGAACAACTTGTGGTATATGATTGTGATGGAATATTATTGTGCTGTAAGAAATGATGAACAGGATGCTCTCAGAAAAATCTGGAAAGACTTACATGAACAGATGCAAAGTGAAAGCACAACCAGGAGAACATTGTACATAGTAACAGTAATACTGTATGAATGACTTAGCCATTCCCAGCAATATAATAAAACAAGAAAATTCCAAAGGATTTATGATGAAAAACACTGTTTGCCTCCAGAGAAAGATTTAATGAAGTCTGAATGCAGATTGAAGCATACTTTCTGAGGCTTTTAAAATTATTTTTCTTGTTTGTTTTTTGGTCTGTGTTTTCTTTCATAACATGACTGATAAGGAAATATGTTTTGCATGACTACACATATAACCTATATCAAATTGCCTCCCTTCTTAAGGAGTGAGAGAGGGGAAGAATTTGGAACTCAAAATTAAAAAAAAAAAACACATTAAAAATTGTTTTTGCATGTACAAGGAAAAAATTTTTTTAAAGAAATATGCTATTTTATTTACAGAGAACTAAAATGCTATTCATAAGCCAAAACCAGTTATCACTGAAGTTGGTAGTGAATACATGTGTGGCAAAGACAATACGGATTTCGTCATTGTGCCATTAGCCATAACACCAATACCTCAGCCATGAAATGTCTTTGCCTCTTTTGCATAAGGAGAATGGATGTTGTGTTCACATGTTGTGACTACCCAGTTTTCCAAGGGCTTTTTTTTAGAATGTTTACTTGCTAACCTCCCTGAGGTTATTCTGTGCTCATTTATAACACTTGCCTGCTGTTTCTTCTGTGCCACTTGCTTTGTTCCCACAGTGACCACCTTGCTTGCTCTCTCTCTTCATATTTTTTGTGGCGTAGGGAAAAGACTTCATCAGAAAGATCTTCTACCTGGAATTAGAAATGAAAGTTTACTGCTGCTTCTGTGAGGAAGATTACTGAAAATGAGAATGAGAGTTTTGGTGTATCCTTTACAAGATAATTTGTGGAATAGTAAGATCACAAATTTAAAGCTAGAAGGACTTTTAGGGGTCTTCTAATCCCACCTCCTAATTTCACAGATGCGGAAAGGAACTCAGGCCCATCTAGATGAAATGAAATTGACTAAAATCATGCAGATCATAGCAGAGCCCAAGTCTTCCTGAACTCTAAAACTAGTATTATTTCCAGTACACCAGAATTCTAGAATAAATGTTTAAAATAAAACATGAGAAGAAGTTATCTATTCTCATTCTTTTAAGGATGACTTCAAATTCTTTAAAAAGGAGAGGTTTGAAAGCTTAACTTGTATGATCTTAGCTTTATTCAGACTCAGCAAAATTGAAAGCTTTTTGACTTCCTGAACCATTTTTTCTAGTTTTTATATTCCGTTAACACTTAGTATAGTGTTTTGTGTGCACCGCTCAATAAATGCTAATTCATTAACTATTAAAGCTAACAAAAACTGAGTGCCTCAATATATTAGATTTTCACCTTACAAAAATTCATTCTAGACTCAAACCTGCATTCAGAACCCAGATCTCTGATTCTATGATTCTGCAAGTTCTCCTGTGAATGACTTCAGGTCCTGCTCTTAGGGAGCTTACCATTAAATGACAGCAAGGAAGGAAGGGATATGACACATAAATAACCATAATACAAAACAATAGATGGTCAGTGCATAAAAGAAACCCTAAGTGCTATGGGAAGGCAGGGGAAGGGAAAAATCATGATTTCAGGGGAGGCCCTGTGGAGGTGATGTCACAGAAGACTGTCCGAAAAAAGTAGCATTTGAGCTGAACTTTAAAGAATAAGGAAAGATTCAATAAGATGGGGAAACTTTCAAGTATATGGGACAGTGCAAGTAAAGGCACAGAGATGTGAAAGTGTGAAACTCAAGTGTGGTAGACAGTAAGGAATTACCTAATCTAATTGGACAGGAGTAGAGAGTATATCAGAGGTGTCAAAACTTGTGGCTGCAAGTCACAAAACTCCTGAGTAATTTTAAGCCAATATGCAGGGACAGGGATCCGTTTCTATTTGAGTTTGACATCAGTGGACTTCATAGAGGGAAGTAACAGGAGATAAGACCAGAAAGTGAAGGTGGCCAAATTGTGGTCTTTGAATGCCAGGGAAAGGAATTTGAACTTTACTCAAAAGGCACCAAGAAGCCAAAAACCAAAAACACAGAGGATGTAACAACCAGAAGCTTCCTTAGAAATCAAGTCTCATTACCTTATTTTAAAGATAAGAAAAGTTAAGTCCAGGGAGTGGACTTGCCCAACGACACCAAACCAGGTAGGCAGAAAAAACTAGAAATGCAAGCCCAGGCTTTCTGGAAGAGGAGGACTATACAATCAGATCCCTATATACACAAGGAAGGTTAAGTATGCAGGACATATCAGAAGTGGGAAGCCTTGTTAGAAGGTTCTTACAAAAATCATATCACAATAATGGTAATAATCTAATATTCATTAGAATGTGAACACAGAATCTGGTTTTACATTTCTCTGTATCCCCAGTGTGTGGCACATAGTAAGTGCTTAATAAATACTTGTTGACCTGATTAAATGGCAGTAGAAGTAGAAAACAGAGAATGAATGCTAGAGACATTAGGGGTGGGGGACAGAAATCAAGTGGCTTTGGTGGCTAACTGCACATAAGCTGAGGCAGAGGGAAGAGTCAAAGATAAGAAACAGGTCTCAAATACAGTAGACACGGTAAATGGTAGCACTAATGGTAGAAAGTAGTCAGAAGGAAGGCCAGGGTCAGATGGAAAGAGAATTAGCTCAGTTTGGGACATATGGTATTTAAGGGGTTGGTGGCACTCCATCCTCACCTCCACCTGCTGGAATTTTTCACTTCTTCTTATGGGAAGACTTTCTTGACCTTTCTCGTTGTTAGTGCTCTCACCCTCCAAAAATTATATTTACTTAATTTGTCTAAGTTTTGTATACCACCACCACAGCCACTGCCTCCATTGCTGCTGCCGCCGCCGCCGCTACCACCGCCACCCTTAGTATAATGAAAGCTTGTTGAAGGAAGGGAGGATTTTTTAATTTAACTTGTTCTGCTAGCACCTAGAATAATACCTTGCCCATATCAGGCACTACATGTATGCTTGTTGAATTGTAAGACATGTCCTGTAGGCAACAGCTACTTCCCCCAGAACCTGGAGGAAGTAAGGGCTAAAGATAGAAATTTGAAAGTCATCTGTAAGAGATGGTTGTTGGAGTAAATGAGATTGTTAAGGGAAGAGTATAGAAAGACTATGAATACTGGATAGAAAACCTTGGTTCTCTATTATTTGAAGAAATATAAGAAAAAGTTAGGAAACCAGTGAAAGCGGCACAGTAGTTAGAGGAAGAAAAATCAGGAGAGTATGCTGTCTCTGAAGCCAAGGTAGAAGAGATTATCCAAAGAGTAGACAGACTGAAAAGCACCTACTTAGTTAGGAGGTCATTCAACAAAAAGTTCAGTTCAAACATAACTGCCTACCACTGTGCTAAGCTCTGGGCATGTACACACACACAGTCTTTGCCTTCAACAGCTTACAGTCTACTAGGGCAGGGGAAAGAAGATAATACAATATATATATATATTGCTAAATAAATAAAAGGTAATTTGAAGAGGGAGTGACACACTACTACTAAGTGAGGAACATGTAGAATTTGGTATCAGAGTTAAGCCTTAAATTCTAATCACTATTGTTGAAGGAGGAGTGCATGGTGTCAGCCTGTGCAAAGCCATGAGGAAAGGAAATGGACTATAGAGCTCAAGGCACTTGAGTAGGCCAACTTGCCTAAAAAGAGGACATGAATAATAGGAATTAAGCTTGGCAGTAAGCAAGATTGTGAAGGCTATACATGCCAGACTGAGGAATTTGTACTTTATGTGGGAGAAAATGATCAAATCTATACCACTGGAAGATTATTTTGGCACCTAAATAGAGGACTGATTAGAGAGGGGAGAGATTGCAAGCAGGAAGATAATTTTGGAGCATATTACAATATCCAGGTAATGAGGGTAATGTGTGAGTGAAGAAGGCCCAGATGTGGGAAATGACATGAAGACAGAATTGACAAGACAGGGTAACTGGTTGAATATGGTAAGGGAGGGAGGCAGAAGAGTTATGGATGACTCTAAAGTCAAAAACTAGTGGTAGAAAAAGTGGAGCCTTCAACACAGAGAAGCTTGGAGGAGAAACAGATTTAGGGGAGAAAAAAATGATCAAAGTGGGCTTGGGGAGGAAGGAGTGTGAGATATAAAATAGGTTTCCCTTTCAGGATCACAGAGTTATATCTGAGAGGGACCAGAGAGGTTCCTCTCTCTCATTTTATACATTTTATAAATAAGAAACAGGTGTGGAAAAATGGAAGCGACATCCACATTTAAACAGATAGCAATTGGGTTGAAAAAAAATAATTTGTAAGACCTGAGCATGTTTGGGAAGAGGCCATTAGAGAGGGAAGAAAATAGGGGGGAATGGAGAAAGGAAGATAAAGAAGTTGCTGTAAGAATATCTTAGTCTTCTCAAGGAAGTACAACAGTTAAAGTTGGTATTATAATGATAAAAACAATAACAACCACAATAACAGCTATGTGCCAGACATTGTGCTAAGTGCTTTACAATTATTATCTCATTTAATCCTCACATCAGCCTCTGGGAGAGAGATGCTTTTACCGATTCCCAACTTATTACCCAATTATATCCCAATTATACTACCAATTTACCAATTCCCATTTTATTATGTCCATTTTGCAAATGAAGAAACTGAGGCAAACAAAGATTAAGACTTGCCCAGGGTCACATAACTAATACGTGTCTGAGGCTGGATTTGAATTAAATCTTCCTGACTTCAGGCCCAGTACTTTATCCACTATGCCACCTAGCTGTAATAATAAGAAAAAAAAGCAATAAAGGCTATAAAGTATATTATGTTTCCCAGTAAGGAACACTACATTGGAATTTTTCTAATAATGCTAAATAAACTTGAACATGATCTGCTTTGCTGTTCCATTCTGCATGTGTCTCAATCAAGAAATTCTCTAAAAGGTAGATGGATGGATGGACAGATAGATAGACAGATAGACAGATAGATAAATCCTATTCAAATATTCCTATTTAAACTTTTTAGTTGTGATGGAATTTTATTTTAATGTGAAAACCATTTGAAATTATATTCTCAGAGGAAGGAGGTGATATTTAGTATCTCTATAGTTAATAAACAAGGGAAAAATAATTTTCTGAACCCTGCAGAAGGCAGAAACACCACCCTTCCAACCCTGCCTTTTCCCTCCACATCTCTATGTTTTGGGTGGTGAGGAAGGCTGGGGATACTGGTCTATCTCACCCAAGCTTGAAGCACAGCAGCCACTCATGGACCTGATCCCACTGTTAATCTGCAAGGAATCTTGGACTTGCTCCATTTACTGGTGCTGAACTTGGTTCAGATATTTATTTGGCTTTAGCCATAACAGCAACTCAGAACTCCTGAGCTCAAGTGATCTCCTAGTATCAGCTTCCCCAGGAGCAGGGACTACAGGTTTGCACCACCCCTCCTGTACATTTTGTATGTTTCTTGTTTGTGTCAATGGGAAGTGATTCGTATTAGGAATATTTAGGGTGAAGAGAGATGTGGTATATTAAATGGTAATTACTACTCACTCGTTGAAGAAAATAGTTATGAAAAATTAACTGTCCTATAATAAGCATATAATTAGGAGTTTTTGTTACTAACATGTTGTCTTTGGTCCTTGTACATGTAAGTAACAACCACATCTGTCATAAGGATATTGTTACTAAATCCAAAGCTCAGGAAATGAAACATAGTATGCTTCTATGAAATGCCGCTTGCCCTAATGGAACTATACCTGTTTACTACTTAAGGCTGAACTTATTGTGTAGGAAGGATACTTCACTGTGAGAACAAACATAAGTCATTAATCTCTTAACTGAATACCATAAAATCTCCAAAACCCAAACAGGATATTTCATGCTTCCCCCCATATTCCTTCCCAAAGGCTCTTCTTGTTAAACTGGATATTTATGTTTATTCTCACTGTAATCTAATCTGAAGAAGTAAAAAAAAAAATTATAATTAACATTAATGCCATTTTTTGGTGAACCCTCTAAAACCCAGCTAGGTGGTATAGTGGATAGAGTACTGGGCCTGGAGTCAGGAAGATCTGAGTTCAAGTGTGGCCTTAGACACTTACTAGCTGTGTGACCCTGGGTAATTCACTTAACCTTTATTTGCCTTAGTTTCTCATCTGTAAAACAGAGACACACTGGAAAAGGAAATGGCAAATCACTCCAGTATCTTTGCAGAGAAAACCCCATTGACAAAGGTCGGAAACAACGTAACAACAACAAAACTAAACCCTCTTCAGAAAGGTTTGTCTGGTCCCTAATACCAGAAAATGATTTCTTGCAAAGCATTTTTAATGGAATGCTTTAAAGAAAACTGTGAATGAATTTTACCCATTGAAGATGTTAGAGGGTGCGACACTTTTATTTTCATAATTTTACTACATTTGAAATATACCTGATATTCTCAGGAACTCTGTGTGTGTGTGTGTGTGTGTGTGTGTGTGTGTGTGTGTGTGTGTGTGTGTGTGTTTGACATATGTTTACTCTTACGGGATTAATACTTTTCAGATATTTAAAGAGCATCATTTTATTTAATTGTCTGGGGAAAGTCAAGTCAACGTACATTTATTACATGCACCAGGCACAGTGCTAAGTGCTGAGAATGTAAAGAAAGGCAATAACAGTTTCTGCTGTCAGACAGTTCACAAAAAGAAGGTGACAACATGTGAACGACTATGTGCAAACATGAAGTTTAAAGGCCACAGAATTTTGTATTTCTTTCTGGGGGTAATAGGGATTTACTGAATGGGGGGGTGCCTCTCTAAAGTACTACTATAGTCAGAACCTATACTTTAGGTAGGTCCTAACTTTTTTTTTTGAGGCAGTTGGGTGGCACAGTGGATAGAGCATTGGGCATGGAGTCAGGAAGACCTGAGTTCAAATCTGACCTCAGATACTTACTAGCTGTGTGACCCTGGGCAAGTCACTTAACCTCTGTTTGCCTCAGTCTCCTCAACTGTACAATGGGTATAATAACAGCATCTATCTCCTAGGGTTGTTTTGAGGATCAAAGCACTTAGCAGAGTACCTGGACTATAGTAGGTGTTATATAAATGCTAGCTATTATTATTATTATCATTATCATCCTCCTCACTATTGTTATAACTTTGGTAGCATAAGTTTAGTTTAAATATGCTGATGCTGTACTGTAGAAAGCATTTAATTATAAGGCAGGCCCACTTAGTATCCCACTGAGGGGGTATAGTTCCTGAAGTACCAAAATAACTTCATGATTCAGCAAACTGATTTACAAAACAGGCCTGCATCGAACCTTCTATAATTTTACTTATGGGCCCCAGAATCTCTATTCATTTTTCAAGTTAACACACAATCCAAGAATTTATTTTTGCTTCTCTCTAAGTACTGTCCTGCTTGCCTCAGTGGTCATAGGGGGAGTGGAAGAGGAGAGTCAGTCAGATGTGATGCTCACTCACTTCAGTGCTACCTGGCTGACAAGCTAGCTGTGAAGTGTGAACTGCACATACCTTTGTGACCTCCAAGAGAAAGAGGCCTCTGCCTTCATAGTTTTAAATTATGCTAGAGGTGAAAGAAAGCATCTGTAGAAAAAAAATATCTGGATCGCTGAAGAAATTTTTCTTTGCTAAGTTGCTGCTACTTTTTCTACCACTTTCATGCAAATACATGATCTCTGAAAACCTGCTTTAGTAAAACTTGCTGAATTCAAACTGTTTTAAGTTGAATGGTGATGTCTAAGCAAAACCAAGGTTCTGCCACATTCTTTGTTCAATAAGGAGATGTGGCTTTCTATCTGATTTATTAATTTAAGAACTACAAACTAAAGCAAAGCTTAAAGTGACTGATCTATCATATCCCTAGATAAAAACAAGTGTTTTAATATCAGCTCATTTTCAGAAAGAACAAAATAAAAGAAAGATGACATAGATATTTGATATGTTGTTTGAATTTCCTGGGATAATGGAATTGGGTACAACAGTGAGTTATTATAGCATCCAAAACAAACTCAGCTAGTTTAAGTCTGCCCCCTCCCTCAGACCTCTCTCCCAAGGTCTTTATAATTTCAAATTCACTTTCAGAGTATAACTGTAATTTGCACTTTTCCTTTCAATAAAAAGACAACTTACTTCTTCACCTAAATGAAATTCTTCCAAAGGTTGAAGATCAACAATCCTCCAGCTGTTGAAGATATAAATTGGTTTCAAACATTATTCATTTACCAAAATTGAAGTCTTAATTTTTCTAATAAATCAATAAATGATCATTTATTAAGCACCTACTGTGTGCCAGGCACTGGGTTAAGTGTTGGGAACACAAAGACAAAAACTGAAACAATTCCTGCTTTCAAGGAGTTTACAGTCTCTAGGGAGAGATCACACGTCCTTTTACAAGTATATGCAGAACAGAGACAGATAGAAGTTAGCTCAATACAAGGATGGCAGGTACTAGCATTGGGAGCATCTGGAAAGGCTTCACATACAAGATGACTGAGCTACATCTTTATGAAAGAGATTCCACAAGGCAGAGGGGAGGAGGGAGTGCATTCCAGGCATGAGGGGACAGCCAGTGCAAGGTTACTGAGGCTGGAGATGAAGCGCCATTTGTACAGAAGGAAAAAGAAGGTCAGTTTGGCCACATCCCAAAATATGGGAGGAGCAGGAGGAGGAGGACCATGCAATGATGTTCAAAAGACAGGCATGGCCAGCTTGGGAAAAGCTTTCAAAGCTAGACGGAGTATATGAACAGAAATAACAAAGTCTAGGTGCCTTCCCTTGTTATATCCATAATCAAGTCTCCTTTTAAAAGTAATGAGATTTTTAAGAAAGATACAAAAGTTCCAAATGAAAGTTTGGGGAAGAGAAGTAGAGGCTTCATTTCTGCCAGCAGAATGAACCCTGATCTGACTAGCTTAATTTTTGAACTCACAGATAATTTTGAACCAAGCTGTATGTCAGCACTTCTTTAAAAATGTAACCAGATATATTTCATTTCCCACTTACATTATTTTATTTAGCTATCTCTAAGCATTTTGTAAACACTGCTGATTCTCTTTTATTATCTCACAAGGTAAATTAAGGTGAAGTAGCAGTCAATGTTCATTAAGCACTTGTTATGTGGGAAGCACTGTGCTGGGGAAACATGGCGGGAGGAACATAAATAGATAAATAAGACATAATCACTGCCTTCAAGGAATTCTCATTTACCAGAATAGTCACACTACCCAAGACCCACTAGGTTCAACCATCAGAAATGAATTCCAGTCCGTCTCTTATGCTTCAACTACTGCCATAGTCTCTTCACTGATCTCCCGACCTGCTTCCCCTAAGCTTTGCCACCTCTAATTCATCCTGCATGCTGCTTTTACCATGGTACTCCTCCTATAAATGCCACAAAAAAACAAACCTTGCCAAGAACATAAGATTCAAACTTCTTAACTCGGTATTCAAGGATGTCTGTCCACAGCCTAATCTCATCTTTACAAAGAAAGTTGTTTATTCATTGTATCCTAAATTGCATATTTCTGTCACAGTGTCTCTGTTCACGGAATACCTCTGCCTACTTCCTCTCCAGCTATAGAGATCCTACTCTTCCTTCTTGCTTAAAGCCCTCTTGAAAGCTGAGTCCCTCCTCTTTAATGAAGCCTTCCTAGGCCAGACTGGTATCTAGATCCTCTGAACCCACAGTACTTATCTTACTATTGCTACCAATAATCTAGCAATGGAGAATGTGCTTTCTTATAATTAATTTGTTTTGATACTTCTTATGTCACTGTTTAAAATATTATGTATTAATGCTCGTTTCTTTAGTTAGACTATAAAGTTATTAGATAGGAGTATGAGATCTCTTCCATTCTTCCCTACCTATCTACTGATTATGTTCAAATGCTTTGCACACAGTAAGCTAATTAATTAATATCTGCTGATTAAAGATAAAATTTAGAGTAGGTATAAAAGAAATAAAGCTGTAGATAACTAAGGGCCTTTAATAAGAATCGGACATTTTCATAAGAATTGGTTCTTTTCTTTAGCACCAATGAAAATGTTTAAATTTGGTTGAGTGTTTTTGTATGTTGATCCTCAATTTTTTATTCGTGATAAGGGGAGCACAAAAAGTGAAATACAACACTACTTTGTAAGGAATATAACACTATTTTGTTGTTAAAATATAACAATATTTTATAAGAATAATTTTTTAAAAGTCAGGAAGGACAATGTATATACCTGGGAGTAAGTATTTCTTTATATTGCAGCTTCTCCAACTTGGCTGGGGCTGCAAGTGACATAGGAATCACAATATTATCGATGTCATAAGAGCTCTCACTTCTCAATCTCCGCCTTGTAGAATTCTGTAAAATATGATTTTACAAAACAATCTATAGTTGAATGATGTCTACTATATTTAAGGTAAACCTAAAGATTGATGGAACAGATTTGATTTTTCTAAAATTTATGTAAGTTACAATTAAAAGGTTTTGGATTCTGGCTCTAAAATCTGAAGCAGAAAGAACTGGGAAATGAGCCCAACTTTGAAATACTGTTGGTAACCTAAATACAAAATATGTATTTAAAGTCATAGTCTATTTTTTTGGATCAAATAATTAATTAAAATTGTCCTGTGCATTAAAATCCAAACCGAGTTTTGTGTGTCTACCTACCTTCTCTCCATGGCTTATTCAACATAAGCCAAAAGAACCCTAGCATCTAATTGCAGCTGCCTGGAACAGGAGTTCTTAATCTGGCATTCCGTGAATGGGTGCATGCGCATGTGTAGTGTGTGTGTGTGTGTGTGTGTGTGTGTGTGTGTGTGTGTGTTAGTATTTTGGTAACTGTATTTCAATGTAATTGGTTTCTTTTGTATTTTGTGCTATGCATTTTGACAAATTGTTCTGAGAAGGGTTCATAGGCTTTACCAGACTGTGAAAAGGGTCCATGATACATACAGAAAAGAAACCCCTGACCTAGAGGAATAATGAGACAGAGAGTAGACATTATTTAAAAATCTAAAGCATCCTAAATCTTCTTCTAAATTTTTCATTTGAAAATTATGATTGGTCTTATAGTCCAGGCTTTTTATAGGCTGAGCAATATAATTGTTTAGTGTGGAGATGTGTCATAGTTCAAATTTACTACACTTTAGCATATTAAAACAAAATAAAAATAAATAACAGGTAGATTAAAAAATTTTAAAGGGGAATGAACTAACAAAGAAAGGTTGCTACATTAAAAATGCTACTAAATGGAATGGTGGACTTCGTAGTTGGCCATATTTCATATAGCTTCATCAAGGGGAGAAGAATGTCCTACCACAGCCAGTTGATACTAACCTAGAAATCAAAATCCCTACATTTTTTTCTATTGGAATAATTCATTTCCTCCAGCATGTCGTACAGTACTTGGCATACAGCAGGTGGTTAGTAAATGTTAATAGACTGATTGATCTGGGACATATGACAGCTGTGTAAAAAGTAGAAAAGCTTCTCTTTTTGAAAAACCGTCAACAACATGATGGGGTGGAAAGAGGGCTGGCTCTAGAGTTCCAACACATCCTACTTCCGAATCATGTATTTTGAGCTATAAAGGCTCTTGGAAATCCCTCATTCTTTGGATGAGGAGACTGGGGCCCATGGAGATGAAATCACCTGCTCAAGGCAATAGAGGTAACAAATGGCAAAGCTGTAACTGGAGCCCAGGCCTTGACCTCACCCCCAGCGCTTGTTACGTCCTGCCCCATACTGCCCTTGTGCGTGACTGTGAAACCACAGGCAAGACACTGCATCCCCCTGATCCTCAGGCTCACTGTCTGTAAAATGGGCATATTACTGGGTACTGCACCTCCTCCTCAAGGTTGTTTTGAGGACAGTGGTTTGTAAAGCATCTGGTAAACACATGGTATTATTATCTCTGGGGTTTGTTACATGATAAAAGTTCTGAGCTCACTAGGCTATTTTCTTATCTTTAAAACTGAGGGTTAGGTTGGCCTAGATCATTTCTCAAGTCTCCTTCCAGCATTTGCTGCCATCATGACAAGTGTGGCCTCAGCTTCTATCCTCCTGCCTGCACTACCTCTGCTCCTGAAAAAAAGCCTAAGCAGGTTTATTTGTCTAAAGCAAGTCTCTTTCACAGCAGTGCCTACGTTAGGAAGTATGGACCTAGGCAGCACCTGGTGAAATGAACTTTCTTTCATAGTTTTTAGTCCAATTCTGAGTTCAAAAGGAACTCAGAAAAAAGAGGAAGACATGGCTAGAGGACAATGAGCTGCTTTTTTTACACAGAAAAAAGGACCTTTTGGTTTCATCAAATTCAAATCTCAATAAAATAGTTCAAATTTGCTAATACCCCAAACACCCTTCCCCCTCCCACCTTTTAAAAAATCTGAACCTGTGGTTTCATTGTTTTAGGGAAACTATGCAGATCAGCAACCGTTTGATAACTTAATAATCTTGGAGAACTGCCTGGGGCACTGAGAGGAAAAGTGACTTGTCTAGGGTCATACAGCCAGTAAATAAAGGAGGTAAGCCTTGAACCTGGGGTTTTCCTTACCCAGAAACTAGATCTTTATATGCTGTGACATGGTGCCTTTTCCCTACCTACACTAGTGGGTGAGTAAAACTGAGGGCTGTTATAGATTAGCAAAATACTCTTTCCTATGAACAAAAAGAGCCCTAAAAAAAGAAAACATACAAAAGCAGCTTATTTTTAAGACTCTTTGTAGTGCAGTTCTAGTAATCAACTAAAAATACCTACTTGGGATGAATTCTGGGTTGACCTAGATATCACATTGATATTAGTGACCGCAGTAAAACTGTCATGGGATCCTGGTTCTGTATGTTGTAAAGTAAATTCTTCAAACCTATTTCTTTCTCCTGTCAGAGAAGGAAACATCAAGAATGTAGTAAATTAAAAAGTGGTTAATGGAATAGAAACAGTTAACATTTCAAGAAGAGTAAATCAGACATATTTGTTCCAAATTATCAAGTGAGCACAAGCCTGTTCATACCACTCCCAAGAGAGAACCAATGGACTACAGAGACCTGATGAGACCGTTAGTCAATTGTTCTCTTCCCAAATACGTGTCACAGACAAAAACAAATCTTGTTATTATAAGCAATATGTTATAAAGTGCTAATACTTACCATTTTACTAACTGCTTCCACAGGAACATTTTATCACCTGTAAATTACTGTGTTTAATTTTATACCTGAGATTAACCTGGATTTAGCATATTGTGAAGTCAGCCTTTTTATAGTTTATTAACATTAGTTACTAAGATCACCCCAATAGTTACAAATTTTAACAAAAAGGGTATTAATGGCCAAAGAAATCACAAATGGTTAATTTAGAAGACTGAAACTTGGTGATAAAACTAGTGTCTAGGAGTACCATATTCATAGCTGTTACCAAATCTTGAGAGTTCTCTAGGGGTAGAAGATGTACAAAAAGCAGCATGGTACAATAGAAGCAGAACACCCACCTAGTGCCAGTCCAAATACCAAGTTGGTGTTAGAAGACCTCTATTCAAGGCCCAGCTCTGCAGCTTGCTAGCCATGTGACTATGGCCCAGTAGGGACCTAAGATCCCATTTCCTTATTTTTAAATTAGTGATAATAATACTTTCCCTGCCTGCTGCATGGTATTTATGTGGGGGTGGGGAGAGGGACAAACACTTCATAACTCATGAATGACTACAACAAGGTAGCTTATTTTGTGTAAGCATTTTCCTTATCTGCAAAACCAGAGGGTAGGCTTGGATCATCAATAAGGTCTCTTTAATCTCTGTCCTGTGATCCTGAGGTATTAAACAAGGTATAGAAATAAATGACCTTTTCTAGAATGTTCCTCAGTTTTCACATTTTTTGGACATGAACAAGTTTCTTTGAAATATTTCCTATTATTTCACCTTGATCTACAGTCTGACTTAATCAACTACTTTAACAATTTAAAATAAATATAAAGCTTTATTACTGCATCATTACCAAGGAAATCATTATGTCCAGCCCTGCCCCCCCCCAAATTCCTTACTAAAGTTCCCAAAGCCTTTACTTATTCTACTTCCTTTCTCAACACTCTCACTCATGACAAAGCACACAGACTAAGTAAAAGCTCTAAGGGCTTTGGTTAAGGACGTAATTTTTTTTTAACTAGACCACTAATTTCATTCATATAGGAGACTGTCTAATAGGATGCTTCTACCAATGTAGGGCAGCAACTCCTCTGCCCCTTACAGTCTGAGAGAGACAGCATGCTATAGGGTACAAGCATAGGAAAGCCTGGAGCTCACATCCAACCTTTGACACATAGGGGCTTTCTGACCCTAGGCAACTTATAGTCTCTTGGTGCTTCTCAGCAATAATCCTTAAATCATAAAATCTTTCAAAGTAGTAAAGTGTGACTTGAGGTTTCATTATATCATTTAATACACCGTATAGGTATGTGCAAAAATGAAAAATTCTCAATGCCTACAAGTGGGGAACAGAAGATGTACCTCGTGTATGCCCTTAACAGACTTTTCTACCTGAATTTAACATCCACAGGGCAGAGAATCTTAATTTATAACAGCAGACATTAAAACTATAACTATTAGAAGTATCTTATGCCATCAAGCTGAGAAATCTTTGAGTACAGGCCTGGCAAAGGACTGTATGTCTATCACTCAAGAACCAGCCTAACTACATCTGTGGAGACTCATCACAACATAGTCAGCCATCTTTGTTGATGTTCAGTCCTTTTAGCTGTGTCTGACTCTTCATGACTTCACTAGGGGTTTTCTTGGCAAAGATACTGAAGTGGTTTGCCTTTCCTTCTCTAATTCATTTTACAGATGAGGAAATGGAGGCAAACAGGGTGAAATGACTTGCCCAGGGTCACACAGCTAGTGTCTGAGGCCGGATTTGAACTCAGGTCTTCCAGGCCTGGTGCTCTATCCACTGTACCAGCTAGCTACCCAGTTAGCCAGTTACTATCTAATAAATTCTTGTGGTAATTAAATCATGTATTAAAGCATAAAGTAGTTGTGATCTGACTTGATAGAAAGGGTATCACACTAGTGAAAGCAGAGATATTTTGAAATATGGATTTTATTTCTTTTTATAGAAAATACAAACATCTTGATGGTACTACACTAATTTCTAAGCAAATCTCTTGGATTAAGACATAATGGTAACAGGTGATAATAGGCATCTATTATCATAGATAATAACAAAGCACCACGGCAACAAACACAGAATTTAGGTCTTTTAGTATTATAACTTATTGTGTTCCATGATTTGTAGTAATACAGCTATATCAGAGGAATAATGGTGTTAACAAGATGGGACTCTGTTTTAGGGAAAAGTCTGAGGTCATTAAAAGTACTGAGCAATTTCCCAAGTGAAATTCTAACCTATTTTCTTCCTCTATTTGATTCTAAGCCCAGTTTATTATCCATCTACAGTATCCCTCTAAGATATATGTACTGATATAGGCGTGTATATACATATATATGTGTGTGTGTATGTACACACACATATTTAGGCCAACTTTATATCAACATCTATATAGATATAAATACATAAATATAATAGATATAAAAGACAGATATAGATATAACATTGGTCAATACATATATACATACACACATACATATGCATTATATATGTGTCTATAGATAGATAGATAGACAGACAGACAGACACACAGTCTGTGAAGATTCAAAACTGAAGGTCACTGAAAGGGGAAGGAAGATATGCAGTGGCTATAAATAGGCTTCAGCATATTACAATTGATAAATTATGTGCATGAAGCAGTAGAAGATGAATGACCAGAAAAAAATGGAGGCCAACCAGTCATGTACAAAAAGGATGCCAAATTCAAATAAAAATGAGAACCTGTAACTTATACATAAGGATCCTTTAAGCCACAGACTGCTTTCATTCTAAAATGTATGTCATCTACATTTACTGTATTTTACTGATTTTGTTAAATATTTCCCAATTCATTTCAATGCAGCTTGAGAGTGTCACAGCCACATATTTGACACCTCTGATGTAAAGTATCAGAATATTTTCCGTGCTCCCCTGACACCTATAAATGCCAGGAGATCTAGAAAAACCCCCCTTCTGGAGGATTTACCAGAATCAGAGCTCACAAGGTTTGTGAAACACTTTCTAAATCTGTTTCATTTCATGAGCTACTGGGGGATGAGAAGTGTGCGTGGATGGTGATCTGTAGCATGGGAAAGAGCGCTCGCGTCAGTGAAGTTCTGGACCCATTAAGTATTATAAATGCAAATAGTTTTCATAGAGTAGGGAAGTATACCAAAAAGTTGGTTGATTTAAGATTGATCTAACACTGAATTACATTCCAACATAATTTAAGGTTCTAAATGCGGGGACTACATCATTCTTGCCTTTATATCTCTAATACTTAGCATAGTGCCTGGAACACAGTAGGTGCTTAATAAATGCTTGTTGATTGATTGAAGCGCACCCATCACCAAATGGGTAGCAGGTCAGGCTGATACTTTTACACAATCAAGGCACTACTATCCCTGCTCATCGCTATTAGCCGCTCCCAGACTGCACCTCCTAGAGTTCTTAGCGTCCCCTAGGCCACGGTTGAGGAACCTGCGGCCTCAAGACCACATGTGGCCTTCTAGATCATTGGGTGTGGCCTTTAGACTGAGTCCAAGTTTTACAGAACAGGGATTTGTTCTGTGAAGTTTGGATTCAGTCAAAGGGCTGCACTTGAGGACCTAGAGGGCCACATGAGGCCTTGAGACCACAGATGCCCCACTTCTGCAGGTGATACACAGGAAAAGACAGAGCCACAGGGCTATCTGAGCTACAGGGAATGCCAGGGAGTTACAAGGACCGTTAAGAAAGAAATTAATTTGTATTTTGGGGCTCCACTTATAAGTGATTCTTGTTAATTTTTAGGACTTCTCAGAGAAGTCTGTAATAAATAGACCTTCTCAGCATTCACTTGCATTTGAAAGTCAAGTCCCTGAAGTAGCCTGAGACTTACTCGTTGCCAATCTACAATCTTCACAGCAAGTTGGACAACAAGGACAAGAAGTCCTGAGGTGCCACCAATAGTCCAAAAAGACAATGTTCTGCTCACCAAGAATTGAGAGCTGCCTACAGAGTTTCGTTCTTCATGTTATGACAGACAGCTCTGTCTTGGCCTCCTTCTGGACTGACAACTATTCTGCACAACATGCCAAACAGTTTGGGTGCTTTATATCCCGGGTTTTTACTCCTTTAACCTACCTAGTGCTGTTTCGCTGAAGTGCCTTTTCTTTCTTCCCTGTAATATTTGTGTTGAGGTTTCTGACCTGGTCTGAGGTTTGCATACAGGCAAATATCCACTTCTCCATGGGGTAGTACTCTGTGTAATATGTGCTACAGAAAAAAACATAAATAAATAAATAATGACAAAAAATGTAAGTAGGCCCTTTTAATGAATTAATTCAAATAGACAATGACAGGTTCAATTAAAATCTGCAATTTAAAAATATCTTGTATATACAGGCTCAAAAAGTCAAACTTTTAAATATCATAATAGAGAGAAGACAAAATTACAAAATCTGGAAACTCATGCCCACCACCACCCAAACAGTTTATTGAGATGGAGAGGAGGTGTATATTAGCAACATCCACCTCTACTTGGGTTTCTCTTAGCCCTCCACCCCTTCCCCTACATAAAAAAAGCACCTCAATTCACCATTACATTTTCATGACAGGGAAGTAGATCTTGCCTACTACTCCTAACAAACTGGAAAAGCAATGCAAAGAGCTCATCCTCCTGACAGGGACTGGTCAGCTGGCACATAAAATCCCAGAATGCAAAGCAGCCCAGTTTCCTTTGTCTGACATTAAGTTCAGTTCCTTCTCTACACTAGGAGCCATCAGTCCTCTATCTGTGTTGCATCAACTAATTCAGATCTTAGATTTTTCAAACCTGCTGCAAAGTTCAGAGTTGTGAAGATTCCCTTCCCTAACCACTCCCACCACTCAGCCAAATTTGCTTTTACATTTCCATTTGGCTCATCTGTAACACCTTTCTCATTTGAAACATTTTACAGGTCAATCTTGTTTAGATCAAAAGAGAAAAAATTTCAGCTTTCTCTGCTCACAAAGAAATATGCCATTGGCAAAGATTTCCACAGGCAAAATTTTTGTTTCTTAGTTCCTAAAAGTATTATCAGCAATATGTCTAGAATAATCCAGGATACCGAATGTATCAAAATTTTTTAAAAGTCTGTCAATGTAAAACTGTTAAAATAAAAATAAGGAGCACCAAAGAAAATCAAAAGCCTGGTTACCTGTGCACACAAAAATCTGCTGAAAACTGAAAATTTTCCAGGGAAATTGTGACCAATAGAAAAAAATAATTCATCAGAATCAGCAAATTCTTTACACTTCCATTTCCATTATTTTCCTCTTATTACTACACCTACAGAGAAGGTAAATTATTATTCTCAAGTAACATCTGTTAATTTCCCAATTACTAACATGTTATTATGTCACAGGATACCAATAATACTCAGATTAAATTCAGTTGTACTCCCTCAATTTTAATCCTTTACAATAAATAGTAAGTTCAAGTACATACAACAATATTTCACAGAAATACAACCTAAAGTTCATAAATGTGGTCTGTAAAATGAAGGAAAAATTTGAGACTGTCTTTCCTGCCTCAAATGGTATATGCTTAGGATAGGTGGAAAAGTAGATAAAGCTCCGCCCTCGGAGTCAGGAGGAGCCGAGTTCAAATTCAGCCTCAGACACTTGAAAACTCACTAGCTGTGTGACCCTGGGTAACTCACTTAACCCCAACTGCCTCACCAAAAAAGGGGAAAAAAATGATATATGCTCAAAAAGTAGAAATTAGCAGGATAGAGTTGAGCCAAAAATACCTCTAAGATTTTTACATAGGACATACCAGTTGAAGGTGATAAGATGCATTCATCTTCCAACAATGTGCTTTCAGCTGGATCTCCTTTGATTTCATTCTTTTTTAACAGTGTTTCAAAATGTAAATGAAGTGGAACATCTGAAAAATGAAAAAGAAAGTAAAAAATGCTTTCCATCAATAAAAGTTACATTTTGTGGATGAAAAATTAGTTCTTTTCTTCTCTCTATAAGCTGCATACTATTTTGGGAAACAGTAATAATTTTGAAACTTATAAATATAAGATTTGGCACAGAACTTTTCTAAATGAGCTGTTAATAATATTTTGGAAATTATTTAAATCTACATTACTAACCTGATATACAAGATCAGTAACATTTCTAAATAAATGTAGAAAAAATACAGTAAAACCCATAAGCCAATACCACCAATTTAAAAATATCATGTAAAAGATATGCAAAGGCATTCAAATTCCTTGATGCTTGTTTGATTTCTAGAAAAATGGAAAATTAGATGTTCCAAATGATTCCACTAAAAATGTCAGGAGTCCCAGAAGTCTTAGTGCAATTTAAAGCTTTAATAACTTCAGAAGTACAGCCACAAACACACACAAAAAATCCAATATTTGAAATGATAATTATTTAAAATTTAAATATGAATATTTCTTATTAAAATTTAACATAACCAACATTTTGTGTTAAATATCATTCTAGCTGACTTTTGAACTTTGTTATAACTCATCAGCTGCTACTCAGTGAATGACAAGATTGAATTTGTAACCTTAGCCATAAGATCATCCAAAGAATAAGGTCTTGATGCATGCATGACATTTTTGACATGACATCAAAAGAAAGAGTCTAATGAAGACAGATTAAGTGGCTGAGGTGGTCAAACAAGAGACGGCGCATAAGGATGAGGTACCCCACACAGCTAAACTTAAAATTAGTTATTCATTTTATGTAATGTATACAATTAGTCATAAAATTATTTAAAATTTCCAAAACTAAAAAAGTCTAAATGAAATTTAAATAAACTTTCAATTGATATTTTTCATAAATTTGTAGTATTCATGCTCTCAAGTCACCAAAGCTTAAAACTGCACTAAGACTTTTGTGACATTCTGTCACAGCAAACGAGATAGACTGAAAACTCATCACCCACCATACTTTGCTGTTTGAGTCAATGAAGTTTTATTGAAATTTCTAAAACACTGTAAAGATACTGAAATGATAGCTGTCACAATTCACTTATCTTAATACTATGGTAAGCCTACAACTTATTTCGTCTCTGCTTTTACAAAAGTTAAATGCCTACAGTGACATATTCTCTCTTTTAAAGATGAACAAGGAAAGGCAATGCTTCATTATATACATGAGTACTTCATACCTGTCTTCCAGCAATTAGAAAGGAGCTAACTAGGAAATGAAACATATTTTGTATGTTAAATCATTTTAACCTACTAAGAAGGCAAAAATAAAATAATAAAAAAGCATTTATTTACAAAGATAATTAATCTGGTTTTGAGATATACCCTCTGATGTAGGTGTAATTCTAACCTTAAGAGAATGATTTTCAAAGACAGAAGTTGAAGCTGACTAAGGGAAGAGAGAGAAATGAGAGTGGGCACTGTTTTAGAAGTGGAAAGGAACTGAGTGTGAGTCCTAAGGATAGGATTCTTCTTCAGGACTGTCAAGAAGTAAAAGGACTTGTGCATTTTGTTAATCCCTCTAGCAGACATAGTGACTACCATGGAGAAAATCTTCCAGGAGAGATACTTGAACAAGTATAAATACATGTTACGAATCAAACTGATATTCACTTGAATGAAAGTCTAGCAAAGAGCCTTTTCAGGAGACAGAAAGTTAAAGGTGAGAAATGTAAAAAGTAAGGCACAGTTGCCAGTAAAGCCTTTTCTAAAAATTTTGGAGTTCCAATGTAGAAAGAAAAGGATAAGAAAGTTTGGACCCCCAGGTCAAGGAGCCTAAGAAAATGATCAGAGCTCAGGCATAAAGTGAGAAATAAAAGTAACATTCAAGTTCCTAATGTAGAGAAGAATAAATAACTCATAGTGATTTTTTGATCAAACTACTGAGTAACAACTGACATTTCTAGAGTGCTTTGAAGTTTCCAAAGTTCTTTCTTCACAAAATCCTGTAGAGTAGGCTGGTAGTATAAATATTATTATCCCCATTTTAGAGTTAATGAAACTGAGGTCAGGAGAGATTAATTGGCTTGACCATATCATATGTAAGACAAGACCAAAACCTTAGTTTCTAGACTCCAAATCCAGTACTCTAACCACTATGGCATACAACCTCTGAGCTTGGCATGGCTAGATAGGCAGGGAAGGCAAGACATGTTTTCATTTTCCTAATACTTGGCAGTTCCAGTGTGGTCCAGGATGGAAAGTCCTGAGCAGCAGAAAGTAAAAACAAAGCGGTATCCAATAGTCACTCAGTGCCCTTCTTTATTAGGTCAAAAGCTATACACGCCTCACGATAAAGAGAATCTTTTTAAGAACTCCAAGATAACATAAGATTGTCATCTACCATAACAGACAGCAGAGATGATCTTATTCCATCTTTGCAAAAACTCAGAGCAAAATATTGGCCACTAATATTATCTGGTTAGGAAAAGTATATCTATGCACAATATTATATTAAGAATTCAGATTACTAAAAAGAAAATAGTCCAAAATGTAAAGAAGAAAAATCACATTTTCCTACCATTGAGAAACATTTTGGTATTGTAGATAGCATTAGCAAAAAGTATTAAAGATTTAACTAATTCAAAAGGAAGTCAAAAGTTAGAGCCTTCATACAAAAATAAAATAAATTGGTTTCTGATGTATTTCATGAATTTATTAAGCAGAACTAGAATACTAACTTAGTGAAGAATTAGACCTGTCCAATTCTGAGAAATTGTATGTATACAATAACTAGTAAAGAATGATAAAAGAATTCTTGAGAAGAAAACTTTAATAATTTTACAGATGTTACATTTAAAATGAACAAATTTCAACATTAAAAAGTTTTGTTAGTCTACTTGGAAATTCCTTATGAGGTGGTTTACCTGATGGGAGTGATAAAACAGAATGGAAAGAGGAGTCTAGCTCTGGTACATGTTGTTTTAAAATCTCAGACTTTGCATTGTGATCACGATTATTCCAGGTTGAAGCTGATATCATGCAAGACATTGGTGTAGCATTATGAAATTGAGTTTCTTTGGAAGGCAAAGCCTGAAAAGAAAAAACACAAAATAAAATGAAGTAATAAACTGAAATAAGAATTTTACTTTCTAAAACTCATCTAGAATAAGGAACACTTCAAATGACAGTAACAGTATCACACAACAATAGAGCCCTGTTTATTTAAGAAGTACTTTGCACAGTGTTTGGTACATAGTAGGCACTTAATAAATGTTTATTGACTATTTTCAAATATCTAGAAAAGGTAGGAAAACTTGGTGAATTTTCTAAGGTTCCTTCTATTTAAATTTATCACCTTCTGGTGGCTGATATTTGCCAATGCCCAGTTAATTTAACTGAAATTTCTCCTTCAAGGATACCAAGGATCTCTTAGTCAGTCAGCCAATAAACATTTACTCAGTGCCTTCTATTTGCTAGGCAATGTGCTAAGAGCTGGGGATACAAGGAAACAGAAAAGATAAGCCCCGTACTCAAGGAACTCATACATAATCTTATAGGGGAGACAACTTGCAAACAATTATATACAAATAAGCTATAAACAAGATTAACTGGAAATAATCAACAGAAGAAAGGCACTAGAATTAAGATGGATTGGAAAAAGTTTCCTGTAAGTGAGGTTTTAGCTGAGACTTGAAGGAAGCCAAGAAATCAAAGAGGGAGAAATGAGAAGGGAGATCATTCCAGGTATGAGAGGACAACAAGTGAAAATGTTTAGTCAGGAGATGAGTATCATGCAAGGAACAATAAGCCATATAAGAAGACTGGAGAAGTAAGGTAGTGCACATCATGAAAGGCTTTGAATGCCAAACAGGGGAGGTTATATTTGATCCTGGAGTTTATTGGGAGGGGGCAGGGTGGAGAGGAGTGACATAGTCAGACCTGTGCTTCAGGAAGTTCACTTTGACAGCTGAATGGATGATGGACTGGAATGGGGAGAACCTTGTGGTAGGGAAACTAACCAGCAGGCTATTATAATAGTCCTGGCACAAGGTGATGAAGTTCTACAGCAAGGTGGTGGGAAGTCTCAGAAGACAGAAGAGAGTATATATAAGAGATATTACAAAGATTAAAAACTACAGGTCTCGGTAACACATTAGATTTGAAGGAAAAAGAAAGTGAGGAGTTGAAGATGACACCTGGATTGCAAGCCTAGGCGACTTGGATGATGGGGATACCACTGACAGGATGAGAAGTTTGGAAGGTGGACAGAATGATTTAGGGAATAGACAGTGAGTTCAGTTTTGGACATACTGAATTTAAGATGTCTATGGGACATGCAGATTGAGATGTTCAACATACAGTTGGAGATGTGAGAGCTGAGATCGGCAGAGTGGTTAGGGCTAGTCAAGTACCTTTCAGAATTGTCAGCATAAAGATGATAATCAAATTTATGGGAGCTGATGATGAGCTCACCATGTGAAATAGTATATAGAGAGAAGAGGGCCCAAGACAGAGCTCTGTAGGATACTTGCAATCATCAGGCATGAACTGGAAAATCTAGCAGAGGATATTGAGGAGAGGTCACATAAGTAGGACAACCAAGAGAGTAGAATCATGAAAACTAGAGCAAAAAGAGAATATCAAGGGGAAGAGGGAAATTGACAGTATCAAGAAAGGTGAAGAATGAGAAAGGCCATTGGAGTTAAGAGATCATTGCTAACTTTGGAGAGGACTATTTTGGTTGAATGATCTGGTTGGCAGCCAGACCACAAAGAAGTAAGTCTTCTTGACCTCTCTGCAGCTCCTGATGCTGTTGATTACCTTCTCTCACAGGCTACTCTCTCCTCTTTGGGTTTTCATTACTTTTCTCACTTAGTTCTCCTACCTGTCAGAGCACTTCTCAAGTTTCTCAAGGTTCTGTCCTACGCTCTCTTCTCTTTTTTTCTCTATACTCTCTCACTTGGTGATTTCATCGGATTCCAGCAGTCCAAATATCATCTCTATGAAGAGGACTCTCAGATCTAGATACCCACCCCTAATCTCTCTTGGGAGCTCTAGATGAATATCACCAATTGCCTATTGGACATTTCAAACTGGAAGTCACACAGGCATCTAAACTCAACAAAGTTCACTATTTCTCCCTCTCTTCACTCTGTGTCCACTCCTCTTTTGAATTCCTTATTACTGATAAGGGCACCACCAACGTCCTTCCGGACACCCAGGTTTAAAAGCCAGGTAACATCCTTGACTCCTTACTCTCACTTAACCCTATATGTCTAATCAGTTGTTAAATCTTGTTTTTTCCTCAACAATCACTTTCAAGTACATTGCCCAGTCATCATCCCATTTTAGGGCCTCATCACCTCTCATATGCATGAGTGAAATAACTTCCTAATTGGTCTCCCCTGCCTCAAGTTTCTCCACACTCTAACCTATTCTCCAAATAGCTGCCAAATAATTTTCCTAAAGCATAGGTTGGACTATGTCTCTCTCATATTCTATGAGATCCAGAGGCTTCCTCTTAATTCCAGGATCAAAAATTAATTCCTGCTTAGTATTTAAAAGCTCTTCACAACATGGCTAAGTTGCAGTCCAGCCAGAAGGGCCTTCTAGTTTTTCCTCATACTACAATCTATTACTAGTCTCCCTGTTTTTATACTGATTGTCTGTCTCCAATGTCTGGAATACTCTTCGTCCTCACTTCCACCACTTGGGATCTTGGGCTTCAATTAAATTGACTAAAATGCCTAAAGCCTTTGACCCAGAGATTCCATCCACTACAAGGCATATACTCTCAAGGAGGTCACTAACAAGAAAAAAACTCCTACATACAGAAAAATACTTATAGCAGCACTTTTAGTGGTAGCAAAGAATTAAAAACCAAGTAGGTGCCCTTTGATTGCAGAATGGCTAAGCAAATTGTTTTCGGTGAATGTTAAATGGGATATTACTGTAAGAAGTGATTAAAATGATGATTACAGGAAAGCATAGATTCATAAGATCTGATGCCGAGTGAAATACGCAGAGCTAAAAAAAGCAATATATGCAATGACTACAATAATGTAAATGAAAAGAACAAACACCAAAACCAATCGAAAGTAAATGCTGCAAAATTATAAGAGCAAATGGGACCCCAAAGAAGAAATATAAGGCAATGTCCCTAACCCACTCTTTTGTAAAAGGAGGGTCACAGATGTAGAACCTTCCAAAATTTTTTAATGAATTAATCTGTTTTGTTGATTGTTTTTTCCCTCTTTCTCTTTCTTATGGCTCTCTGGGTGGGGAGGGGGAGAAGGATAGTGGGAGAAATTTTAGTGATGTAAAAAAATAAATCAGTAAAATTTTATTTTAAAAAAATCAACTCTGGCTTCCTTCAAGACTCAGCCAAAATGCCAACCTTCTCAGGAAGCTTTCCTTGGTCCCTCTAGCTGCCAGTGCCCTCCTCTCTACTGTTACCTTCCATTTTCTATATTCCTAGTTATGTTTTTTTGAGAGCAGGGTCAGCTTTTTCTTTGTATCATCAGCACTTAGTGCTGTGCCTGGCATATGGAAAGCACTTAATAAGTGTTTGCTGACTAACTGATTAACTGTAGGACAGTACTGAAACTCATTAGATTTAAAGTCAAAGGTCCTGGCTTCATATCTCACCTCCGCTACTTAGTAGCAGTAAGTGATGCTGGGTCAGTTACTTTACCATTCTAAGCCTCGACTCATCTAAAAGTGATGGCACCTCTGAGGTGCCTTCCAGCTCCAAATCCATGATCCTGCAAGTCACTGAAAGTCAAAAGAGGGAGCAGTGTTGTAGAAAGGAACTTCAAGACAGAAGAAGTAGGTTACAGACTAGACAAGTCAGAGTTTAAGAGTGAGCAGGAGGTACAACTGAGCCTGAGGAACTTCAGGTACTCTTCCTTCTGCTATACTGGGTGGCTCTCAAGTTTCTCTCTCCCTCAAATTAGAATGCCAGGGAATCTCTTCACTGAGATGATGCCTAGTTTACCACATTCAAGTACATAACAGTATTTAAATAGAAATATGAGAGCAAACGATGAATATGTATTATATTATTGAAAAGCCTAAGTTTTTCAACACAAAGTTTTCATTTCATAGCAAGAGTTTTACCAATACCACATTCTTCCTAGAATATTAGATATCTTTTATATGTTAAGTTTTAAATAGTTTATATTTAATTAAAACCTTACAAAGTATGTGCATAATCTACAAAATACATCCATCTAACATAAATTATCTCATTTGATTGTACAGGACTGCTGACATTTAAATAGCATTTTAAAGGTCACAAAATAGCTTCTTCACAGTAACTCCATGAGATAAGCATTACAAGGGTTGTATCATTTTTAAAGATCAGAAAATTGAGTCACAGAAGTAGATTAAATGACTTAACCAAGGTGACCTGACACCAAATTTAGTGTTTTGGGGTTTTTTTTCTCATGAAACCATATTCTCATAATGTTTTTAATTTTTATTTTGAAAGACTTTTAGCCTTGAGTAGTAGCATGGCATAGTAGATAGAAAGGAATACCAGGGTTCATTACTGCCTCTGATGCTTACAGGCTGAGGGGCCCTGGGCAAGTCACTCAAGCTCTCAGTGGTCTATGAGCTCTTTAAGACTTTTAAGGTGTGGAACAGATATTGATCTATTATTGGTAGATGGAGTTTCCTCATCTGGGAGTCTCCTAAAAAAATATAGATTCAATCACCAATCTTATTTATTTAGACTTATCAAATTCCTTGAATTGTCCAAAAGTCTTCCCCAAAACCAAATAAACTCTTAGTTCCTTGACTAAGTTATTTTTCACCCTCAGGAATGCTCACAGTCAAATTCTGCTTGCTGCTATGTACCATCTCCCACATCCAAAGCTCAATTCAGGAGTATATGAAGACATTTATGCTTAGGACCTAATATGATTCTTCTTTAATAGGTACACTAACAATTTTGACTCACCCCATAGTTGTTCTGTGCATTTGGTGGTATACTTCCATGAGGCATAGCACAAAGCATAAGATTTAAAATCAACAAAGAAAGAATGTTAGGCATTCTTGGGAGGGAAAGAGTACCATAAACACAATAT